GCCTTTACTAAAACTGGGATATGTCGCGGCGCAACTAGCACAAGGGCCATCCCGAGGTCATGCATGTCAAACGCCAGAGAACCAAGTTACAAAGACATGTGTTCTAAATGAACTGTTACAAGGCAGACGGCAGGAAGGATGGATATGATACAGGCGCCGGCAGTGGCGTCGCCCTGTCACGGAGTTTAAAATCAGAGGGCTTCAGCGCCGAGCGTTGAGTTTGTCCATTTCATGCAAGCGAGTACCCTACCGGTATGGGACGTACTTCTTACGCTCACTCGAACGCAGCCTGGCAGTTTTACCGCTCCAGTCTCTTACAAGCTGGCAGCATTTTATTCTCCTGTATCATCAGTAATCTTTACCATCTCGGCAGCCACGTAGCTCAGACGCCAGAGGAACCAGTCCAATTACTTAGTAGATCATCTGGTGTCTTAAGGCGCGCTACATATCTGTGTCTAGGCCGCTCCATCTCTCACGCTTCATCTCCCTCCGTCTAAAGGTGTCTGGATCTGTGCGTATTTTACGCTGTCTCAACCCTTGTAGCTTCTACAACATCCGTGAACAGTCTTTATTTAGCACCTCGAATGAACGTGCTTGTGAGATAATGATGACTGGAAGGGTCAACTTAAGGCGGTTCTCAAAGCCCATCTATCCAACCAGTGGTACGGAAGCTTCGCGTTCTCCAGTGTGAACTGCCTCACCTTGACTCGTCTGGTGACCTGTCCGAGTAAGTGAGCAGAGAAAGGCTATTGCATATCAAAATGGCAAACCTCAGTGTTGATGCATCATGTGGGCCGTGGAAATCTGTTGCGCTCACGAGGACTAGTATTACCTGACTTTGATTCACACAAATTATATGGTTTGTCCTGTTGGCTGACGTTCAGATATCCTCACCGCCAACCACTCGTCCGGAACACAGAATCCCTGGATGTGGAAGGGTGCGGGCCGTGCCCAATGATCGTACAAATGAGAGGGTCAGGTCGGACTACTCACGCAATATTGACCGACATAACGAGCCCGCGTCCAACCGGTCAGCCTGTTTACCAAATCTGAATATTCGTCAACGACGTGCTGAGACTGACTCCTGAGCACGTTCATCGTGCTTCTGTGACTGCATCTACACGTCTGCTGACACACCGGACTGTGTAGGTTCACATATACAACCGCCATGAAAGGCTCTGCTATGCGGGGCGGGTGGTGCGGAAAGTCTGGACGCTTGTAAATATTGGTAAGTTATGGTCTCCCCTCTTTCTCTGAGTTCTCAATCAAACGTGTCGGATAGAATGGAAGACTGCGCCTTCATATATTACCGAGGGTGCGGAGACTCTGCGCGTTCGTGAGCGCTGATATTTTCCGACCCTGACGCAATTGAACGTGCTTGCGAACGGATGAAGGCGACCGCCTCCGCGCTCCACACATCACCGGGGGGTGCAAAGTCAATGTCACGGTGCGTTCTGCAGAGACATACTGCCGTTTTTGTCCGGCCGATCTATTCTCAAATGAACGTGCTCGATATTCTGCGGTCGCAGGTCAATTTATGGAAATGGATGTGTATTTCCCCGAGGGTACGAAGACCGGGATTGCCTTATTTCGTCTTGTCTGCTGACATTCTTCAATCCAACGTGCGTGTGTATTAGATGGCGACTGACAGGACAAATTTATTCGCTCTGGTATATAAGCAACCTCCTGCTCCTCTGCTCTCCTCCAGCCCAACACTGTACAACTCTCTTCAGCTCGTCTCACATCATGTCCAGGCCCTCCGCCGGTACCTACATCATCTACAACCGGGTGCTCAGCCCCAAGGGCGAGAAACTCGCCTTCACGTTCACCGGTCAGAACAAGACGCAGACGGTGACGCCGCTCTCGAACGACGAGACCCAGAAGGTACCGCTCGTCGTGCCGCTTTCTCGCCGCTCTTTATTTCTCACTCATGGCTTCCTCGTCGCCTTCAGTGGATCATCAAAGACTACAACAGCAACACCCAGACGATTTCTCCCGAGAGCAACGCCAATCTGCAGGCTGCGTGGGGAGACCAGGGCGTAACGGTCCTCCCTGCGGGTGCCTACGTATGGGTGATCAAGAGCACTGATTCTGGATACACGTAGGTCGATTTCATAGTATCGTCTCTGTATCAGTACTTACGCCGTGGCTGGACAGCATTCAGGACGGCAAGCAGACGGTGTACTGGGGAGTCGCTGACGCCGTTGACAATGCAAACGTAATTCTGATTTTCCGTGCTCGTGTTCGGGACGAGACACTAGATGCTGACTGGTGTTGCAGGTGACGATCACTGCTGGCACTGGGAATGAGAAGCAGAGGTGGATCTTCCACCAGGCCTGAATGTGTCGGCCCGTTAGTTGTGTTATGCTATCCTCGCCTGGGCGGGTGACGTGAAGTCTCGTGTGGAAGCAATGTAACAGTAGTAACGCTGAAGAATCTCCGTGATCCGTGATCGGTTTTCCTGTGGGACTCAACGTCTTAATTGACGGGCAATACCGACGATACTGCAAGGAATTTACGACTTGTCGTCAAGTAAATATATCGCACCCAGAGCAGTAACTGCAACAGTCAAACGTCTACCTGAGGCGATGTCGAATCTGAGGTGGGAGTCTGGCCGTGGGTGTCATGTCAGATGTAAGTATAAGAGCCATTCAGTTCCTAGTACAGCTAACAAATGGAGTGTACTTTTCATCGACGTTCTCCGGATACATAGGCCATATTGTCCAGAGATATTGTCGCGCAACTTTACTGCGACAACGCACCTCATTCACCGTCGAATTGAAATGCACATTGGACCATCTAGGCTCAGCTTGCCAATTAGATTGTATGTTCCAGAACATGCCATTGACCGAGGGAACATGACTCGAATGTATTGCTGGATAACATGCGCACGAGCTGCCTTCAAGAAGAAGCGCAGACCAAGCACGTAGGGACAGGAAAGCGGCTGATCACCGGTACGCCATAGGCGCCCATTCAATGCAGATTGGGAGACTTTAGTGTGGAACCAAGGGCCTCAAGGATGCGCAGCCCATGGATAGAGCACATTACGAACGGGTCGGAAGCCAGGAGCAGACTGGTAGAAGCTTGTATTACAGTGATGCCCCGATCCAATAACACGTGTCCCCAGATTTGAGAAGTAGCGTACTATCCAGCGATCACATTGTATGCCGAAAAAATGCAGGAGGAAGATGTAGGAGGATGTAGGCCCGAGTCTGCAGCAGGGAGCTGTTTGGTTACTATTATTAGAGGACTATTGACGCCCGAAACGCCACCGACGCGACGGGCTTCTTGATCAGTTATTCCCATCCTTACTTCCGTCTTCAACATATCTGCGACCACATCTGCGACGAACTTTGAACCAAGGGAATAGGAGCTGCCAGTGAAATATAATATGCGCGCGTCGAATCCCATGTGAGTGATGATCCACGAACTCTTTTGATTGGCCTTGTATTTTCGTGGGCGTCGAGGTTCGCGATGGCTGCTCCCGAGAATTTGTACTCATGACATCGTGTCCAGCACCGTCAAAGTCTTCGTCACATCGCCCGATACACGATCAGAGAGGCGATTTGATCTACACATAACTGTAGAGCAACTCAAGGTGTGGTATGTCCGTCCGCCTGAGTACTTGCTTTCACTGATATTTACCGCCGAACAGAACAAGCTCGAGTTGATCACAGGAATTCCTGTTCAGAACCAATTGATACAAGTATTCAATGGTGAAAATGACTCAACACCAGTAGCTATACTGGAGGACAATATCAAACCAATCGGGTTCTACGGATTACGCGACTGGCAAGTGTTGAAGGCAGGTCTATGTATCCATTCATGACGGCATACCTTGACTAGAATCCCTCCGTCTAGGTCATTGACCTCGATCCTGCTACATCGTTCACAGGACAATTGAGTGACGTCTCGCAGGTCCAAAAGTTTGAGCTCAGCGAAGCTGAGTATGCGCAACGGCAAGGTATCATTGATGCATTCTCTCTCTCGTAGATGGGCTGAGTGTACTTTTCATAGATACTGTTCTCGCATACAAGCAACGGCACAAAATAGGCCGTTTCGCTGACAATGAGCAGGACGAAACAGCGGGCTCCGCCCCGCAGCTGGATATCCCGCTGGGTTCTCGCTGTGAAGTCGAGACAAGCGAAGAGAACTTCCACAAGCGCGGCATTGTGCGGTTCATCGGACCTACAACATTCGCAAAGGGAGGTGCATGGGTAGGGATTGAGTACGATGAACCTATAGGCAAGAACGACGGCTCGTGAGCACTCAGTCTTAGGCCTCAAATGCTACTTGGTTCACTAACTGGTCTCATAGGGTGCAAGGGGAACGATACTTCACCTGCAAACCAAACTACGGCGTCTTTGTTCGACCCGAAAGGGTGAAGTTTGGTGACTTTCCCCCTGAGGAGATTGATTTTGATGACGAAGAGATGTAAACGAAGATGTATACGGTTGTCGAATCCGAGTAGGTCCTTCGCTCTACTGATGTCTAATATCTGTACTATCCGCTGTGGAACTTACCCTAATCTATGATTGTTTTTCTCCATGGTTCGTTGTAGGCATTCGGTAAGGCGGTTTGCTATGTTGGGAATATAGTAAGTATGTTTAGGGCCTGGCGTGGTCTGTGGCTGTTAATTCCGTCTATCTGTGCTGACACGAGTGAGGATGGCTCCTCACAGGCGTTCCGAATTCGGAAACGAAAATGCTAGAATAAGGTGGAAGGTCCGAGAGGGCCTCCGATTATTCCCACGATCCGGTGGGGCCATCCAACGAGAGGGAGGACGCGCGTCGTCTCGACGACTCCTTATAACGTCCACTCGCGTACGAGTCTATAACGCTTACCCTTCACTTATCACTTTCATCCGACGACCTCTATAACGAACAATGGCTGACCCCAGCGGTGCCGCACCTGGGCCTGGCCCGAACGATGTCTCAACGGCCATCCTGAGGCCCAAGAAGTCGTAAGTACTCAGAACGCGTCATACTTGCATGTCTGGGTACACCAACACTCAATCTACAGTCCTAACCGTCTCATCGTCGACGAGGCGACGTCGGATGACAACTCTGGTGAGCTAGTAATTGGCTGGCATCGTGATCTAAGACAGTATGCTGATTACGCGTCGTTAGTCGCGACCCTCAACCCCGCCACAATGGAGACCCTTCAGCTGTTCCGAGGTGACACCATTATCGTCAGGTGGGTATCCTTTCGGCGAACTCTTGCAGAACTAGCAGATGGTTATATGCGTGCATCCGCTGACATTGATGCAGGGGGAAGAAGCGCCATGACACCGTGCTCATTTGCTTGAGCTCTGACGACGTCGAGGAGGGTAAAATCCAAATGAACAAGGTCGCCCGTAACAACCTCCGCGTCAAGCTCGGCGACATGGTGAATGTCCACCCATGCTTGGACATCAAGTATGGCAAGCGCGTACATATCCTGCCCTTCGATGACTCGATCGAAGGCCTTAGCGGGAACATTTTTGATGTATATCTCAAACCATATTTCCTGGAAGGTATGTACAAATCGCGTCTGTGTGCGCTCAATTTCTAACACCCTACCCGAAGCTTACCGGCCAGTACGAAAGGGTGACACCTTCCTCGTCCGTGGTGGCATGCGGACAGTGGAATTCAAGGTCATCGAGACCGATCCGGCAGAATACTGTATTGTTGCGCAAGATACGGTCATTCATACAGGTAAGTCGTACATTCTGCGAGTCACGTACGTCCCCTAACTCTCATGCAGAGGGTGACCCGGTGAAACGCGAAGACGAGGAGGCAAACTTGAACGAGGTCGGCTACGACGATATCGGTGGTTGTCGCAAGCAGATGGCTCAAATTCGTGAGCTCGTCGAGCTGCCCCTTCGCCACCCACAACTCTTCAAGTCCATCGGTATCAAGCCTCCGCGGGGTATCCTGATGTACGGTCCTCCCGGTACGGGTAAGACGTTGATGGCGCGCGCGGTCGCAAACGAGACAGGCGCATTTTTCTTCCTGATCAATGGTCCTGAGATCATGAGCAAGATGGCGGGAGAGAGCGAAAGCAACCTGCGGAAAGCGTTCGAGGAAGCAGAGAAGAATTCGCCTGCCATCATCTTCATTGATGAGATTGACTCTATTGCGCCGAAACGTGAAAAGGTACGTGCTGCTAAATAGCCTGCACAATAGCCAGGAAGCTGATTGTATGCCTCAGACCAACGGAGAAGTGGAACGCCGTGTCGTTTCTCAGCTGCTGACGCTTATGGACGGTTTGAAAGCGCGGTCCAATGTTGTGGTCATGGCCGCTACGAACCGACCCAACTCGATCGACCCTGCTCTTCGTCGCTTTGGCCGTTTCGACCGTGAAATCGATATTGGTATCCCTGACCCCACTGGCCGTCTTGAAATTCTTCGCATTCACACGAAGAACATGAAGCTAGGTGACGATGTCGATCTCGAGCAGGTATGTCCTAGCAGCCGTTGTTATCCGCGAGTATTAATGATGTCATTCTTCACAGATCGCAGCGGACACCCACGGCTACGTCGGATCAGATCTCGCATCTTTGTGCTCGGAGGCCGCTATGCAGCAAATTCGTGAGAAGATGGACCTCATCGACCTTGACGAGGATACTATCGATGCGGAGGTGCTTGACTCACTCGGTGTTACCATGGAGAACTTCCGCTTCGCTCTGGGCACATCCAACCCGTCCGCTTTGCGTGAGACGGTGGTCGAAGTGCCGACCGTCAAGTGGGCTGACATCGGTGGTCTCGACAAGGTCAAGCAGGAGTTGCAGGAGACTGTACAGTACCCTGTGGAGCACCCGGATAAGTTCCTCAAGTATGGTATGTCGCCGTCAAAGGGAGTCCTGTTCTATGGTCCCCCGGGTACAGGTAAGACCCTCCTGGCGAAGGCCATCGCCAACGAGACCCAGGCCAATTTCATCAGTATCAAGGTATGTGTCTGAACTGCTGGTGTCTAATTGGCGGCTGAGACTTCATCATCTCAAAGGGTCCGGAGCTCTTGACAATGTGGTTCGGTGAATCTGAGGCGAATGTCCGTGATGTCTTCGACAAGGCTCGTGCTGCCGCGCCTTGCGTGATGTTCTTCGACGAGCTGGACTCCATCGCGAAGGCTCGTGGAGGATCGTCCGGAGATGCTGGTGGTGCAGGGGACCGTGTCCTCAACCAAATTCTGACGGAGATGGACGGTATGAACGTCAAGAAGAACGTATTCATCATCGGTGCCACAAACAGACCAGACCAGATTGACCCCGCGCTACTTCGGCCAGGACGTCTCGACCAGCTCATCTACATTCCGCTCCCCGATGAGAACTCACGGCTGGACATCCTCAAGGCTACCATGCGCAAGAGTCCTGTCGCACCTGATGTCGACCTTGGCTTCCTTGCAAAGAACACGCATGGTTTCTCTGGTGCTGATCTTACGGAGATCTGCCAGCGTGCTGCCAAGCTCGCGATCCGGGAAAGTATCGAGTCGGACATCCGACGAGCGCGGGAGAAGCAAGCGAAGGAGGAGGCAGCCGGTGATGACGCGAAGATGGAGGAAGACGAGGACGAGGAGGATCCCGTCCCTGTCATCACGCGGGCGCATTTCGAGGAGGCAATGAAGTTCGCACGCCGCTCTGTGTCGGACGCGGACATCCGGCGGTACGAGATGTTCGCGCAGAACCTACAGCAATCACGTTCGTTCGGCTCGACATTCAAGTTCCCTGATGCACCCGGTGCACCTGCAGTGGGTGGCGCGCCCGTACCGGCAGGCAACGCAGGATTTGGCGAGGACACACAGGATGACGACTTGTATGCGTAATGGACAATTGGTTGCTGTGTTTCTTCCTGTTCGCTATTCATGTTCTATGCTGTGTGCAAGTAGCTGCATCGATGATTGAAAATGATAGAGTGGTTCATTCTCTTGCATGTATAATGTTTGCGTGCGTTCGTAGCTTGCAAGAGTAAACGTTGTAACCGGGTACAAATGTTTGGATAATAACCTGCATATTGAACGCCCAATCGAGACGTCTGTGACGCCATCGGTGTGCAGCGTGCATTCTGGGCTCTCCACACTTTTATTCCTCGCTTCTCGTTTTTCGTTGTGCTGCCTTTCGCCTTTGGTCTAAAACAAATCTGGCTGTGTGCAGGCTTTCAATCCTTGTCTTCCGGAAGGCACCAGGACACTATCTCGCCAGTTAGACGACCCGAACACGGGTAACGTGTCGTCCGACACCTATGGAAGCCCGCAAGGCGTTCACGTCCGCCACCCGCAAACTTTCTTCGTCCTCTCTCCGAGAACGTCTCACAAGCCTTACTGCCAGCTCGCCTCTGCGTCCGCCAGTCCCTTTTCATCCACCCAACATTGAGTCAGCTTCGTCCTTGTTCCTGTTATGCGACCGGAGCAGTCTGACTGACTACAGCTCGCGTCTTGTCTGTCCAGTTTTGTCCCCTCCAAGATCCCACGGAAGAGGAGGCTACAGACACTGGCGGTGGCAATATGGTCAACGTCGTTTGTGTGGAGCACCTTCGCGTTCTTGATTCTCTTGTGAGTACGTCCGTTTAGCTTTCGGTGGAGGCATGAGCCCGGCTCCATCGTATGCCGTCTATACAGCCAGAGAGATTGTGTCGATAAGCATCATTTGAACGTATCGCAGATGAGGTGATGCATCGTCACCTCAGCTGGAAACTTCAGGCGTGTGCAGATAGGCGTGGCCACGATCGTCTCCCCATTTGCAGGTCGGATGATTTGCCGGGTATGTGCGTGATTGATGGAGTGAGCATCTCTGACATGTTCAGTTGTGTCTATCATGGATGACTGTCCCACATGTAATCGGTCTGAGCACATGATAGTCTCCCATTGTTCCACCCTGCTCATGCCTGACGCTGTTAACTGAAATTTGTCTTCACTTGTATACAGATCCTTCCCTCCATTATGGCCGCTGTTAGCGGTATATATGCTCTGGGCCCTCTGCATTGATACCAGTCCAGAGCATGGTGGAAGATTTAGTCCTTGGTTCCGCGCAGGGCGGTTCTGGCGATATTTTGCTGACTACTACCCGGCATCGTGAGTGACTTTGATTCCCCTGCTTGTTGGGTCGTACATCGACACATATTGCCAAAATGGATCACAGCCTTCTGAAGGTGAGTCAAACACCTGAGTGCATATATCAACATGGTAACGCTCGTGCGCTTTCCATGCCGTACTAGACTTGTGATTTACCCGCGGATAGACCCTATGTCTTCGGGTACCATCCGCATGGTGAGTCGTGAATGACATTGTCCCGGAGTACGGGCCTCATAATGAAACTTTCACGAGTAGGAATCATTGGAATGTGAGCATTGTCGGCATTATGGCAGGTTTAGTCTATACCAATGCGCACCTTGCAAGGGGCGCTCTCTGCACATTTGCTACCGAGAGCACGGGCTTCTCGCATTTCTACCCGGGTATTATTCCTCACCTCCTTACACTCACCTCCAACTTCCGCGTGCCATTTTATCGTGACATCCTGCTCGCAATGGGGGTTTGCTCAGTGAGCAAGCAATCGTGCAGCAACGTCCTGAAGAATGGACCCGGCCATGCCATCACGATCGTTGTGGGGGGTGCAGCTGAGAGCTTGAGCGCACGTCCGGGCACGGCGGATTTGACGCTGAGGAAAAGGTACGCATATATTGGGGATACATGGTTGTGTATGTGTTAACATATTCGCGACACCGTTGTCAGACTAGGGTTTATCAAGATCGCCATACAGCATGGGTATGGTCGTGACATTTAGGTGGCCAGGCTGTGCGCTGCTCACACAGGTCCTACAGCGCGGATCTCGTCCCTGTTTTCTCTTTCGGCGAGAACGATGTACGTGGCTTCTGGGCGGGAATCTAGCCATTGAGTTGACATCTTGCAGATCTACCAGCAGATGCCGAATGAGAAGGGCACATCGGTATACGCGCTGCAGAAGAAGTTCCAGAACGTCTTCGGTTTCACCTTGCCATTGTTCCATGGGCGAGGGCTGCTCAATTGTGCGTATACAGACTTCACGTCTACTGTACTACGTAGTCAGCGACGGCAGCATCGAGTACCAGAAGCTTCTGTGCGATATTGATTTTGGTCCTCTGACAGACAACTTGGGTCTGATGCCGTATCGACGGCGAATAGTGGTAGTCGGTTAGTGTTCCGGAATCTATGGGAGAATTATCTGCGCAGAACATCGCTAATCTTTCACGTTCCAGTCGGACATCCAATCCATGTAGAGAAGTGTGAGAAGCCAACCCTAGAAGAGGTGACGCACGTGCAGCAGTTGTATATAGAGGAGTTGATAAGGTACGTTAATGCACCAGATCTTGCGTTCTTGGTTTCATAGCATCGCTACTTGCAGGATATGGAATACGTACAAGGACGAGTATGCGCGCACACGGAAGCGCGAGCTGAGTATCATCGAATGATACATTAATGTTGTGGTTTGGGGCTTGGCTCAATGTACACGTTCTTCACCTTATTGCCTCACACGACTTCATTTGGTCATCGAACTTAAATGCACCACAGTGTCACAGCTTCAGGGCCGCATGTCCCGGGGCTTGATTGAAGACATGCCCTAACAATTGCTGTGTGTGTATACGGAATCCGGAGGACTGAGATAGTCGTGGGCGCTTTCCTGATTTGTGAAATGATCGTCGTGATGCGGAATGCCAAGACCACTATCGGATTCGTGAGTTCATGTGTTCACTCCTCATGGCTACGGAATCGACTGAGCGGTCAGTGCTTAGCTCACAACAAGCACCCAGTCATCTTACTTAGTAGGACATGGAGCCCAGACGCTCTAATAACCATCTGTCAAATGGGAGGCCAACCCTTAAGTTGGTGGGAGCTGGTGGCGACTTGCGTATACGCATAGTTACCTAGTTTCACGCATACATATGGTCAGTACCAAGCTGCCGCAGTGTGCATCTTCTCGTCGCAAAAAGCGTTCTTCGATCGGCTGCGCACACATCCTCTCGTTGTAATAGCAAGCTCGATGTCTGGCATAATAGTCGGCCCTGCAACAGAGCTTGAAGTGATCTCCGAACTCAGGTATATCGCAACCCCCTCCGTTCATGGGACTGATAAGGACAAATCCGCCCTAGCCCAGTGAATATGTGGTGTCAAGCTCCCATTATATGTATGTGTTAGATCTACTTGAGCTCACGGCTTCGAAGCCTTAACCACTGGATCAGCAATAATGATCTACGATTTTCTCATCACATTCTCCGACGAGGTTCAGTTACTGTCATCCTGTAGAAGACTACGATCCTGCATCGTGATCCTGAACCGCCTAGCTCTCATGGGGTTAGCGGTCACTGGGATTCTGGACCTTCCATCTCAGATCAGTATCGTGAGCGACATATCTTGACCATTAGGAAAGGTTTATTGACGTCTTTGCTCTAGAGGTTTGTCAGGTCAAATAACGTGATCATTGGAATCTCCTTATGATTCCATCTACCAGTTGCAAAGCTCGCAGAATTGCATTTATATCTTGCACGTGTGTGGCTATCTTCTTGTCTGCTGGTGGGTGCACCTATTGTTGCGCGGTTAGGCATTCTTTCCACTAAAACAGATCCAAGTTGTAGCATCTCTACGAGTGCATGCACTGTCTCACCGGAACTGGTTTCTCGCTGCGCTCACTTTCGCGCTGGCCATGGTACCTATAGGAACCAACTCGGTGGGTTCATCTAGCGTAGTGGATTTATGGCCCATGCTCAGTAAGCAAACAGTATCTCCAGAGTCACATATCAATGGACGCCATCACTGGTCACCGTGTTGTCATCTGTCAGCCAATTGCCTCCCATGTTCCTCGTTATACTATGACTGCGTACGTCTTCCGCCGTGTTGAGACGAGGTGCTATTGCTGATTCATACGGTCGGACTCTAGCAGTGAGATTCTTTCCGTGTCGTATAGGTTGCACGCTTCAAGTAATCTGACATTTTCATATCTAGTCACCATTGCGACTCGCGTTTGTGTAATCCTATCCGATAGTATAGTACTCGGAGTCACATACGGGTACCTGCGCCAGCTATGGGTTCCATTGAGACAACCACGGCTACACGTACGGCCCGGGCTGGAGGAGGTTCTAGTGAATCACGGTATTTCCATTCATGCTCTGGGCATGGTTCGCATCGTTGATATCTGTATTGATCCATAGGACTAATGCACTATATGTATGGTTTCAATATTTCTTTTGAGCTGCTCATATCCACTCCTCCACAGCATATTGACGATTCTCAACGCTGTTGACCTGGCTGTTGTTCTTCATCACCACGTGAGTGGCTTGTGTGTACATGGCGGCGTTCTCGATTATATTTACCTTTTTTTGAACAGCATGATGTGCCCATCTCAGTTAGCATCTACCCGTTGGTATCATCTCTACATTGCGTTGGTGACGGATAGCTCACTATCTGGTCCAAAGGATATCTTCGATTCTCATCTCTCGCTTCCTTCTTTCCATCGGCGAAGCGGCAAATCGAGGGAGCCCAGACCAAGAAACGGAGTCGCTATGCGCGACTACGATTAACGTAAAGCGTCTCTGCTTCGTAGACGCCAGCGACCGGGCTTACACACGGCTCTATATTTCAGCCATCCTGCGACGAACCCTTGAAAATGGGGCGTACTGCGCCGTCAGAGAAGAATACTGCTGTCCGAGTCGATGACACATTGGATGACTGCGAGGATGCAAGTTATGCTGAAGACCACAGACTCAATGATCAAGACTCGATTTGGTACGCCGTCTGACCAGAGAGAGGGCACTCGTGTAAAAAGGTGATTCTGTAATGATGGCCTGGGATTGACGGGCGTCGTGCACTCCGGTATCTCGGCGTGCCACCACAATATTTTATGTGCCTGCAACTGGTGCGGTGCGTTTTGAAGTCTCTAAGATTTCGAGGGCCGTGACCGTAGTACGTGTATGATCAGAGGCACCTATCGTTCGATGCGAGACAATAAACTCCCAGAATTCAGAAGGCATCGCCTGTATGGCAGATTGTGCATTTAAGCTACTGAAGGACGGTCCGATCATCGTAGGCACGAGAGCACCCGTCGACGCGCTTTTAAAGATTCATAAGTGCACCCGTTTTGCATAGGCCATTGCCTCGAGCAGGACTCACGTGCCAGGCTTGCGGCCACTTGGTGTGAGCTTGTCCATGTAACCCACACACGGGCGGCAGGCGCTCTCGAATGATTGTGTCCGTTGCGCCACTATACTCACAGGCAGTATGGTTTGTCGCTCGGACAACGTGCAATGCCTGTGAAGTTACCAATGAGATAACTTCGCGAGCACCCTTGTATATAAAGGTTCACATTCAGCACGGGCAGCCTGCCCGGTCTTTGGCATGTTTGCCGCAGCGAGCGGTGGGAATCCCAACACGCGCCGGCTAGAGCGAACGCGGTCAAATGACCAGTCTCGTGCGGACGCGCGACCTCGGTGGTCTCAACATAGTACATCAACCGCGCTGCAGCCTGTCATGGGATCCCAAAATGCTTCTGTCGCTCCCTCTGATCCTCGATCAAGGACTAAAAATGCCCATTCTCCGGCGATGGTCTCGATTGCATGCCATGAAACAGCGTCTCTGCCTGTAATTTCCTACGCTCATACGTTATGCATGGTTCGCGTGTGCGTGTTCGGTCCCTCCGGACAGCGGACCTGAAACGAAGTATGGACGCGAACACTCACGGCGATTTGAATCTCCTCTCAGGGACGGCGGAACGGCAATGAGACGATATAAAATCGACCGTGCTCGTGCACGGTTACATCGTAAAACCCCAGGCGAGGATGCGCGCATCTATAGGTCTCGTAGGACTCCTTGCGTCCGTTCAGCATGTTCTCGCAGGGACACTACCGAGCAAGATCTACGGCGTCAACATCGGCGGATGGTGAGGTCCTTCGTGTCTCCCGTACTTCTGTAGACGTGACGCGTCACCATGTTCACAGGCTCGTGTTAGAACCATGGATGCTCCCTGCTGGTGCGTTATCATGCAGACACGTTTGAAACATCTACCTCATACATCGACGTTCCAGAATGGGAGGCTATGGGCGGTCAGATATGCTCTGACTGCTCGCAATGTATTGGCTCGGAATGGTAATGAGACACTGGCCGATATTGAATCGCGTCACTAATTCCATCTGGCCCTGTAGGTCATATACCAAAGCTTACCCCAATATTGCAAATGCCGAGTTTGCCAAACATTGGTAGATGTCATGTCCTTGCACAGCGATATCAACATTCACCTTCACGGACTTCACTACTACTAGGTCCACGTGGTTCACACAGGACGATGTCAACCAGCTCGTCGCGGACGGGATCAACACAGCTCGGATTCCCGTGAGTGCTTGGGCTCTCTTGAAAGGGTTATGATCGAACGGTTTGCGCAAAGCTTGGCTTCTGGCTCGTGGAACCCCTCGTGAACAGGGCAACCGAGTTCTACCCGGAAGGAGGGATTGTCTACTTGGTAAGGCCATAATAGCGGGTCGCTGAAGACCGCTGCTCATTAACGATCGCTCATGATCGACAGCAACAAGGCGTGAAGATGCTCAGCGATGCTGGCATCCAAGTGATCCTCGATCATCACGCCCTGCCAGGCGTCCAGACTGGCGATGCATCATTCACCGGAAAGTATGTGAAACAGTGTCTGTACCGCAGGCACGGCGAATTAACCATGATGTAGCTGCACGGAGTATGTCGAGTTCTATGTGAGTCGCACCCCAATAGCTACCGCGTCCGAGACTCTGATATTGGCGCACAGACCGATTACAACTACCAGCGCGCTCTGGTATGGACCGCTGTCATGACTTCCCTGTCGCATCTGGACCCCAATTTCGCTTCGGTGTTCGCAATTGAGGCTGTCAACGAGCCGATCATGGATGCAGACCAGACGCCTGGTTATGGCACTTGTAGGTTGGCCTCGCCCGAGTTTACCGATCGGCTGCTGACGGTTTGCCGTGAATGACAGTCCAGAAGGAGTTCGTCGACACCGTCCGCGCCGTCGAGCTCACGTTGGGCATTCCGGTGCCTGGTCTGTCTCTTGATGCGCAGATCAATACAAGCAACTTCACGGAGGCGCTGGGGCAGGTCGCGAGTCTGAGCACAATCTTCAACTCCAATGTCAGGGAGGCTCTGGCTGCAGCTGCTCCAATGCTGGTCGACCTCGCCGTACAGTTGTCTGTTCCTGCTCTTCTGGACACGAGCCTCGCGTCAGGTCTTCCTTCGCGGAACACGCTGGTTACGACGTGCGCCATTCCGAGCTTCCGACGTTGCTTAGGGCTGACGGTGTTATATTTGGTCAGATTCATGGACATCAACTGGCAATATAACAACCCGTCGAACCCAGCAGATGCTGCTATCGGCCCTCAGGGTTACGACAACCACCTTTACTACAGCTTTGGAGTATGTCGTCTGTGAGACCCCACCGTGCTGACACTGACGTTCGGATGTCATGACAGGGCGTTGCCGCTGCAAATCCGACTGCTTACATGGAGAGCATCTGCAGTATGTTACTAATCATCCAAATTGGTTTTGACTCACGCCTTCTGTCGTGTCTCAGACTTGAACCGTGTCCAGGCAGATGCAGCACTTGGAGACACTCCACTCTGGTTTGGAGAGTGGGGCCTTCCGACGCAGTTCAACGCAACAGACGAGTTCTTGTATATGTGGGCAGATGCACAAAAACTCGCGTATAGCCAGGGAGCCGGGTGGATTGTAAGTTGCCGTCTTCGCGCGCTACCTGCGGAGAACATCTCCTGATCTCCACACTGTAGTTCTGGAATTTCAAGGTCGAACAGTCTGAACTGGCGGGTAACTTGTCACGACAATGGTAGGCGTTTTCGACGTGCTAGACGACGGGGGTCTCAGACTGAACGTCTTTCTCTTCCGCAGGTCCTATATTGAGGGCGTAAAATTGGGATTCCTGACGCAGGATCCATCTCAGTATCACAATGCTAACGTGTGCGAGCCCTACTTGACGACGTCTTGAGGCGCCCGGCCTGCCGCACTTGTTTTTGTGCGGCGATATGGGCGACGTCGAGCTTCCCCTGTACCCTCGGAGGTTGCGTTTGTTTATTAAGATATTGGATCTTAGTTAATGTACGAACACGAACGTACGCGATAAAATGAAGGTCCTCCCTCGATGCATTTATCTGAGCGGATGTGCGCGCAAGTGCACGGGATCCGGGAGGTGTCACCCAACATAGTCTCCTGACACCCAGCATCTCCATTGTGTCATTGCACATGTATTGAGACCATTGGTTTTTATGTGCTCTATCAATGTTCCCGGGATCTCGTATGTGATGCAGCACCCAACACCCTCATTCTACGTCAGAGAAAAGCAAAATGAGGTGTCAGTGTTTGATGACGGTGACACCGCTGTAGTACTGTATACTGTATGCCTACAATGGTGCTGTCCAATTGATGAAAACGTCATGTCTCTGACCACCTTCCATGGAGCTAAATTGACGGTGGAACTTACGAACAGTAGTAAGGTTTTACACTCTCATGAAGGTGGAGGAAAAAAAGAAAATAAATATTGAGACCCGTAGGTCTACCACTCCGGGAAAGCGTGTCATCCTTGTGCAGGGGCCATGCTAATCTTCTCTGTATCGTTCCAATTTTTTCGTATGTCACCCCGAAGGGGACAATACATGATGACGATTGATAGTGGCTATAAGAGGCATTTTGCATTATGTGCGGCCTGCGGGTGCATTCCCACGGTTGATCCCTACTCAAGCACTTCACAATTTCTAAGCTTGGCTATGCATATAATCCGACGGTGGTTCATGCGACGTTCAAGGCGCATTAGAGCCACCATGCGGCATACAATATGTAGTGATCATTATAAGCGAGTGTAGGTATAGTAATGTGTGGTATAGTCGTAAAGGCCAGCTTCAGACCCATAATCCAATCAGTAGCCGTCCATCGCACCGCGTACAGTACCCTCGCGGAACTCCCATTCGTACAGCGCAGTGCTTGTCGAGGTTGCCATAGAGGATGCTGCGCTACTCGAGATCATCGCCGTACTGGTCGAATCAGCCAAGTCCTCCGCGCCTATAACCGACGCAGAAGTGCTAGGGGTGGCAGAGCCCGATGCAGATGAGGAAGCCGTGGGTTCGTAGACCTCCACAGCGAGCGAAGCAAAGGCGGTTGTGCTGGGAGACGCAGAGCTCGAAGACGCTGTCGCAGAGGTACTGGCTGAGCCCGAGTCCGAGGCCGTCTGAGAGAGTGAGACGAAGTTCGCAAGAGAGGGAATAGCCACAGAAGCCTCCAAGGAAATAGAGTTGCCTGTCGCAGACGCAGTGACAGAGGTTGACGCAGTAGAGCTGGCCGTTGCAGACGCAGTGTCAGAGGTCGAGGCAGAAGAGCTCACAATGGTGGAAGAAGCCATCGCAGAGGAAGCCGAGATGTTCGAAGAGAAAGTCCCCGTCGCCGAGGCAGTCGAATTAGCAGAACCCACAGCCGAACCAGAATCGTCAGGATCCGAGTCAACAGTCTTTCCAGCGACAACCTCGGGTGTAGCAGGTGTGAATACCAGCGTCACATTGTGAGCTTGAGCGAAGACCGAAGGTGCATCGAATGTCTTAGCGAAAGACGCACGCAGCGGAGGGTGCGTCGCATCGCCGAAGTCTTCGTCGAGGCTTGCCATACTTGCTGGCCTGTCGCTCGTTGGGGTCGAGGGATCCTGGGAAGTGGTTGTCGCGTTTGCCGTCAAGCTCACAGTAGCAGCCACCGTCGAGTTTGAGGTCGTACTAGGGCTCCCCACAGAGTCCTGGTCGTCCATCTGGTCGTCCTGGTTGTTCGACCACATGGGCCGGACGACGCCAGTGTCGGGAACGTATGCAAATACTTGACTCTTGTGTGCGTCCGTTAACGAGCCATTCAAGCACTGTTCAACGGTCAGCGGGGATGGCGCTGGGGGGTTAGGGTCGAATGTCGCGCAGTACGGTTCCAGCGCCGCACGTTCCGCATCGAAAACCAGGATTTGGAGCATGACCTTGACGAAATCCGAATCCAGGAAAGTCGAGTTGGGCAGAGCCTCAGAGTTGGACCAGCTCGTAGAATTCGTGTCATTCGACGGCGCGGCTACAAGGAAGATCTGCGTCTGGTCAGTCCCGGAAGCGTTCAACACGAAGCTTGCAGCCGTGTTGTTGTCAGAGTTCGCGGTGCTATTGTCCGGCGCTGATAAGACCAGGGAGGCGATCTTCTGCTGAGCCGTCCCCGTCCCCCTCACTCCGGTCTGAATGTATGCGTGAGATTAGCAGTCCGATGAGAGAAACGCGTAAGGACATACCACAATGTCAACGGTACCGGGAACTCCAGAAACCTGGAGGTCACTGCGTCTTGTATGGGCGACGATGAAGGAGGATCCATGTTCGCCTGCGACATAATTTGAACCTGCGCCGCCACTCCTTCGGTGAACATTGACATGGTCGTGGTTCCCCTCTACGACGACTTTGTCATGGTGGTCGTGGTGGTGATGGGGCTCCGGCGCTGGGGAACGATGCACGTTGACATGATCGTGGTTCCCCTCCACTACTACTTTGTCATGGTGGTCGTGGTGGTGATGGGGCTCCGGCTCAGGGGAACGATGCACATTGACATGATCATGATCGCCCTTGACGATGACCTTCTCCTGATCGTGGTCATGATGATGGTGCGGCTCTGGAGACCTGTGGACGTTGACGTGCTCGTGGCTGCCCTTCACAATTATTTTGTCGTGGTCATGCCTGTCATGAGAGGGCGATCTGTGCACGCGGACGTGATCGTGGTCGCCCTCGATGATGACCTTGTCGTGATGATCGTGAGGCGAGCGGCGTTCCAAAGTCCTGAGGCCGACATCGGCATCGTCATCGGCATCGTCGACACCGACATGAACGTTCGGGGCGGAAACCACTATCCCAGCGTGAGGCGAGCGCCGAGCGAAGCGCGAGGCAAGGATAGACCGGTGCACATTGACGTGGTCGTGGTCACCCTTAACTATAACCTTGTCATGGTGGTGGTCGTGTCGCCTGCTTTGAGTGCGTTCCGGACAGGGCTTATCGCCAATGCAGATAGGACCGAGTTGGAGGAGTGGGTCCAAGGGATCCCAGGTGGAGGATCGCTGGGACATATTCATCAGTACTGTAGGAACCAAACAAGGAGGCATGTTCCCGAACCTTGTCCTTGCCCGACTGAGCGTCCTGACTGTGCGCATTCCCATTCTTCACAGAGCCCTTGGGGATCTTACTTGTCGACTTTATTGGGGGAAGAGGGATGGTAGGCTTTGGGTGACGCTGCGCCTGGTCGTCCGATCCATCGCTGCCGCTGCTTGAGCTCGAGGAACCTGCAGACGTGGTGTGCGAGAAGCTATGTGAATGGGTCGAGTGTGCTGTGTGGTGATCAGTCGATGACGGGCTAGCCTCGGCCTCGCGGTAGTGAACCTGCATCGCATTACCATCGCCGGGAGTCGGCATGGCAGAGACGGCAGCAAGGGAGGACAGGGCGGCCAGAAGGGCGAAGCGGGGAGCGAGAACAACCATGGTTGAAAATGAACGGATGGATGGGGCGAAAGTGGGTTCGAAAGAAAGTGATATTAAAAGAAGGTAAAGCGATCCTGTCGCAGTGAGGAAGGGTCGATAGCACGATAGCAATACGACAGCAACAATGACCACCTGGGTCTGAATGTGGTAGAGAGAAGGAAAGCGGGATGGGCGAAACGCGAACGGCGAGTTCGAACTTATACCTCCGGCAGAGTCCGGTCAGCCTCTGACAGCCGGGACGTCATGGGCAGGAAATCGGCGGGAACGGCGGGGACAGGTTGTCAGCCCTGTCACTCCGCCGCCGTTCGACATCCAACTCACGATCGAGACGCGTCAAACCTCCTTGTTGCCACATCGCACGTGATTACAGGTCAGGAGGAGTGCTCGCGAGCAATCACTGCTAATGGCACTCCTGTGTTCGAATTCTCGGGTGCACACCTGGAAGTAGCGGGGCGAGCGACCTAGGGTGACTCTTGAGACATGCCGCGCGATTGCCGTACAGCTGTCCTGAGCACGATTCCAGATATCGTCGAAAAAGACGCGCTCCGTAAAACGACATCTCATGCACGCATGTAATTCCTCACACTGTGAGCTATGTGCAGCTGCCAAAGCCAAGTTATTACGGTGTTCTGGTAACACAGCTGTACGAGCACTTACCCCCGGTGCGCGCTCAGCGTGACTACCATATTTTCTTTGTTCTTTGGCCAAGGAGGAGGCATGTCACATCCGATCTAACCTTGATTGCGACTCCGTTTCGAGGGAGTGTGGCCTGCGTGAAAAGAAAGCTCAGTTCGTCGTAGAATAAAAGCCTTTGTGGCGTGAGAACGCGATCATCACTGATCGGCGCCGCATCTTGACTGCCGCCACCTGGGACGGTCCAAGCTCAAGCAACGCAATCCGAGGCAGCCATCCTCGTTATTGTTCCTTCAGCCTCTTTATCAGGCGTCTTGTTCCACAACAAGAAGGTCAACGCCTGCCGCGAAGTACACACCAGGTACGACAGCCATCGCCGTGTCATACACACTAGCACAACCGTACCGTCTTCGCCAATGGCTCTCTGGCCAGAAAGGCCGAGGATAACTTATGGCATCAACATCTCGCAAACATACGGCCTCAAATAGGCGCACCCTTCATCGATAACGCTGCCGAGTCACTCACCGGAAACCTCACCACATCCAACGAAGACACGCTGCACACGAACCGCGCGGTGCACGCAGCATTTCGACCCCGCTTTCGGCCCAGCTTGTTCACATAACAGGCAAGTCTAGATCTAGGCATGAGCTTGGACCCACGTAGCCCTACCGCAGCGGCCCGCTCCTCCGGCAGCTGCTGAGCGCCCCCATCCATGCCTTTTCCGGGCTGCCGTCCCTTCCCCTTTCAGCAGGACGCGTTGTCCTCTCGCCCAAGCCATCACGCCCCAGTGGCAGACCATAGCAATGCGCATGAGGCATCACAACAGCCCGGCGCTACAGAAGCCTCGGACGCTTTGCGCTTTGGCCGTCCGCTGCCCTCCTCGTTCTGATGCTCAGGCGCATTCGACGGGGCCGCCACAGATGCACGAACATAAAATGCCCGCCGAGCCTGCTATATTGCAGCATCGGCCGCCCCCTCTCAATTCCCCATCATGGCCAGCATCATCGTCCCCCAGCCCCAGGCAATCGTCCCCGCTCGGCCTGCGTTCCAGCATTGGCCATACCAGGTCCAGAAGAAGGTGAAGGCAATAGGGAAGCCCTTTACCAATCAAGTCAGTAGCTCGAAGCATCTATGATGATGAACAGACGCTGACGGCCCTGTCATACAGTTCTTCACATGGAAGATCCAGGGATACAACGCGCAGCAGGAACAGTGCAGCGACACTGGAGGGGAACCAGACGGCCTGTCGCAACAGTCGATCTGCGCCGTCCTGGTCCCGTTCCCGCTCCCGCCCCCTCTCCCTCTGAGAGAGCAACGCACTATTCCTGTAACATGGGAGCCGTCTGGAGCACCAATCCACGACGCCTCTAGTAGCTCGGATTACGATATGCGCGACGCGTCGAGCGATAGCGACTCGGAGCGCGGTGTGGTCCCCCCCAGCGACCAGCCCGCCGCATTGCATTGCACGCGTCTAAGCCCTCTGAGAGACCTGTGTCTTACCACTCTGCCCGCCGAACTGGCCACTCAGAGATGTAGTCAGCCTGCATCCCCCGATCCGGCCTTACAAGAGCTGCGTCGCACCGTTCGGACAACTCTTACCACGCGTCGTTCCCGTACACTCCGCCATGACGCGGATGGCAAGAACCGCCTGGACGGCAGGTCACAGCGGCGGCTCACACGTCCCACCCTCCCCTCGTTTGGGCACGTCGTCCGCACCACCGCGATCGACTGCACCCAGCAACGGCCTCAACATCGTACCAGGCCATACTCGTGCACGTCACGTTATGACCACTGTTGCAGCGGATGCTGTCCGGACACGCTGTGCCCATTCAAAGTTTTCGGCCACGCGCAGCCCTGTCGACGGCTAGAATTGTCAGGATGATGAAGCCCTCAACGGAAGATACCCCCGATTCGAACTGGACTACGTCATATCCTTCTTTGACGAACAGTATATAGACCTTACCACGCAAACATGCAGAATCAATCCCATAGGCATTATTAATATCCATGCTAAGCCGTATAAATGAAAGACAAATGTGGTGTTTATACACAAAGGAAGGCTAGCAAACAATCGATAACAGGCAACAACATGCGATACAAGTAAGAGAATACATTATCGGAATGATAGGGCAGGGTTCAGGCGAGGTGAATGCGGTGGAGAGTTGCTCTGGGCAAAATGCGTCGCATGCGATGGTGAGGACAGAGATCCAGGAAGGTACAATGGGATGGTGGGTATAAGCTCGAAGACATGTTGTGCAATGGGTCGGGCACCCCGGTTAGCCCCGGGTTGTAGAGCATTGTCGGCGTTCATCACCCCGTGTACGCGTGGCTCTTGCGAAACGCCCTCTGTCCAGCCCTCTGGTCCGGGTACTGATGATGTCGGACCGTTGGTGGTGCCCCGACCATCCCATATGGATCGCACATCGTTGCCAGGGATGATTTGCGCCAGACGCCCTGTCTCGACATGCCGGATCTCAATGAACCTCGTGTCGAAGAGGAGAACATAGGGTGGATGCCATGCAACGTGCTCTGCGGTTCCCTCCCATTCAATGGTACCCATTGATCGGCTGGGATCACCATGACGATCCACGTACAACCCAAATTCTACAGAAAAATGTGAGAAAGATTAGGCAATACAGATACAAAAACCATACCGTCATAGCAGAGCAAGAACTCGTCCTGATTCGTGCGGAACATGCCCATAGGTCGACATGAATCGCAGCGCTTAGCGAGTTTTTCTAAGCGAGGATCATCGCGTTGGGGGATAGTGACACTCTTAAAGCTAATGCATGGCAGGTATGGGTGAGACGTCTCAGGTAAGAGACGAGACCAGCTTACTCAGTAAGGTCCATGATCTCGAAGCCTTTCGTGCATAAAATGACAATTCTGGCTTTGAGGAAGATCAGGTCGAAGGATTCCGATGGAAGGAAGAAGTCCTAAAGATAGCATGGTATTAATCCCCAATCTCGAACGAAGTGAACGGATTTACCCTGTATACTCTAAACCACTCTGATCGTTGAGACCTGAGCATGATGCGAGAGCTGAATGTTCTAGGTGCTTCGGCCCTCTCGTTGATCTTGCCGATGACTGGTTCCAAGACCCGGAAAACGCTGTCCAGCTGGTAATAGCGATCGTTAGACATGGGGAACGGCTCTCGGTGTCTCAACATCCTCCTTACCCCTTTCTTCTTCATGTATATCACGAGTGTGCGACCATTGAGGGTTCCAACGCTGAAGAAGTGGACGTCTTTGTTTCCACTTAGCTTCTGCGGGGTCTGAGATGTATGCGCGCTCTGAGGAGAAGAGGGAACAAGTGCTTCGATGTGGTAGGCAAAAAGTGACTGACACACGTCGTGAGACATAGTTACGAGTCAACTTGTTAGCAAACGAACCTTGTCCGCTAGCACCAGGAATATACCGAAGTCCTCCAGCATCGCACATTGAGTCACCATTTTCAGATGTAAGACCCGACGCATAGCTTTCAAAGATAGATTAGTCGCTGACATGCACTCTGGGCATGGTACTCACAGGATGAATCATGTCGGAAGCCAATCCATACACCCTCGGCGCATCCAATAGCGACGAGCCCCCGGCCATCAGCCGTAGCTTGATTGCATCCGTGAGCAGAACTCAAATTTTGTAGAGGCGACTAACTCACTGAAGGGAACGGAGCAGGTAACCTTGCCGGTGAAGGCAGTCTCATGGTGATAAGCTTGGTTCCCACCAGGAGCCATAGGTTGAACGAAAAATGTGTCCGCGCTAAGGGTCTCGACCTCGAAGACCTTGTTAGATTCCTGCACAACTTTACGCAAACCAATTGCTTCCTCGAGCTTCTGTTTCCACTCGCTACGAGCCTGACTTGTTTCGGCGAAGACAGTGTAGAGGCCGCCTAATCGGCCATTATGATGAATCGTGCAAGGGTACACAGCACGGGAATCAGTTGCACTGTCAGGCGTGCCCGCAGCACCTGGCGTAACAGCGGTTTCGGCATGTCCCGTTCGACCCAGACGCAGAATTCCGGCACTTCGTTGGGTCGGTGGATCAGTAAAGTTAGCCAACGTCAACAAATCAAGCGGGATGGGCTATCGCGACAAATCTTGTCAGCGGATGAATGCTCGAAGATCAAAAGTACATACGCGTCTGTATACATGATACCGCGTAAGGCCTTCCTTCTCCTTGGGCTTGGTCATAACGACTGTGAAGAACATGTGAGTGCTTGAACGTCGTGGGCTGGATGGAACACGTACGGTAGTTGTCGAAGAGGAGAACAAACAGCTCTGTCCAACCACTCCACTCGAAGCCGGTATCAGGCTGACGCAAGAGCTTGCCAGTATGGATCAGCGAACGGTTTTCGTTCAAAAGATCCATATCCTGCGGGAAATTCGTAAGGATTGACGAGATGCAGCAAACTGACACTACTCACGATGGCTTCGCCTGGTTTAAACACCAAGTTCGAGTTATACCTCCATACCTCGACTTTCTGCTTTGCGGCCATCACACCAGGCTCGGTTTCCTTGCCCAGCGCCTTGATTAAATCAAGGACCTGAGGGATGGTGTCCAAGTCCTCGTGCCCCTCAGGAGTCTCCTCAAGAATGCCCTTCAAAAGCAGCTCGTATCGGAGTAAGCGTGGAATCGGTCGATTGATGAAGTTCTTCATGTCTAACTTGCGAGCCTCGGGAAGCCGAGTGCATTGCTGGGTCAATCCCAAGAGTGAGTAGCAGTCGTATACAGTGCCCTAGCCATACTCACGTCCACAAAGGTCTTGAAGGCCGGATTAGTCACCATCTCATCGTCAATACGGTACGCTGCGATCGGGTAGTTCGGGATGTACTCCATATACGCTTCACGGAAGTTCAGGACGGCGTCATATACGGCCGCGGTAATACTGCGAACCAAGGGGTGCTCCTCGCGCTGAATCTCGTGAAAAGTATTTAACATCTTGCGATGATGGGAGTGCAGCTCTGCGAAGTTGTGAAAGACATCTTTGATGAATTGTTCCAACCTATCCCGGGGTATGATGGGAGGATCCATTTCCCGCAGCGGTGACACATACATCTTAACAATACGTGAGCAGCATGCAATGAAGAATGATAAGTGAACTTACCACTTCGATGTTCTCGAGATCTTTGACGTACTCCATCTCACCCTTGATGAGCTCGAAGATGATCCTGTTGGCAGTGACTTGAGATATGCGCTTAGATGTATAAATATATAGACATACGACTGGCGCTTGGGTTCTTTCTTTGGAAGACTCTTCCTAAGCTCTTCGGAGACGAGATTGTGCCATTCATATTTGCCAATCTGACCCCTGCCCATCGCCGACTGCCATGTCCACAGTTGCGCAACGGTCTGCAGCTTCTTGATGGCCTCAACCGCTTCCTTCAAGAACTCAGCATCCGTGTTCCCCTCTGCAGTCTCATTGCAGATAGCCTCGAGGATGACCGGATATTTCTGCAGATGTTCCGAGGGGCGCGTCAAGAAATGCTTGAGGTCGAGGTGGCGTGCGTCTGGATGACGCGCGCATTGCTTGTCGGCAGCCGCAGCGTCAGTACTTGGACCATTGTATTATGTATCGCCATACTAACCTCTAGGAAACGGCGGAACTCGGCATTGCGCTCACTTTCCTCCTTGACTTTGTTCTCCGCGACAGGAAGATGTCCCACGTAAATCGGGTACGCAACGCGGAACTCGGTCGCCGCCTCGAGAAAGATATCACCGACGCCCTGAATAATGGGGTATTGTTCTCGTTGTCGAACATTCAATACCTCCAACAGCCGCCTGTTGCATTCTCTCAAATCAAGTATGTTGCCGAAGACCTCATCAATGAATTCGTCGATCTCGCTTTGCCGAATGACCGGAGGGTTAACCGTGCGAAGGGGGACGATGAAAAGCTATATGTCGTGAATGAGTCTCGCTCTGAATCCTGAAATAAACAAAGCTACTGACGGACTCCACGATATCCAAGTCTCGGAGATATGATTTCTCCTTGCTTATAATCTTGTGAATGATGCTGACCGCGACATTAGCTATGAACAAGATGCATATCGACAGCGACGTACGTTTGTCGGTTGATTTCGCTCTCGGGTAATGTCCGCAGGATCTCTGGAGGTACAGTAATAGACCAAGACTCATCCTAGTCGACGTTGTCAATACATGTGAAAAGGGTATTAGGGATGCTTTAATCACCTGTTCTTCTTCCTCGTCCTTCTCCGGAGCGGCCGCAACTGGCATCATCTTGTTCTATCAAAGGGTATTTAAGGGCAATCGCTCCGTACTCGGGATTTCACTCACCCGTTTGGGACATGCATAAGAATAACAAGGAGTCTCATCGTAACAGCTCGGCGAATAGCATCGTGTGAGCATCGTGACTACTGCCGTTGGCAGCTCCTCGCGCTCAACGCGGGAGTCCGACGCGCCCTCTTGATCGTCAAGGAACATGTAGACGTCCTCAACACCATCCTGTAGCGGACGACCGCCCCACTCCACTTCGTAGAAAAAGAGCTGACTCTGCAGACTGCGAGCGACCTGTAGCGCTGCCCGTCTGTCATTTGTCGATATGCCATGGGTAACCAACAGTTCACGCTGGATTTGCGACTGAATGGTCGACTGCGAGCCTAGTGAGATTCCACAGAAAGAACGAGGAGTACGGTACTTACTACAATGTCTTTCCCAGTGAAAGCTCTTGGGTACGGTATGCTACCCTTGACATGGGTGCCTCTGGGTACCTTGTCCCGTAGTCTGACCGCGATGTGACTCAAGAGCGAGGGGTTGAAGAAGCGAGTCTCATCATCTTCTGACGCATCGTCGTCGTAAAAGTCGTCATCGTCATCGTCCTGCCAGTCCCCGTGCAACTCCAGCGGGCGCTTGATATCCTGGAGGGTGCGCACAATCTCGTTATCCCGCCACGAGCTTGCAGGTCCCTGAACAGATGACGAGCGAGACACTTGGCCTTGCGGCTGTGGTTGAAGATGCGTCTGGGACGAGAACTGCTGTTGCTGCTGACTGTGACCAGCCTGAAGGTACAGATCCGAGCCCTTGGAAACATACGACCCAAAGGAATTGCCCCGGTTGACGGACGTGGCTGCTGATGAAGACGCACGTACGATGTTAGTGCTGGGGGTAAGTGAACTGTCCGATACCGTCGTGACGATCGAAGGATTCCGGCCGACGCCGGAAGCACCAGTCTCGTCTATAGGGCCCGCCCCATAGGCCGACGACGCTGTAGAACCCGTGGATATAGACCGGTTAACGTCTTGTATCGAATTTGGGACTGCAAGAATACGTGAATACACTGTCATCTGCGTTCACAACATCACTCACGGTTGCGAGTGGCATTCACGGCGGCAGCTGGAGGCACAGGCGAATGCCGTGGAGTCACATATTCCGACACGCTTGGATAGAAATCGTCCAGGAGAGACTGAGAATTGGGCATCCAATCCTCGCCAAGGGTGTGTCCCGGAATTTTAGGCGGCAGTGCGCCTGCCGGCCGAGTGGATAGTTGCCGCGATATGCTACCATTTGATGTACGCCATCCATGTGGATCAACTGTCTCTGGAACAGGCATCTGCAGCGACGGCCTGGGGGCATTGCTGTCTGAAGAACTAGGTCGAATGGATGGAGCGTACGCTCGAGAGTTGGGACGCGAATCAAATCCAGTGTATGCAGGAGATCGAGTAGCTACTGGCGGGAGAGCAGGAGGAGGAGGAATGTGCTGGCCGTTGAAGTGACCGCCATTTGTCGCTTCAACAGGCGTCTGGGGAAGTCTGCGACTGGTGCTGCGGAATCCATTGGTCAAGCATGTAGACGGCCAGCACGGGTGAATACGCACGAATCAGCGCTGGAACGTTTGGGCGGAGGAGGGGGCGGCATGTCGTCTGAATATGTTTGTTGTTGCGGATACGGCATTGCTGGCAAAGGCGGCGGCGGTAGTACCGGCGGAGACTGGCCTGGTATGCGCGGTAAGGGTCGTGGACCGCGTTGCGTGGGCGATTGTACGCTGCCCGTGCTCGATGGCGGCCGCGCAGTAGGTCGTGGTGAGGAAGGTAGTCCGTAGTTGACTGAACAAAGATGAGAATCAGTGATCTCAACAGCGAGCGTCACTTACAGTTATGCCCCGAGGTAACCGAGAGCGTTTGCTGACGAGATGAGGTCGGTGTATCTTCGCCGTCGTCTGTGTAAGTACTGTAGAAGGCCTCCACCTCGCCGTCGCCGTTCTGCACAGGATCGGCGGTTGGTGATTCGCGCTGGAAGCCAAGGAGGACTTGGTGGTAGAGATCGGCTAGTTCCTCATCCCCCGGGGTGTAATAGGTCTTGTTGGGGAGCGCGTCTGCAGAGGACATGAAAACGGCAGGCCCACTTGCGCAGGCCTATATGGCGGTATCAAGTGGCGAATTTTGCAATCGGTCCAGTCGAAGCTGACAGGAACGCCAAAATGCAGGTGCAGCAGATAAACCGCGCGGAGGCGGTATGGAACGCAACGGCGAAGCACAGAAATAGCCCGTCACGTGCATCCCTCACACAGGACTGACTGAGAAGCGCCGACTCGGTCGGCAGGGCTTGCAATATTGACAAGCTGACTCTGTACTATGAGCACAACACAGTGCAGGGTCGTAAAGGAAGCACTCGCCAACGCATGAATAGCAGGTCCAATTTTTATCGAGCCGCGTTGTGTAGGAAGCTGAACATGTATATGAGGGTTGGAGAAAGGACGTAGACGGAGGTCTGAGCGGGCACAGACTCTTTTATATCTGCGCAGACACCACGGCAAGATGGCACAACGATCTCGAACCCCATATGACATCACGATACTGGAAGGCGTCGAGTCCGATCGAAAGCTACTGTGTGTCCAAATACAGTGACCATATTACCATTTCGGGTGTCAGGACAAAGATCGATTAGATAAATCGAGATATCCATCACAAATTCCCGATTCTTCTTATGATTAGTATTCTGCAACTTAAGCCACAGTGATTTCTACACGTTCAAGTACAAGCATCTACGATACTACAAGCGCAGAACAGACAATCAAACACATCTACTGTCATGATGCAGGCAAGCAGCTCAAAGACATCCCGCATAGCTTCCTCTGTGCACGATGTGACCGCCGAAAAACCGCCCTTCGGATCCAGGTGAGTCGCGGGTTCAAGATTTTTGGTATTTGAAGTGCCTTCGGACGCGGTTACCGAACAGATCAAGTCAGGTTCCTCACAGACGAAGCTAATGTTTGGAGTCAAAATGCGTGGGATCATGTCCCGCCTCCCGACGATCAACAAGAAGCCATAGCGTCCGCACTCGCTAGGCAAAAATTAGCCCCCGTGCCGGAAACTGAACGCTCAAAGTATAATGAGAAACCTGCGAAACACTGGTATGCTTTGCTTTGCACACACGGCGCAGGCATAGTCAATCTTAGTTCTCGACAGGGACAATTTCTACAAAATGAATGCAAACAACTTCTTTCGCAATAGAAAATGGCACGCATCATGTCACTCACTCTCTGCCTCCACGTCTCATGAGATAATTCAGGTTGCACCTAGAATTTCCTGAACTCGTGAAAGCTGCCGAACTTGAGGTCTGAGAACCGCTCATGGTCCAATATCGCTATCCCTGACCGAATCCCCAGGCCGGCCTTATGACTATTGCAGAAATAGGATGCGGTATGTGCCTTGATACCCACACTTGAAAGTATTCTCACATATATGTAGGCGCTGGTAACGCCGTCTTCCCGCTCCTGTCAGCAAATACAAATCCTCAACTTCAGCTGCGCGCGTATGACTACTCGTCACACGCGGTGAAACTTGTCCAAGTATGACATACACTTTTCCTCACACCCTGAGCTATTTGATTTGCTTACCCGCCGACAGACAAATCCACTTTACATATCTCCTCCGGCGGGCTCTATCAAAGCTGCCGTATGGGATCTGTCGTCAGATCAACTACCATCCGAGGTCGAGCCCGAGAGTGTCGACATAATCATCCTCATATTCGTGCTCAGCGCCCTTCACCCGTCTGAATGGCGTCGTGCCGTTTCGAACGTACATAAAGTCAGTAGCTCTTCAATCATGAGTACTTAAAAAGCGACTAAGCAGCCTCCAGATGCTCAAACCGGGAGGCATGGTGTTGCTCCGTGACTACGGCCGCTACGATCTTACGCAACTACGCTTCAAGGGCGGCCGACTGCTCGAAGACAACTTTTACATTCGCGGTGACAAGACCAGGGTGTACTTCTTCGACCTTGGTCAGTTCCCCACTAAGCGGTGCATGCCAGTGGATATTTACTGGCGTTGGCACAGACGAGCTAGCTCTGCTTTTTACCGGCTCGCATGCACCAAAATCAGCGCACTCTCACAGCGCCGTGCAGGTCGTTGAAGAGACCGATGATGGCGCCCAGAGCGACTCTGCTTCCTCCCCGTTCGCGACGCCGAGTCCTTCTACCCCTCCTGACGCTCCGGCATCCCCATCCGCTAATGACGGGCCCTCAGACTCTCCTTCTACCACCACAACCGTCCCTCCCATACCTTTGAGCACCTCTTCCATCCATCCTTCCCTGCTACATGCTTCGTCTGGCAGTAATCCCCAGCTATTCTCGATAGAGCAGCTCGGTGTTGACCGTCGCTTGATCGTGAATCGGAAAAGGCAGCTCAAGATGTATCGTGTCTGGATGCAAGCCAAATTCCGGAAGTTGCCATCTGTCTCCAAGCAAGAGAGCCCGTAGTAGTAAATACACAGATATAGTGCCACGGACTACGTGGGTTGCAGGGACTACAGATCGCTCGCACACGGCATGATGTTGTAAGAAGTTATATATTACGCAAGACCTAATACACCATGTACTCTAAGATCCACACACACAGCGGGCTGCTCCAATTCCCCGGTCGACAACGCCTACACAGCACGCCCAACCACCAGTTCATATTACACCAACATCGAGGTATCTTGCGTACAGTACATATATGGGGTCGAATATGTAGGCCACATATCTCAGTCCGTATGCGCTCGACGATAGGCGGCAGCGCACGTAATTTGTGTATTCTGTGAGAGTAAAGGGAGAGCGGTATATGTGCCTCCGAGGATGGGGAGAGGATGGGGATGGAGGATGGAGGGGATGGAGGGAGGTGCTCAGAAGATGACTGCCGCAATCTTGCCCCAGATCGTCGTTGCCGGGACCTCGGGTATTTCTGTCTCCTCGATAGATGGGATGGCCTGTAGAGTGTCACTCAGTATTAGTCTATAAGTCGCACTACACGATGTCAGCACGCACCGTGACGAAGTCCATCTCGTCTACGCGCCACGCCTTGGTGCGCTTGAAGAGCTTCCAGAATACGTACAACCCAAGGAAAATTGGGACGTTGATATCTGTTCATCGCATAAAACGATTAGCCTTCGCTCCCTAGATGCAGCAGCAACGGATAATGCGAACTCTCCGGGAAAGAGTCCCAGGAGAATAGTGGAAATGGAGCAGGCCAAATATAATAGATACGTACAGTCCGTGAGGAAGTCCGACGCGTTGAAGGCCCAGAACACAGCGAAGCCATTGATGAGGATAAAGATCGTCAGCCAGAAAATCGCCCACCACGCAAGGAAGGGCTGCAGGCGATTCCAGTACGAGAACGTCCGGCGGTCAAAGCCCTGAGCCTTCAAGCCCGCATCTGCGCGCATATATGCAGTCAGCTCTATTGCGAGTATAAAAAAAGGGAAAAAAAGTATACGCACAGAAACGCAAATACGTCACATTCATAGCGCCCCACGAGAAAAACCCGCCCGTTGTCGACAAGTTCACGAGCCACGTGAACACCGTCTCCGCACCGCTCGAGACGTTCATGAACGACAGCCACGCGAAGCACGCGCTGACGAGCACTGCAGCGATCGGCAGCCCCTTCTTCGTGCAGTACGTCAAGAAGCGTGGCGCCTGCCCGCGCAGCGCGAGACCGTACAGGATACGCGAGGCCGAGAACAGGAACGAGTTGCCCGCAGAAAACGCGCTCGTGAACACACACGCGTTGATAATGTGCGGGAGCACACTGATGCCCGCGCGCTCCATGGCAATCACGTACGGTGACTCAGCGGCGGTTCCGGATTCCGAGAGCAGGTTGGGGTCGTTGTACGGCACAAGCATGCCCGTAATGAGAATGCCGAGCATCTGCCGGACAGATGGTCAGCGCGTTCTGCCAGGCAACGCATGAAAGCGAGGATGTGGGGCTCACGTAGAAAACCAGGATACGCCAGAAGACACGACGGACGGCCTTGGCGATATTTCGTCGTGGGCTTTCTGTCTCGGACGCAGCGCTGCATTCGCACGTTAACAGACATCAGTGGTATCTCACGGATAAATATTTGAATATGCATACATAGCGACAAGCTCCATACCCTGGTACGAGAATGCGGCTTGGACGATGACGGACAGGATGCCCAGGAATCTGTCCAAACCAGGGTGCTTGGGCTCCAGACCCGCGCCAGCAACTGCGCCGGGGTTCTTCCAGTACTATTACCGCATGAAGCTCAGCTGCCGCAGCTGCATTTTTGCGAAGAAATCACACATACGCGGAAACCAATGCGTTCATGATTCGGGCCACCACCGAGATCAATGACCAGGCCCGCAATAATGAGCAGGGTGATCAGACAGACTGCGGATCACCAGGAGAACATGAGGATCCACGACAAAGGGACTATGACGGATTTTTGGACGCGTACTTTTGATGATGGAGAAGAAGAATTCAGCTTCACCAAACCACCGGACACCAAAGATGTTGATTGCACAGACACAGACGGTGATGGCGGCGGTGTATGCCGCTTGATGTCCAAGCTTGTGGAGGAAATTCGTTTGAGCGTCGCAACTGACTACCCGGACAAAAGAGACTTACATCAGGGTCCCAGAATGTGATCAAGATGCCCGCTGCCGTGATTTCAACAGGTGTTGAGATGGCACTGGTGTAGAAATAATTCCACCTGCAAAAAACGCACTTAGAATTTAATGCTCTGAAGGGGGAAATGGCGTTACAAACCCTAGTGCAAAACCTAGTGCGGGGTCTGCCCAACGCGTAGCATAATGGGGGAAGGTACCGGAAATGGGCGCGAACGCCGTCATTTCTCCCAAACTGCAAAGAGTAGCATAGCCGACGGTTCCAACAAGGCCGTAGGCAATGAGGGCACCGAGAGGGCCTGCACCTTGGAGGGCGTGGCCGGACCCAAGGAAGAGACCAGTACCTAGCGTACCGGCAATCTAGAATACAACGTAATCGGGATGTTGCGCGATCGCGAGCGCCAGTGAGCGGCTAGGCGGGGCGGATACACAAAGTAATACATACAGCAATCATCTGTACATGGCGCTGCTTGAGGCGACGCTGGACCTTGTCGAGGTCGACCTCCGAGAAATGGAGGCGGGGGTCATCCTGGACGACATACTCTTGGGCGCTGCCCTTCTCGACGGAGGACGAGGTATCCTGTTTCTCGTCGAGGGGCACTGGGTAGATGCTGTTCTCCTCCATGGCGGAGGGGGCGTATGTCGTGAACGAAGAGTAAAAAGGTCGTGAAGACGAAACGAAGAAAACGGGGAGAGGTCCGGGGGCGCCATGTGAAGCGCCTGCATATAACCGGGCAGCGTGTGGGAGCGTGTGTAGATGGGGCCGAGCCGGGGGCGGTGGAAAACTTCGCCGATAAGACTTCGGTAAGCGGCGCCACCGACAGATCTGTTGCTTTCGTCGCCACAAACTCAGATGTCCTGATGCCCCCCGCGTTGGTGCCTCTCGCGGATTCCCCCGCAAACCAGTCTGCCCCGAACAGGCTTTTTGCCTCCAGAGTGTCCTCGACCTCTGCGCTCCCTCCTCGAGCGGCCACGACGCGATAGCCTCGGACGGCCTTCGGATGTGCTCAGACTTGGCGTGTCGGTGCCCGCGATCTCATCGACAGGGACATCGTATTCGCGCCCTCTGCGATCTGGCAATCGGTGCCTAGCGCACACAGGCGCCCGTTTCTGAGATAAGCGCCCGCCCGACTGCGCGCCTCCATGCCCTTTCCAGCCAATCATCGCCAGCGAATCTCACCCAGACTCCGCGGGCCTGCACACCCACAACCACCAACGACTCATTCCAGTTCAGCTTCCGGGAGGTGGTCGTGTGCCCACAGAAAGTACAGACAATGCGCCCCCTACTCGTGCGCACCACCCCGCCAGCCCCAGGCGGAGCCAAAATGGTGCTGCGCGCAACTTTGGGCCCCGCCAGCACTTATCTAAACGCCCGCCGCATGGGCCAATCTTCAAACGTTCAACCCCATCATCTCCCTCCAGCACGTCACAACTTGTGATCTCCACATGCCAAATCGCCAGCGTTTTTTGACCAACCGTTGTCACATTACACAACTCCGGCCCCGACGTCCCAAATGTCGACACCGTAACTCCATCGCCCTCGTACCCAGTCTATACCAGCTGCTCCAACAGGCTGTCAACGCGTGCATGCAACTATGCCCAGCATTTCGGCGCGGGTGCTTCGCGGTGCGCGATCGCTAGGCACGAGCTTCGAACCGTGTCTCAGGTTCGTCGCGATTGCGCAACCACGAAACTCTCGATCATCTCGATACGCCCTCTAGCACCGCGCATCAACATATAAGGCATTACCGACGTTGCGTCGGGCGTGAGGTCACCAGGGGGCACCGAGGCGTTGCCAGAGAAGCAGTCGACAATGTTGAGCCCCAAGTTGACGCGCCCCTGCACCCCAACCGGGTGTAAGTGGATCGTGTGACGCGTGCGGCGCGGGCATATCGACGATTTCCAACATTTTCTCGCAAGGACAAAATCACCGTATGATTATTGCTAATGTATGCGCAGCCTGCACATGTATGGCAATTGAATTACTGTATCAGAGCCCGGCTCAAGAAGACAACATCGTGACATCCTTTCAAGTACGGTTTACACGGAGCATTAGTAAAGCTGTCAAAAAATGTGTTCACACTCCAGACGCTCTTGGTAGCCACTTGTCCAGACATATTGACCGGACATCGGCCATGCAAATGCATTCGCTCGAAGGCATCGCGAGAAGAGACTACGCCGGCCTAGGGGATCGCGATAACATCAAGGTACGCCCCGCAACGAGAGGTAACAGCTCGACGGGCACCATCACGAAGCACGCAGAGACAGGTCGCTAAGCGAGATCACCGTCGATCCTGCAAGGCACAAGATAAGGACCGTTGGATCGCGCTCAGGCTGCCCAGAGAATTGCAGGCTTCTTTGACGAACGACGACTTCAGCCGCCAGCGTCGGGCGGGGAAGAACCAGGTAAGGGGAGGATATGGATAGTGCGTGCGCGCAGATGTCTGGCGTCCCATGCCAGTGGCGGCTGGCGCGGGCGAGATGGGAGTCTCGCCAAAGTCTTCAGTCTTACCCACATTCGTTGAACCGATAGGAAACGAGGGCCCTCTGGCCAGGCGCTGCCTGCAGTCATTTCGTCGGCTGGCTGTCACGGTGTAACCCCTGATTGAAGAGCCGAATGGTGCCAATGTTTTGACAGCGGTGGGAGTTAATCTGCCGTACGTACGATATCAAGTGCACGTAGGTTTGGCCTCGTGCCTGACGGCGTATTGCATAGAGGAGCATGCCAGCAAGTAGGGCTTTTGGCTGATAGCGGTAGTGATGATCAATATCTGACATTGCGTGGTATGCTGGCGTAGCGCTCCCAAGGTTCGTACTGTTTGCCAAAGACGTGCGGTGCCTCGGCACTGGCGCTTCGTGCTCATCAGTGTGGAGAGAGTGACGGTCAGCTGGGCCCTGTGCTCCTCTGCCAAGAACATGGAGGCAGGCACTGCTTCGTTCACAAGAATCTAGGGTGACGTTCTTGGAGTGCACGCGGGAGAAGAGAATGGATATCAGGACCAATCGCGAAGGGACTAGCTAGTTTACTTACATATATTCTATGAAGTAAGCCGGGTGGCAACACAACATTGCGCGCCTAGAGGTTAACAGAGGTGTGTGTGCAAAGCGCGAAAGCGGTCTTTACCTGCGCCCTGCACGGAGTGAGAACGGCGATCAGTGAAATTATTGCGAACATGAGAACGACACTACTGTGTTCGCACGTCAATAAAGCGTCAAGGCACTCACCTTAGCAATGTTGTTGTCAACAGTGTAAAGCATATGTCCGCACTGTTATAACGACATTCAAACAATAACGATGTGTCCTTGATGTTTTGTTTTCGCCTTCGCGTGTAGTTGAGCTATATGGAAGCATTGACCACGTCCCGCCGAACTATATAACACCTGCAAAAAGACGTGGGTGGAGATGTCACAGACTGGACAGGTGCAATTCTATAGGTGTTCTGGACGGTGATAGATCAGAGAGCATACTCGACGTGGGAATGCGCAGCATCCTGGTCATCTTGAGATAGTCGCGTTTAGGTTTTACCTGATGCTGTCCGTTTGTCATGTAGTCCACCCGCAATTGACCACTGAGAGCAAGTACGTGACGGCGACGCTGATATATCTATAAGGGAAATATCAGCCTAGGCGAGCGAACATCTCGTCTCAGTCTACAGGATGGCGACCACTCAGGTCTTCGTGACTTCAGAGTCTGCATTGTATACTGACGCCGGACGACGTTGAGGCGTGCTGGAAGTATCACGTAAGTTAAGAATCGATTGAAAAGCAGAACGGCGCTGAAGGGTCGGACGAAGGGACTCGGAGCAAGAAGCGCACTGCGGCGGTCGCGCTGCTCGTCGACGAACGACGCGAAAGTGGCGCGTCGGCGATCGAGCGCATCACGTGGCAGATCTCGATCTCTGAGCTCATCCACGACTACAGCGCCTGCTAATACACACTCGTACTCTCGTTCTTCTGAGTGCTCATCTCCCTTCCACAAAATTCATTCGTCATACTCACCTTTCTGCGACATACATTGTTGCTTGACTAAGCAGCTGCATCGGTGAAGATGACAAGCCGGCTCAAAAGGAAGCTGAACGACCTCGGCGTTGACCCGTCAAGCTCGAAGGCGAATGAATCCTTCTGCCTGGTACGTTATTATATGTGGTATACATCGTACCCCGGGAAAGCTAAAGACATGCGGGTCTGGCAGATTGGGACGCCACTTCCTCCGTTGGAAAAGTCGAAGGACACCGGGGAGTTCGTGCCGCTATGGAAGCAGGAGGTGCGTTACCTACCCCGTCCTCTCATTGCATTGCGGTCTTATCGTCAACTTGCTCATATCTGTGATAGGTCAGAGATGAAAAGGGGCGTCGCAGGCTACATGGCGCATTCACAGGTGGATTCTCCGCCGGCTACTTCAACTCTGTTGGATCCAAAGAAGGTACGCAGTCTGTGTATGCCTCTCCTACTTGGTTATCCAACCCTGCCGCCACTTAGGATGGGCACCATCTACATTTATCTCGTCTCGCTCCGATCGCGCGAAGGCGAAGGCTGCACGCCCAGAAGATTTCATGGATGAAGAAGATCTTGCCGAACTCCGTGAGAGTCGCAAGCTCGTCGATGAGAACGAGGAGATGGAGTTTGGTGATACGGAGGCCGAGCTGCGACGGCGGACAGGAGCGGAGGATTCAGAGAAAGAGTGAGTTCTGGCTAGTTTTACACTACTTCGCATTATGTTTAACCTGCGCATGTAGCCCAATGACGGCCGCGCTCGAGGCCTCGCTCGCACCTGCGCCCACGGACTCTATTGGTGCGCGCATCCTCAAGAAAATGGGTTGGCGCCTCGGCCAGGGCATTGGCCCGCGACTTACTTACGCACAACGCAAGGCACAGGATGCGGGATTTATGGACCCTTCACGCGAGACAGGTGGGGACGATGAGGAGGACGAAGAGGCGAAGAAACACCTATTCCCTAGGCGCGACACGTCTGTGCTGCTCGCGCCGCGGAAGGACAACTCTCACGGGGTGGGATATGTACCTGGAATGCGGCTGGAGGAGAGCGTGAGCGGTGATGCGGGCAGGTCTCAGGGACCGAGTTTGGCGGGTGCGTGCTCAATGTGTTCGTGCGGTTGTATGTACTCATATTCTTTGACGTGTGCAGCTGGCTTTGGCCTCGGCGCGCTGAACGACGCGGACGAGGACGATCTAGATGTGTATGACATGAGCACAGGTCGGCAGGGTCGATCGCGAATGGCGTTTGACATCATGGAGGAGGATGACGGGCGGGATATCACTATGGGCCCTTCGAGGCAATATGCAGGAACCCGACCATCAGTGAGTGTCAACCCATATCTGGCTATAAGGGATCGCTCTGACATCCTGCATGACAAGAAAGTGACCTTGGCGAGCGTGACACAGACGTTCAACGATGGGCGACCCGTGCTCAAGGGATTCGTGCTGTCGGACCGGCCTGTTGCTGAGGATCGATGGTGCGGACCTCCTGTATGCAAAATGATTGGCATTGGCTGATAACACGTATGCCTATCAGGTTCCCCCTACCCGAGATCCCTCCAGGGTGGAAGCCGAACCCGCGACGTGTCTGGGAGCAGGAGAAGAACAAAGAGAATGTCCAGGTTGTTCAACCCAAGCCGACACCGACGACGCACGCGGCATGGAAGGATAGCTTTATGTCTGCGGACGAGGTGAGCTGGCCTTCGCAATCCCTTCCGCTCGTGAGTAGCAAACTCATGTGACGTCTGCAGAGGGGCGCGATGCTCGGCGAGACCCCATTGCCCCAAAAGCCTCGTTCAGTGTTCGACTACATGTCGCAGAAAGACAGAGAGCGCCTCCAAAATATCAAGAACGCGCCTCCACCGCCCGCAAAACCGGCTCTCGCCTCCCCTTCGCCCGCTCCCGCACCATCCCGCCGCCCAGGCGAGATCTACGTTCCCGAACTTCACCCCTCCGTCGCTAAGGCTGCCTTGCATGGCTTCCAGCCCTTTACTGCGGACCCTGTCAAGCAATCTCGGTACACCGCATTTCTTACTTTCCAGGCCAATCGCACTGACTCGTCCGGCGCACCCACGTTGAGCCTCGGGCCGCTCCCACCCCAAAGCATCGAAGACTTCAATAAGGAGCTTGAGGATTATGCCAAGGCCGCGACAGTGTTCAAGCCACTCTCGGCTGCGATGGCGGGTCGCTTCCGGAGCGCCGCCATCGTTGAGTCGGGGCCCACGGTTGTCGAGGGGCTGTACCAGCCCACACCCGGGTCCGCCTCTGATTCTGGCACGAAGGAGGAGCAGGAAGAGGAGAAGGATGATGATCCACGCATGGGCGCGGTGCGGCTCGGGATGTATGGCCCGCTGACGCGCGAGGTACATCCCTGGCAGCCCGCGCGGCTACTGTGCAAGCGATTCGGCGTGAAAGATCCCGAGGTGGACATGAGCGGCGAGGTGGGCGGCGCAGGCTCAGAGTTCATGCCCACAGCGGCTGCCATGGGCGCCGGGCAACAAGGTGCGGGCGGAGCGAATGCTGCCACACCTTCGGCGACCACGCCCGTCGCCGGCACAATCACGGATGGTACGGTGAGCGGGGACGCGCCGCGGAGGGACGGTCCACGAGACCTGGCGAAAGTCGGCCTCGGCGACGATGAGGACCAGGGGCGGGACACGCTGACGTACGAGCGGCCTGCGATGAACATTTTCAAAGCGATTTTCGCCAGCGACGATGAAGACAGCGACGACGAGGATGCAGACGGTAATGTTGAAGATGAACCTACCTTGGATATTCCTGCGCGTGCAGTCAGCAGCGACGGAGGAGTAGTCAAGACTGAGTCGGTGCCATCACATCTTGCTCTGAGCAGCGACCCTGTTCCGTCGTATGAACCTCAGTCGAACGGTCCTGTGCCATTCTCTGGCCAGGCGGAGAAGGTCGACCTAGCATCCTTTAAGCCCACATTCGTGCCGCGTGCAGGCCGCGAAACACGCAAAGACAAGGGCAAAGGCACGGGAAAGAAGGACAAGGAGAAGAAAAAGAAGGCCAGTAAGGCCACGCTGTCGTTCGATGTCGAAGAGGACGGCTTCGGGCCAAACCTCGGCGCACCAATATCGCACAAGGAGAAGGAGAAGACGCGGGACAAGGATGGCGAGCACAAGAAGAAGAAGCGGAAGGAGTCAAAGGTGGAGGAAGAGGACGACAGCATGTGGGTTGAGGCGCCGCCGCCCGAGGTTGCGAAGAGCTTACCGGTGAACCCGCCACCTGTCGCTGAGCCTCTACCAGTTGTAGACACGGCGCCGAGTTCGCTCAATGGCGCAGCTGAGAAGCAGGCAGGTCCGCTACGGGGACGCAAGAGAGCCATCGACTTCATGTAGAACCCGTACACGTTCTCGATGTATCAATGGCGCACGACCTACTCGTCCTCCTCATCCTCGTCTTCGTCGTCCTTGCTACCCTCTTCTTGTTGCGAGACCCACACACCATCCTCATCTCCACTACTCTCATCGACATCGTCTACATCGCGTTTGCGCTTGCTATTCACCGCGTTTTTCGCGACCTCGCCGTCGGCCATGGCAAGGCAGGTTAGTCGGGTTCCCTTTGTGTCATATTCTGCTACAGGCTGCAGCACTACCTTCCCATTCGATGACGATGGGAGGGCTGCCATGTCATAGAGACGGATTTTCCCGTCCGACGATATTGTGCTGACAACTGTGGTTGACTGTCGGTCGGACGCGGAGTGGGGTAGTGCGATGGCAAGCGTTTCCACTGCTTTGACTCTGCTCTGCATTGTCACTTTTGCACAACGAGGGATAGTCACGATGGCACGAACCGATTGGCATGTCCGACCATTTCAGCGACGATCGTAGGCGTGGACATCACATCGAACGGGATATCGTATACGGACACTTTTTTGTCTTCGGCTGCTACGAGGAGGACCTCTCCATCACCAACGACTCGTTTGCAGAACTTTACGCTGTGTAGCCGTGATGGGTGAGTAATTGTGTGCAATAGAGACATGTCCTATGTGCCAATGTCAGCGAGACGCTACCCATGAAAAGAATAAGGACACACAGTATTGTAGATATCAATGGTAGATTGTGTCAGCACTACGAAGAGTGACCCATCGGTGGACCAACGGACCACCTCAGCCTCTGTATGCCATGTCAACATCCCGCGACCAGAACAAGCGTGATGAGACGTACCCTTTCCAAGTTTTGTACTCGCCGAGCCTTTGCCCCGCATCAGATCCCACATCCGTAGTGTTCTGTCCTTCCCTACGCTAAGTGCAACCTTTCCCGAAGGATGGACGGCAACAGAATTCACGCGGCCTTTATGACCTTTTAATGAGCGCAACACGGCCCAATCTCTGGCATGGAAAAGACACAGTGTGCCATCCTCGGAGGCCGACAGAAGATGGGATCGAGAGGGGAACTCGAGGTGTGTAATCGAGCCTGGCGATCTCGGAATTAATGGCAGGGATAACAGCAGACTTTGCGCAATGCAACATACCTTCGTGGTGCATGAGACCTCCAATCTCTTTCCGCCTGCGCAAATCCCATACCTTGACGATCTCATCTCCACTCCCGGTTGCAAGCCACTTTCCCCCTTGTGGCGATGCGGCAACGGCGCGTACAGAAGAAATGTGTGCGGGAAATATAAAGACAGGCTTGAAGGAAAAGGTGTAACTCGAGCCAGCAGCAGCAGAAGAGCCCTCAAGGCCGTAGAGCAACTTCTCGTATGAGCCAGCGATGATTTTGAACGTCGATGGTAGTGCCTCCGGCGTGTCCTCTTTCTTGGTCGTAGCTTTTGCTTTTGCCTTCCGCTTGGGTGAGTCCTCTGCATGTGTCGAGGCGCGCTCCTTGCCCTTCACGGAGACAACAGAATGAGGTACATGGTTCAGTCCTTCCGCCGCGGCTTTGAATAGTTTGGGCGCGAACTTGGCCCTCTTGTACTTTTGAGGAGCAGCAGCGACATTGGGCGACATTTTAGAATTTGGAATTTAGAGATCTGTGATTTCCTGAATGGGCGAAATGATATTTGTTGTTGTTAGGATCCAAAGCCCTTGGACAACAAAGCCAAATAACCTCTTATGCGCGCGTCAGCTAGACGCGTTCGTCGCGCGAACATGCTACGAAATGCGCGGCACGGTTGTTCTCATCTGCGACATTTAGGGTCAACTCGACGACATGCAAGTCAGATTTCCCATCTCTCAGGCTCGTCCTTGAAGGAGCTGAACACCAGTGTCAATGCTCTCGTCTACATTGCTTCTGATGGTTTTCCTGTAACTGGAGGACTACCTCTGAGCGGTTTCTCTGTAGCCGTCAAAGACAACATATGCACGTCCTCTATGCCTACAACCTGCTCCTCTGCTATGCTGCTTGACTTCATATCGCCTTTTGATGCTACTGTCGTGAAGTTACTCCAGGACGGCGGTGCGTACATTTCCGGCAAGACAAACTGCGACGAGTTTGGCATGGGGTGCGTACGTATTACTGTCAGAGTTGCCAGATCTCACACCCGACAAAGATCCTTGAACATGTACTCCGTGCACGGTCCCGTCATTAATCCATACCAGCCTCCAGACAGTAGTGTCTCCTGGACAGATCGTGAGCGTCGGTCTGCGGGCGGTAGCTCTGGTGGGAGTGCTGCGGCTGTTGCTGTTGGAATGTGTGATGCGTAAGTTTCTAGTCGAGTCAGCGGAAGCGAAGACTAATAGAGAGATGAAGGAAAGTGCACTCGCCACGGACACTGGTGGCTCTATCCGTCTGCCCGCTTCCTACTGTGGAGTTGTCGGCCTCAAACCATCATATGGTCTAGTCAGCAGGTAAGCGTACAGGACGTATGTTTACATCAATGCTTAGCCCGCGTTAGATGGGGGGTCGTGTCCTACGCGGACAGCCTGGACTGTGTCGGCGTAATGGCACGGACGGTACGCGATGTAAGAAAGACGTACAGTAAGTATTCATTGTTTCATGACGCCATTGGAAACTCTTTACGTTCACAGACGTCCTGTCGGTGTACGATACCAAGGACCCCACCGCTGCCAGGCCAGCTACAAGGCTTCGGGCAGCGGAAGAACGTGATAAACACCAGGAATACTCGCTAGACAGTCCACTCTCAGGACTGCGCATAGGTGTTCCTCAGGTGCCACCACACGCTCTGCCATCCCGTCGCAGTGACTGACTACCAGAAAGGAATACTTCCCCTCCGACATGGACTCTCATATCGTCCAACCTGTACGCCGCGTTCTAGAAACGTTGAGAGCGCGTGGAGCCTCCATTGTTCCCGTATCCCTTCCATCGACGCGGTATGCTCTTAGCGCTTACTACGTTATATCCAGCGCAGAAGCAAGCAGCAATCTTGCTCGATACGACGGTATCGAGTATGGTGAGCACGGCTTCCCCATTCATAGCTATAATCCCATCGAAACATCCTCTCAGGTACCTACATCGACCCGCCTCCCGGCACGGATAAAACGAAAACGGCGAAGGTGTATGCCCACTCGCGGTCCGCGGGTTTTGGCAAAGAAGTCCAAAAGCGGATACTCCTTGGCACATATGCTCTCACAGCGGAGTAGGTACTTAAAATGTTCTCCGGGTAGCTCGTTGATTGATCGATCGCGACAGTGCATTCGACAACTACTTCCTGCAGGCGCAGCGCGTACGCAAGCTCATATGCGCGGATTTTGACCGCGTGTTCTGTGTACCGAACGTCCTCAATTCGACGTCACAATCCAACCCCGATTTCACCGGTGTACATGTGCTCCTACATCCCTCTGCAATACGCACGGCGCCACGGTTACCCTCTTCGACTGATGCAGACCATGACTTGGGTGCATACGTGCAGGATGTCCTCACCGTGCCTGCGTCGTTAGCGGGCTTGCCCGCGATCAGCGTCCCGGCCGGACATGGAATGGATGCATGGCCGGTGGGTATCAGTATCGTCGGGCAGTGGGGTTGCGATGAGATGGTCATGGACGTAGCTGAGATATGTGAGAGATATAATACTACATAGTGGTGGGCAGTATTAGTTCTATCTACCCCGCAAAAGACATCACGTGTGGATATAACTATGAGTGCTCAGGGTAAGGTACTGTATTCGACAGACAACAGGCCGATACAACAACAACAGGTCAGGCAGCGCAACGTGCGGATCTTACATTGTTGAGGGCATGGGGGATATGGGTGTCTGGATGCTAGAATGAGAAGATGTTGGGAGTGAACCCGTTCTCCTGCGTGAGATTTTCGACGTTGTCGAGAATGCCCGTCTCCTGCATAAGCGACATCCACTGGTCACTCATGATGACGTCGCCTGAGAAGGCAGGCATATCCATATTATTGAACATCTCCATTGGCAGCTGCGCGTCGTAATTCTGTGGGATCTCCGGCAGCCCCTGGTACTGCGGATTGCTCAGCAAACTGTTGAGGAAGTCCAGATCGCCCTGCGGCAGGGCAGGGGTCTGCATTTCCGTGCCTGGAGGAGGCATGGCGGGCTCCGGCATTACAGGTGGCATTGGTGGCAACGTATTTGTTGTGGGAGCGGTGTGCAGGACCTGTGAGAGATCCGCGGTCTGGAAGGGTGACGATGTGGGGACCTGCGATAGGTACATCATCAGGCATGGGTGCACGTCGGGGGCGGGGGTACCGCCGTTCTCGCTGGGTGTTGATACGGAGGCTGACGGCGAGGGAGGGGAATGCGCTTGTGAGCTGGAAGTGCTTGTACTCGAGTCCTTTGGAGTCCCGGACAGCCCTCGTGAGCGTCGCTTTCTGGACAGTGCCTTGGCCGGCAGCACGCGAGTCTGACCACCAAAGATCGCGAGCGCATTCTGGTACTCCTCGGTGATCTTCGGTTGTGGAATTGATGCGGGATTATGACGGTCCCGATAACCTTGATATGCACCTGTCGCTCTCTCCTTCAGCCTAAGCAAGATCGGCTAGAATACGGGCACTTTCATAATGAACAAGTTAAGCACACAAAGCTCGCAAGCTACGCACCAGTCCTTGGCGAGCCCGGAGGGACTGATTGACGCCTCTCTGGAAAACCTCGATTGCGAGTTCAAGTTCCATGAGTGCACTTGGTGCCAGGCTCGATTGCGGCATGCGAGACACAGTAGCCCCGATAATGATCTATCAGGTTCAGACTATGAGATGTAGATTACGAGAATGAGCACACCGGCTTACTGCAGCAGAGAACGCATGGGTCCACATTCCCCAGAACCTACCGCAGAGAGCTCCGCACCGTTCGTGATGGTGGATGAACGACTTCAGAAGAATGGAGGCACAACGATTCGCTGAGAGGAAGGAAGGCGCGTATGGGCTGGATAGGGGGCTGGCTGGATTATCAAGCAGCGCCTGAGCGAAGAACGTCCTGTGAATGTGGATCATCGCTGTTCACAAACGTCCATGAGCGGAACATCCCGCGGCAACACGCGCATATACTCACTCAGGGAGCGATAATGCGACATCATGTAGCTCTTCATGCACAAAGATGGGTTGTTGTAATCGTCATCGTCTGGCCTTAGATACAGCTTGACAGCAGGGAGCTGTATTTGTCGTATTCTCCTGTCAAGGTCAAGAATAGTGGCATAACTCGGAGGCTTTGCAGAGAGCATGTTCTCCACGACCGGAGCATAGATCTCCGTCGCGAAGACCATCTTGAAGTGCCAAACTAGATTACACCACGGCGATCAGCGGGCCACGCAAACACAATACTTCGCGATCGGGTAACTCACATCCCTGGAGCGTTTCACCCGTTTCTGATACAGACTCCTCGTCATCAATTGGGAGTTCGCAGTCGATGTGCGCGGGACTAATGGACGGGGGACGACCGAGCGCAATGCACTATTGACCAGTGTGAGCCTACAATTGCAAAACCAGCGACAGAACGTGCATGAATCATCTCGAATAAACGTATCTCCCAGAATAGGTTCCGCCGCCTCTGCACGTTCTTCTCATCAAGATTCCATTGCTTGCTGTCACGATCTATGTCGTCATGAATTCTCGGTTCACACGACCGCGAGAGGGGCAATAACTCACGCAATCCGACCTGGTGCCATAACAATGTCAATTCCCATGCACTTCCATGATGTTATTGTCTACATACACTCTGTGCAAGCTTGACAGCAGAAGAGATCAAGGACCATGCACTCTCCACGCTGTAACGCGAGGTGCATATACTATGGTATGCTGCCATGAGGGAGACCGCTTGAACAGTCTCAATCTCGGGAGAGTCTAGCATAGATCGCAAGGACAGAGCAGCTCGACCCAACCGATAGTACTTCTCTGCCTCAGCACTACAAGCCGGGAGCGTCAAGTCGACCAGAGCGCCGATCGCCAGCACGAAGTATAGGACAGCCAGGAGGTGAGGACAGCGACCAGAGTCCAGCTCGGAGGGATGATGCCATTGCCGGGGACGACCAGTATTGACTGTAGTGTATATCGGCGTCATGATGTCATCTACCAGTTCGTCTCGCTTGATAGGTCTAAACCACCATGTGAAGTGAGCAATGTAGGCTTCACAGAGCGACCAGGCTCGAGGCCGGGGAGGTAGCTGAGCTTCTAGCCTGTCCAGTATTGCATCGTGACCGTCATCAACAATGGCAAGTGGGAAAGAGAGTCCGATATTCTCCAAATCAGCAGACATCTGGAGCATATCGCTGTCATCACCGTCGGGGGGCGTGTTCACCTATCAGCATAAACTGTAAATTGAAATCATCATTGCCGCTTGATGAGACACTTGCCAAGAACAAGGACTGATTATTTATAGATGAACATAACATACAATCAATGCATGTGAGAATGACTTACCTCCGAACCGCCCGACCGGCCAAAGTACTTTGTCTCGCCGTGGTCACCTATTGTGAGCGTTCCAAGAGCGTCGATTGACTGGGACAGCTTCTCTCTGGTATTTTCTTCATCCACAGTCCGGCGAACCTCGGGCCCAAACTTAATTGTCAGCAGCTCGTCCCGCAGTAACGGATGCCTCTCATTGGATATGCCGGCTTGGAAGAGAGCAACTACATCCTCGAGCTGTCGGATTCGTTCGCTCATTTCAGAGATCTTCCGATGCAATTGCTCGGTATCGGCGAGAATGAATCTTTAAACTGTTACATTTGTGGCGTCCACCCCAACATAGTAATGCTCACCTCGTCCCCTGTCCAGCAGAGAGACTACCTGTGCAACCGTGACTTCAGGCATCTCAAACATGGCATTCACGCAACATACCGTTGGGGCATATGGAGGTGCAGCCCCTGCGGACGCAGGATCCACAGGGAAGCTTCTTGTCACACTTGAGTTTCAGTCTGAAGTCATATAAAAGTCCACTGTGCTGCATTTTTAAATGACTCGTGCAAACATACCGCCTGCATTCTGCGCAAGAGATTTCGCCGCGGGCTCGTTTCACTTCAATTTCCTCATCATTGGGGCTGCTCTGCTTTCGTGCTGCCCGTCGCGTTTCTGTACCCCGCTCCGCCGGCATAGATATTGAAGAAGATAGTCCAGACGACGGATAGTGGTTTAGGAGACCTTCGGCCAATTAGGGGGATGTTGAGAATATATGGTCGTAAAAAGTCCGTTGCCGCGAGTCAAGTTGTGCGCATAATATGGGTCGACTGAGTTAGTAAGAGAGGAATGCAAGCGGGCGTGTAAAGCCGGCGTACTGTAGAGACTTTGCCCGGATCCCAGGAGCACATGTGCGGTGCCGGCGCTTCAAATGCCAATCAATCAGCAATGGAATGAAATCTCCGATTCACGCTCCGACAGAACATGCCGACTTGCCAATGGCAGGCCGCAGGGTCCTACAGTCCAGTGCATACATAGACGAAAATCAGATTACACATTTCAAAGCAGTGGAAGACATATGTGATAGCATATAAAGCCAAGCCCACGGTACACTACGTGGACCCAGAGATCGTAGAATGTCCAGCACAATTACATAGCCGAAGGCAGCTCACAACGTACGTACAGCGAAAGCAATCAAAGCGATAACAATTGTCCCTATGCGTTCTCATGGCCTGAAATTCCCGTCATCAAGACATCCCTCTTCGTGTATGAATGAGGTCCATCTCGCATCGAGGCTCGCGTTTCCTCGGGATGCGGGGTCGACAAGTTGGGTGTGAGGATACTGCTGTGCCGGTTGAGGCATGTGGAGTCCAGACGGACCGGGGTACACCTGACTCGCATGACGATATTGCTGAGCGCCGCCTACAGGCAGAGGTGATCCGGAAGGAACCATGTTTCCGGCATGAGGGAGCATGGTAGGGTAAGCGTGACCTTGATTCGTCCACCCATAGTCAGGCGCCGTCTGGGTATAACTACCGGCTCGATACCACGATGTTCCGGCAGGGACACTATACTGAGGGACATCAAGTTGCTGCGGCAGCCAATTGTTTTGACCGGGCGATGGGTATAGCTGTTCTTGTGGACGCGGAGGGGTATATGACAGGTGAGAGGATGAAGACGCGTTCTGGGAATGTCGCGACTGCATAGACCATTGTGATGACTGCTTGGCAGTAGACGCCTTCCGACCAGCGAATATTTCTAGCTGATCTTGATCCATCTCAGTCTTGACACGCTCTTGTTCGCTTTTGGGATCCAGAGCAACCGGCAGAGTGGGCTGAGCGGTAGCCAACGCATTCCGCGCTTTGTCTTGCAGCCTCAACAGGATCCCCTACAGAGCACGCATGGATGGTTACGCAATGGTACTGTGCTATACGGGATACAACTTGCCAAAGCCTTAGCAGCGCGGCGATTGTGCCGCCCCGCCTGCGTGAACAACTCACACGCTGAACTCAGCTCTATCATTGCCTCTGTAGCTAACGGCGATTGTGGACTTCGTGTGACGACCATCCCAAGAACCACCTGAAAACAAGCTCAGGGGACGGCCGCCGGCTGAGAATCTGATGCACTCACAGTTGCCGAGAATCCATATGTCCAGATGGGCCAGATACGCGAACAGACGCCAGGATATTGTGCATACTGCCCACGGATCATCTTTACGATAGTGCGAGCGCAGCGATACGCTGTGAGGTAAGAATGCGCATATTCACTTCTGACAGGATTCTTAGGGTGATCGATGAGAGCTTGCGCGAAGAAGGCGCGGTGTATATAAAGCAATACTGTAAAGAAAAACGTGCGTGGTCAGGGATTCACCTTTGCTCACGTCCCAAAACCCACTTACGGACTTCGCGCGAGTGCGCTGCTACAAAGTTTTGCATCGATGTAGCGATGTTGGTAGGTTCAATGTCGGGTGCAGATGCTGGTTCCAAGCCCTCGACAAGTGCAATTGCCCCAGGTGAGATCTGGAACTCACGTACTTGCTTGTCCAACTCCATGATAGTCTCGTAGGAGGGAGGCTCCGCCGCGAGGGTTTTCATGGCGACGTCCGCGACACATTGGAATGCAAAGTGGGTGAACCAGATCTCGACTGACGCGCGGACAGATACAACTGATTAGAGACACTTTCCTAGACCCCCGCCGAGAGATCCGCTTACAGTCTGATAGATCAAAATCTTTCCCTAGATTATAATCACCTCGAGGATATTTGCAGTCAATGTAGGTCCGTACGAATGACGGAGGTCTGCCAGTCGTAAGGCTCTACAGGGCCCGCGATCAGCTCCGGAGTGCTGATATATGGAGTTCGCCACTGACCTGCCACGAATCTGCCTGGAAGATATTCCAAAACACAAGGCGGCGTCTTTCGACCATGAACTTAGGCAAGTCCCATCTAGCACTATCCCGATCTATCGCCGTAATCATTCGTCAACCTAATCAGCTTGCCATACCATGCTCGACTTACGCAAGCCCATCTAGTCCGACACTGTCTCAGTGAGATGACCCACTCAGAAATGAACAGACGTACGCTCATTGCAACTGTACAGGCCAGCGTAACCATGCCCCAGGACACTGCCATGTCAGTGTCTCCCGACTCGTGTGGGTTTTCGACCATCGCAGTGTAGACGCTGTGCATATGGAGCACTTGGATTGTCATCAAGGATGGTTTCACCCAGACGGACTCCAGGCAAAGGGCCGCTCGCGCTAGCTGATAGAAGTGTGCCGCTTCCGCATTATATGTCTCTTGTTCGGGATCGCAGAGTGCGCCTGCTGCGAAAGTGAAAAGCAAGAGTGCTAAACTGTGAGCGCCGCTGTAGTCGATAGACGGAAGGGGTTTGTTGGCCTCCCTGTAGTAGAATGGTATCATCTCATCTACGAGTTGATCCCGGGGAAGGCTGCTGAACATCCAGCCTGCATGCTCGAGGAAAATATCGCCGAGGTAGCAGGCTCGTTCATACGATGGCAGGTAGCTCCGAATGAGCTCCATGATTGCATGTGGAGGGTCTAAAGGCGTGAACGGGAACGCATCTGAGAATCGTATCAACCCTTCTGGGGCAGGGCTGAGGGAGTCATGTCTATCAACGGGATCGCTTTCCCCGCCTGGGGACATGTTACTGTCGTTCTGATTAAGAGGTCAGATTATGGCGTAAGATGTCATGTAGAGAGATGCTCACTATGAGAAGATACTGTTCACCCTTGTGAGTGAAGACCCAAATGAGATGGATCATGAACATACCTCTACGCCTCCTGTGGGGCCAAAAAAGGTGGAAACACCAGAATTTGATATCGAGAGCATTCCGAAAGTGTCAGTGACATTGAGAGGGCTTGTCTGGGCTGGCTCCAGATCCGGAGAATCATCATCAGGGTCTACACTGGAAGCTCGGCCACCGGAGAGCAATGGATGTGGCTGGTTTGAGCACTTCGCTTGCAGAATGGCGAGAGCATCTTCCACTTGCCGTACCCGCTCACTCATCTTCGCTATTCGACGATGTAGATGCTCTGTGGCGGCCAACACGAATCTGTGCAAACCCTGTATTAGGTAAAACGACGAGGTGTAGGGTCGAAAGCTCGGACCGGGTCCCCTGTCCTGTGGCGAGACTTCCTGAACCTTCGATTAGATCGTCGAAACCTGCCTGAGAGAGAAAAAGGACACACCATTCGGGCAGAGCGAAGCACAGCCCCTCCGCTGAACGCGCGAATGAGTTTCGGTTTCTAGCGCGGGTATAACCCAAGACGCACCTGGCATGATTGGCATGGTATGGACTTGTCACAACGGATCTGAGCATTCCATAATGAGGCGCTGAGCAATCCTTCCAGTGTCGCCGTCGAGCTCACCTTCAATCTAGATTCGGACAGGTCAGGAAGACGAGTCAGTGTCAGGGGTAAGCTTGCGCTCCTCAAAAGCGCAGACTCGGAGTGCGATGATCGCACCTACGGCATTCCGCGCACGAGATCTCCCCTCTGCTCCGTTTCAGCTCAATTTCGCGAGCAGAGACTAGATCTGTTTTTAGCTCAGCGGACTCGTTACGTGTGGCACGACGGTGGCGAGCAGCAGCATTCAATCGGGGAGGGGACTCAGCAGGCATCAGGACGAGGGAGAAAGACCGTCGAGTAGCGTTGGCTATCCCGGCTAAGCACTTTTGCTCCGCTGGGCACCTTATACTGGATCTCAGATGTGATCAGAAACCTACCGCGGGGCGTGGTTTGTGCGGCCTAGATTTCAGAACCTCTGCTTCCATTATAAAGCTAACCTTCTCCCCCTTCACCGTCCCCACCCTGAGCTGGTCATCCGTGTATATCCCGGAACAATGTCCCCGTTCACCCATTCAGGCTGGCCCGCCGGCAAGAGTGAACGGGTCCAGATGACATGTCGCCAAAAACAACATTGCCGCGTGCATGATTCAGCGTTTAAATGTTCAATCGCAGCGGCGTATGATTATGATTCATCTATCGTGACCCCCGTTCCCACTATAACATCCAGCGCGGACACTCTGTGCTCACTTCGATTTGTTTCAGACTCCACTGTGAGCATCGTTGACTGCGCAAGCTCCCTATGCAAGGGGAGAACGCAACGTCGTTCTCACTCCACGACCTAGGTTGGAGGTTGGTAATCCAGCGGGGCAAGCAGGGTTGCCTCAACAGGACTAAAATGGCAGATTGCAACTTCCGCCGAAGGGTGAGATATGTTCGGAGAATGTCACTAGTCCGCTCGTCCACCTTCGCGCCCCTGCAACGTGGCTGCCTGACTAACGTATCTTCGACCTGGGCTCTAAAGGACACCACACAAGTCTCAGACACTAGCCGGCGGCATTCCATCTCTACCTCTGGTTACACAGATCGAAGTTTCCCGTGAAGCTTTCGAGGTATCATGTGTGGATCAGGCGTGCCAAAGTAGTAGGGTGCTTTACCCTCGCGACCGCTTGCGGCAGAATAGAGTACTCAGGTTCTGCTCGCCAGAGTGTACCTCGTGATTTTGATTTTGCGGCGTCTTCAATGACTGCGTACTATTATGGCAAGAAGTATCTCATGGAACAGGAGGCGATTCCTATATATACTGCCAACTCCCAAGACGACTGTAAATGGAATGAATCACGCAAGGCACTCATTCATGTTCGGGTCCTGGCTGCAAGCTCATTCTGACATGTACAGCCGCACTGACCTTACGCGTGTGTCCAAACTTAGTTCCTTTCTAGCATGTGTAATTAGGAACAAGTTTCGCTTCTCAGCCGTATGTTTCTCATATGTTGACCAACCTGCCACAGCCTAGCGCAACGGAGTGCCTACCCGGATCAGAGAAGTCGGCGAAGATGTCCAGCTCCCGCAAACACCCATACAATCGCGGAACGCATACGCCGCGGAAGGTTGTCTAGCGTCTGCCTAGAAGCCAGCGCCTGCTTTCCCGCTATACAACGGCAATGTAATAATCGTCACAAGACATGGAAAACACTCCCACCATTGTTCAATAGAACCTTCGACGAAGCACCCAGATGGGTGGAATGACAAACAGTGTTGTGGATGCCTGCACTAGCACAGTATGCATCGAGGAGCGTGGCACGTGGACAAGAAACGGGCTTGAGATCCAAAGCAAATCACTGTTAGGCGGTGATAGATAGGTCATGCATCCACACACGATAGAAGCGAGCCTTGACGTGGCCACGAGTCAATATAGCACAGAATCCTATGATGCGCCGGGCAACAAGCATGGGAGAAACATACAGACAACAGCGTCCGTGGTACATACAAGGGAAATGCCCGCAAGTAGCTTTCATCAAGTAGAATAGAAACCGGAATCGCTGAAACATTCCGCTGGGTTAGATTGTGTCTGGAGTCTCACAGTGTCTGCGCCCCCAGCGTGTTAGTACACCTGAGAGTTGTGCTTGAACATGGGCGCTCACTGAAATATGTATGGGCTTGTGCTTCCGCTGCGGTTAGCCGCTCCTTGTGATCATAACGAAGCAGTTTATCCAGCAGATCAAGGGCTTCGGATGTAGCGATAGGCCGATTCTCTGGAGTGATAAAACGCGCCCAGGGTTGCTTCGCGTAGCTTTAAAATGCCGAAGACGTCAATGCATGAGGGATGGGACACTGATGGAACTACCTTCTTAGCAGATCCGTGTTCTCTGTTCGCAGATAGATACCATAGGTTGTGAGATACTGCTCGAATTGGTCTGACCCGAGCACCTTCAGTATCTTGAGCAGCTGATCTTCGTTGTCGCGGCCCCGGAAGAAATGCTCTCTACGAAAGATCTAGAACAATCGATGCAATGAGTCAGAGTCGAGACCTCATGCCTAATCAAACGCTGACCATCGAGGCTAAAATGCACCCGACGCACCACAGGTCGAGACTGTAGTCATATTGTCTATATTCCACCAAAAGTTCCGGGCTCTTGTAGGGTCGTGAGCCGACATGGGGCGGGTATCCTGTCCCAGGGTGGTAGAAGTCGGCAAGACCCCAGTCGATGAGCCGTAGCTGTGTATGAATTGTCTTGCTACTCAATGGACGGCACTGAATAACACTGCGCACCTTGCGGTTGCTGCGATCATACATGATATTGTTCGGTTTCACGTCACGGTGCATGATGCCTCGAGAATGAACAAAATCCAGGGCCTGCAATTACATTCAAGACGTTGACATGACACGGTGATATATCAACTCACTCGCAGTAGTTGGAACAGATAGTGCTTGATCTCCTGCTCAGTCGACGTACGGTATAGCTCCTTCCAACCGTCGTCCTGTACATACTCCATAATCAGGCTATATGAACGTGATGGCGAATCATGCACGACATCCAGGAGGCCAATGATGTTTGGGCCGCCTGACAGGTTCCGAAGGATCTTTATTTCTCGCTTGATCTTCTTCTTCGCGACCGGCTTGAGCACTTTGATAACACACGCATCCTCGTTGGATGAGTCTATTGCCTCGAAAACCTGACATGCAGGACATGAATGTCATTTCTACCACGGCATGCATGGGTTTAGCTCAAACTACCTCTGAGTACTTGCCGCCACCGAGCCGGCGGGTGATCTCATAGCGATCGGGGACGTTCCACTCTATCCTCAGACTCTCTGTAAAGCCTCTAGGTCAACAAGGACCTCCCCGCACGATCAGAAGACTCGCCGTATTCATACCATGCCGGCCCAAGGCGCGCATTCACATCGGCGTATACTCGAGCCATGGTGCGAGGTATCTAGCCGAGGTAGTCGCAAATCTGGCGGTCCCCAGGTAGATGAGTTCAAAGGTTAGCCGCAAGCTGCATGATGCTTGCTCGGATTACCTTTGGCTCGAAGCAAGGCTTCCTTGAGGCGGTGGACAGCGGACGTTGTCGAGCGACTCCGTGGGAGGAACATCAGTCAATGGGGTGTGTGGGCAGGAGCCTGCATCAACGGCGATTGCCCCGCTTTTGGCAAGTGCTATGGATAGGAAGCGCTCTCTCACAAGTTGGATCGCGAATTTCCTTGGTGCAATCAATCGTGTGCATACAGGGATCGTATCGCCCGTATTCTTTGTCTAGGCTATCTCGCTGTATCCGTGCTTCGTTGCGTAGCGATATACCTACCGCGTTGGCATCTTTCAGGCAAGAATTCTGCCAATTTCATCCTCCGCACTTTGCCGACTTGTCGAGAGGCCGCGACCTCGAGTTCTCATTTCCGCCATCAGGCGCGTTGGTACCCTTCAGTTGTATCGCACAGCTCGCCTGCAGGTAACGGTGAGTCCACCGCCCACCAGCTGGCTGCGTGCTGCATATAACTCATCCCTGATACATCGAGCTGGAGTTTGAACACTTAGACCCATCCTGACATTCATTCACCTCGTTCCGGGTCCACCATGGCGCCTTATTTCGAGACCGCGAAGGTGGGACATTACGTTGACTCCCCTCCACGTATGTGTGTGGCCGTAACTGACATAGGCGTAGTCTTTTGCCGATGTCCCCATTACGGAAGAGGGGGTCCAGACCGCCGCGTTTATATTAGCAGCAACTGATTTCCTAAACATGTTCGGTAATGCGCCATAGAGTATTGGTCGAATCCTCCGGCCGCTGTCTGACGCACAGGAACATATAGACCTTCTGGGTAACGGAGTCTTCGGCTTTGTCCAGACCGACCTGAGAAGTAACTTGGCCGTAGGTACTTCTTCCTCTCGGTGCTTAATTCAAACGAACATATATCGAGCCAGGGTGTTCGTGGCCGTTACGAAGCTAAACCAGACGAGTCCAATACCTTGGAGAATTTAGTAGCTTCAGAAGCCAAGGACCTGCAACACCGCGGGGCACGATATGGTACTGCCTGTCTTGTGCGGCTCGTCCGGTAAGCTATGTCTGATCTTGCTCCCAATCTGATGTCCTCATGATTCTTTTGTATGTAAACCGCCAAATTTGACATATATAGCGGCCTTCTGTTCACATGTCAGGCGCTCCAGAACATGCAGAATGATAAGTCCTCGGAATTGCATGTCTGCTTCAAGAGGTCATATGATACTGTCCTGAGGCATCACCACACGTTCATTATTCGGTCGGCTGTTTCGGTGCGTGTCTATCACCGATCGTGGACGCGGGCACTCTCTGACTCGTTAACTTCCACCCCCGTTTCCTCCCTTCCACTTCTATCTGCCCATCGTCCACCCGATCTTCGATGTATTCCACTAGCTGGCGATCAGAGCCGTTCCACACCGCAGCGACTTTTATTCCCGCCTCGCACAAGGGGGCTCTGAAGAGAAATTCGATGATGAATTAACTAAATGGCTCGCCGGCCTCGACATCATCGTCAATAGACTCAAGACATTCCTAGATGCCGGAGGTTATGGGACAGTGTGATTAGCTTGTGGTCCTTCACTGATAGAATGGAACGAGACATGAACCGGAGATCTTCCCTCACTTATGCCGGTAGCATTCTACATACGATGAATTGTTTTCTTCAATATTGGGCTATCGCTGATCATCGATCTTGTATAGATGGAGAGAGCACGAATCCGGGACCAATTTATCAAGTGAGAATGAGAACGGAAAGACATGCCACGTTTGATCAGGCTGTCACCGCGGACGATGACCGATTTTGTCGCAATGTCCGAGAGCTTGGTGGGCCTGATACATCCTCGGGCTTAGACACACCACCCTGACAGCTGCTTCTGCATGGATCATGAGTAGGCGACTCATCTGTCCTGGGGGTTTCTACACGTTAAAGCCACAGGGTCGGATGCGCGAGACACGCTGTGTTCTGGAGATGATGCAGATCATTATCTGCCTTGAGTACTTGGGTATTGAAGCCGGGTAACCCCATCTCATCGACGTGCAGTGTTGCTATCTTGTCTGAGAGCCGCATTCTTGTCGAGGTAACATAGGGACGAAACGAAGTCACACGTCTGTCGACCTAGGGCCTGTGTGTATAAATGTTCCGGCATATGTTCTACAGAACACTGCCGGAAGAGGCAGGTGCTCCCCGTGTGACAAGACGGAAGTCATGCATGTGTCGCGGCCAGCGAAGCGAAATTGACAAAGCAGGGTCGCAAGGCAACGTTATTTCCAGTAAGAGGTGCTCGATATAAGTCGCAACATTGACATGCCACCCAATACGTCGAATGAACGCATGCCCGACATCTGCATTTAAACATACTATCACTCCGGGAGCCATGGCATTGTTTGATGAACACTGTGCTGGCTGCTGACGAGCGAGAAGATGTCGAGGCGACTGGCGATCGAATCACGACTTGCCTTTTATAGAACGAGGAGCAACTTATTCAAGCATTTTGATTTGACTCCTGGGAATGTTTTGCGATCTGTTTTCCGGAATTCCGGAATGCCCAATTCAAATGTTTTCGCTTCTTTGTTGGCCTCCTATACTATATTATCTGGTCCCCGTTGACTTCCACGTCAAACCCGCCACACTCCCTTCCTCTCCCCCCATCCCTTGCTTGCTCATGCGTCTTGCTCGATTTTGAACATCTTACGCACGCATAGACTGCAAATACAATTCACCGGTATGGATGATGAAGCTATATTCGTGTTATATCCTTCAACGAACATATGTTTAACAGGTTCGATTTTCAAGTCGTCTTGGTGACCTTTCGACGCCACAATGGCCTCGACTCAAACGTGAACTTCATTTTTGCTGTGACGCGTTCGAGCACGATTCATTGGGCGAGTAGGTCATCTCACAAGCGCAAGACACGTCCACCCGAGAGCGTCTCCTCGGACGCGCATTCAGAGGGAACCACACGCAGTCCTGTCGCTGCTCCTGATCTGCCGCGGGGCGAATATGAGACGGGTCGCGTAACCTGCGAAGAATGCGGGGAAGCTGTCTCCTTCAGGGATGAATCCACCGGTGGATTCACCGTCTCTCTCTGGGAAGCGCACCGCATGGAATGGTGTGTATTGGCTATGCATTTTTTGAAACGTCCTTCCCTGAGACTGTCCTTCCCAGCCATGCAAGTTCCCCACAACAGATTCCACCCCCGTTCCGCCAGGTTCAGTCTATACGGTTCGAGATGGCAGAGCCAAACGCGAAGCGCAGACGCGCTAAGCGTTCGGAGGAGGAGCGTATTGAGTATCTACGTTCGGATCCATACGTCGCGCAATTCGAGGCCTACCGCGTTTTATGCAAATGTTGTGACAAGTGGATCCGGTTACGCCCGAACTCGACATACTGCTCCATTCCTTGGGATGCCCATCGCAGGAGCTGTGTGTCAAAAAGAGTGTAAGTCATTGTCTCTACTATCCTGCAAGCTATTATGAGACGAATGAAAATATTTGCTACAGCGCCAAGGGTGCCTACCCGGCAAATGACCGCAGCGTAGTCTTCTCCACAGACCCGGCCATCAGCGATTTTGATGCTGAGCGAGTGCTGTGTAAGCTCTGCGACTCTTGGATTACCGTGGGCGATGCGGAGAACACTGAAGCTGTCAGAACCTGGATGGATCATCGTAGAGCTTGCCAACAGGGGACATCACCAGCACCATCGGCAAGCTTCATAGCTCCTGCGTGCGTTTTCTGTTCATTCCAGCTGTGGCAAGGATTTTCAATCTATCTACAACACTTACAGAATACCCTCCGCTGACAGCGTCCCGCCACCGTCGCGGCATTTGCTGGCCCTCGCCTCGTCTTCATCGCTGCCAGCCCCAGCCCCTCCATTGCTAATGAACGGCGCTGGTACCGCGCCGACAGGCAATACGCCTGTCGAAACATCTGCATCGTCCTCCAGAGACGTCGCGATCCCCACAGCACCTGCATCAGAACCCAAGCGAAAAAACGCGGACCAACGTGCTGCCATTCTGAGGGCGGACCCGCTAGTTGGCGATGTGGAGCCAAACCGTATTTTCTGCACTCTGTGCAAGAAGTGGGTGCAGCTGAGGCAGGATAGCGCATACTGCTCGTACCCGTGGCAACAACACCGAGGAAAATGCGTGAAGCGCATGTGAGTCGATTGGCCTTGCTGCGTCGACGATAGTCTCAAAATTCCGGGCTTTAGGGAGAGGCGAGCGCTGAAAGAGGCAGAACTCCAGAGCAGGCGCGCAGCTGCGCTCGCTGCCGGACTTGAGATGCCCCAAGAGGATGCAGATGACAGTGATGATCCTGAGTCAGAAGAAGGCGTTGAGGACCGGGATGAGAGCCAGAAAAACGGGCGACGGGAGGAGAAGAGGAAGGCACCATGCGACATGATGTCATTCCCAACCAGGCGGTGGCGGCCAGATATACACGTGGATGCCTCACGCAGACAAGGAGGCCGTTCGTCAGCCTCGGATGTCTCAGAGCAAAACGAGGACGCCATGGATGTCGACACAGACGTTGTACGCGCTTCACGTCTTGCCAACCTCGATACACCCCACGGTCGGTGAGTGAAATCCTACTCTCCTCTGTATGCCACGTCCTTCTTACACACTGCTCTAGCTTGGACTTCACCTACCGCTCTGTCAGATATCTGTTCAAGACCACGTATGAGCGCACAGACGAGTTAACTATCGCTGCCTTAGTCACATATCTCAACGCTGCAATGCCGCCGGACAAGCACGAAGACTTCGATACCGCGGAAGTGACGAAGGCAGCCATGACTCTGCACGAGCGTGGCTATTGTGCATTCGAAGGGGACGTGCTCCGGATGCCGAACTGAATGGCTAACGCAACTCTTTCTTGTTATCTTGCCGTGACAAAAACGATGCTCGGCCAGCCAACTCGTGCCTGATAGTACTTCACACAGATACTTATTTTATGCCGGCACTAATGCACGATGGACTGCGTGATCATATCGTCTGTTAGGTTTGTGCATGTTCTGTACACAATTTGGACATTCTCGTACTGTTTCGATACTTCTCCACAACTTTCTGCCTCTCTTGCATCTCAAACGGGCTTTCATCCGATATGGACCAGTAGTTGCTGCCCGCGTTGATTGTGATTGTTCCCGTGTGCGGCATATCCACGACCGCCCGTATATATAAGGACCCTGTCATATAAACGTTGCTCTAAACTTGTGCATGCATGCAGGGCTGTCGCCTATATTTATTGAAAATGTCAAGACCTGTTGAGATGCGATTAATAGAGTCACGGGAATTCGGCCAACGAGCGCGTTTATCCATGGGAGTAGCGATGCCAGTAAGGGACAATCGTGGTACGTACATCGCGAGTGATCAATTTTAAGTTATGAGGGGGGCTACTATCGCGCCCAAGCTTGTGGGCTCGTTCCTGACCGCATCTTCAACAGAGATACGGAGTGAGGGGTAGGGCTTCTCATCGGAGGAGCCGTCTTGAGGTAAGTCGGACGAGAGCTGGCGTGTCGTGAAACTGGTGTTCCTCCAACGGCCATAGGATCTTCTATCTTGCTCCAATGTACTAGGCACAATCACAGGGCAATAAGCTCACGAGGATACAACAGCGGGAAGTCAGCCGGGTGCGGTCTGTGTGTGCGGCGAACTAGAGAATGTGAAAAATCACAATCCTCGACCCACTCAGCATGACTTCAGTCGTGCAGGGTCTACTGACGGTGGCTGACGGGTTTCGGCGCGTGCTTGAAACCCTGTTGATCCAGGAACGTGTTCCATGCGCCGAGACACTAAACGGCTTGTGAGAAAGCGTCCGTACTCGGCTCCGATAGTCGTAGAGAGTGTAAGACCGTGTCTGAAAGAGAAGGCTGTGCCTGACGAGTGACAGATGTGCTCGGACAGAAATAGCGTGGCGGGTAAGACGGAGATGTATCATCATCATAATCATCATAATGCCGCCCGACCAATTCGTCGTCGACCCGGTCGCGGCAGAAGAGGCCCGAGCAATGAAAATCGCTCGACGGTCATTATCGATGCTCCACGACATTTTGTGCATTGTCGCGGCAGAAGAAGATGATCAGGGTCTTCTAGGGCTTGTTGGATCACATGTGGAGACGAGTGAGCAAGTGTCCATCGTCTTGAATGATGTGGACGCACGTACCTGGATTCACCACCGGCGCGCTGGAAACATACTGGAGTCGCAGAAATCGCTCTGACAACACCACGGTCGGATTTCTCGCTCGTTAGGCCGCAATGCGCTCACGGTGCTAGTGTCGCCCGAAGAGCGAGACGCTCGGGGGCGGCTGCGAGGACAAATAGGCAGTAAGGTTCATGAGTTTATCATTCCAACGCGGAAGGCCCGACGCTGCCGTCGTTGTAAAGGACTGCTCTGGGAGTGTGCGCGCTGCGTCGCAGATGTACGGTGATAGTGGCGGGCGTGATGTCTGGAGCCCCTGTCGACATTCTCGGCGGCAATCTCGCCGTGGTACGCGCGTATGACAGGACGGCGGTGTAAAGGGGGCATGCAGAGCAAGTCAGGAGCCTGTCTGAAATGACAACAGTTACTGCAACGGATCAAACATCGCACTCTTCATTTAGAGCCACACACCAAAATATGTACGGACCGCAAACGTAAGCGACTGCTTTTGACGCCCAATTGATGGCTGTGTCATTGAAGAGGGCGCGTCGGCATGTCGATTTGGCTTGTGTGCCCGTGTCAATGGAAACGAACGGACATTTCATCCGCACTGCAAGGGTCCCATAATCGGGAGCGGTCAAATATGTAACCATTGAGAAGCCGTACGTACCATGGACCGAGAGGGTCCTCCGATCTACTAGGGCGGATTACGATGTGTTGGGCGATCAGGGTAAAATCTGCAGACCACGCATACATTCCTCAGGACGGCTGTGACAGCGATTAGTATGACATCATCTTCACGCTGGTCCTAGCATTTCGGTACAATCGCAACCGGAAAACTGGAACCTACGCAATATATGCGCGTAGATCGGAAAACTCAGTGGGGCCGGACATTCGGTGATCCTGAGAATAAGGAACGGACTACGTCCTCTGTGACAGTGTGGTACGCATCCCCTGCTCTAATGCTGCATTGAGGGGTCTCCGACATAATCAAAGCCGTGTAAGTCATCGGGTTCCCTGCGCCGCAAAGCCCCCAATCGAACAATCGCACACAGATGTATCCATGTGGACCTGTCCGATGTATTTCATCATGACTCGCTCCATTCCAACCGACGCGTCGCTGAGCAGTACGGAAAGGTATTAGTGCGACAAACAACAGTCCGTCGATGTCTTTGTCTGATACCCCTGATACGAGTCGGTCACGATATATCCCAACATGTCCTTACGCCAATGCGCTAGTACTTGGGAAGATGAGAGTAAACCACCAAGTGAACTTAAGATGCGGCGGCTAAAACTGCTCCTGAAGGCTACAATGCTCACCCTATCATGTGAATCGAAGTTCGCAAAATATTTCCATGCTGGATGAACACTGGCCTGTGGTCACAAGTCGGGGATGTCATAGCTTATTGCAAACAGTCGGGAAGGCTATTAATGGCAAGTTGTGGCGGCGATGGCGCCGCGGAATTAGACTCGGCCGTGCCATCGTCGGAACTTGAACATCATACTGAATTTATGCTCCGCCCCTCCGTGTGGTCCGACTAAGATCATGGTGATGAACGCTTGCTCAAACGTGAGCTCCGAGTTGAGTGCTTACATGTCTGGCCTTTACGCCCAGCTCTGCTCGAGGCCAATTCATCGTGCGAAGGTGCACTACATGACCCAAGCAGTGTTTGTTTGGGTTCTGAAAGCGCGGCTGCTTTTGTTGTTTCGGTGGCTGAAATGGGCGCGGTCTCTGCGCATTCGTGCATGACTGGGTATGTCAACTGCGATCTATCTCCTCCCTTTCTTGTATCCGGCGTAGCTGTTACGGTACGTGCGCCACTGTTTCACGCCATATGTCAGTGCCCGCCTCTCTCATAGCCCTTGCGTCACGATAGTTGTCATTTTAAATCCCACTCGTCACCAGGCAAGGCAATCGGCGGCACGAGATTCAATACTCGTCGCATATGTTTTGGAAATTTCTAGGGATGCCTCTGTTCAAGCTACATTCTTCGTCTTTTTCGGGATAATTGGTGAAGCTCCATCAATTGCGAAGGCACACCTGTTACGTCCTACAACCTATTTCCATCAGCGACTCCCCGTCACGCTTCATTCTCGCTCGTCCTTGTCCAGAGATCCGCCTGAGCCGCCTCAGACAAACAGACTGCCATAATGTCAGCGAGGCCGGTGTGCCAGACGTTTGCAATTTGGTGACTCGTAACCCTTAGTCTGCGGCAATGCAGCGCTCCGACGCTTTGCTTTCTGTACGGCGGAGTGCCTTGACTTGACTGTGCGGGTTAGCAACGCACCTTTCTTTTCTCGTTCCGAAGGCATTAACATGGGTCACGTCACGTTCCTTGAGGAATTACAGAGGATGGCCTTGCGAGCGCGCATTCATTCCACGTCCCGACGTGCCGTCTCGATGTGAGCTGCCCCTATGTCACATTTTAGTATGTGTGTTAACTTGACATCGTCCCTGTGCAGGTCGGTTGCGGGATGTCAAGGCGGCGCATTCACGCCGAGATCTAGTGTGGACGCCGCCACCGACTGCGATGGTATAAATTCGACGACGAGGAGGCAGAAGTCCCTCATCTCCCTCCCAGTCGTTTTCGTCCGCATAGACTCACCCGGACTCCAATGGCTCACTTCCCTCTCTCCGCTACTCTGGTAGCACTCGTCTGCGCTGCCGGTGCTCTTGGCCACTTAGGTCCCATAACGGAGCTGCCCATAACCAATGGCTGGGTCAGCCCAGATGGTTTCGAACGTATGGCAGTTCTGCCTAACAATCAGTTCCCTGGCCCCATTATCGCGGGATACAAGGTACTGTAACATTACTTGTGCTAACATTCGGGGTCTCACATCTACGGAAAGGGAGACAATTTCCAGATCAATGTCCATGATCAACTCACCAACGGCACTATGAACAAGACTACAACCATTGTTAGTCCGAATGGGATCCGATGAGAGAGAGCAGCCATTGACCATATTCCATTTACAGCATTGGCACGGGATATTCCAACACACAACTAATTGGGCTGATGGGCCTGCGTTTGTAACCCAATGCCCGATCGCTCCAGGCAACTCCTTCCTTTATGATTTCACTGTTCCTGACCAGGCTGGTGAGTTCATTGCGAATTTCCTATGTATCATGAGTTAACAGGCAAATATAAGGGACATTCTGGTACCATAGCCACGAGAGCTTGCAGTACTGTGATGGTCTGCGTGGCCCGTTCATCGTGTATGATCCAGATGATCCGCACAAGAGCCTCTATGATGTTGATGATGGTGCGAGGTCTAGCCGAGCGACTGCCAATTAACATCTGCTGATGGACCTGCGAGAACAGATAGCACTGTCATCACTTTGGCCGATTGGTATCACGTCCCTGGCATCCAGGTCACCATTCCTGCGTGAGCATCTAAGCGAACCTGAAAAAAATACTATGGCTAATGCGTACGTGACAGGGTCTCGGATTCTGTTCTTATCAATGGCTTGGGTCGTGCGGCTAACGACAATAGCTCTCCTCTTTCGGTCATCACCGTCAAGCAGGGATTGCGGTAAGGCGCTCCTACTTGTGGGCGAGTACAAGCGATTGATATCATTTTCAGCTATCGCTTCCGTCTCATATCAATGTCTTGCGACCCGTTCTTCAACTTCACCATTGACAGTCATACCATGACTGTCATCGAGGCCGACGGCGTGAACACTCAGGCACTGCCAGATCTCGATTCAATCCAAATCTTCTCTTCTCAGCGTTATTCCTTCGTCGTACGTCATACAACCGGGTCACGGAGACCTCGACGAATGTTGATATCTTACTTTGTCCACAGCTGGAGGCAGACCAGCCTATTGATAACTATTGGATTCGTGCCGCGCCTGAGCCGCTCGCGGGCTTCGGACAGAGCGACCCTCCGACCGGTTTGGCTATTCTCCGCTACGAAGGCGCGCCTGCGATCGAGCCAAATGCTTCCATCGATGATACGCCTTCGTCCACCAATCCCCTGGCTGAGGTCAACCTCCACCCGCTGACGAACCCCGAAGCGGTACGCATATGCAGAGACGCGCGGAAATGCCCATGCTGACTTTAAGCCCGCAGCCCGGAGGCGTCGGTCCCGCCGATGTGTATCTTAATCTCAACTTCTCCTTCGTGAGCGCTCCATTGCGATCGGATTGCTCGGCCACTCTGACTAATTTGTTCCAGACCAACCCTAAGTTCTACGTCAACAATTTCAGCTTCACTCCTCCCACTGTGCCGGTGCTCCTACAAATTCTGTCCGGAGCTTACACCGCTCAAGAGCTCATGCCGGAGGGCAGCGTGTATACTCTGCCGCCCAACAAGGTCATCCAGATCTCCATGCCCGGTGGCGTCGTTGGCGTCCGGCACCCTCTGCATCTGCACGGCGTGAGCACTCATATCCTCCTCGGCGGTTGTTGAATGATATTGACAAGGCATGCATAGCACGCGTTCTCTGTGCTTCGGAGCGCCGGTGATGGCACCAGTGAACTCAACTATGTGAACCCTGTGCAGCGGGACACGGTGAACATCGGGTTGCTAGGCGACAATGTCACCATCCGTTTCGAGGTACGTCCGTACATCTGTCGTCCGGCGCAAGGGTGTCTGATCGAAGTTGCTGGTAGACCAACAATCCTGGCCCGTGGTTCCTCCACTGTCATATTGATTTCCACTTGAACGCTGGATTTGCTGTGGTCATGGCGGAAGATACCTATGATACTCCCCGCGTTGACTATCCTCCGCGTGAGTTCTCTCCTTGCTGTGGAACGTTGTTCACAATCTCACCGTATCTACAGCGGCATGGGACGAACTGTGCCCTACCTTCGATAAGCTCCCTGTGTCCGATTACTAGGTGAACCTCATACACACAGATAATGGGTCACAAACGGTATAATCATCTCATATAATACCTATTGGTACTCCCGACTCTTTATCTATGTCCGCGCTAATATTGTTGGACTATTTCTGCTTGATAAATACGTACACGATCCCTGTACACACATTCCTTGATAGTGTATTCAACTGTACAGTTACTTAGTCTCATATTTAGGGTGTCCCTTGTTCGTAATTATAACAGAAGGGTGAACCTGCCCGGCTTTGCCCATTGTTCTATTCGCACTGAATGATGGTTGCTGTGGAATGAAGCGATTAGTTTCTAGGACGTGCCTGCTTCTGGTATTTAGTCAATTAAATTGGGTTCGTTGCTGATGTGGACTTCCCTGCTTGAGAAGCCAGCCTTCAGACGGGTGCATCCATTCAAGTATGTCGTCGATTACGAAATTTCCCTGAGACCATATGGCAACGCAGTCAGCGAGACCGAATGGTGATATCTCGGTAAGTTCACTACTAATACGACGTTCAACATCAAGGACGCAATAAGGGTGTTTGTCACGGTGGTATCTTTGATAGGCGCGCAACCCGCTACCCCAGATCACATCTCGCTCTTCCCTTCCTTCTCCCCTCAATAATGTCCGCGCCCCTCAACCTCGACGAAGAGGTCCGGTTATACACTACGAACGCAGACCGCGAGAAATATGGGCTCCTTGCGACTCTCTTCGGCATCATCGTCGCCCTGGATTACCTCGAGCGGGCGTACGTGCGCGACTCAGTAACGGCAGCAGAGTGCGTGTCTGGTCATAGTGAAGAGAAGCTGAACGGTGAAGCTAAGTTCTGTGGATGAAGAGGTACTCTCCAGCGTGCACAAGGCTACTGTCTCAGTACAAGACCATGCTGAAGCTGGTGGGTGACGATGTGCCTTCCATTGAGCAGTTCATGAGCCGGTATCGGGTGAGCATTCATGTCCATTCCTCCAGCATTCGTGTCAGGATAACTCATTGTTCATGGAGCAGATGGACCACCCTGCTGCTCTTCACAGATTAAAGGTCGGAGTGCCTGCCACGGTCGAGCACTCGAGCGAGGCAGGACCGGAGACAGGGAAATGGGTGGCCGAGACAACACAGGTATGTCTGGCTCTTACCGTCATTTTGACAAGATATCTAATATTACCCGCTAGAACTTCATCACCTTCATGGATGCGCTCAAGTTGCGCATGCGTGCGAAGGACCAGCTGCACCCAATCCTGCAGGAGCTCGTGACAGGCTACGCACGTTTCAAAGGCAGCAAGGATTGGGAAGGCAGGAGCAAGATGGTCAGCTGGTAAGCATTCTGCTTCCGCCACCAACGAAGGTAACAATTTTTACATGCATCCCTCCAGGCTCATCATGCTCAACGGCATGAAGGCATCAGAGGAGATTACAGAGGAACAATCAAGACAGGTGAGTGGTACGAATGCTGTTGCAATCTTCTGTTGGCTGACGGTCGATGGTGTGTGCAGCTGCTGTTTGATATCGAGCACGCCTACGCGGAGTTCTTCCGCAGTTTGAGCAATAAGGAGGGGGGCTCATAGCGTCACTATTGTATGTTTAACCTGTACGACTAGCTGGATGAGAATGTGATTTCCAATGTCCCGTGAATACCACCCATATTCGCGTGCTCTGAGTAGAAGTAGCTGTGTGTTCGGCATCGTGCGCAGCGGATACTCTCGCGCGCAGCCGCGGCATGCCGCTGCGCCCCCATCTGTTTCTGCCTCAAAAGCTCATGGGTTACCTCTGCCATGACGATCCCACCGGTTTGTCCTACAGACACAGACACACAAATTGCGTTTTGCCCGTCCTTTCTTGGCTAGGCTCCTGAGCTTGACATCCAACCACACTCTCCTCAGTCCAAGTCGCAACTCGCATCATGCTGTCCTCCCACAACCCCTTCCGAAACAAGGGTCTCTCGCCACAATCAACCGGCACATCGAGCGTCGGCACGTCGCAATCCAACAGTTCAGGTAGCAGCTCACAGGACGTCGCTGGACAACGTCACACACCACCGCCCCGGACAGCGAGCCGCAGCGCCCTTGATGATAGCGACGCATCAAGCCATACGACCTCATACGACAGCCCTCTCCCACCTCTCCCAGCAGACGATTTGGACATCCTCACGCAGGAGCTGCCCCCCGCCTACACACCCGCGCCAGATGTCGCCAAGGGCGAGTCGACGATAGACATGGGTCCACGGCGGCCGTTCCAGGAGCCGGCGCGTCTACCTCGCCAGCAGCAGCGGCAGTACATCACCCCAATCCCGTCATCATGGCGGGCACAGCAGTACGCAAGCACATTCTCGTTGAGCGGCTGGGCACAATACCCAGGTGGCCAACGGGGTGCACGCGGCCAGGCAAACCCGCCGCCATCGCACCCTTCGTTGCATAGGCCTGCGCGCCCGAGCTCGGCCCCGAACTCGGATTCGGACGGGCAGCCGCTGTCGGACTTTGCGCGCGAGTTCTACGCTGCTGGTGCGGATGTTCCAGGCCTGAATGCGGAGACATCTGGGGGGGCCGCGGGACCGGGTTCGCGCAGACAGGGCAGCAGCGCCGCCCCAGACGATGGCAGGCCAACCGAGCAGCCCACGCCGGGCCACCCGCTGCTGAGGCATGGAAAGGTGCTGCAGTACCCCGCAGGGCATGAGTGTGACAGATGTGAGCGCATTCTTCACTTGTCTTCCTCTTCTCGCTAGGGCCGAGTAGCATCCGCGGGGCGAGACCGAGTCACTGACATCATGTGCATTCCCCAGGTCACAACACCGGTTACAGGAATAACGACCCCACATCGCCGTGTCTGAGATGCTGGGACAAGTACGGCCGCCCGTTCAGCGGTGCCCTCACCTACATATCATGGAACGCGCCTCCAGACCCCTCCTCGCGGCATGCCTACCAGCGGCCACTCCCGCGCTTCACTCCACCTCACCTATCCGGGTCCGGGTCAGGACATCGGCCATCGCAGTCCTACGGTGGGCTTGGCTCGGAGTCTCCGCTCTCTGCACATCCGCGCATCGCGTCACTTTCGCGTCCATCCGGCGCCTACGCAGGAGGTACGGGTCCGCGCGTCATCCCTGTCGCGGGCGGCGGTGTGGCGATGAGCCCGTACCTCGACCCACTGCAAAATGTGCCGACAAATGTGCGCGGCGCGAACAACGCGCCACCAGGTGCGACGATATTGCGTCCAGGCGACCCGCGCATTGGCGGGCGGCTGTGCTGGCGGTGTGGGGGCGACGGCGTGACGTCGACGTTCTTATTCCTTGATGAGGAGACGTGCTCGCTGTGTGGCGGAATTGGACGGACCTTCGTATAGTTATGCCGTTTTGTGGTCATTTCATCTCAAGAATATGGAGGTATGTGATTTAGATGGCTTGTGCACATTATTCGTCATTGTTGTATGTACTGCAGCATGTAGTTGCATCATGATCGCTGCATGACACGCGTTGCAGATTCTTGTTCTCTCCGGCTTCCGGCTGAGACATAACATGTGGTACCCAAGCACTGAACGAATGCCGTACTCGATCTGGTCAGGCGGGAAACGTGTGAAAATAGCTTGCATGCCATTGGCCAAATTAGTATCACGGTCATGGCGGGTACAGTGGATGGCTTTGGCGGACCCTTTGCCATACACTATTCGCGCGCTTGACCAAATGAGATCGCTATGATCACCGCTAGACTCAGGACACACTGAGGTGACGCGCAACTCGTGAATAGACAAACAAAGTGAGCGCAGCTCAGTGAAGGAGTGAACAGTCGTATCCACACAGCCGCGTCGTCGCAATGCGTACATGGGCGGTCATTGTTCATTCGTCAACGCTTTGCGTTTGAATGTCGCAATGACGACAATGCAGGCTGAAAATACCCAGTGGCTGCTCCAAGTGGCTTCGACATGTCGCCTGAGCAACAGACTCAATGAAGTCAGAGAGCATGTGTTCGGCCAGTGGCGGAAAATGTCCCGTTTGCACGCGGTTTACAGACGCGCGCACCGTCCGATCGGCAAGCCATCACACGGTGATACGGGTAAGTGTGAGAGCAGGTGCTTTGTGGGCACACAAATATAGGATGCCGTACAGCGAGGACGTCGACGAGTACTGCAGAACGTATTTGCGAAGTAGAATGAGTGGAGTTTCGGACGCGGTTTGGTAATGTATACGCGGTGGTCACGGATCACATGGGCTCGTGACGGAGCGCGTCGTGATTGGGCACGGGTCGGACCGTCTCCGGGCAAACGCGCGGTGGCTGCAAGCTGCAATGTTTTAAATTACAGGACGGACGCCACGCTGCGATGTGCACTGCTTCCCCCTCCAGCATGCCGCAGCTTTGTCCGCCCGCTGGCGCTGTGCATGAGGTCATCCCCAAGCTTCGACCACAATGAACTTGGACCCGCGTCCGAGTGTATATCATCCCTCCCCATTCCTCAAAGCAAACCAGCTTTCACTGCAGTTCCCTCGCCGTCTCCTCTACCAGAGGCCATCGCCACTATCGATCCCACCCCTTCATCACAACCATCCATGTCTCGCACAATCACGCTGGAAGAGGTCGCAAAACACAACAGAGCCGAGTGAGTTTGTTGCCCTATCCCCTCAGGATGTGGCTGATCTTTACACGAACAGTGACTGCTGGGTCATCGTGGATAACAAAGTCTACGACGTCACCGACTTCATCCCGGTAAGCTGCCCGTGGCGCGTACTCCCCTGCGCACGTCTGACAATCACGTTCGCACACAGGCACACCCAGGAGGAGCCAGGATGCTGCTCAACTTCGCCGGCCGCGATGCGACGGCCGCCTCACGACCATTTCACGCCCCTCCACGTATCGCCGCCGCCCTACCCGCGCACAAACACCTCGGCGAGCTCGATTACAACAGCATCAAAGCGCTTAAAAAATCCGGACGCGCTCCCAGATAGGCACAGGCAGCAGCAGCAGACCTGTGCGGGCACGGATCATGCTGCATGACTCTATCCCCATTCCTCCTCTCCCGATAACCTATCCGATACCTTACGAATGCCATAATCCGTACCGAGCACCTCACCATGTGTCACTCGTGCATCATGTATCCATACCCCACATTATCTAGTTTTCGCGCATCGTCGGAGAGCATATGTTCACTTTACGCAGATCATTCGTCACGGTCAGACAAGTAATTCATCTGCATGGACGGTGTACGTCACCAGTAGGCAATGCAATACAAATCGATACAACGGGAGAAGCGTGCGTAGAAACATGTGCTAGGTAATGAGTAGGTGACGTACACGCGGATCGGCAATTGCGGATTGCTAGAGTAAGACAAGAAGTGATCAACAATGACACATGTTTGCGGCCCAGCGAGGATCAGATGTCATTGTAAAGGACCTAGTAGACGCGTGCAAGATATGGTGGGATCGGATGCGAGTGCATGGGATGCGCCTGAGGGCGGTGGGACTGCGGAGGAGGCATCGGCAGCGAGTGTCGCTGCTGGAGATAGTGCGCAAACTGTGCCTGAGGTATGACGACCTGGTATCCCTGGGGCGTTTGCCGCCCGAAACCCATGATCGGCAGAGTGCCGCCAGCATGCGTGTGGGCCCTGTAGTGCATCGCGCTCGGGAAGGGGCCAGGCATTGGACGCCCGTCCATCAGTCGAGGCATAGAAGGAGCTTGACTCGAGAAGCTGTGCAGAGGAGGTCCATTCATCGAGTGAGATCTCGGAAGAAACCCATTCATTGGAGGGCCGTTCATCGGATTGCCATGCATAAACGGTCCATGCACAGGGCTTCCATGCATGAACGGTCTCGGACTGTTCATTGGCGGACAATTCGCTGGGACACCTCTAGCCGTGGCGGCTTGCACGGCTTGTTCGATAACCATGTCGATCCGGGGAGGCAGGAACTTCTTGCCCTGTCCATTCGGCGCCTTCTGGTGCTGCGACATTATTTGGCGCCCAAAGAACGACGCACCAGGGTTCGGCTGCAGGTTGTGCAAATTGCGCCTCTGAGGAGTGTCCGCGGACTTGCTTGGCACAGTCCTAGCGCGCTTACGCGGGTTATCAGATACATCTTTCTCCTGCAGACTGTCAGAGCTTGTATCTGTGGACTGCGAATTCGAGCTAGCCAGAGCCTTGTCTGTCTCGGGTTTCGACACATGTGACGTGCATGTTGAGAAGGCTGCGTTCGCCTGCACTTGTTGCATCACCAGCATACGAAGGGACGTTGGTCTCGGAGTTCGGGTGGTGCGCGCAGGGCGTTGCTCTCGAGCACGAACCATCCAATTCTCCTGAGCTTGAGAAATCGCAGGAGACGCCGACAAGTAAACATGAGGGATCCAAGACGTTAGAGCCAGCTGTACCCAGAGGCTCCATGCTTCAGTATCAGTCCAGATTATGAAGATCGAGAAGAGATTTCTGTCTTGTGTGGGCAGCAGAGTCGTCGAGATCTCTCTAACAGGCATTCCGGCAGTCCCATGTCTACGGAGCACAGAGAAGGACAGCACTAGGTCCCAACAGTGCGAGTATGCCACTAGTGCAAGATATTGGGCAGCGAGCGTGGCTTCATTCAAGAGAGTAGGCGAGACGAGCCCAGAAGTCGTGGCAAAGAAGCTGGGGCGGCGCACCCGGACGCGAAAGATTGTGACAAGAGGGCAAAACCCGACCACTGCCCAGCAGCTAGAGAAGAGCACCAGGGTCTGAGAAGCAACAAGATCAATTATCTGTTGCCCGAAGACCCGAAGTAAGAACGATTGATCAAGAGCTCGCGAGATCCTATCGAGATCGGTCACAGTATGAGTAGCCGGCGTCCGCCTCTGATCTATGCGCACTTGTGACGCAGCATCCATGCTATTGGAGTAAGGGAGACAGAGGGCAGGGACGCGGAGCGGCTCGCACAGTGACTGCCAAAGAAACTGTGAGTCGTGAATATTTGACTCGACAGTGCACACATACTTGCTGCATAGCTGTGAGCCTGAGGATTAATCTATACGTATGCCCCGACGGACGACACGACTGCAACGATTCGTTGTGAGATAAGATAGCTTGGACCATTTCACGAGCGGGTTACCTGTGTTGTGAATTCTGACCGCTTGATTGAGTCATGTTTCAAGCGTTTCTCGGAATGCTCCTCGATGTTGATATGCTCAGTAGCGACTCGACTCGCGCAGCTGTGATTACGGTCGTCTGCGACATATCCGCAATGGCCTCTGATCCAGAAAGTCAACCACAACAGACAGAGGGGCCCAGAGAACACAATAACATATGTAAGGATTGAAGAAATGAGTGTCGTAGATGAAAGATTGTATGAAACTGCCATGATGGTGAAAGCAGAAGACCAGGCCAGTGTTGGACCGGAAGCAACTAGTGTGCAGAAACGAACCTGCGCAGGGCAAGCGCCCACAATCATAGCATATCTGGCATTCACCGTCGCCACGTGGCTTATAATGAATAAATCTTGATGTTTGGCGCTAACCTCTTGAAGTTTGGGTGCCTTCCGGATCTCTGGACTTGTCATAGCAGAAGACCCGCTCATTCTTGTCGCTGTCTTTCTGCCTCACGATATACTGCAGCCCATGCTGCGATTTGCTGCGTTCCCGCCTGCTACATGACAGGGTTGCATATTGTTCGGCAGGTAATGCATGCTTTCCGACAACAAATGTGCTCAACGTTCATTAAGTTTCCTTCATATAGCAGGATATGTACTCTATCAACGCAGTGCATTGCGTACGATTGCGTAAGTACTAAGGGGCGATAGTATTTGTCTTCACCATTCGGCCCGCAATGGGTCGGTCGCTTCGGGATCATATTCGGTTGGAACGCCATCGGTGTATTTTGAGGCAGCGCCACACACATATAATGATGTGCACCAGCTCTCGTAATAGCGCGGCGATCGATATATTGAAACTTCTTGCTTTGTGGGGGTGCAACGGCGCTGCTAAATCAGACTAGCAGACAGTTTGATAAAATTCCCAATGCATCCAATACGCCGCTCAATCTCTACACTTCCAAGGAAACTGGGCACGAAATGTACGTATGAAAATTTGATCTGGTAAGGACGCTTGTATGTATCATGCTAAACACTTTTGTTCGCCCTCAGTGGGATAAGACGCCCTGAAATATATGTGATTCGGTCCCCAGAAATGTGTACGTGCTCCTGTCTTGTTGCTACTCCGTCGTCCCCGGAGCTATGAAACGGAGATGAGAACAAGTCGTGTGGTGGTGGCTACATATGGTGAGATTATTACCACGATCCTGCAGGGCTGTTGACCGGCTCCGTGCGCCGGTCTATCGGTTTCGTAGCAAGGCAAGTTTGGCGCACACGTCTGCCGCACGAAGCCGGACCCTGAGAGCATGTTCGATGCAAGCATGAAGCCTAGCGGCAAATATGAGCAGCATCGACGCGGAGGAACAAGCGCAATGGAGTCACCTGGATGCAAATCATGCAGAGCAAGTGTTACAATTGTGAAGAGCATCATTGCGCAATACAGACTACTGTAGGCGCTATGCTCTGGTAGAGGCCCTGCATTATATAACAACTACAATGTGGGGGCTAGGGATGTGGTATCACACGGAATGAAGGGGGTATACTCTGTCTAACCGATCGCACCTAACCGCCCGACCGGACGCTACAGCTCTCTAGTAGACGCCTTCAGCTGTCTCTAGGCCTTCAGCTGTCTCTAGCATTCTGACCGCACATTCCACGTCCTTATCCAGCGTCGTATTCCATGCCCAGTCCCAATTCATCCGTATCTTTTCGGATATTTGATCAAGCTGCGGCAACGGATCCTCACTGGGCAGCTGTTCCAACGTAAAACCAGGATAATTTAGAGTGAACAGTAACCCATTCTCGCGGGACCTCTCAGCGACTCGCTGTGCGAACGGACGGCGTATGGTATCGTAGATTTGCAACGCTCTGTCTAGAGTGGCTGTGGTTGTTAGGTGATGTCCGAGAAGCGTTGCGAGGATGTAGGCGTCCTGGTTGTACAATAAGTCGTCAGTCACGACGTCTGACCACAGATAGTTGGAACAGGCTCACCTCGATGGCCTGACCGGCACCGGAGCCCTGGAAGGGGACCATTGCGTGCGCCTGTACGTTGGACACATGATTGGATGCACAAGGGTTTCTGATTATATGAGACGTACCGCATCCCCGAGCAACGCGACACGACCACAGACGAAGGTTGGAAGCCTAGGTGCGGTCACCACTGCCCATCGATTAAATTGCGGGATGCTCTGTACAGGACATCGGTTTCAAATTGTTAGAATGTTAACTGACTTGACTTTACCTGGAATAGGGTTTGTATCTCAGGCTCCCACTCACTGAAGTCGCGCAACACAGCCTCTCTAGGGATGTTCTCGGTCCAGCTACCGTCGAGCTTCGTATCTTCGAGGTCGTATTGTGTATGGAATGCGGCGACATTGAGGATGGTGCCGTTTGATATAGGGTACGTGGTTAATTGCTAGATTCATGTTAAACTGTGGGTACATTTTGTGAACAGTTGCAGGTAGTATCTTACCGTATCCTTGCCAAAATACTAAAAGAAAGAGTGCGTAAGGAGATGTCTGTTATCTGGGATGAAGCGCACTCACAAACATGGGGTCTGTGAGGAGTCGATGTCCGGGTGATTGCATTCGCAGAGTTTCCATCGGGATGATAGCCCGGTAGGCGTAGATCCCGCTCCACAGTGGCTGAGTACGTTGGAGCTCTTCTGCCTGGTCGTGTCGTCCCGCGGCTGCTGCTTGTGACGCAAGCTCGCGAACCATGGTCGCGCGGGTCGCCGACTTTACACCGTCGGCACCGACCAGGAGATCACAGGAAGCGGACGTGCCATCGATGAAATGCAATGTGATGGGAGAGGTAGAAGGAGCACCGTGGCCTATGGGTAAATGGGTGTAGGATTTCAAGCGCTTACTTGTGTGCGTACGGCACTGAGGGGACACATGTCGTAGCAAAACGGACTGGAATTCTGGTCGATGGAAGGGAATCATACCGCCTGGATGGAATACACCATTTTATCGTGACGATGACCATCATGATGAGGGATCAACAACTGACCTGGGGTGACAAGGGTGTAGAAGTCTTTGCCCTCTTCCTGGTCCCCTTTACGAAAGTGGAACGACACCTCTACAGAAAGCATAGTTTGAGGTGGCAACGCAGAGAGATTAAGTGACATCACTGACGAGGCTGCATGTCTGACGAGGCCTTCGCAATGCCGGCTAAATCTCTGTCAAGCCCAAGTTGTTGCATTATCCTCCACGTTCGTGCCCACATTCCAATGCCCGCGCCGATTTCGGCAAGCTGGTGGGCAGCCTCATAGATATCGACTTGTATGTCAGGATACCGGGACAATGCAACGGCACAAACGAGCCCGCCCACGCCTCCGCCACTAACATATAGCAGTGAGTGAACCACGGATTCCAAGACTTGCATATTGAACGACGCACCAGATAGCCACCGTGAACTTTCGACTCATTGCGGGTGGTGGGCTACGGATGGTCAAAGAGGAAAGATAATATCAAACACAGCTCGGAAATTCGCCGCTTTATACTTCGCACGTCCCTGCGTATATTGAAATGGAATTGACGTGTAGTCGCGTATGGCGTCCTGACTTGTGGGAGACTTCCGTGTACACGGAGCAAGAGTCCAATGATGGCATGACATGACAATTGTCCAGCAATGGGCTTCGGGTCACACTAGTCGCTACTGAATCTGAACAAGTGTCGTTGTCACCGCGCAAACCCGATTGCATGGGTAAGGTCCCAAGAAGGGGCATACTACCGGCGGAAGAATAGAAGCGATTTCGCGGTGCGATCGGAAGCATCTTCTCCCTGGTCACCCGTGTAACTCGTGCGCATCCCGAACAGTTCACGCCACGAGTTGGGGTTAGGAGTGCGAGGGCCACGGACTTGGTGATCTCGCGGAAGGCGGTGGAAGGGACATCGATGTAATCGGCTAGTGAACCCTTTACGCAGGAACCGCAGCTTTCTTGGTTCTTGGACCCTATGCTGATGAGGGCATCTATGCATAATTAGGGAGGGCAAGACAAAGCCGGTATCATGCGCGTTCATGCTTGAGGACAAAAGCAACCGAAGATAAGTTGCAGGCGCCGAGTTAGTTATCTCGTTCACGGCACTGCAAGCGTCGGTAAGTGATTTACGGCGCATCAAATTGCAATACATCTAATCTGCCATCGAGATTGTTTAGTGCGATCTAGGCGGCGTCGGGGAGAACTGGTGTCGATACATCGTAGGCTGACACTGACGGACGATTGCAGTCGGCCCCGCCACAGCTTGGCTTCGCGGTGCGCTTACTTCAGTCGATCCGACGTACCCGGGAGTGTTGGGGATATTGTCACCTCGTGTCAGCACGGCGCTCTCAGGGCGAGAATACGGGTGGCTATTGATACAGCGTCCGATAGCATATGTTCTGGCGCATCTTGCTATCTACCTTGGGGTGAGAGTACACGAGTACGTAAAGTAATAGCGCACATACCGAATACAAACCGAGACAGGCACCTTCTGTCCGCGGGACGATGTCATGAGTTGATCGCTATCATCGCCGCGTGAATACCGAAGGCCGCCTTAGTATTCGAACCTTTAGATGCGTTGTCTGCGCAGTGTCTACGATCTCAACGGATTGATGCATTTAGAGGGCCGTACGAATCGCAAACTTACTGCGCACCGGAGATGATCTCAAGGACCACCGGGGACAGGGTCTGTACTGATCCCGTTACTTGATCGCCGGGCCCTGCCCTCTGTGCAAACATATCTTACAATTAAGGCAATGCGGAACAAAATGTAATGCCTCCGACACAGTCGTCCGTACAAATCGGCACCGTTACTTCCATGCTACACGCGAAGCCAATATATTGATTGCGATCAGGACAGTGATAATCAGAGAAGTGCGGCAGCTCACGAGTAGCTATGAAGCAATACATACGGTATCGGTCTGCAGACACGAACTGCCATTGCAGAACGGAATCTTCCGATTAGGCCCACTGCCGATGTCGACAGCATCAGGAGAGCTGGCGAACATTCAGTGCTTCTCCCTTACGCGGAACGAATGAGGGGTGGATTGTGGGGGTCCATGCAGCTGTTTTGTCTTCGATACTTCATGACAATCTCTGGGACGATGCGGATACCATTCAAGTCGCAGAAGCATGGGCGCATCTCCCGAGTCCACAAATGTTATCAATGCGAGAAAGTGAGGCGGGAAAGACGAGAAAGGCACCTAATACACGTGCTGACCATGCATGACAATTGTGCGCTTTACAAACATCACAACGGGGCGCGGTGGCTACGCTTACAGAGAGCTCACGTTAAACTTCACATCGGACACAGATAGAACCATGGTCTTGATGTTTCTTTGACCGCCGCTGATTAATGACACGCTGGCCACGAGGCTTCTCGCCATACAGTGTTCTCTGAATTCCGTCTTCTGCGGTATAATATGACCTATTCATCGAGTAGGTCAGCACACGTAAATTTGACTCTTCCATTCGTCGCTACGGGTTACACAGTGCTTGTGGGCTGTGTAATACGGGAATTTGTAGGAAACGTAGATGCCGTAAGACGCACGCTCGAGCAGCAATTCGCACCGAGACGCGCAGGGCAGTACCCTGAAAGCCGCCCTAGCCAGAAAGCCGCTCTATCCAACGCGGAGCTCTTGAGAGGCAAAGTGACAACTTCAGTCCAACTCCGCGTTTCAGCGGGCCGCCTGAGCCCTGAAAAATCAAACATACCGCCTGGTCAGCCCAGAGCCGAGTGGCTGGATGCTGCCTAGCAAAACAGCCCATCGCCGCATATCGGCAATGTCAAGTTCGATAACTATCCCAGTGCGCGCGCGTATCCGCTTACCTCTGACACGGCTTCTAAGAGTCAGCTTGCCCACTGCTGGTGGTGCGGGAAGAACATTTGCCCAATCTGAGCCACCCTTCGTAAACGATGGCCGATGGCCTTTCATTGAGCACATGTACTCTCCATCGATGGCACTAGCAATATCCGGCACCCATCATGCCCCAGGTTGCGGTTGCCTTGCTCGCCCTACGCCGAACTGCATAAATACCACACGCCGCATGCCCACTACCCCACGCTACGGGGGCATGTCGCAGCCCTGTCTAGGGACCGTCCCTCTGCCTCCTCCACTCGTCTGAGAGCAGACTCCTCGTGTCTCCGCTTCGACACCAATCATAGCGTGAACGACCAACCACAGACGACGAACGGAGGACATGGGAGCCGATCATGAGCACCGCGTTGGGACAAGTGCCCATTCACCGATCATCGCGGCGCAGGCATCGGACACGTTCGTACCGTTCTTCGCTTGTCCCTCGCCAGCCTGCGAAACCCCCGGGGCCCTAGACTTTCGCTGCATCACGGACGGAAAGCTGACGCCTCGCCGTTTGCACAAGCCCGCTCGTCATTGGGACAGCCGCCACATGAGCGGACCTCCCATTCAGCGTCACCGCCGTGGTGTCTCGCATCAAAATTACCCTGCGGCCTAGCACTATACGGGTCCACTGGTCGTGCGCACGTTCTGCGCAAGATTTTGCACTTGCGGAATCTTGTGTAGAAACTGTCTACGACATAGCTTGGACCAGGAAGGCAAACAGGGTGCTCGATGCCTGCGACCTACGGGCACAAGATAGAACCGCCATATTCAACGAGAAGATTAATCGCGTGGTCGATACGGACGACGGGAAGGGAGGTCCCGTGGCCGAAAGAGTGCAGGAGAATGGATGGATGCTCTGAATAGCCAGCGTTGCGAGGGTCTGGACACCCAGCCTACGCCAGCATATTCTACCTGTCACGCGCACATTCTGCGCAAGATTTGGCACCTGAGCTGAATCTTGTGTAGAACGCGTTCGCGACACGGTCTACGACTGCTGAAACAACACCACTCAACAGACCTGCTTGGGTCGCCTGCGACGCGCAGGACCGGTCTGCAAGCTCCAACGAAGCCACTGATGCCAGGTGCGTGACCGGTCTGGACGGCTGCGCCAAATTCCTTACCTCTGTACTTGTTAGCATGCAGTAGGAGGATGCGCAAGGCCAGTCACAAGAACTGCATCGCGAGCGCACTCACCTCGGCACGTCTCGGCTGGAATGTGGAATCAGGCTATACTCCGGGTGTTCCTGGACGGGCGGAGAGAAGGCGTTCCATGGCTCGCCCCGTCTTGTGAGTGGGTCACGGTAAGGGATTCAAGCAGCTGCACAGCGCGTCTAGATATCGTCGGGTCTTGTCTATGTGAGGTCAGTGAAGGAGTATTGGCGTAGGCGAACGGCTGATCAATTTACCTCCCGTGCTGCTCAGGCCTGATTTCGTCGCCACCGGCATGCACCTGCAGATCACGGCGATCGGCGTATGGAACCAGTGCGAGCGCAAAGACACGTCTGTCGCCATGCAGCTAAGAAGACAGCTAAGAAGAGCGCATATATGGACCGCGCCCACACGCATTGACTCACGCGTCATGAAATTGTAATAGAGATCTGAGCGGCTGCATCCGTCGGGGCAAAGTGAGTCGCATATGAGAGCTCCGCGCCGAATGGAGGACTGACCGTTCGCATTTGTCCTGGTGCTATAGGGCAGCTCACCAGCTTTGCGCAGCACACCTGCCCATCCATCGCTCTGCTTTCTCCAGCAGCGAAGCAAGCTTGAGAAGGCTTAGCGGTGAGACAGAGTGTGCATATAGCTGCCTATTACTTAGCAGATGGTGTCAGTGAAGCCACTAGCACCCGCCACGCAGTGGAATGCTCGTTCACCTTCTCCGACTGCATGACATAGAAAGTTTACGACCTTTGACGCGCTCTCGAATGCCCTCGAAACACTTCGTGCGGCCTCGGGGCCGTCTGATCCACCGCCACAGCGGTGATCGGTGTGCGAGCTATACTTCATTTGACGCGTTTTCTTCCCATGTCGCACACCTCCAAACGACATGTTCCCCGCCCAAGGTATCTTCAAAAGGTTGTTTGCGGTGCTTTATTTTTCCGGCATATTTTCACGTTCTGCGTGGGTGTTCAACGAACACCTAAGACGGCGGGATCCTGAAGCAGCAAGACTACATCGAGATAGAGCATCTCGGGTGCAATCGACAAGACGGGCGCGATCCCGCCGCTAGCTGGCCGCTAGTGGCGGCGAGTGCGCCCAATGGTGCACGTGACCGATATCTCGCTGGACAAGCGTTCGAATCTCGATGGGAGATGCGTCCGATGATGATGCAAATATTGATGACGCGCTTGTGCTTCTCTGATCCCGGTCGGAAGCAAATGGTCTATTGCCTGCTTTGTACACAAATATATCGAACATAATGTATTGAACGTGTTGAAGTTTCCGGTACATAGCGACACGGACTACTAGTTTGTGCCTGCGCGTGGCTTATGTAATACGTACGATACCTACGCGCCGGCGTTGAAACGCACCTCAGTTCTTTGCTACACGAAGGAGACTGAGACCGTATCGTATTGCCTCTTACAGTCCCTACGCGATGGTGCTCGCATTCCTCAGGTCGCTCCCGTCGTTCTACGAAAGATAGAACAAACCGCAGGCTCGCCTGGTGGATCTTTGGGATTGTGGCGAGCGCACGCTATCGTACTTATGTTATTTAGTTATGATCTCGGCTACCTAAGGAAGTCGGCCACTCCCATTTACCTCGCTCAAATCTTCGTGGAATTGGCTGGCATTGAGTCTGAGATACTTTTGAACATGAGCTCAAAATATCCGTGCGTTACCTTCTATAGGCGGGTGGCCGACTTCCTTAGGTAGCTGCGATCACGACTAGCTATAGTAATGTCCTTTGAAGTACCTCGTAGATCTTGCAGGACCTTCTGTGTACTTACACCAGTCTAATCAAACAAAGTCACTATTGTTTCTTGACCGGTTATTGTCGCCTGACACCAGTAACGCGCACATTTATTGTGTTTATTTGTGACATGGTCTTTTCACATGCGACAGTGCTCAGACAAGCACAATATACTTTTGTTGCTTGTTCTCGCTTCGGGTCTCACACGAACTTCAACGGCACCGGTACGTGTATGCCAAATATCGAAACTACAATTACACGTTGTACTGTATTCAGGGCTCCACAGCATACGCGAGGGTCAATGAAAACAAAAACATTACCGGGTATCGTGATCTGTCAACAAGAAGGGGCGGGCAGAGCTGAAGCATGAGCGCACTCAGTGTCTCGTATGCGCCGCCGGTGGAGATCCAGGGGGCTGTCACATTCGCCGTCAGCCAACGGTCTCCGACCGAATTCCTGTGGCACGGCTTACTGGAGCAAATCCGCTCTGCTTCGGTTCGTACTGAGGCAGCGGCGTGCCCGCTCCTCCGACGTTGGCATTCGGTGGTGGTGCACCAAGCGGCGGCTGGTACCCGCCTCCGGCCATGTTTTGCCCGCCGTAGGCAGTCCCAGCGTTATTGTTCCACCCAGGCTGTGGGTTTCCGTACCCCGCCTCGGCGGTGCCGGCTGTCGCGCCGCTGCTCCTGCGCCAGGGCGAGCCGAACACGGCGCTGGTGGTCGCTGGCGCACCGGCGGCTCTGCGCCGCCGGCCGCGGATGCAGAACGCGCAGCAGAGGCAGAGGAGGAGGCAGAACACGATGGCGCCTGCCAGAGCCAGGTGAGAACAGCACGTCGCGATCAGTTTGATGCTGCACTGGTCGATAATGGGATGGGTGCCGCACCTATGACGATACCCGCGATCCCACCGCCGGCGATCCGCCTGCCATAGTAGCCATTTTGTGAGTAGTATCGCGCTTCGACGGTCACTGCCAGCAGGAAAAACGATGCAGCAGACACCAGTCGCGATGAGGAGGAAGACATGTTAGCTCGTGTCGGCGCGATGAAGATGAAGGCAGGAGGCTCACTTGCGGGCGTACAAAGTAAAGGGCAGTCGAAATCAGAATGGAGCTCAGCCTAGGATCGTTGAAGGAGGTATATGAAGCAGCACATGACGACGTAACACGGGAGTAAAGTGGAGAGAGTCCATGGCTCCAAGCATAGGAAACATAGGGAGGTGCCTCACCCAGCAGGCGTTCCATGTCGCAACCCGCGGATTCGGATACGTGGTGAAGCAGTCACAAAACTGACGGGTCCTGTGAGTGCGGTCATCGTTTACAGCTGTCTGGATATCCGGAACCTGCGTAGGTTGAAGGAAGCGTATTACGTTCTGCTCACAGGAGACTTAAGCTGTCCCGTAAGAGGCTCCGCGACACCCGCCAACGACAGCCACCGGCCAACGAAACCAGCACAGGTAGTATTGTTCCAATGCAATTGCCCGCCACACATTGCAGAGGTGACCTCGGGTCTGAGACTGAGGGGCTAGTGTGACACTGCCCCGCCGATCGCATGTCACAGCGGCATGAGCGCGGTGACGTCACAGTGCGGGGCATTGGGCAAGGACGGGATCGGGTGGTGGGCACTGCGGATGTGAGTAGGACGGCCCATGGCTGTCTCGCCCGCCCCGAGTCAACTTGGGTCCTGCCGCTCGGGAGCTGCCATCGGCTCTGTCCTCCGACAATTGGTCCTCTTTCTGTGATATATCCATCGCTTACTCACGACCGCCATCCGCCACCACCCACGACCATTTAACGACCACACTCGATCTCGTCCACCCCACCACACGCCATCTCTATCATGACCACCTCGCCACACAATTCACAACGGGCACTTGTGCTCCTCGCGCTCTGCGCATCTGCCACCGCCCAGAACGGCGGATACTACTACAATGACGATAACACAGCAGGCCGTGCAATAGCGGGCATCGTCGTCGGTGAGTGCACTCAGCTGCTATCCGACTCTACGTGCTGATCCTCGCGCCCAGCCGTCGTCGTCGTAATGCTAATATGCCTCGTCATCGCCATGGTCTACCGACGCAGGCGGCGACCAGCACAGTCCGCCACGCCGCTGCCCACCACGGTATATCCCATGAGTCCTGCCAGGCCATACAACTCGTTCGCCTTTGCTTCCCGCGCGAACCAGTCGTACCTCGGTGAGAACCGCCCAATGGCCCCAGGCGGCCCGTTCGCAGGCCCACCGCCGCCTCCAGCGTACATGCCGCCGCCACCGCCGTATCACCGGAAGGAGACGTTAGAGGGGGACACCGCCGAGGTTCCCGTGGTCCAGCCTCAGGGCGGTGACGTTCCGCCACTACCTGACTACGCCCCGCCTCCGGGTGCGCCCCCTACTGTCCATATGACCCCGGAAGTAAGCTCGATTAGTCTTCATGCTATTGATTCCACGTCTCATGCTGTCGTCCAGCCATCGCGGTTCAACTGGTTCAGAGGCAGGTCGCAATGAGCGGCAAACTGTTCGACGTCAGCCTCGCCCCTAAAGCTTTAGGGACATGATATACCGCCACCTATACAATAGTCAGTCTAGATATTCACTGTAGCCTAGTCTTTCCTTCGTGTGCTCCTAGTGTACGTTCATATAGTCCCGAATACAATTTGCTATGTAATTCTGGCCGCCAGAACGCACTCGCTGCACAGGAAGTCGTTCGCGAAGCGCTGTATCTGCAGCATGAGCACAAAATAGCAATAAACACTGGCAAAGTCATGTCATTCATTCGAGAGTGAAGAACTTGTGGCCTGGAGCACTTGAAGTTGTATGGCAGTGGGCCACATTCGACAGTAACTGCTCTTCATGCTGTCATGTTCGTCTTATAGCAAGTTTCCACTTTAATGCCTTTGTCTGCTGAAGGCTTGAGGGCGTTTGAAAATTCTCACTCATTTTGGAGGATATTCGAGTGACGCAACCCTTTCAACACCCATCGCGAAAACACAACGGGCGCTTGCATGTATCCTTTGCGTGTTCCAACGACCAGCCTCAGTCCTCTTTTGTGGATATCTTCGCTCGCAATCACAATGCTTTCACTGCGTGCCATCCTAGCTCAACAGTACACCACGCTCGGGGCTTTTTGTGATGTTCTTCTATATCAGTCCGTTCTACTGCTCTTAGGTACATGTTTCTAGATCTGGTTACATGTTCGAGGGAGAAGACACATCTAATGGGGCGCGACCACAGGATCGGGTGCGGCGCTGCTAATAATACAAACATGCCAATGACCCATATCGCAGACTATATCTGTGGTTACATGCTTCTGCTTCTGCTGCAAAGGCCATGCGCGCCGCAGGCGTTGACGTCAACCCTGGGATCCGAGAGGTCGACGAACGCGCGTCCAGGAATAGCGCGGCTGCGGATGACGAGAGGTGCTCCCCCTCAGGAACGCGAGGAGAAGTCCGGGATGATGCGTCGTCGGGCGGCAGCAGGACGCGGCGATCAGAACGCAGGGCGATAGTGCGGCGCAGGCACGAAGGGACCGTAGGGCGCGGCGAACGGCGCGGGGTGCGAAGCAGGCATAGACATAGACATGGGCACGGGCATGGGCATGGGCATGGGCATAGGCTGTGGAGGACCAGGCATAGGCAGAGGACCCATGTACGCAGGCGGGACAGGGGCAAACGGGTATGGCGGGGCATGCGCGCGAGGCGCATGGTGGGGACGCGCGGGCGCGAAGTGCGGTGTGGGCGCCGTAGGGGGCGCCCACCCGGGCGGGCATGGTGCCGTAGGGGGCACACGTTGGGTGGGGGCGTTGGGCAGCGAGCCGCGCTGCTGGATGTACGACTCCCGGAAAGATTGGGCGGGAGGCGGCGCGTGCTGCTGGTGTTGTTGAGCGAAGGGGTAGTGGCCGCGCGGAGGCGGCGGGGACGGGGCGAAGAAGGGGGGAGGTGCGGTGGAAGAAGGGGGGGCCTGGTACATGGGGGCGTTCTGCGTGGGAGAGACACGAGAGGGAACAAACTGGTATGTCTGGGGTTTTGCGGTCTTATCTTGATGTTTTTGGTGTTCGTGGCAGAGCCTTGTCTGGTTTTTTTGTGATGGTTGGTGTTGGTGTCCGAGACGAGATGCATAGGGGTTAGGCTGGAGACTGTGCAAGTTCTTGTTGGGAGACCTGGTAGGCTGAAGGAGAGGCTTTCGGTACTGGGGAGATGGCTTCGCAGGCGAGACCACCGGAGACACAGAGTCAAGAGTAGAAGCAGGAGTCAAGCTAGCAATAGTCAAGCAAGCATCCACTGGAGGCAAAGTCTCAGCGTCATGAGGATGAGCGACGGCGGAAGACTTGGGCTGTGTGGGTTCGGCTTTGGGCGGCAGCGGGACATGTCCGAGGACCTTCGCATTGGCCTCCGCTTGCTGTAGGATCAGCTGGCGAAGTAGTCGTCGCTTCGGCGGGGTCCGCAGGGCGGGCCGGGAGGGAGCAGTCGAAGCGGCGAAGCTAGTAGCGAGTGGTGCGGGCAGCATCTTGCACTTGTGGCCTTGGCAAACGACCTTCCAAGCGATGGTAAGGACGACCCAGTCATTGTTACGAGACCGAGACGTCGCAGGCGCAAGAGATGAAGCCAGGAGTGCACGCGGAAGCCAGACCGAGAGGTACAACTCGGGGTAAACATTCCCGAAGAAGAGCCGCGTGAAGAGAACCCGTTGAAGAGCCCTAGTCTTGAGGTCATCGACTTTGACGACGGCAGACGCAGGAACTAGAACTAGACTGGTGGAGGCCGCGGCTGGGCGGACAGGCAGCAGCTGGAGGATGGCTTTGAGGCACGCGTAGTACGGTGAGACGTAAGGAACCACGTCCCAGCATTGCGTATAGATGACCAAGGCACGGCAGACGACACCAGCGCTCGTGAGAGGCAAGAAGTGCTGAAGAAGAACCGCGACACGCGACGTGTATGGAGACGGCGACCAGACGATGACATCCACGACCGAGTACTGATTATCGTCCCCGAGCGCGAGGAGACAAGTGCGCAGGACGGCACTGAGGGGAACATACTTGGCGAGTTCCCAGCAGCGAGTATACAGAACAAGGTCAGTGCACGGGAGCAGGTCGATGACTTGAGAGTCGAATGCGCGTATCACGGATGCATGGTCAAGCACTTTGGAGAGGCCTGCGAACTCAGAGGTAGTGACGTTAAGAACGGTCGGCACGGGCGTGGACGGTACAAGAGTCTTCGTCATGCTGATGCTGCTGCCCCACCCGTAGAACTGGTGGATGGGGACCCGCAGCGACTTGCTCAAGACCTAAAACCAAGGGTGAATAGCGATTTATGCAAAGAAAATGACGACGTACATTGTTCAAACCGGTGAGCGAGAAGACCGAGCGCGGTGCGGGTACGACGAGACGGGCCGGCTTTAATGACAAAGCGTCAGCGAACGCTCTTGAGCACGATACGAGGAAGACGTACCATGCCAGTAGGAGTCATGATCATCCTGTTTGCCTTGCTGCTGACTTGACGGGGGGACTTGACTGGCGAGCCACGAACGAGGCTCGCGCTTTGGACGATGGTGTCGTAGGTGACGGTGGTGATATCCGCGCCCAGGAGGGCAGAGGAGATGAGGCCGAGGGCGAAGCGAGCTGTGTTTGCAAAGAAGGACATGGCGGTCTAGGTGAAGAGAAGAGCGAGATGTAGACGAGGATCTTATACTCGGGAAGGGCGACAGGGAGGCTGACGGTGAGGCTGACATGGAGGCTGACGATGAGGCTGACATGCACACAAGAGTGCAGGTCGAGCTCGCGCTCTCCCCCTCAGTGGTCACCGCGGTCTAGTTTCTTGTTAAGTGAGGAAATAACTCATCTGAACTTTATGGTTTCTGCGTAGCAAGTTTGTGTTAGCATACAGGGTGAAGTCGTCATACCTGCGTTGTGCCGTCTCAGTACCTCTGCCCCAAGCCCACGTTCACGTAGCTAAGCAAGTCGGGTATTTTGATCATTGCCTTCGCTGTGGGTTCTTGCGAACAGAACGCCTAGCAGTCGAGAGGGGCTGACGAAGGAAGTTCAAGGAACTCAAGCTCGGAGGTATCAAAATAGTCAATGATGTGGGTGCACAGGCGCTTACTCTACCGAATTAGGAAGGCGAATAAGATGGACTTCAACATCGCTGTCTTATTCGACCGCTTCAAGTCGACCACGGTGTGCTCTGTCCACGATGTTATTTCTAGTCTCTCCTTCAAGTCTTTCCTTAAGCTCTACTACTTTACAGATTGTTGCCACGCATGTTGTCGTCCAACTTCTCCTGGCAGGATGTTGCGTGTCGGCTTGTTTGTTCATGGATTGGTCCGAGGCGAGTTGCCTTTCGCTCCATCTTTGATATGTTTGACCTGATTGTGAGAGGTGCAGGGGAAGCCATTGACAGGGTCCAGGGCACTCGGCAGATACATTTGGTTTGTCTTCGAAGTGACCGTCTCACTTTGCCGTGCGGTCCTTCAGCTGTTGGCCTGCTTTGGTCTGTGGACAAAGCTTTCCAGCTTCGACTCATGGACTTCGTCTGTTCGTACTCTACTTATGGTAAGCTGCGCACCACTCAGCTTGAGCGAATATCTGACGCCTTCTCAAAACGTGTCCTGACCTCCAGGCCCAACTTCGCCCAAGCGACATCTGGCCCAGGAATCCCGACATCTACGAAGGGGGTAACACGTACTTCTCTAAACATACCGTGAATTTTGACGCGGTTGCACTTGAGTTCGAAGATATCGGCGCACTTCGGGATCGGTGCCATACGCTTGTTCACACCGTAGCTATTCTCATGGCTAGAATCATGGAACGCGACTCTCGTATCAGCCGTCTTGAAAGGGACCTCTCTGCAGCAAGGTCCAAACAAACCATACTTGAAGGAGAAAAGACGCTGTTGCACCGGGAGCGCCTTGCCGTGATAAATTACGTCCAGCGTCAGAAGGACGTCCTAGCAACCACGAGGCAGCATGTCCGGAACCTTCTCGTCGGCACCCTGATACTCTGGCGATATAGCTGCACCTTGTCTGGTCTACTCTCTAAGGCGCTGCTAGACCTGCAATCGTCAACCCGTACTCTGGAGACTCTTAATGATGAGCGTGAACGTGCCGTGCTTCGAGACAACACGCAGACGGCGGCTATCAGTGCTCTTGAGACCCGCATACAGAAACTGGAGATATCCTGCGATATTCGGACAGCGGATGCTAAACAGTGGTTCTCCATATGTCGCTTCGTGCTCTCAACTCACTTCGTCAAGATGGATGAGGCTATTTTAGCTCAAACGCGCTCTAAGCAGACTATGGCTGGACTCTTGACTCTCATGCGACTTCTCTGGCGGTATCTCCTTATCCTAAGGCAGCAAGCAGCGGAGGCAGAAGCTGCTCAGTCGCTGCGTAAGGAGAACGCTCACCTCGAAGAGTTATTAATCAAGCGTAATGCCAACATGCTCGTGCTCATGCGTTACAAGGATAGCTGCCAACGTAGGATGGAGTGCCTTCTTGTCTGCTTGCTCGTTCTATGGCGCTACACTCGGGTTCTCGGGCGACAGCTCGCGCAGGCCCAAGTCCGGCTGCTTGCATGTCCTGTTCTGTGCAAGCCCAACACTCTGGGGCTCGAGTATTACTACGCGGCATTTAGCCCTGGTGGCCTCTTACAAGTCACAGCAGGGACGGACGGCGCTCCGTCTTCTCCCTACCCATCCCGAGGACCCGTGCACGATAATGACGATATCGATCTATCCAACCGTCACCTGCAGGAACTTTCCGGACAGCAAAGGCTCGCCATTCGCTTCGCGCAGATGCACACCGCGTACTCATCGGTCGCAGCGCAGCGCGATGAGGTTTGGGCGGCGCTGCAGAAGGCGGAGGCCACTGTGGAACAGCTCCGAGAGGATCAGCGGAACACCACCCTTGCGTTGGCAGTACTCCACAAGTCGACGGTCAAGCTGACTGATGTGCGCGCCGTGAAAATGGCTCTCAGGCCAGCAGAGCCCCAATATGCATCCAGTCGACGGTTGACAGCGGAGGAACTATTTGCCATCGAGGCGAAGATCAGCGAGGTGTTGTCGCAGTACGCTCAGAGGGACGGCACCGCGGGTCCTGTACATGACGTGCACCGGCTGACGGCCGCCGATACCAGTATGGGACAGCATTTGACTTTGTCGGCAAACCTACAGCATGATGCTTTCTCATGGTCTCCACATCCTGAGCCTGCCGCAACCAGCCAAAGTCCCGTTCAGCGGGAAAAAGAGATTGCGAAGACGAGAGCACCCTGGCCGCACACTTGGAATGCTGATACGTTGCTATACACCCCGACGCCTGCCGCGGATGCAGACGAGGACCGGAGCTGCGCGCCAGATGATCTCGAGACTAGTATGCAAGAGCTTGCCGATCAGTGAGTTAAGATTCGTGCGCGTGCTCTTGAGCCTAATTCCTGATCCTTGCCAGCAGGCTTCAGCTGCTTGACTTCTACGACGAGGAAGAAGAGCTTGCAGACGAAGGCGTTACTAGCCGCGAAGTGACGATGCGAAGCCCTCCTGCTGAGACCCGCGTTCACAGCCTCGTGCGTCCGCTGTTTTCGGTCCCCGCCTTCAAGCCGGAGTTCCTTGCGCAGCCTGTCCCGTTCACCCCTCACGCGAGCTGGTACCAGAGCCAGTCTTTCTTCGGAAACATAGGAGGGCAGGCCGCCCCCTTGCGCAGCGGCCCTTCCAGTACGTTGTGGGCACAGAGAGCTGACGGGATGCCACGCGACCAATCCAGCCGTACTAATAGCGCACGAGGTACCTTCGGAAACCTACGCGCTCACGTATGAGCAAGTACACGGCTGCCTATTGCGTTGAATGCCGCCATGCGTATCCCTTATTCTGATGTAGCTGCCCCCTTATCGATTTGTCTCTTTTCTTCGTGTGTACTGGCCATAGACGGGGTGATATCCCCAATCATGCGTAGAGTCAACGTATAGATTTCTCTAGACAGTCATCTCATGAATACTATTCAGCATGTACAGTATACCAGAATTCCGGAGATCGTAATTGCTGTTCTCAGAAGCATGCGATTCGTGACTTCTGGGTGCGCCGCGATTGTGTCCAGTAGCTTATGTTCACAAGGAGTGTCTGGATAATGTATTGCACTTTCCGTCTCAGCAGAACTTCCCTGAAGCACAGACGCACATGAGAGAAAGACCTCACGGCTGCCCCTCGAGGCTTTTGCTGAAATCAAAGCTGAGATACCGAGAACGGCAAACCACGGCACCATGTCTTCCATTGGTCCTGCGAGAACAGCGAACATATGCATGCGTACAGAAGCCGGACGGTCAACAGGATCGAGTTGCCATAATCAGCTCACGTACAGCAGCACCATCGCACGTCTCGGGGCCAGTACCGCTGATAACGATCGAGAACACCCGCAGCCACAGATTTCCATCGGTGTGATCCGTGCGCGGGCCCCCTCAACTCTTGTGCAGGCAGACCCCATCCGGACGGGTGTGGCCGTGCATCCGGGCATCTCTTTCCTGTGGCGAACCGGTAACTCAGGGCCCCAGGGCGCCGGGGCGGACGCAGAGACGTGCTACCACAAGTGCGAGCCTGTGAACGAGAACGTAAGCCAAGGCGAGGCCGTGAGAGCGCGCGAGGCCATCACCCCGCGCGGTCGGCTGACGATCCGTGACCCACAAGGAGCGCCGAGGAGACGTCAAGGACGGCCGTGGCAATGGAGGAGATATCAGGACGAGCTTCCTGCAGGCTGGAGAGAGGGGGCGGCGGTGCGCGCCTGCGATCGGGCGCTGGCGTTGAATAGCCGACGCGTATTTATAGCGAGGCAGAAAATAGCACAAATGATATTTTGGGCATGAGGAGGTATGTATTCTGGGACAGGATATTTTTATGCAGGTATATCGAGCGTTGACGACGACGAGGGAGATGGGTGCCTGGACACTGGACGCTGGCGTCGATGTGCGGTCGTGACGGAGATCCGGAATGAACGTCTTCGCGGGAGAGAAGGAAGCGGGAGTACTTACGGGAGGATGCGCCGCAAAGGTCATGGCAAAATGAGGCCCGCAGATACGAAAGCCCCTGATCGTGCCTGGACGCTGACAGTGCAACACTGAGAAGCAGAATTGTTGAGCTGCTAGGAGAGTTTCTCGGGAGATTAAGTCAGCCACAACGTATAAGAAGGATCGTACACAGTACGCTGCCGGGTGCCAGAGCGTACGAAACGGTGCGCGTTCGTAGCGACCGCAGGCAGTCTGGAAGGCTAACACAGAAGCCGCGCCGTGATCCTGAACATGAATCTGGGAATGCGGACAGTCAGCAGCGCGGATGGCGTTCGATTGTGGAGCCCAGTCCATATTGTTCGGCGGCACCTATGCACAGCCTCGCAAGGTCCGGCTGCCTCCACTCCGTCGTTGACCGTACGCGTGCCTTCGGTCTCGCGGGGAAGGCCACATGCACGCACACTTGTCATCTTAGGCGATCTTCGACCCGCCGAGGCCGCCTTGAGATGTTTCCAGCCGGGGGTAACCACACGATTTACGCATGGTAGGAGCGGGACCGTGAGTAGCGGGCAGCCGACGGATGGCGGGGCTCCAGCGCGCGGCGGGGACAATATGAACGCGCAAGCGAATAGTGTCAACGGGGGCGAGAGAAAGTCGACGGCTCCGGGCTGGTCACTGAGCGTCGAAGGCCATTGAATGCCGCTGTCCACTTGACAACTGAATGTGTTGTAGTGTGAGACGGGATGCCATAAGCTGAACGTACTGATCGAATATCGGAATTACGCCGCACAATGCGACTGCGCGGGTGTGTTATTTCGCAGGCGCTTTGTTGCGCGCTACAATCAGTATTGAAATGCCGCCTACTCTTTGTATTGACGCTTCACGACGTTGAGCGCGCCAGTACAGTATCGGACTTTCGGCAGCACATCATCATGAATACTTCCTTGACGCCTCGAGGGCGTTCGTTAACGTCTGGGACCTGCGGGACCAATGGTGGGAACCGCAGAAATCGCGCACGCCGCTGCGCTGAGGTCATTGAATAAAGGCGCGTTTATGTCCACACGCGAAGACAGGCCAGCGTCAAGTACAGGAGCAGCCCATAAGCGAGCGGTTCCTTTCCGAGCAAAGAAACTCGGTATGGAAACAAACATGCTACACATTCATCTGCAAACAGCGTTGCCATGCGCTGACGGACTCGCAAAGACAAGAAGTATCGCACGGAGTGACATCGGGTATTTGAGATCAAAAGGGATGAGATGTGCCAACTCCCCCGGATGGAGTTCTTGTGAGAGAAGAGAAAATGGGGATTAATATAGCTTACATAATATTTACCAGCGGAAACTCGGCATGAAGGCTTCGATCGAGCTCGCATGTCGGAGATCAGGCACGCGGAGAGCCGACATCCTCGTTAACAAGCTGTGGGCGCCGATGGGTGAGACTTGGCGGTGGACAACCACGTCGGTGGGAATAAAAATGTACGGAGCTGAACATTGCAAGTCTGTAGAAAGGCTCATCCAGCGGCGATGTGCAGAATGGGCCCTTCAGCGGAGAGCAGGCTGTGCAGATACTCCGAAAGTTCGCGGAGAACGCGCTCCTGGTGTAAGCTGGAGGCTTCGTGGCTTCGCAGGCCTCGAAACGGACGCCGACGCTCTCTAACGGCGAGCGGAGAAGCCATGAAGCCATGATGGCATCCATGACACATCTACCTTGGATAAGATGTTCTTGCGTAATTGAGGCAGGACGAGCTGATGCATGGCTACATTGGGCCGAGGGGCCACCCACGACCCTAGCAAAGACAGTGGACGCGAGGGCGAGATGTGAGAACGCCAAGGCAAGCGACCGAGGACAGACGGGGGAAATAACAGGTTGATAGAATAGCATGGACGTTGAGTGAGAGGGCTGGGAAATGGAAGCGAGGAAAGATGGACGAGCGGCGATGGCCACGAAGGAGAATGCGAGCCGGGCTGGGGTCGAGATGTAGGAGACGAGGCGCAGATCGAGGCGCGATTGAGTACGGGGAATGCGTGGCTACCAAGCGACGATATACGGCAAGAGGAGCCAGGAACGAGCCGGGGGATCAGACACATCGAGGAGACTGAATGGCGAATGTGGGAAGAGGGGGCTAGGTACGAGATGGGTGCTGCGGAGAAACGGCAGGATCGGCTGAGAAACGGGTGCGAGTGAGGGCAGAGGGAAGAGGGAAGAGGGGAGGAGCCCCGCAGACGGCGTTTGTGGTTGTTGTGGCCTGCATGCGCCGGCGCGCGTCCGTGGCGCGGAGGACCAGCCGGACGTCCCCTTCAAGTGCTCGCATTCCTGCCTCTTGGTCACCCCGTCTCGCCCCCCTCCCCTCCCGCTGCCCCGCCCCGCCCCGCCACACGCCCCCGCCGCACAGCCCACGCCAATCACGCCCCACACCACCATGGGCAGAAGAAAGATCGAAATCCAGCCCATTACGGTGCGTGCCTCCTCCAGGTCGCCCAGAATAGCGGCCCCGGGTCCAGCGAGGCCGGCTGTTCCCCCCCATCTTTCTTAAAATGCTATATCCAGCTCGCTTATGCACTTCCTTACCCATACATAGCACGAACGCAACCGCTCTGTGACCTTTTTGAAGGTCAGTCTCTATTTTTGCATCCTTGGGCTTGGCATTCTCGTGCCTACTAATCCCGGTTATCTCATCCAAACTGACGCTCACCCGCACCCCACAGCGCAAGAATGGTCTCTTCAAGAAGGCCTACGAGCTCGGAGTCCTCTGTTCTGTCGACGTAGCAGTCATTATCTTCGGTGCGCTGGCATTTTTTGCCCTTTTTCTCCGCGCAGCACACCCATTCACATTCTCTTGGCATACACGTGCACCCCCAGAAGAGCGTCCTGGCCATCATGTAAAGCTGTACCAGTACTGCTCGACAGATGCAAATAGCATGGTCCAGCGTCATCTCCGGGTACGTCGTCAACCACACCCCTATCTTCCTCTCCCAGATCAGAGCCAATCGTGGCTGTATCCAGTTCGACGGAGAACGGGACACGCGAGGACCGCACGACTTCAGTGGACAGAAGCACGAGGAAGCAGCCGATGACGACGACGACGCCGAAGAAGACGACGGCAAGGGCCCGTCAAAAGAGCGCCGGGACTCGAGCAGCAGCAGCAAGCTACAACCCAAAGTGAAGATCGAGAGCAGTAATGGTTCCATCCCCATTCGTCCTGTCGCACAGTCTAGCAACGACGTGTCCATGACCATCGACGTGAGCTGCGCCCCGAGCCCCTCTGTGTGCATTTTGACTGATATGGATTTACCCAAGCTCAATCACCGCAACTCGCGCAGCACACCCACGGGCAGCATCTCATCGACGATCCCCACCTCCGGGGAGCGGCACAGCGTCATCCCGGCGCCCGTCGTGCGTGGCATATCCATAGCAGCAAAACGGCCACGGATTGAGGAGACGCACGCCCCCAGCCTGCCACAACTCCCGCAGGGAGTGAGTATCTCCTCGCTCGGCTCCAACCCGCCCTCCTACCCCTACCGCCTCGAGGTCGACATGAGCCAGTACCCCATGCAGAGCCACATCACCCCGCTCTCCGTCCCGCCGTCACACAGCGCCTCGCACCCGTCGCTGGCGCCGTTTTACAATGCCAACGTGGGCGGGATGCCGGGCCTGCCGGGCTCGCAGAGTGCGCCCATGGGCTTCCTCCCGCAGCTCCCGCAGGCGCCGTTCGACATGGGCCACGCGCAGCCGCCGCCGACACTGCGCACCGTGACGTTCCCGTCGCAGACGCCGTCGCCGTATACGCCACAGCAACAGCCCGCGCAACTGCACAGCGTATACGGGCAAGGACGCGCGCCGCACGGATCGCATTCGGGCGCGGCAGGAATGGCGTTAGAGCTGCTGGGCGTGGCTTCGGAGCAGGGTGGCGGCATGCAGACACAGCCGTTCGACTGGCCCGTGCATCAGCAGCAGTCAAATCCTGATAACGGTGGTGCGTCAATACTCTCTTTGTCTTTATCATTCTAATATCAAGGCTTGGCGTTACCTCATGGATTTTCAGGCGGCGGAGACGGCAGCTGGTTCGATTTCCTCACCGGAGGTGCTTCTCAGCCGAACAATATCCAGGCATCAAGTCTCTTCCCGATGCATAGTCGGCCTGCGTCGAATAGCATTAGCAGCGTCCGCTCGATGGCGAGCTATGTTCTCCCGCGCTCTCACCCGTCGAGTGGAGCAGTATCTCCAGATCGCGGCCTCAAGCGCGCGCGAGAGGACGATATCGCCGCCATGAGCGAATTCAGCGGAGACGGAGACAGCCATACAGGCCCGACCGAAGCTGCAATACGGCGGAGTCTCTCGGTCGACAAGCCCCCAAGTTGACGGTCCCGCGGGAGCGCCAGACGCACATAGCGACCCGCGCATGCAGTGCTCCGTCCGACCGTGGTGGTTCGGGCGGGCCAGGTACATTACAAGGTCAGCGCGTAATGAAAGGAATGGACTCTGTTGGTTTGACGTAACGTGTTGTTATTCGTATTCGCCGTGTACTGATTAGACATTCTATACTCCGAGTTGTTCTCTGGGTCTTCTGGACGTGAGATAATTCGTGGACATTACTAACGCTTTGGAGACAAAATTTATGCTATCATATCAGCTCATATGCATTCTGCGCACGCGATTTGGTGCAAGGATCGTTAGAACCCTGAGGTATGAAAGTTAAAATCTGGACAAAGTTGCTGGTAGGATGCACGCAGTGTGACATAGGCACGTGCTCCAACTGGACTTCTCCCATCACGATGAAGTTGAGTGGTCAGCGTGACATTGGGGTTTCATTGTCCGCGATCCTGTCGTTCGTCATTCTCGCAAGAGCATATCAGAACAAGGTCAGTGAGGTTGTGAATGCACCAAGAGTAGAATCTCCGGAAGCATCGGTTGACCATTACTGTTCAGCAGTATTGAAAATGGGTGCCAACGAATTGAAGGCCGATGCGCTCCTTCAGTCCAAGCCGGACTTTTCCCCCAGCACAGACGTGTGGTATAGCGATGGCAGCGTGGTGCTCGTTGCTGAAAAAACGGCGTTTCGTGTTCATGGCACCATATTGGCGGCACATTGTGAGATTTTCAAGGATATGTTTGCCATTCCCCAGCCCTTTGTGGCAGATCCGGACGCGGAGACGTACGAGTCTTGCCAGGTTTTGCGCCTGCAAGACTCGCCTGTCGACCTCAAACATTTCTTGAAATCTATCTACGACTTTTCGTAAGCGATCTTACTCCACATCCATGCCATTGGATTGAATCTGATGTCGCCTCAGTTATTTCCGCCCCGGAGCGAAGACAAAGTTTCCAATAGTTGCGGCAGTGCTCAGGTTGAGCACCAAGTATCAGGCTCCTGCTTTGCGACAGCGCGCCATCGACCTGCTTGCCACGGCGTATCCTTCAACGGCTACTGCGTGGCAGCGCAGGTCTTCCGATCGGCTCGTCCCTCCATTCGACGATGAACACCTAGCATGTATCGAGCTCGCCGTCGAGACCGATGTGCGCGTCATTCTCCCCGCGATCTACTATGCTGCCACGCGCGAACAGTTGTCCGGCGTGCTCGCAAAGTTGTCGAGGCTTGCAGTCGCTCCGTCCATCCAGTGGGACGTCTGCACCGACTTTCTGGTCGGCCGCGAGCGGCTTCTCCAGGCAGAACTGACTCACATACTCGCATTCCTCGATGCTAGTTTTTCACGCCCCAATTGTCAGACCGGCAATGACAATAACGTGTTGGCGACCATAGCGCGCAATGCTTTCCACAAAGTCGTCGGATCTGAACCATATCACCAGTGGTGCAGCGCAAAGCCTGGCGAGGTCGGCCCTGCTCTGCCGGTCTGCGCGACTTGTTGCAAAACCATCCAGCAGTCCATCGAGGCCGGCCGGGAGAAAGTGTGGGAACAGCTGCCTGGGTTCTTTGGTCTTCCCGATTGGGAGACATTGCAGGCAAGAGACGGACTGGATGATCCTAAATCCGCGTGAATGTCTTCATAATGAGAAGGATGGTGAGTCGTATAAGGTTACAATTGTAATGTATATCTCAGTCTTCAATTAGCGAGCGGATTTCTTGGAAGAACATTACATGTTATGTGTTGACGGCTCCTATCTCAACTGGGGTTGCACTTGTACGATAGAAGTCTTGACCATGCGCTGATAACAAATGATTCTACTATGCCTCGCTGCCATTCTCTACGTAAGCGTCACTACAATTGAGTGCGTCCTGCTACTAAAATGGTCTACCTCGGGCTGGTCGAGGTTGAGGTTCGCTCCTTACTTGACACTACGCGCGTGTGAGGCAATACTGATGTCATTTGAATATAGCTTCGGCACAAGCGAAGCACCTGTTCGAGGACATATGGTAATTGATGCCCTTGTTCGGTATCTAGGAAGATAGTGTGACCTGTACACGCATTTGCCTCGTGGGCGGGATAATAGCGTGATCTATACGCGTATTACCTTACGATGTCGCAGTACAAAGTATAAGGGACCCATGGCATTTGCACTCAATAAGCTTTCCTTTCGACCCTCTTACCCTGACTCGACGGCGTTGCCACGATTGCTAGGTGAGGGTACAATACATTTGTTTCTATGAGCCTGCATATTGAGCGCAATTCCGAACAGCTGTATCGTGGACTCCGATTCTAAAAACGTCGATACGAACAACACAACCCCACAGACACATCTGGATTTTACACGCAGCAGAGATGTCTGGTTTAGCGATGGCAGTGTGGTACTCGTGGCGGACAAGACAGCATTCCGTGTACACGCCACCATATTGGCAATGCACAGCGAGGTCTTCGGCGACATGTTTGCCATGCCTCAGCCTTCTGAGGCCGACCTTGATGCAGAGACATACGATACTTGCCCGGTTCTTCGCCTGCAAGACTCGCCTGTTGATCTGAAGCATTTTCTCAAGTCTATCTACGACTTCTCGTGCGTAGTTCCTTTTCATCTCGTTCAATCCTTTCTCAATGTTCCTGTCAGATACTTCCCTTTTGGGGTGAAAACCCAGTTTCCTCTCGTCGCAGCAGTGCTCAGACTGAGCACCAAATATCACGCACCTGTTTTCCGGAAGCGTGCCATTGATATGCTTGCCACGGCATATCCTTCGTCGGCTGTTGCGTGGCAGCGCAGGTCATCCGATCGCCTTGTACCCCCTTTCCCGGACGAACTCCTGACGTATATCGAGCTCGCTATCGAGATGGATGTTCCCGTTATCCTCCCAGCTCTGTATTACGCTGCAGCTCGCAAGGCACTGCCAGAAGCGCACGCCGAACTATCGAAGCACGCCGTAGCCCCGTCCGTGCAGCGTGATGTCTACACCAACTTCTATCTCGGTCGCGAGCGACTACTCCAGGCTGAACTAACGCATGTGCTCGCCTTCTTCGACACGGGCTTTTCCTTCCCAAATTGCCAAAATCGGCACGACTCGGAAGTACTGGACAGAGCTGCTCGCAGTAGCTTGCGCAAACTCGCCGGCCCTGATCCATATCACCTGTGGTGTAGTGCACACCCTTCAAAGGCTGCCTCTGCGATGGGAGTCTGCGTGAACTGTACAAATACTATCCGGAGTTCCATCCAGGCAGGCTGTCAAACGGTTTGGGAACAGTTACCAGGGTTCTTCGGTCTCCCCGATTGGGAGACTTTGCTAGGCATGGACGACGGAACGGACATCGTTGTGCCGAAACTAGAAGAAGAATAGTAGTGTGTCGGTTTCTAGAGATCGCATTGACTTCAAACAGAATACATGAGTCTCGATGCACGACGTGACTTACGTCCTGGCACCGGGTCTGTGAATCGCCACCCAATAAAGTGCACTCCTCCGGAGATATCATAGAGAGCGTGTAACGATTCCTGTGTGTATAAATATATCGTGGTCTACGTGATTATCGTGTTGTTAATGTCGTACTGTATGCTGCTGCATGACCTCCCAGAAGTACTTCTATATCTATATTCAACATTTACCCCACAGCTTCCCCTTCAGCACAAGATACCGTGAGATTAGCAACAAGACCACGCCTGCTTCCACTGTGCTGCCTGCAAAGGTAATGTGAACGTGAGTCGATACGCCTCACGCAAGTGACTCGTACCGGCATAAAAACCGACGGCGGTGTAGCCCCCCGTCGCGACGTTGATCGCACCCGAGATCGGAGGACCTGCGAGCGCGCCGAGGGCGAGCAGCGTGAACGCCATGCCCACGCGCGTGCCCACGTCCCATCGCTCACCCATGGGGACGATCGGCTGTGCGACGAGAGAGGCATACACGCCCGAAGACATACTGTTGCCTCAGGTCAGTCATAACCCATGCGAATTAAATATAAGGAAATTTTCACTTACCCATACACGATGGCGACAGCGATGTACCCGCCGAGGGAGTTCGAATACGGCCATGCGTACGTCAAAACGCCCGCGATAATGTTCGCGGGGATGATCGTGTTCATGGGCCCTGCGCTACGCAGTCAGACACGCACAGAACGGCGTAAGAGAGACGAGCGCACCAAAGCGATCCGCCATTAATCCAGCCGCGATACGGCCGAAGAGTGAGCCGGTGTTCGCTATGGGCAGCAGGTAGAAAGAAAGGTTCTGTGATATGCCAGCGGAGGATGCGCTGACGTCAATGTACGTTAGGACCTGAAAGGGGAATGGTGAGCGGATCGGGTCGGGAATGGAGGCACAAGGGGCTAACTGTATACAGCCCGAGGAAGTTCATGAAAGCAGATAGGCTATAGAAGGTGTACGCGGGCGACTTGAATGCACGCAGGTTGATGAAAGGGCCCTGGCGGGGCTTGGGTGGCAGACGGCGGTCTGTTGTCTGCTCGCATGAGTTGTATCTCGGTTCAGTATTTACGGATGTCTGGCTTACAAGGTTACAGATGCCAAGCGTGAAGACTAGAATAAATCCTATGATGCGCATGGTCCATGGGAAGCTAGGTACGGGTCAGTCACAATTTGGGGTCTGCAAAGACTTGGCTGACGCATACCCTACTTCCTGTATCAGGTTTTTGACAGCAATGGGGAAGAGCGTCCCGCCTATGCTAGACCCCGTCGCGGTAAGGCCGTATGCGAGACCAAGTTTCTTCTGAAACCAATGCGGCAAGATGCCCATCATGGGGCCGAAAATGGCTCCACATGCGAACTGCTCCTTCGTCGTCAATAATCCTCCTTCTAGAAATAATTTGGATGACATACGCCAACCGCGAGACCCTGGCACAGGATGAGCTGCCAGAACTCCGTACATTGCGCGACGAGGAACGTTGCAGTCACGAGGACCGAGGAAGCGATGAAGAGTGGAAGCTTGAACCAGCCCATGTCGAATAGGCGGCCGAAAACAAGACCTGGAATGAAGACCAGTGCGTACTGCTCGCTCGGCGGTCAGAAGAATCCCCCGTCACGAACACAGGGCACGGTGATCGCAGACCTGAACGGAACCTATCCAAGCCCTGTGCAATAGGTTTCGCAGAAAGTAGAACATCGGTCAGATCTCTCCTGCTGATTAAAACATGTGGACGTACAATGTTGAGGGAGGGACGTCCGGAAGCATAGTCTCCTCATAATACGCCTGAAAGACCTACGCTTTGTCAGTGTCGGGTTTCACGATTGAGCTTACGCTGACATACTCCCCACGCATTGACGAAACCGAATGTGGAACCAATCCCGCATCCTACCTGTAATCACGCCTCACTTGGCTGTCCTTGAAATGCTAGCGAAGACGGCATACCCCAAGGGCGACCATCCATGCCCGAAGCCCACCATCAGGGAAAGTCATGGCTAGCGACTCGTCGAAAGCGACGTCCTTCTCTGAGCGCTTTTCGTCTTTGGAGTCGATCTCTTCAGACGTCTTGTGGTCGATGTGCTCGTCGGACCCGCGGACGGTCGAGCACTGCGATAGCACCCGGTTTTCTTGCTCATGCATCTCTGGTTGTGTCGTAACAGAGGTTATGATGGTTCGTAACTCGTACAGCTGTACGCCAGTATTTCTTGAGTCTAAGCCGCAGGATCGGGAGGGTCAGCGCGCGTTTAGGTAGTCGATGGGCCAGGTCTTATACCCCACATTCGACCCACTCACTTTACCAGCCGGGTGAAATGTCCCGTGGGGGAGAACGAGGGGGAACGTGAAAAAGCGAGTGACTCGGCGATCTTACTCATTTTCCCGCTCGGACGGCAGGGAGGCCTGCCGTCTAAGAGATCGAAACACTCTCAAGAGGCCATCAATGCTTCCCGGCGTCACATGCTGCATCCACCAAGTCCGCCGGTTCAGCGCTCCGAGGTCCAGACCCAGGCCTGTGATGTTGCAGCACTACCTACAGGTTGCATTCGACACCATTTCGCAGGTGCGCATTGGGTAGAAAACATCTAGTATACGTGTCGACTTCCTAAAACTGTTACCGGTCACCCTCGGTGATGAGCGGTCTCGAACTTACCTATTACTGTACGGATCCAATGATCAAGCACGTTGGTATTCGATGAATGAATTCAGCGAGGCGCGCTGAGCGCCGAGAGCCGAGCATTGCTCAAATTCCCACTCAGAAGGCAGGATCGGCCTGATGGCGAACATGAGATTAATAGACAAGCAAAAGTCATAGGGAGGGATACATGTAAACGACTGATTCTTTGGGTCCGCATGATGCATGCAACTGGCCGGCCAGGCTCAGCACACACCATTCTGACGTCGTCATTCATACCGTCGTAATGCCACCCACGCAGCCGAGGAGGAGCGCGTCGACCTTGCCTTCGGTCTCTTTCTCTATCCAGGCGTCAAACTCCTCAAACAGCGCCATTGCGCGCCCACCGAGCTCCTTTTCTGCCTTCTTCCCCGGCCACATCGCCTTCTCGTGGATGCCCACAAAGTTTACCCGGATGCGCGCATCCGGGTCTCCCTCGGGGATCTTCACCACGAGGTCAACGGTCCATGTGTCATGGCCGTAGAATGAGCCCTCTTTGATATAGTGGCGGGTATACTCGTCTGGAGGGTTGTTGTCTAGCGCCCACTGTAGGACGTGTGCATCGAATGTCACGGCTAATGGACCATCGCGTCAGTCGATGCCTGTGGCCAGCCGTACTTAAGACGCGCACCTGTCCAGATAATTCCGGGATGGTATATCTTCAGGGTGAGACTCCTCGTCCCTGCTGCTGTGTCTATTTTGTTATTGACGGCTGTGACTGTAAAGTCGTGCTCAGGTGCGTCCATGTATTCGGGTTTTAGTGGAAGGTCGAATTTGTACGGGGTGAGGAACTGTGAACCACCGGCATCAGCTATTGTCGCAGCATTAGCCACGACATTCGAGCCTTACATTGGAGAAGGGATACATGGTATCCCAGTCGTTATTCCAGGTGTTCATTGACACCGGCTCGGGCACCACCCCCGGCACACTGAACTGGCGGGCAATGCTATGCGCCAAGATGTCAAAGCCAGGCGCACCGTCCGCTGCCGCAACGTGTAAGTGCTGCTCCTGCGTCGTCACCTGCATAACGGTAATGTATGAGCATGTCGTACTGAGGTTTCTACAAGGGGCAGCTTACATTCTCCATATGGATAATGAAGACACGCTTCTGGTGCATGGCGTCGAACGGCGACCGCATCGAGAAAATAGCCATTGCAAGAGCTGTCAGCATGGAGAATAGCACTGCACCACGCAGGATCGTCCGCCTGCCGAAGCGGTGCACAAATGGCACGAGCAGCGGAAGCGTGTATGAGCCTGCACCGGCTACGATAGACGCAATGATATGCTCCGCGGGGGCTTCTTCCCCAATGCGGCCTGTCTAGACACGTCATACGGGTCAATGTACTGCCGGGAGTGAAGTGAGGGGTGCGCGCACCAATGGAACGAAGACGTCCAGCGTGATGTAGAACATCTGGGCACCGAGCGACAGGGGCGTGAAGGCCGCAAGTGCATAGCTCCATAGCGAGATGTCATCGCCGGGTTTGGACACGATTGCATTCAACACGAGCGACAGGAGAATCGGGAAGCCTGAAAGAGCAAAAACACCAGCCGACCCAATACCTGCAAGCTGGCCTACTAAAGCCAGGAACGACTGTAGCAACAGGACTGCAGTAAAAGAGGTGCGTTCGCGCACACGGCCCACCAGCAACTGCGAGGCGAGTGCACCTGACAAGTCAATACACCTCAGCGCTCCAAACCTGTATGTATGTGACTGTGAGGCGTACCAGAAAGTGCAGCGGGCCCATATAGCAGCACACATGACCTCTCCGAAGAGAACCAGCTCATCTGCTTGTGCAGCACCTTCGCCATGATGAACGCGACGACATTTACATTCAAGAACGCTCCAACAAGCGCAGCAGATACCGCTATTGTGCCCTTCACCTGCTCGCCGAATGCGCTCTTGCCCTGCCGCAGCGCAGGGGCAGGGTCGACGTAAGTGAGACGTACGAACACGATTGAGGCAGTGAATAGCAGAGCATATAGAATCTTCGCAGTGCTGAAGGAGTAGACGACGAACTGCCCGAGGAATTGATAGAAAACGGTGCTCGGGCGAGAATATCCTTCCGTGAGAGCCGGTAGCGGGGATTCAGGCGATGACAGGTGCAGGAGAAGCCCAAGAACATTTTCTCCCATGTGCTGTGAAGCGAACCAGTCAGTAGGCTATGTGGTCCCACAATGCTAGATCGCTTGTACCTGGGCCACTCCAGGCTCTATGTTCTCTACAAGATCCTGCAAAAGTTTAGTTAGACATTCTAAAACTACACACGAAAGAGCCTCGCCTTGCGCATGTGGTATAGGTAGCTGTTGCCGACCACCGCGATCTGGAACTGGGTCAGCCCATGGCCGGAATATGGCTCAAACGATGGCTCACATCAAGACCGGTGACATTCAGGTATTGCTCGAATTGACGAAAATCTGTACTGATTGTACGCATTGAAATTATTCTCTGCGCGCGGGTATATCCATCGGTGGGACAAAGTACGGTATGGAAGACTTACTCAGATAGGATGATCCCTGAGGTGAATACCTCATTCGCGACAATAGTGCCGAATGGTCTGGTATTTTGTGTTGGCATTGCAGGATGATAGCGTTCAAATAGAACAAATTCACCTGGGAGCATATGCATATGCGCGAATCATTTGCTCTGAAGTCGCCTGGAAGAGCAGCTCGCGGCCAGTAGTGCCGGCAGCTGTCAGTCCAGTGTGAGACAACTGATGACACCAGGTCTATCTGCTTAATACTCGCCTTCCAAATTGACCGCAGCTCTAACACTAGAGGAATGTAGTCAGTAATTGTATCATAACTGCATATTGCAGAAGGATCTCACGTGTTCACGATAGGGTGTTGAGTGGAGAATAGATGCGACGCATCTTGCAGGGATTCTTCCGCGTTGTTGAACACTGCTCGCATAGTAAGATGCACTGGCACGGTCCATGGCCCGAGGCGCACTCACAGAAAATAATGGCATGAGTCGGCTCCCAATCAGGCGTGTCGACCAGTACACGCATGCATTCCAGCATGATACCAACCGAAAGGGCGTCATCTGCTGCACCTGGGGAAGGTAGCGTGCTGTCTACGTGCGCATTCACCAAGACAGCATGTTCTTTTCCAGCGTCAGTACCATCCGAAATTCGGACAACGATGTTCGTTAGGTCCACATAAGTTTTGTAGAGTCGGTGACCCATCATGTCGAATCTGAAGCGCAGTCATCATGAATAGAAAGACCGCCAGAAAAGGCAAGCGAAACGCACCGATGGCTTCCACTCCCCTGCTGATGCCAGACCTCGCATTGTAATTTTCGCCCCGGGCGCGCACGTACCGCGTCCTCACATTGCAGACGGATCAGTTCTGCCTGCTTGATCATCCACTCGTCGCCGAGGGCATGTTCACGCGTCCCGACCGTGCGGAAGCCGATATCTTCTGAAAGATACTTCGCATGCGCAAGAACGCGCGCCTCCGAAAGCTGCGGAAGGCCGGTCGAGGGATTAACCCTGCCTCGAGAGGAACCGAGAGCGTAGCGCTATTGCATCAGTCAAATGGCAGGGAACGGCCGCAACTGGACACTCACGGATCAACTATAGGCTCAGGCAGGCCTGCAGATCGACTACGCTGTGAGTGCCCTAATAATGCTATGCAAGGGATCATGCGACTTGCCATAGTTGACCTTGTACGCGAGAAACGGTACACCCAGCAACAGCGGGGCGAGACACAGCAATGATCTCACCGGGCCCCAACGCGAGTGCGGCGGAGGGCTCATCGTCGTGGTGGTTGGGGATCAGGATGGGAGCCACATTAACGCCAACGTGTCCCATCCGAACGTGTCCAAAGCCGTGTTGGGCGTACTCGGGATATGCGTCAAATTCGCTGACGGCGCAGAGAGGCATGCTGACGATCCTCGTCTTACAGCACACGGGACGAGCAAGCGAGTACAATGGCGCCTGCTGCAGATGTACTTTTTAAACAGGGCGTGGAAGTACTATGATTGCAAAGGACAACGGTTGGACGTCGTACAGCAAGTTGATGGGCATGAGTCTATGAGGGTCAAAGCTCTCCATCTCCCTGACCGCCTCTCCGCCTACGGCTCTTGACTGCTTCTCGATGTCGTCTCTTCCATTCACTCGTCAGCTCGCCCTTCGCATCCTCCCACCGCTTGTGTATGTCCTCCGCAGTGTCCGCGCGGAAGAACCACGATCGCCAGTTGGTCGGGTCGACGACGTCGTGCACGCGGCCTTGTCTCCGTTCGTCCGGTAGCAGCGGGAAGAACCGTGGGCGCTTAGGATCGAAAGCGTGTGCCGGGGTGTGGACGAGCGCAGAATCGTGGGACCGAGGATCTGGTGCGGAATGATGTTGAGACGCGGCCTGGAGTTCGACATCGTCGTCTAATTCAAGGTCGAGGTCGAGGTGCCCCAGCAGCGAGAATCCGACTGGAATAAGAGTTCAGCTACTCTGAGGCAACAATGATAGCAGGCGCGGAAAATACCCACCCTCTTCTTCTTGCGGTGCGAACAAGTCTTTCAGCTTCGTCGTCTGCGTGACTGGGCGCGGTGCGTCTTGCGGTTCCTCGACCTGCACATTGTCTTCGATGAGGGAACCGGACACGTCCACGTCCATGGCTGCATCGGAGGCTTCCCCTGTTTGATCCTCCTCTGGCTGTTCTGCGACCGCTTCAGGATCATCGCTCCTGCGGGCCGATGCCTCGACATTCATTTCAACGTCAGAGTCTACAGACTCTGCTCCTCCCCAATCTACCTCCCCTCGGTCACCGAAGAGGGACTGAAGGAAGCCCAGAGTATGTTGCTTCTCCTGCTCCAGGTCATGGTGCGTGCCATCCTGCGGAGCCTTGCGCATTACGGTAGGCGGGGGTGCCTCTGGCGGAGAAGAGGGTGCTGGAGATGAGCGAGCGGAAGTATCGTCAATGTCCGCTTCCTTAGTGGTAGCGTCCTCCTCACTGCCCGATTCGTCTTCCTCGCTCTCTTCAGACGCTTGAACCTCAAGTCGCAATGGAGCAACCGCAGGGCCCACGGTCACAGCAGACTCAAGAAAAGCACCTTTTAACTGCTGCGATCCGTACTTCGTGGGGTCGATCGTCTTCCTCCTCGCTCGCGTGGGCGGGTCTCTTACCCGCTTCCTCTTCTTCCCCGCCTTCTCGATCTTTTTGCTCTTGCTTGACGATGTGCTCGGCAGCGGCTCAGGGAGCGGGTGCTCAGGACGCATGCGAATGGGACGTATCATGCGACCGGTCGGAGTAACGCGCCAGCCTGAACGGGTAGCGACGTTTTCTGGAGTGACAAGGGACATGTCTGCGGCGTGGACGCCTTGTACACCGCGCGGAAGGCGGCGGCGTTTCTTTGGTGGCTCCCCAGCAGCGTCAGCACGCTCCTTTTCAAGCCTGCACAGAGGGGATTTATGTTAGAGTGCATGATATATATACAGGTAGCATAGCCGCACCGTTCTCGGAAGTCTGGCTTTGCCTCGCCAATGCGAAGCTTCGCGCCCTTCCAAGTGACCCCGCTCAGTAAGTTCATACCTGCGTTCCTCCTTCAGTCGTCCGTATGGCTCCTCGATATAGATGCCAGGGATGCAAACTCACATCTGCCGACCTGCTTCTTGGTGGTCTCAAGGGACACATACCCAAACTTGCGCGGCTGGCCAACACCATCCAAAAGCCCAAAGCCGTCAAGTGCCTTGACAGTGCCAAAGGTTCCCAGCCGCTTCGAGAGGTCCTCTATGGTAAGAGATGGCGTGAGACCGGAGACGAGCAGCCTTTTGGTGATGACCTCCTCCATTTGGCGAAAAAGAAGTGACACAGAGTAAAAAAGGTATGATGGGAGAAGTAGTAAAAGACTCAGATCGTATTCATCTTTTAGATGCAATTAGTTATGTCGCGGCCGCGCAGAAAGGCTCGCGGACTTGCAAGCGTCTACGTAAGGACGCGACGCACGTGACTGACAGCGCGATCAGCTCGCGTATTAGCGCGTGTTTCTTACTTTACTGAAGTGCACGGTGTCTGCCCAGTCATCGACGGGCTTCTAAGTCTCCCAACTGCTTTACTCAACAACGCTGCCAGGTGCCTTATAGAATGGGCAAACGGGCCAACTTGTCTGGTGTATCATTCTTTGCAGCGCAAGTTTTCAACGATGACGAATCTACACTAAACAGTGCGACCGATGCGAATAAACAGATTGCAAGGGGCACTCATGATGAAAATAATCCCAATCAAGAATCACACGAACGACCAGCGGACGTAGACACTGATGCACGTCCGGATAAGAAGCGGAAAGTCGGAGTGCTTGGTGCAGGCTGGGAGAAGTACGACGCGACAGGCTTAGTCCCTTTCTACACACACCAGACTCAGGTTCCTGAACACCTCCAAAAATGTACGTCCACGCATGCTGCCAAATGCCCACCGGTCGGCTGATGGTATGGGATGCTATACAGACTTTGGCCAACGAGAACGGTTCTTCTCCCTCTATTCCTCAGGCTGTCTACTGGACGAGGAGGGCTGGTACAGTGTAACACCGGAGCGTGTTGCAAACCAAATCGCCGAGCGCTGCCGCTGCGATGTCATTCTGGACGCGTTCTGTGGTGTCGGTGGTAATGCCATCGCGTTTGCCCGAACATGCGAGCGAGGTGCGTGCACCCACACCTCTTGCAGTGGTAGACTCCACCCTCATGAGCATCTACGCAACTCGTTCGCCAGTGATTGCGCTCGATACCTCACCCGTGCGCCTTGCCCTTGCGCGGCACAATGCCGTCCTGTACGGTGTCGCAGATCGAATCGAGTTTGTCCTTGCAGACTTCCTATCCTTCGCGCACCAGCTCACGCAGCAGCAAGAGTTGCGCTCACAGTCAAAATCAGCGGAAAACCCAAACACAGCAGAAAATGTCCTCGCTGACGTGAAGCCACAGCGCCTGTTCGATGTCATCTTCCTCAGTCCACCGTGGGGTGGCCCCTCCTACCTTACGGATCGCGACACGGCAGAAGAAAACATAACTGAATCAGATGCAAGCACCCAGGGTGCACCGGAGTACAACCTGGCTAGCATCAAGCCCGTGCACGGGCGACAGCTGTTTAGCATTGCGCGACGCCTCACACCCAATGTCGCGTACTATCTTCCTCGCAATACCAAACTAGACGAAATCGCGGACCTCGTCAATGTGCCAGATGACGAGAAGAGTATGCGCCAAGACGGCGGAACGGGAATCACGCGCAGTAAGAATCAGAACAACGATGAGCGGAGGAAAGGCAAGGGAAAGGCAGAGACGGTGGAGGTCGAAGAAGAATGGATGGGCTCGAAGTTGAAAGCACTCACATGTTATTTTGGTGGTCTAGTGACTGGACAAGAAGATCGGTTTTGACCCTGATGTGTGCCTATCTGCTCTGCAGTCTCGCACTTATTCTGAAAGCATCACGAGTTTGCTACATATATCCAAACTGTGTAGGTTTAATTGAACCTTGAGCAATACGCATGTGGCATACGGCAAGGCTACAAGCGTGGCCGAACGCGGATGCACACAAGCATTCGCAGTTATCTGTATTGACACAGCTCGAGCATTGAGAGGCAGATCCAAGCGCCCAAGTCGGCATTGCGTCAGTCATGCACGATGGAAGCACCTGAGTTGAACCTCATTCGTCCTCGTCCTCGGAGGATGAGGCTGCGCGGGCTAGTCTACTAAGGAGAGAACCATCGAATGCGCCTGCATGGCCAATGTAGATATTTGAGCGCCCATTGCATATGGAGACACTGTGACAATACTCACGACCTGCGACAGTGCTATGCCGCCCCCGATAAGCTGCCAATGGTGAACTGGGTGACCCCGGTACCGAACCTACAGAGCTTGAGAACGACGAGTCAAACGGCGAAGGCGCTGATGGCGGGATTGTGTAGTTCAGCGTTCGCGACGGGGTAGATACGGGTGACGCGGCGTATGAGAATGATTTCTGTCGCTGAGGAGTCGACTGCAAAGCACATCAGGTTTGCCTTCGCGCGGTGATCAAGATGCAACGTACATCTGGCGACAGACCCTTTAGGCGCCACTGACGCTTTGGCGAAGACGCTCCAACAGTTTTAGCAGGCGATGGTCTTGGAGGTGGTACAACCGTGGCGTGTGGATATTTCAGTGCGTATGTCACTTGCAGGATGTTGATGCTGAGGATGGCAAGCAGGAGCACCTCTGCGTTTCAGCAGGTTGAATACTTTGTCGCGTCGATCGACACGTCTTTGACACGTACCAACACTACACAGTAAATAGTACAGCCCGCTAGCTGGTATGCGCTCGCGTAGCACGGAAATCGCTGTCCAAGGCGACGGCACAGGCAGGAGATGTGTGAGGACGACGGCGGTAAGGAGACTGAGCCCGTTGGTTCGCAACCTAGCCATGGCTTCGCCCCGAGAAGGTTTCAGCCAGTCGGCGATTGTGGCGTCGTTTAATTGTGATGTGACTAAGGCCTTGTTGTGAAGAAATTTTGTTATTTGGGACATTCTGACAAGCAGTTGAGGCCTTGGTCGCGTCGCGGTGGTCGAGCAGGAAAGTAATGGCAAGACGGCGAAGGCGCTTCGCCCTTGTGTTCGGCGACGCGACTCACGTGCGCTGCGCGTCCAATGGTATGGGCGCTTATCAAGCGCCTGCTGAATCTCTGAATAAAACTGCCGCGACATCATAAAGGCGCTCATAACGAAGAAATCAGGTACCTTCACACGTTTGTACAAGAAGACTTCATTCGCTCACGACGCCGGTAACCATCTAGTGTAATCAGTGAGTCGAGTCTCCAGCCTTCAGGCTTCACGTTTAGCTGATACAATCGTTGTATTTATCTCATCGTAGGAGGAAGGACTTGTTCGGCATAATGAACGACGACACCGCCGCGCTTGAATTGAGGTCGTTCAATCATCAGGTCTGTAGCAGTGCACTCTCTGTAGGCAACGAGGGTCCTGATAGGTTCGCTTCGACGTTATCCGCTCGACATAGCTCAGGCGCATGGCCCAGCCTACGCCTGGTGTGAAAGACCGTCACGCTGTCCCGCCGATAACGCTGGTCCCAGACGACGTGCTGCATACCATCTTCCATTTCGTAGCCGAATACTCCTACAGCCGCATCGCATATGTCCCCATCGGCAGAGAACGCGGACCCAGAGACGGGATATGCGTCGTATCCCACGTCTGTGGGTACTGGCGTAGACTTGCTCTCAATGATCCTCAGCTATGGGGGTACATCGTGCTCAACCCCGACTCTAGCCTAGCCTTCTTGCAAACGTACCTTGAGCGATCAAAGGACGCTCCCTTACGCATCAGATTGGAAGGCACGAGACCCACATTCAACAGGAACATCGAGATTGACCTCAGAGCTCGTCTCTTGGCGGACCATGTGCATCGCATCGTCGAGTTCAGAGCAGTGGAGTTCAGGCCTACCGAAATGAATACCATACTCAAGTGGTTCAAGGGTGCAGCGCCGCGCCTACGCTGCCTCATGCTCGAAGCCGACTCCCAACTTCTACAACCTGCCGTGTTCTCTGGCAACCTGCCTGCGCTGCGCGACATCTACGTGAAGGGCGTCTCGATGCCTTGGCAGCCATATCAAGATCTCACGGACCTGCAGCTGAACGACCAGCTCGTACCATCGATGGAGAAGCTGGTGTGGACGTTACGACACTGTCCTCGATTGAAGTCGCTCAAACTTGGATTCCTTGACGCTATGATTCGCCAGGACACCGGGGAGCAACTTTGCTCTGTAGAACCGGTTGCTCTCCCTCGTCTTGAAGAGCTGTTCCTACGCTCTCACGTACAAGAGGACGTCGTCGACCTCATCTCCTGTCTCAGATTCCCTGACACCACTTCCGTCTCGCTCAAGCTACTTGGTTGGCACCGCCATACCATCGTAGACCTCCCGAAGGAATGTCCTTCGTTAAGTGCGATCACCTCCAAGGTGAAGGGCCTTTTCTTGGAGCTGACGGGCTGCGACGCCTGGTCGGCCAGCATCGTCATGACCTCCCGCAAACCCGAATTCAAACTGCAGTGGGAATGGTACCAAGAAGGGAAGAACAACGAAATGGTCGACTTCATTGGGCTGTCCCCTACAACGTTCCCCGCCTTGGAAGCTCTTGTGATCATTGCGACATCGTACCAGCTCGACGTGCCACACTGGCGATGCATACTCTCTGCCTTCCCCTGCCTAGTGTACCTGAAGCTCGACATCAGTATGTCGATGATCGCTAACTTCTGGACGGCCCTCGTACCGAAATTTCCACGGAACGAAAATATGCTTGATGCGCTCGTGGTTCCTGCCCTGCGCTATTTGAAAGTCGAGCGTATGGAGGAGCAGGAAACTGTTTTCAACGTACTTGGCGAGTGCTTCCGCGCCCGCGCCAACCGCGGCTGCCGCTTGCGCACCCTCGACTTGGTCATGAGATCAGGGCGAGCGTTCCCACCTACGGTCCTTGACATTTTGACGGAGAACATCGGGAAGGTCAATATCACCTACGTACGGAACCCATACAGCTTAGACGAAGGGGAGGCGCACCGTGCTGGTTCATCCCGCAATTCCTCCCATCCGAGACGCGAGCCATCGATGTCCCCTTCTATCCTACGGCCGTAGAGCCTTGCGGGAGATAGAAGGAAGGGCCTCGCCGCTAGGTATCAATCGTACCTTGGTGAATTTTATCTGGTGGATCGGAGCTCAAAGGACCAAGACAGTTACAAAATCAGCTCAATATTATGTGTATGTACATGTACAGTACTTTTACATAAGAGTGCCTAATATCGGTGGCCTGCGATACTACGCACGGCCCATGTCGAGTTTATGTCCCGACTAACACTAGTTCGGCAGGTCAGCCGGCAGGTCAGCAAATGTGGGACGTTGGCGGGTGATGGCAGGACGTACCCATGCTTATGCCCGTCCGACGGAGGGTACACTACAATTAGCCCCGTCATCAGTAGGATTGATACAGTTGACAACGACGTGGCGAACCTCAAAGTCGTCTCCTGTTAGCCTGAGGATATCGCCGTGGACAAGCGTAATAAAGAGCGATTCCTTGGCTATTCTTCTTGTGACAGATTTGCCCGTTACTTTGGGCAACATGCCAAAAACGCCGTGTGGGTTGTCCATGTCTCGATCTCCTTCTTCGTCAACTTCGTCCTCTGAAATATCCATATCGACCTCATCCTTATCAGGCGGAGCCGCCATTTCCTCAGTGACGTCGCTCAGTGTCTCTGCCGAGACACATGCCCGAGAAGGGTCATCAGCTCCCTGTGTGGCGTCGATGTACTGTGACCTGGGAACAATATCGAGTTCTACATCTGCGCCGAGACATAGCATGATGACCGCCGAGTCCTTCACTGACAATAGACAACCCTAGAGATATTCCTTGAGTAGGCACTTGAACGCTTGGGGAGTGACGAACCTTCTTACTCCCCGGCTTCATCCATGCATGAATCTGCAGATTGTTGATCGCGGATACCACAAAGTTTCCGAGCGCTGAGCAGCGATTTTGCATGAGAAGCCGCGCTTTGGTGATGCAATCGGGTACTTCCGTCCAGGGACAAGCAATGTGACCGCCTACAAAGCTGCTGCCCGCGACGTACGTATAGCATGAACCTTGAGGGTTATTTGCACTATGAGCAACGACGTTGCATACCATGGGAGAAACACTCACCCATGACCTGGCCAGCCCGCCAAGCCAACTCGACATCCACCTGAATGTCTCGAAAGAGCCGGTTTGGATCCTCCTGTAGTGATTCAGCATTACAGGTGAACAGATGGTTGGCCATAACCCCGTCGCCAAAATCAAACGAGAATGCTAATGAGCCATCTGTGCTCCCCTGGGAGTTAGAGTTGATGCCCTTGGTAGGCCTGTCCCAAGGCCAATTGGTTGGCGCTGTGGTTCTATGACCACGTACGTAGTCGACTGCCACGGGGGGAAGGTGATTTGCCGTCTTAACACAATAATAATAATGAATATTTCATCATCATAGTAGGAACGACTATACCTGGCAGTGATCACACCTCTGCAACCGCATGTTATGCAACAGATTGAGCTTGCCGCAACACGTACAGTGCCAAGCTTTACATGCAGATACCTCGGACGTGCCGTTCTCGAATTGAAAATCCGAAGCAACATTGGCAGCGAGGAGGTGCAACGGGAGGAGTGTAAAAGGAGGTATATCTCCCTGTGGATGTGTATATGGTGTAGCCTCTTGTGCAACCGCCCACCAGGGCACTAACGGGATATCCATCGAGGGGTACACGAACTCCCCTCCTGGTGTCCATTCCAGCTTGAAATCCCAGCACATGCGGTCGCCGATTTCACGACAATGATCAAGGCTGGCCGCCGCCGAGGTAGGTGTCGGTTCCTTGTCGCCTATGACAACCATGCTGACCTCTTTGATGTAGAAGAAGCCTAAAAATACACAGCCATATTCGGGTGGAAGAGAGAGCGGGAATAGCGGCGAATCTCGGCACAAGATTACACGGATAGGAATTTGCAGCGTCTGGTTGTTGACGAGGGCTTTGATCTCCTCGGGCCACCAGCCAGGGACATACGATGTTGTATCTAGCACTTCATCAGGCTGCACCGACGACTGCCCCTGATCATTCCCTAGGCCTGACGAACCGGCGAGCGGTAAGGCTAAGGACGCGGTGTCTTCAGCTGTTGTTGTTGTCCTAGACGTGATACATCTGAGCGGAATGCTGGGTGACTCGCCAGCTTCTGAAGGTGAAGAAGATCTCTGACGCGCGATCTGCGATTCTTCTGGAAGGCCGTCAACATCATTCATTTTCTCAAGGGGCAACGAGACGTGGACATCTAGAGCCGCTTGCTCATAGTGTGACTGCGTACGCCGTAGGGACGTCGAAGACAGCGGAGCTAGAAGGTGCCAGCCCTCAGCGTAAGTCCCCAGTGGGAGGTAACAAAGGTCTGCGTACAGTTGTCCAGGCCACCATCTATGTTTAGGTCGGCATCAGAGTTTACTAACAGGACGCTCGGATTATGCATTGCAGCATCAGCTTCAATCTGCGAGAATGCAGCCGTCGTAGGCGCGCGTAGATCCTGAAACGGGAAGTTGTTTGCTGATAGAGGGAGTACGAAATCACACCGTGACTGGCTTGAGACATGCTCTGTACTTCCGAGCTCCGGTCCATATCCTTCGTAATAATTGTGCCGTAAAAACAGTTTGCTTTGTCCCTCAGACAATGCCTGGGATTGGTGGATGTGCTGAGGCTGGACAGTGACATCACGCGGGACCGTGTTCGAAAGATTTGTAGAGCAGGAGAGAGAAGAAGCATCATGTATATCGGGGGGATGGGGCCCGGCAACAGCTTTCCGTACATTTATCGGGCTAATCCAGGTATGAGTGGTTGAAACCGGATGGGAGACTGTGGACGGGGACTGAGATTGTCTGGGATGTTTATAGACCGCGTGCGATACGGTGCCTGCCGCTGTTTCTTCCTCGGAGTCTGGTGCGGGTGATATCCGGTACAGCGCTATGCCATCCAGACCGCCCGGAGCATCGATAGAGGGGCCGTAAGCCGATGAGTAGGAATGAAACGCGGAGATAGAGCCAGGCATTGCTATATCAATCTGGAACGAGGGGTGAAGGTGGGTAGGTTGGCAAACCCTTTGAGGTTCGACGTCGTCTAGGTTCACAGGGGGGATGCTGTACACCGCTTCGGCGGACTTTGGCGCCTCATCCACCTCAGCAGATTGTACAAGTTGTCTGACCCTGAGACAAAAAGGCGTGGTCAGCTAGAATGAAGCAGGAGGATTTGGAAACAAGTCGCATGTACATTGATAACTTGATCACATTTGCATGATCCCAAGAATCAGCTGGCCATGCGGGACCTTCGAGGAACAGGATTGGCGTGTCAACACACCCGAACACAAGCCCGTTCACTTCCCGTGCGAGGTTTGGGAGTATTTTACGTAAGTCATGCTTGCTCTAAAATAATCGTGAGCAACGGTCGGTGAATCGAGCAGTCACTCTTACACTGGTCCATATGCGCGGGCGACCGGGGAGCGGCTGCTGAGGTGACCGGAGTGCTTCATTGGGAGTGGGAGAATTGGGAGTGGGAGAGATTGGGAGCCAAACTACGCCAGTCTGCGGCGTGGGCGCAAATGCTGTAGACTCCGAGATCACTATGGTCTGCGATGCGAAATGCGTTGATAATTCTGAACTAACTCGGTTTTGCGGAGACTTTACGGCCGCTAATGACTCTCCTCTTCTTGCCTGTCTGTCGCTCAGATGGCCACCTTGGTTTGATACCGGCCTTCTTGATCTTCGAGCGGATTTCGCGCACCGCAGTCTTGGGCAGTAATCTTCTCTGCTCCCTCGACCCTTTCTGTTTGTTTGCGCCTTTCCTGCGCTTACTCAAATCGGCGTTGAGTGCACACGAGCGTTCCCTTGGGCGATACAGGACAAGGTCAGGCAGAAGCAAACAGTCATAAGAATCGCTTGTGACTGACCGAGTGGATTGAAACGGAATTGGGTCAACGTTATGGGCACTATCGCCAGGATCGGGATAGTAGGAAATCGGCCTACGCGGCCTCAGCCTCCGCGATAAATTAGCGACAGATGTCTCATTTCCTGCCCGATCATGTCTCGCTGACCGCTCGACTGCCTCACCCCGCACTACGCCGACGCTAGAGAGATTCGCTTTTCTAGTGTGCGGTACTTTCGGATTGGGTAGAGCCACATATATCTTTTGCGATACAATGCACTCGCGCTTGCTCGCCACACATCTCGAGCAGGCAGGCAGTGTCCGTGTGCAGGCCTGTCTGACATCCCTGCATCCATCGCATCGCTCAATGACCACATATCTCCCTGTATTTGGGGTAGCATCCGTCTCGGTGTCGGTGTCGGAAATGAGAAAGATGTATTCCGGAGCAATGCGATTGTCATAGGTGTTTGGCAGGAAAGCCGGGCGGCACACGGATGGTCCCCAAGCCAGCGCGTATGGCGGAAGTGGTTTGCCGAGAGCAGGATTGGGTATACCAGTAGCGGTCGACGAGTCTACCTCAGTCGCCATTGTGGAACGGTTTGTTGCGTCCCGAACTCTCAGTCCTCGTCGCACGATTTTTTGTCAAAAGAAGGAGCTAGGAACTCATATCGGAGTACGATGCACAAGCTGTCGACAGTTATAACCAGCCTAGTAGCGGAGTTCGGACGCAGTACTAGCGGGAGAGACACCAAGTTCAGCCACCAGGAATGAGCGCTAGCCCTTCTTCATTTGTACCATCATGTTCAACCAGGTTCAACCTCTGCGAATCAGTCTTGCTGCTCTAGCAATAGTGAGCTAACATTCGTTAGTATTCAAATAAATGTGAAAATAGGATGTTTTCATCCTCCTCGCATCTCATGTTCGACTTCGACAACCCATCGGGTTGCAAGAACATCTCATACTGTTTGGCCTCTCGTGGTGGCAGCCGTGCTTTGGCCAGTTGTGAATTACTGTAAAAGTGACGGATATTGGAGGACCCTCTTGATGTGCCATTCTACTCTTTTGTGTCTACACCTGCCTCTTGTTCCGCTAATCGTCGTGCCAATAACAACATTGGATCCAGTCTCTTGCACGGAGCCAGCAACATCCATACATGGGTTGTTCAGGGTGGGTGAGGGTAACCGCTGTATTCAAATCCGTACGCTAATAGCCGCCTTCGTTATTTGTGCTCATAGCAATCCAGAGAACACGTCGAGGTCTAGAAACAGATATGCTGGGTCATTCATCACACATTGATCAGCGCGTCACTAGTACATGCTGTGACAAGTGCAGGTTTGTTTCGATAAGCGTATATAAAGGCAAGTAACGCGTCTACTAACACCTTCGTGTTGCACAGCTGCGCCATATTTCACGGCCCTTAAACAGTGCTCAAGGCTCATGTCTCAGTTAGTTTTCTGGGTGATAACTGCTGTCTTAATTCGCATTTTATGCTCGGGTTCCCACCAGAAAGCCGTCCGAACAGTAGCCAGTGCGACTTCCTCGTATGCCTCTAGACTCGGAAGTATCAGACGCGGATCGACTTTCTCTGCAATGTAGAGAGGACGGTGGTCCATGCCATGTTTACCTGAGTGGCGCTGGATGGTACCTTCAGGGCGAAGCTGAAAGCGATGACCAGGAGGCATGAGAGAAGTCGGCAGAGAAACCTGAGCACAAAGACTGGTAGTGCACCTTCTTACACATTTACTGGAATGGAATTTGTATGACATGATCCTGAAAGAAATAAGTTCGGTCGGACAGCTAATTCCGTAAGGGGATTTCCTGGGACCACCAAGTAGAGGCCACCGTGACGCCTATTTTGTATCCGTTCGATTTCAACATGAGTTCACCGAGTCCAAAAGCTGAGACGCATAAAGGCCAAACTAACAGTTTACCCACATGGGGCCGAGGTACACACGTTTCCTTCATGTCGTGGGCGATGAGGGACTGAACGGTCGTGGTTCCTCACTCTCGCAGTCCTCCTGTGCGGTGGCACTGATTGGTACGTCGAATGCGTCCGTCGCTTCCGTTCTGCCGCGACAACACATCCCTTGCACTTGCTCATTTCATTTAGGCCTAGACTTGGTCGCAAGGACCGCAGTGGGAGCGGTAAGAAACCTCAGGAGAACGTCATCGCGTAAGTGGTTGAACTACGACCGTTTTGGTCGTGAGCGTTGAGTCGCGTTGCGTTCTAGCGGGCCAGACCTGCTTGAACCTCATATCCTGCGTTCGCTGAGCAACATCAAAGCAACCTCAATATACACATCATGCGTCGGCTGTCACGTCGTCGTGCTCGACATAGAAGGGGTAGCGTGGCTATTTGGCCGAAACGAGCGCAGTGCTCTGGGTGTTGTGGGGGTGGAATCAATCTCAGAAAACGCGCCAAAGCGACTCACAGCGCAGGAGCTAGGGGCTCCGAAGGGGACGCGGTTCGTGCATGCTGCGTGCGGCAAGAACCACACACTACTGGTTGGGAGTGGGGGTCAATTATGGACAGCTGGTGCAAACCAGGCCGGGCAAGTGAGTGCGCGAGTAAGCTTCTCTCTCGGCCAATGCCTTGATAGCATTTGCTCGTAACAGTGCGGGCATCCTGAATGTCCGCAGATCACCTCTTTCAAGCTCGTGAATGGCCCCAAAGTTGGCGGTGCCAAAGAAGACGTTGTGAAGGCCGCCGCCGGGGTCACATTCTCCATCGTTCTCACAGCGAGTGGCAAAGGTGCAATGACCACTTCATGACATCGGTGCTCTAATATTAACATCCTTGGTGTAGTGTTCTCATTCGGTAGCGGGGAACATGGCCAGCTCGGCAATGGCAAAACCGGTGAACATATTGTCTCCGCAGGCAAGACTGCGTTCGATATTGAGTGGGAGCCCAGTGAGTCCCTTGTTTGTGTCTAGCTTCGTGTTGATCAACGTGTATTTAGTTCCTGTCAAGGGGCTGGATGATAGGGAGATAGTACAGATTGCATGTGGACAACAACATAGTGTCGCACTGACTTCTGAAGGGTATGTGGGCACACCATTGTCGCTATGCGTTCTGCTTATCGGAATCGTTTTCAGACTTGTATATGTATGGGGATACAACGGTTATTGCCGTCTAGGCCTGGGCAATCAACAAGATGTCCTCATCCCGAAACTCGTGCCCCAGGTGCGCTACATGTATTCACTTATGTTCCTTTCTAACAATATCGCACGACCGCTCCAGTTCGCTGGTCCCAACGACATGACAATGGGCGCACAAGTTGTAGCCGGTCCATCGAATACAGTTGTGATTGATCAGCAGAAGATGTACTGGATGGCAGGGAAGGTAAGCCGTCAATTCTTCAGGCTGTCTGTTCATCCGCTGAGGCCATACAGTGGAAAAACACAGGAGATGGTGTGTGTATTTGTCGGGTTGCTATATGCGATCTAGTCAAACTATTGATTCAGGTTCGTCGGGTCAGCCATACTCCACGTTCCGATTCATCCAGGATATAATGTATGCAGCGATCGTCTCGTGCCCGTGTCAGATAACTTGAATTTCTCTCCAGGGGGTGCAAAATCGCCTATGCCAATTGTGGGGGCGTGACCCACTGGGCACTTGCCCCAGACGAAGATGGTAGTATAATGACTATCGCATTCGGTCAGGGCGCTGCTAATGGTGCGCTACATATCCCTGGCTCCCACATCTCGTCCAACTAATCGAGTGTATGCAGGTGAACTCGGCCTGGGGCCCGATGAACCCAAGAGTGCGACAAAACCAACTCGTCTCCAGCCCCTCATTGGAGTTGACATCTTCCAGTATGTTACCCTACGAAGGCGCGATCTGCTGTTCCTGATGGCATGGTGACAGGGTAGCGGCCGGACAAAATACCGCGTTTATGCTAGCAAAACCGAACAGCAAATTGTCTGACCTGCCCAGACATCCTATCGACATTGAGCCTCCCGACGCCTGTGTCGTATGTGGTCAGGATACCGGTGACGACGATGCGCTTCTGGAGTGCGAGAAGGTGCGTGTGTCCGTGTCCTGTCAGTGCACAGATAATTCAACGTCCGGTGCAGTGTGACAACCCATATCATCTAAAATGTCTAGACCCTCCTTTGGATGCAGTTCCTGAGGGCGAGTGGTTTTGTCTGGAGTGCGAGGCGAATCCCGGCGCTCCTGTTGGGCCAGAGGCCAAAACCCAAGCCGCTCAAAGCAAGCTTCAGCCAGAGGAAGACTCGGATGAAGGTGATGAATCAGCGACGAAGACTGGCCAGAAGCGCAAGGCAGCCGCAAAAAGCAAAGCTACAGGTGAGTAGCGCAGTCTGGCTTGCTGTTGTCGATCTAACCTCATTTCTTGCCCAGCGTCCAAGCGGCGCAAATAGGACCAGATGGTCTATCTCGTTGTACATTGTGAGCTCTGGGACATTTTCAACCGATGCGTTGTGTTTTTGTCATGGTGTATTTTTATATGTTTCGGACTTCCGTCGATGTCTTGAGAAAACCGGAAGAGCAATTCCTTGGGACTAGGTTACATCGTTAAATTGACGTACTATATCTTGGGTCTGCTCCGTTCGTAAATAGACGGAGTGCGACCAGTATCAATGACAGGGGTTCAAAGGGTATAACATATCCATGCATGAGCTAGTAAACAGTGTCCATGTACAACTATCCAACGCTACTCGAAGAACTGCATGAGCAGCCACGCCGCGCCGATCCCGATCAAGAAAACAATGACGAATGCGGCGCCCACGTAGAGCAGGATCTCCCGAGTGTCGCTTGAAGACTCGCCGAGTGGCCGAGCGGCCTCCTTGGCGGCCCCGTTGCCCATTCGCTTCTCGATAGCGAGCTGGCGATCCCGCTTCTCCGCGAGCTGGACGATCTGCGTTCGCGCGTCTGTGGGATCGAACACTTGCTGCGCGTTGCCCGACGCCGATTTTGATACACTGACGAACGATGGGTAGTAGTGCTCGCACCACTGCTCAATCTGCGGGTAACGTGCGGTGTTAATCCAACACATGCCGGGAGCAGAGACGCGAGACTGCCGCACCTTTCCACACGCCACAGAGATCTGCAGGAAGCTCGGGTCCCCTGGCACGGCCTTGCTGTGGATTTTTCGCGCGTAGTCGCGGAAGATGTAGGCCACGTCCCGCGGGTTCGTTGACCGCATGATCAGCTGCGGGAACGCTAGCAATCGAAAATTCCGGTCTAGGAGAGGTGAATGCGCACCGAAGCAGCCTCCGCCTTGCGGATCTTGATGTTCCGCTGGAACATCTCGTAGTTCATGAAGCACAGACAGAGCGTCGCGATCGCCATAGTCTGCGGGATCGCGCAGAAGTTGAACACGCTCTGCTGCTTGAGCAGGCGGAGGTAGTCGAGCGCGTCGACGGCGTGCGAGAGCACGTCGACGACCATCGCGCTCTGCACCCACAGCGCCTGCTGCTCGTTGCCGGGCTGGCACATCTGCTCCATCGCGGTGAACGCGGGGCGCCCGACGGCCTTGCCGTACACCGCGCGGCCCCAGATCTCGCGCGGCCAGAAGAAGCGGCGCTGCTCGATGTCCTCGCGGTAGTCGCGGATGATGTTGGTCTTCTGCAGCATGAGGCCCATCGAGTTCGCGAGCGCGAGCTGCGTGCCGAGCCACGGCGCCTCCTTGCCCGACGCGGCCCATATGCGCGTGAGGCCCTCGCCGACGAGCCCCGCGACGTAGTGGCAGTAGAGGTCGTACTCGGCGCTCTTCTCGACGTACACCTCGCCTGTCGTCGCCGCGCGGTGCGCGTAGTCCGCCATCCCGGTCTCCATCTTCAGCGTGATGTCGATGATGACGTCGCGATATCTATATGTTGAGACGTCAGCCGAGGGGCGGCGGTATGACAGATGGGACGGGAAGCTTACCGCGCATCCAGGAGGTTTATTTCCTCTGCGACGACGTCGTACTCGACGAGCAGCTGCCGGTCCTTTTCATCCGGGCCGTTCTCGGTGAACGTCCAGCCTGGCTTGACCGCGTACTCGTGGAAGGCGCGCAGCAGTGGCTGCTTTTTGTCGTCTGATAGGGTCATGTCATCTTCGATTGTGTCCAATGCCCGCAGTACCAGGTAGAACAAGCAGATCTAGAAATGCTCATGGTCAGCATGTTCCCTTCCTTATGTCATAACCGCGTGCATGGCAAAGGGGACCACGTCTTGTCCTCGGGCGTGTGAGTCTGCAAACAGCCTTCTGAGAGTGCTTCGAAGTGTGCGCCCTCTGGTACCCTCACAAAAAGGCGGGTGATAATCTTGAACACCCATGCCAGTGCAGCTACACTCAATGGTCAAACAGAAAGTATGACCAGAATATGTAACGGATAAACCCCACAAACGCGCTCCTGGAATGCCTTGCGAGGCATATACCCATAAAGGTGAAGACAGATGGAAGCCTTCTACGGAATATCAGACAGCGGGCGCGACGCCGGGGTTGCGCCTCCGTGCCCTACATGAGACGGTGGCAACTTGAAGCAAAGGCAGATAGGGCTCAACTGCTCAAGCCATAGTGCAAGTAGGATGATCGCGCTGCGCGCGAGAAATGCAAAAACACTCGTTCACTCACCACTCTTGCCAAGTCGCCGTCTAACTCCCTGATGACGCCCGCAAAGCTCCTGCTCGTCAGGTCCAGGAATTCCCAGCATCTTCGCATGGGCACACGATTCCATCCTGAGTGTGCATGCTCGCTCGGTGCTGTGATGTCGCGATTGCTTTCGTGCCAGAGCTTGTACTGGATGAGCGTGCGGAACTCAAGGGGGTGCGTGAGCAGCAAGACAAGCATTGACATGGCGCCCATTGCGAATTTTGTGTGCAGCACGACGGACGCTGGCGAGCAAGTATACGTCACGGGGGAGAGCCAGGAAGGGGCGTTGAGTGAAACCGTCTGGGGTAAGGAGGGGTGGTACGATATACTTATACGCGAAATTCTGGGACCGGCGCGTGCGTGACAGGGGCGATTGGGAGGCGATTCTCCAAGCCGGTGTCAGTGCTGCTCCCCCTTGACCAGCATGTCAGACATCTGAGCATTCTCAGGACCGCTCGTTTTCCCGCACAGTGCGTTCGGGCCGCTGTCGTTCCACCTGCCCCGCTCACCAATCGTCGCTCCCGAATAGGACCCTCGGGTACAACATCTCCATGGACGCTGCCGTCACCCCTCCGCTCCGCGTACTCGTCGCCCGCGCCGAGGGCATCTCGGCAGCCGCTGCCCAGTCCCGCTTACATGCCTTCCTGAACAAATACGAGGACCGTCGCAGGCTCGCGTCCAACGGCGGCGACTCGACCATCTCAGCTCAGCTGGAAAAACTGACAGACGCATTGAACGAAGAAGCTGATGCGCGCATGAAGCACGCCTCGCAGAAGTAAACGCCGCGAAGGTCGGCATGCGTTTCGTTGTCGATATAATGGTCTACTCACCAGGACTAGTACTGTGTTTGCCTTTCAGAGATCGCTAGACCTGAGTCATAAAAGCTGTCTCATTCAATTACTGTCTTGGGCACGATCCCTTCCAATCAACTTCCGTTCTCATCATGTTCGCACTGTATGACATCTACAACAACGTGCCTATCTGACATCGTGGTTGTCTGACCAATGAGACAATATCTCTCAACAGAGTTATGCTTCAATATCGCCCATGACTATCACCTTGTGCAACGCCTCCTCGCGCTATTCACGTTCTGTCAGCAAGGGCCCCTCTGGCTCTCAAGCTGAACTCGTTGTCCCCATTCACTTGGTGGATATAGTTCATTCCAGGTGTCTAACCGTGACGTCGTCGATAACCACCGCAGCGCAACTAGGCAAGTTTGGTCATTCCCAGTGGTGATTGGGAGCCACCATCATGTCCAAGTCCCGCTTACAGGCATATTCATTGCCAAGTGTTAATGCGGCCACATAATCCATCGTGCGACGCCTGTGCCCGTCGGACTGCGTTTGCTCTTTCATTTGCAATTGTCCATTTCATCATGTCAATTATGCATCAATACCTGGATAGCAATTTGCCGCACTGTTACCGCTCGCTTTTTTGACACGATTCTGGCATCCATTACATAGTACAATAGTAGTGAGTCTTCCTACTCAAGGGCGCTATGAAAGTTCTCGAGACGAGTAAGCGTATGTCTCGCTTTCTCAATGCTAATAAGTGTGATGTGCCTGAGGGTTTTTCAACCAAGGTACTAATTCTGCTGTAGTTGCTAGTAGGCGTGGTGTTGACAGCATATATAATTTCCACGCTCGGGCTCGTACCGCTCGTCCCATTCCTGCATCCAGACAATCGCGGCAGTGGGATACAGATATCGAATTGCACAAAACCATCTGGTATGAAATTACTAGTGTTAAATCGTAGCTGCGTAAGTGCGTACTGGTAGCAAGGTAGCGAGAAGCAAAAGGTTTGGGCCTGGCCGGGAATTGAACCCGGGACCTCCTCCATTTTGAGATAACCCTAAGAAGGAATCATACTACTAGACCACCAGGCCTTATCACATGCGCACAGATAATATATTACAAGGCACAAGCGCCTAGTATAGCCACTTGCTAAGATCCTCCAGAGCCTCACCAGTACTAGGCGACTCTAAGACCATGGCGTCCACCAGCTCCGCGCCGCAAGGGGACCCTCTAGACAACATCTTCCAAGGTCTCCGGAGCAAGAGTCATGAAACCAGAGTGCAATCAGCGATCGAGCTGCAACGCTACGTGTGTTGAGCCTCATATTCGTGTTCATAGTGTCTCACTCGCGTTCCGGTAGGTGTCGAACACGGTGCACGACGGCTTCACTGATACAGCGGCGAAACTATGGGACGACCGAATCAATCGGCGGATATTTGAGTTGATCCACAGTCAGAACACGGCGGATAACTTAGGAGGTGTATTGGCCATAGGTGCGTCCAAATACTAAGCCACCTTGCTAAACACACTGACTGCGAGCAGATTATCTTCTGAACGCGGAGGGCGAAGGCGCGATTGAGTATAGAGAGAACTTATACCGCTTCTACAACTATGTCAGGACGCTCCTCCCGAGCTCGGACATCGATGTCATGCTTGCGGCGTCGAAGACCCTGGGACACATAGCTGCAGTCGGCGGCGGGTCCTCGCTGCTTGGCAACAGCTGGCTCGACAAGGAGGTGCCGATTGCGATCACCCTGCTGCAGGCCGACAAACAGGAGCCGGGACGCTATGCCGGTGTGCTCATCCTCAAGGAGCTCGCGCGCAACAGCCCGACGTTCTTCCACTCGCACATCGGCCTGGTCTTCGAGAAGATCCTCACCCCCCTGCGGGACACGCGGATCATCGTCCGGGAGAGCGCGGCAGAGCTGTTGGCGGCGTGTCTGGAGATCATAACGCAGCGTGAGCGTCAGACCCCCAGCCCGTACTTGATGAAGATCCTCTCCGACGCGCAGCTGGGGCTTAGGATGGCACAGCCGGAAGTCATCCACGGGTCTCTACTTACATACCGGGAGCTACTACTGCACGGGGGGATGGTGAGTGCTCAAGTGCTCTCGGGATTAATCATCATCGAAGGTGCTGAACCACATCCGTCGTAGTTCATGAAAGAGAACTTCCTCGATGCAGCGGAACAGATATTGACCTTCAAAATCCACAAAGACGCGCTCGTGCGCAAGATGGTCATTACGCTGATCCCCACCCTCGCTGTCTACGACCCACAGACATTTTCCGAGCACTACCTGCATCGCGCTATGGGTCATCTTGTGACCCAACTTGACAAGCCAAACGAGAGATCAGTCGGTATGACGAATCCGTATATTGTATTGGCTTTCGCTCATGTCGCTTGTGCGCAGCCTTCATTGCTATTGGGCATGTCGCCAGCGCTATGGGGAGCGACATGAAGCCCTTCCTGGATTCTGTCATGGCGCATATTAAACAAGGATTGCAGATACGAGGGTATGCGTGCTTGCCCTCAGGCAGATCCTAGTCTGACCTCATTTGAGCAGAAAGAAGAATGCGCCCTCGGAAGCGCCAATCTTTCAATGTGTCGGCATGCTCGCGTCTGCCGTGGGGCCAAATCTGACGAAGCTTTTGCACGATCAACTCGATCTCATGTTTGCTTGTGGCCTGAGCGAGCCACTACGACAGGCGCTGACTGCGATCGCTGCGCATATTCCTCCTCTGCTGAAGACTATTCAAGGTACGCCGACCTTGAGTCGCGGGAAACCTCCAATCTAACTATTGGGATAGATCGCCTTCTCGATTTGCTGTCTCTCATCTTGAGTGGTCAACATTACAAGCCTCTGGGTGCTCCAGCATCTCTATTGCGCGCTGATTCCAGTAAAGATGGTGGTGCAGCAGAGGTCAGCCCGCCCAGCTATGCTTCGTGCCTTGATATTGACGCTTGCTTGATAGGGTCAGGGTGGCCAGAAGAATTCCGAATTGATTACGCTTGCCTTGATCACTCTGCGCGACTTCGACTTCAGCGGTGCGTTGTTTCCGGCTGAGATTAATGTTTCCTGATGGATTGGGCATAGGGCACGTGCTAAATGCGTTCATTCGCGACTGTGCACTCCCGTATTTGGAGGAGGACAATGCTGGGGTCAGGCGTGTTGCGGCCGAAACATGCTGTCGTCTCTTCATGCGAGATCCTATAGTCTATCAAGCCAGCAACCATTCGATAGAAATCATCAGCGATGTCATCGATAAAGTGTTGACTGTTGGTATTGCTGACCCAGGTCTGTATTCGTTCTCCTCCAAGGAATTGTTCTAGCTCACGCATCGCAGATCCCACTATCAGGCAAATTGTGTTGTCCTCGCTGCATGAACGGTTCGATAAACACCTAGCACAAGCCGAGAATGTCCGGGCCCTGTTCATTGCTGTGAACGATGAGGTGTTCGAGAATCGCGTCACTGCCGTTAGCCTGATTGGTCGCCTCGCATTGCACAATCCAGCCTACGTCATGCCGTCGCTACGCAAAATCCTCATCCAGCTGTTGACAGAACTGGAGTATTCGACTGTCACGTATGTCGATCTTTCTTGCTCGCAGTGAGCATAGGTCCTCATGTTCCATGCAGGCGTAGCAGGGAAGAGTGTACCCGCCTCTTGACACTTCTAGTCAGCGCTACGCAGCGCCTCATCAAGCCGTATGCGATCCCCATGCTACGGGTCTTGCTTCCAAAGGCCAACGACCCCAACCCCACTGTTGCTGCCAACATTCTCATGTGTCTGGGAGAGCTTACGCGAGTTGGAGGGGAGGATGTAACTCCTAACGTCCCTGAGCTTATGCAGGTTATTCTGTCTAAGCTTGCAGATCCGTCATTACCGAAGCGCGACGCCGCCTTGCATACCCTGGGACAAGTCTGCTCGAGCACGGGCTATGTGGTTACGCCTCTCGTGGACTATCCGCAATTGCTCCAGATTCTGAACAGGATCTTGAAGACAGAGACGAAGCTGAGCGTCAAGCGAGAGGTTGTCAAGGTGCTCGGCATCCTGGGTGCCTTGGATCCCTACAGGCGCAGGGTAAGCTGACTAGCCTATCGAGCTTGATAGGATAGCTTGCTGACCCTTGTTTCAGGCCAAACCCGAAGAGGAGGTTACAACTGAGATGTCTTCTCATCTGGTTGCCGCGATCTCCAGGAATTACTCTGGAGCGAACACTGCGTCAGACGACTATTACCAGGCAGTGGCGATCAACGCGCTTCTTGACATCCTCAAAGATCAGCAAGCCAGCGAGCGTCACCATACTGTGATCGAAGCCATTATGTCAATATTCAAAACGCAGGGCCTGAAATGTGCCACGTTCCTTCCTCAGGTTGATACAGGTTTGTTGTTGTTATACTTTCGCTGACGGTTCATTGCAAACTGCAGATCATACCTGCCTTTGCGTCCGTTGCGCGGGCATCCGCAGCACGTATTCAAGTATTTCATCTTGAGCAGCTAGCCATTCTGGTCGGCATAATCAAGCAGCATGTCCGCAATTATATGCCACATATTTTCAGCCTCATAACCGACCTATGGGAAAACGCCCCACTGCGGCTGCCGTTGGTATCATTGATAGAAGCACTCGGCAAGGCTCTGGACGCTGAGTTCAAGCCTTTCCTACCCACAATCCTACCTCTGGTCCTCAAGGTCTTCGACGGCGAATTCAATGAGAAGGCTACGAGCACCCAGATCAAAATATTCGATGCATTCCTCACCTTTGGTGCCAACATCGAGGAGTATCTGCAGCTTGTGATTCCGATCATTGTCAAAACTTTCGAGAAAACCGAAGCACCCATCCCGCTACGGAAGAAGGCTATTCAGACAATTGATGGCCTCTCCAGGAAGGTCAATTTCTCGGACCACGCTTCTCGTATTATACATCCTCTGGTCCGAGTCTTGAACGATAGTACCAACGATATGCGTATGACTGTCATGGACACCCTGTGTACAATGGTCCTTCAGCTCGGATCCGATTTCGCCGTCTTTGTTCCCACTGTAAACAAGGTTTGCCGGTTGATACAGCGCAGTTATTGCCTTCTGACCACCCTCGTAGTGCCTCGTGCGTAACCGGGTATCCCATCCTCGCTACGAGAATCTCGTCTCGAAGCTCCTTAACGGCGAGCGCCTACCTCAAGAGGCTGGTCTAGCCGAGTTTCCGTGCGTGGAGTTCATGAATCTATTGTCTTCCTAAATAATCGGAACGTGTTTGCTAGCGAGAGTTCCAAGGCTGCCGAGTTGTCAGCGCCTGCAGAGGCCACTAGAATGACGGTGAACCAACAGCACCTCAGGGATGCATGGGACGTATCACAAGTTTCGGGCAAGGACGACTGGATAAAGTGGATGCACGGGATATCAGTCGAATTCATGAAGGAATCCCCTTCTCATGCGCTGCGGGCGTGTATGAGTCTTGTCGACATTCATCAACCACTTGCCAAGGAGCTATTCAACGCTGCATTCATATCGTGTTGGGGTGAATTGTTTGACCACTTTCAGGTAAGCCATTATCTTTGTCGTTGCTCGCCTAATTCTTACATATTGCATCTACAGGAGGACCTCGTTCGGTCGATTGAATGTGCTATCACTTCCCCCCATGCACCGTCTGAAGTAGTGCATCGCCTGTTGAATCTTGCCGAGTTCATGGAACATGAGGAGAAGCCTCTGCCGATAGAGAACCGTGTACTTGGAGAATATGCGATGAAATTCCATGCATATGCGAAAGCGCTGCACTACAAGGAACTCGAATTCTTCACGGAGACATCGCCAACGATCATCGAGTCCCTGCTCGGCATCAACTCCAAGTTGCAACAACATGACGCTGCCTGGGGTACCCTTTTGATTGCTCGCGAACAATACGACGTCAGCAAACATGAAGAATGGTATGAAAGGCTGGGGAGGTGGCAGGAGGCTCTCAAGACCTACGGCAAAAAGCTCGAAGATGACCCTGACAACCTCGATGTTGCGATTGGAAGGATGCGGTGTCTGCACGCTCTCGGCGAGTGGAACGATCTCGCTGCTCAAGTAGACGAGCATTGGTCGAAAGCGAGTCACGAGGACCGTCGCGAGATTGCTCCCATGGCGGCTGCGGCTGCATGGTCCCTGAATGATTGGGAATCCATGGAGGACTACATCGCGACCATGAAGTTAGACTCTGCGGACCGTCCTTTCTACAGAGCTATTTTATCCGTTCACCAGAATCAATTCGCGAAGGCTATGGCCCATATAGCTAAGGCACGAGATATGCTAGAACCGGAACTCACTTCTCTAGTTGGAGAGAGCTATGGACGGTCATACAAGTAAGTCTGGCCATCTCAATGCATCCATCATCCTGATTGTATATACGCAGCATTATGGTCCGAGCACAGATGCTCTCCGAGCTAGAGGAGATCATTGCATACAAACAGTATGCCGATCAGCCGGACCGTCAACTTGCCATGAGGAGTACATGGATGAAACGGTCCGTCTCAAATTAATCTTGTGCATCCACAGACTGACCCCGTAGCAGACTGCAGGGTTGCCAACCTGACGTTGAGGTCTGGCAACGCATCCTACAAGTTCGCGCCTTAGTAGTAACTCCGGAGGATGATCCTGTGATGTGGATCAAGTTTGCAAACCTGTGTCGTAAGAATGACCGCATGTTTCTGGCTGAGAAGACGATCAATTCACTGTTGACTCCCGACCGGGTAACTACTACTGCTGATGTTAACGACGGAAGGCACACTGACTTTCACTTGATAGCATACGAAGGCTACGAGCATTGTTGTATATGCCCACCTTAAGTACACATGGGCCGCGGGGAATCGCCAGGAGAGTCTAACTCACTTGCGGCAACTCGCCTCAAATCTCCAGAGGACATTGCAAGCTGAAACGTCGGTGCATCAAAGTGACCTTGCCAGACCGAAGGCAAACCAGAAGCTGGAAGAGATCTCTCGACTACTTGCGCGATGCTACTTCAAACAGGGTCAGTGGCAGGTCGCTCTGCACGAAGACTGGGGGCACGTAAGTGTCGCCTGACCTTATTTTGTGCATGCGAAATGTTTACACATGGTGAAGCGGAATGTCAAGGATATATTGCATTCATATTTCCTCGCGACACATTATGACTCGACGTGGTACAAAGCATGGCACACCTGGGCCTTGGCCAATTTCGAGGTCGTCGGCTATCTGGAAACCCAGGTCGAGAACAAGATGACTGGTGTTCCTCCAGACGATCTAGCAGTGCATATCGTACAGGCCGTTGACGGTAAGTAGCTTTTGGAATGAGCTCTGTTGATGGTTTTGATGCTATGTGATGCCCAGGTTTCTTCCGCTCGATCTCGCTAAGGAATGAGAATGCCCTCCAGGACACTCTGCGCTTGCTCACGCTATGGTTCAAGTACGGAGCACATGAAGATGTTAGCCATGCCATGAGCTCCGGTTTCACCGACCTGGAGGTGGACACATGGCTAGAAGTCATCCCACAGGTATGCTCTTGAGATAGTCGCATGCCGTTAATCCTTCACGAACTGCATAGATCATTGCTCGTATCCAAACGCCAAGCGCGAACATTCGCCGAAATCTGAACAACCTGCTCATTGACGTTGGAAAGCACCACCCGCAAGCCCTGGTGTATCCGCTTACCGTAGCTTCAAAGTCCTCTAGTGAGGTACGAAAGAAAGCAGCCCTCAACATCATGAACAGGATGCGAGAACATAGTCCGACAATCGTTGATCAAGTATGGCTGCCTACTCGTGTACACCGTCTTCAACACTAATGTCTTTCCAGGCGCTTTTGGTCAGTCATGAGCTCATCCGGGTTGCTATCCTCTGGCACGAAATGTGGCATGAAGGCTTGGAAGAGGCATCACGACTATACTTCACGGATCATGATCCAGAGGGTATGATCGTGTTTTTGGAGCCTTTGCACGAGATGCTTGAAGCGGTACGCCCTCTGGCAGCCATGGTAGATCGAAGACTCACATCAAGCTAGGGTCCGAAAACCGCTCGAGAGACCTCATTCACTCAAGTATTTGGCCGTGATCTGCACGAAGCTCGTGAAGCGTGCAGACACTGGCGCACATATGGCGAACAGCGCGACCTAGACCGAGCGTGGGAGATCTACTATTCAGTTCGTTCTTTCGTCAGGTCTCGACCAGCTTTCGCTTACCGTATGTCCCCAGGTGTTCAAGAAGGTTGAAAGTCAACTAAGACAGTTGACAACGCTGGACCTACAGTTTGTTTCGCCGGAGTTGCTCAAGGCTCGTGATCTAGAACTTGCAGTCCCAGGTATGACGCCGCAAGCTGCCTGCATGAATTCGTGCCTAATGTGCTTCACTGTATTAGGTACCTATCAGAGTGGGCGCCCGATCGTGACGATCATCTACTTCGCTACAAAGCTCTCCGTCATTCAATCTAAGCAACGGCCCAGACGCCTGTCCCTGAAAGGCAGCGACGGGAGGGACTACCAATTTGTTCTGAAAGGTTCATGTCATGTTTTACATTTACAGTGTGTGTGGCTTACCAATGCATTCTAAGGTCATGAGGACTTGCGGCAAGACGAGCGAGTCATGCAGCTCTTCAGCTTGGTGAACAACCTCCTGTCGGTCGACACTGACTGCTTCAAGCGGCGTTTGCACATTCAACGATTCCCCGTCATACCCTTGGCTCCCAACGCTGGTCTGCTTGGTTGGGTGCAAGACAGCGATACGTTGCACGTGCTTGTCCGCGACTATCGAGAGTCGAGGAAGATCCTGCTCAATATCGAGTACCGACTAATGTTACAGGTGGGTAACCTGCTATGTATCGTTCGCCGTCTCATAAAGTATTCGCAGATGGCGCCAGACTACGAGAACCTCATCCTTCTACAGAAGATCGAGGTGTTCGAGTACGCGTTAGAAAATACGACTGGGCAGGACTTGTACCGTGTGCTGTGGTTGAAGAGCGCGAATTCGGAGCACTGGCTCGAGCGGCGTGCGACGTACACCCGCTCGCTCGCTGTAAACAGCATGGTCGGGCATATCCTCGGGCTGGGCGATCGGCACCCGTCGAACCTGATGCTCGAGCGTAATACGGGCAAAATGGTGCACATCGACTTCGGCGACTGCTTCGAGGTCGCGATGCACCGCGAAAAGTTCCCGGAGAAGATTCCCTTCCGACTGACACGCATGCTGACGCACGCGATGGAGGTTAGCATTTCTCTTTCGATATGACGACTTTATCCTGATGCTGGTGTCGACCTATATAGGTCAGTGGCATTGAGGGCAGCTTCAGGAACACGTGCGAGATCAGCATGAAGGTGCTGCGCGACAACAAGGAGTCTCTCATGGCTGTGCTAGAGGCGTTCGTGTATGACCCGCTCATTAGCTGGAGATTGATGCAGACGGACGCCGAGTCTCGTCAAGGTAAATCCTTGTCTCTCTCCCAAGTCTGAGTAGTACTCATGGTTGTAACAGTGAAAGATCGGCCGGAGGCGTCCCGTACTACAGCTTTCCCTCAAGGGCCTATTCGTAAGCTAAAGGCGGACGAGAACGATATTTTCAATGGTGTGTGCATTTTCTATCCTAGACAATCTCATCTACTGATCATGGGTATCAGAGCATCATGAAGTGCGCAATGAGCGTGCTCTGAGTGTGTACAACCGCGTGCAGCACAAACTGACAGGCAAGGACGCCATGAACTATCTGTTCCTCCTCGCAATAACGTATCACTGTACAGGGCGTGACTTCAACCCTGACGTTTCACTCACTGTCGCCGCGCAAGTTGACAAGCTGATTATTCAAGCTACTTCGTTAGAGAATCTGTGTCAATGTTTCTCCGGATGGTGCGTGTTCTGTGAGATTGCTTGAAGAAGTCGTCCTGATCTATCATGCGTTAGGTGTGCATTCTGGTGATTTTCTGGGGAATGTCAAGCTGTATCTATAGAATGTCCTGCTTTCGTGCGCTGAGCCCTGTCCGTTGTATGCTACGTCCCATGTATATTACCTTGGATGTTACTAGATAATCACATGCCTCTTCTTTCGATTACAGCGAACGATTTGATGTTGAGTAGGAGCGTCCGCACCAACTACTGTAACTGTTCTCCACGGCCAGTGATCCGAGGCTTGTACGTACTTCCACATTCGATCCTACGGCTGCGTGCTCGTATCAAAACTGTAATGCCTATATAGCGAGACGAATGTCAGTGCATCTTTGCTCAGTTGCAGCTCCTAGATCACCACTGAGCCGCTACGTTATTTTAGTACATTTTTATATCTTTGGCGCCATGGGAGACCGGACAGAAACCACGGATGCAGTGGCGGAAGACTGACGTCGATGACTAGATCCCGTGTGGCTGCTATGGCTGCGACATTGTTTTCGGACGCTCTATGGGCCACGTGCGGTGACGAGTGTCAATACCGATCTGATCTAGGTGACGATTGGAGATCGCAGTAGTCACTGCGGCCACTGTTACTGCTGCTCCTCTTTCTCTTCCATACCTCCACCATTCGAAACAATGGTTACGCTTGCAGATTTACCCATTGAACTGTTCATCGACCACATCTTTCCTATACTACCGGTCTCTGATCTCCTCAGTCTCGCGTGCACCAATCGTTTCTTCAGCCAGCTCGCGTCGGATGAGCCATTCTGGCATAGGAAGATTCAGGAGGACTTCAACTTCCCCACCTCGGATACCGCAAGGAATGCCGGGTGGAAATTCCTGTACAGAAGATTATTTAATCCAAAGGTACTCGTATGGGGGTATGTCTGCGTGCCTCACGCCCTATCAAGCATTTCCTTACCGTCACGTTTAGAGAGCGAAGTAATGGTCGACTAGGTCTAGGAGATGGCGATATTCCGCACACCACGATGCGCGAAGGGGCGCCCTTCCCTGTGCGGTTGCACATTCCCGGCGTTCGGATTGTGCATCTTGAGGCAGGCGGAATGTAGGTCCAGTATTCTGGTAACAGGTCATTTAATTGAGACATCACCAGGTCATTTCACGCATTAGACTCCCAGGGGAATATTCACGTCTGGGGTAAGACAACTTATCTCACTGTCTGCGCACACTGACAGTTAATCCAGGAACACTCGATGGTAGTAGTGCTGCCCTGCGCAGCGAGGGCTACTCCATTCCGTCAAAGAGAGCGGAACAGCCCATGCGTCTCAACCTTCCGGTGATGTTCCGCAGCATCAGGTAGGCTTATCGACGTCAAGTATACCTCTCTTTATACTTACAGTAGACACAGCTGTGGGCGTTTGCACTGCACTGCACTAGATGCGACGTCGCACGTCTGGACATTCACATCGTGGGGGAGACCCTTCAAGATCATGTCCCCATCACTAGACAAGTCTTCGCCAGAAACTACGCCGGTCCAAGTTGAGAGCGGCTGGGCGTTCTCGTCAGTTTTGACGCAGTCAGGCGATGTGCTGGTGTACTGGCCATTCGAGGGCCAAATGGAAACCGCTATAGCTGCAAAGAATGTGGAGCTTGACCAACAGAGCGCTGTAACGCAGAACAAAGCACTTCCTACCCAGAAGGAACCGCAAGTGATACCCTGCTATCCTTGGGAGCTGCATGATGTGCACCCTGTCAGGCTCCCGCCTATACCTGATCAAGCCCTTCCAAGGCTCACAGGAACTGGCTTTTCAGACAAGGAGCTCGATGGCGAGACGAAATTAGTCAAAATTGCAAGTATGGACGATATCATCGTCGGGCTCACCAACAAGGGACATGTCCTAATGTATGCACCGCTTACCGGGGAGGATGCGTATCAGCGAGGCGCGTGGAGATATGTAAGTCTCTTCTTGAATGCCGTATGGATACCAGCCTGATTTCCCCTACTCTGCAGCTGCCTGAATTTAGCGAACTGAAGCACGTCAGGGAACATCTGACATTCACAGAAGGAGAGACTCGTTCGGAGGCCCCTGACACAATGCGGATCACTCATGTACGCCATCATTCCTTGCCGTACACCATTGAACGACTGATTTCCGCCCAGATCTCGGCCCAATTCATGACGTTCGTCGCCTACTCCACCGGCGCGCGCTCCGTCGTGCTCATCGGCAAGCCCAACGACTCTTCTGACACGCGGCCACTCACGCCACAGATCCTGCCCGCGCTCCAGAACCGTGGGGTCATTTCCGTCGTGCTTGGGGACTACCACTACGGTGCGCTCACTGCGTCAGGGACGCTCCTAACATGGGGCGCATTTTCCAAGGGTGCGCTCGGGCTGGGCGACCCAGCGCATGTTCCTGCTGGCCAGCCTGGAGGGTATACGGATGAGGCCCAGCGGGAGGCAGCCGCGACGCGCTGGGGCTACCTGCGCTTCCCTCCACCGGCGGTGGGGGTGCCGACGGAGGTGAGATTTGACCACGGAGAGAGCAGGCCGCGCGAACGGTTCTGCTTTGCCGTAGCTGCAGGCGGGTGGCATATGGGCGCGCTAGTGATTGACTTGGAGGTTCGTTTATGTGGTCCCATGCAAACATGTCTGAGATGGCGCTTACTTACGTATTTGCCGCAGCGTGACGCGGAGGATGACGAGGACACCGAACCTCCGAGCATGCCCGGATCATTTCCTGAAGCCAACGATGGACCGCCGGATCACGGCGTGCACATTCTACCGCACACTCCTGGGGCGTATCCAACGCTGCCTTTCGGGCGCGGTGGCGGCATCTTCCGGCTGGGGCATGCGATGCGGGGAAGAAATCAGGGGAGAGGAAGGGGGAGAGGAGGGAACGGAGAGTGATCTGGTGCAGCGAAACAAATCGGACGGATGGACAATGTAAGATGATGGATTTGGGTGTTTAGCTCTGAGCACGGTTTATTACGACGAATATCTGGCACTTGAGGAAGGCGCACTACCGTCAGGACAGCCGCAGTCCTTTGCGCAATAATTTCTATGTTTGGAATCTGCAGTATTTCCTTAGCAAATTTCTCATGTCGTTGCAGGCTCGGCAACACATCTGTGAACGTTGAGCAGACGATGTTCCGTCGGTCACGCTCCAACATGTACGCAAGAATGAATGATCTATCTTCCTCATAACTCTCTCGAGTTTAGACTTTCCGCCGTGTCCTCTCGCAGCCCGGGGGTCCACCTATAGACACAGTCCCGCAAAGGAAGGCTAGCCTATTGGAGAGCTCATCAATTGCCTTGACAGTAGTATCGAATATCGAAGGTCCCTTCAGGATAACCGCATTATCTCTTTGTCAGGTATTCGTTTTGAACACAGTATGCTGACATGAAGTTATATTGTTTTGATGCGCTCCATTTCCACTCGATGCGTCGACCTTCATGCGCATGCATCATCTGGATGCTGTCACTTGTCGCAATGCGCGAGCGTCATTACAGTTACAGCATGATCGTCGATCTGACCATCCCGAACGGCGTCTTTGCCATCAAGATCAAGAAGTGCAGAGCTGTCTGGTCCACACTTGACTCTCCACTATATACTCGCAGTATCACAAAACCGAGAATGGTTTCATTATCACAGGACAGCGAAGATAACTTCGACATATATTGAAGCCCAGCAGCCGAGATTGCTGGGAATTATGGATATAAATGATTCGACGAAGCTCAGTATTTTGTTTTGCATTGATGCACTACCGAGTAGGTAGCCGAACACAAAGGCTCGAGACTAGACATGAGCTTGGCATCGATTTGACCTTTTACCACCGATGAGTTCTCTAGACTCGGACGGTGGTTAGTGCCGCCGGCACCAATCTACATACACGACTAGTATTTGTCCTATCCTTCAACGTCATAAAGGTCCCTAGCGTCGTTGTAGGTCAATGATTTGTGAACTGGTTACTAGTGTCATCTAGGCGGCTAGCCAATAATTTAGGAATCTGTATACTGGATAGTGAACGGATAGCTGGAGCTACACGGAGGCAGAGACTACGTATACAATAATAAAATACCAAGGCCTGTATGATCTATGCTCTCGAGGAGTGGGTCAAGAAGATGAGGTCTGATGCGCAGGTGCTACAGTGGTCTAAAGATAATTCCAAGGGAGAAAGGGTGCAAATACCAAACAGTCTATGTATGCTGAACAGATAATTGGAGGCTACAAGATACAGGAGTATAGGGTCAATAAAATATGGAAAACAGCGCATCTATGAGCTGTGACCTATATGGACACAGAAATAAAATATGGAAAGTAATGCATCTATGGGTTGTGATCTATATGGATACAGAAATAGGAGTACAAACCAGCATGAGGGGATCAAGTCCGGGGACGTTCGTTTGGAATGGCAGCGCCGATGAAAGTCTAGAGGTCAGCCATTGACTGCTGAACGATCATTCTCTGATTTCCTTTGGGGAAACGGTAAGTAACAATCAGCTGAACTAAGAAGGCACAAGACTCACTGGCTGTGGGCGACCTTGTGCTCCACCTATCGAGCGCAGCCAGAATTTGATTCAACGGCGCCATCAAGGCTGGTCGATTGGACGCGTTGATAGCGTTCTGGCTCTTAGCAGTCATAATCCCGCGCACGATCACATCAGCGATGGTCGTTAGCAGCATCTTAGAGAGATGTCAAATACGGGACATCAGGAGATGAGATGCGGGCTCACGCTCATGATTGGGTTTATGTATTGGATTGAGTTGAGGTCCACGCGCTGGAGGACCCCGACAGCGGCGGTCGCCGCTATCCAGGTACGACCATTGGACGCGACTGCTTGAGGCTCGGTGGGCTTGTGCAGCGTGATCGTCGCCGTATGAACGAGTGTGTGAATAACGAACAGGTCTCTGATGATGTCCATGCGAGCAGGATCAATGCGGGAGATGGAAGGAAGGGATTGTTTGAAGCGTTCGAGGCGTGAGTCCAAGTGGTTGAAATTGCCCTGGAACGTTGGATTACCTGGGAGGCATTCGCTTGAGTAACCCAGAATATGCCGCAAAATGCATGTGCACTCACCTGGGTCCCAACGAGAAACCAATCGATGAGCAGACTCCAACAAGGAAGCAGCTTTAGCATGCAGCGCAAGGAGGCTATTGACGTTGCCTTCGGGGCCTGTATTGCCAATAAACATCTGCACAGTAGCCATGCTTCTGAAATCGCTCGGAAACGGGTGCTAAAGAACACACAGCATTAGATTGGTGTGGATGCCGGACAACTAGTACAACACTTACGTTTTCGTAGCTTCTCATGTCCAGAGGCCAAGGGACATCAATCTGGGAACACCTTGACGCGTCGTCAGTCAAAGCTGGCGACGAGCCCAGGACGGTGCTCCAGCATTTGTCCAGAACGAAGGCGGCCCAGAAAGCGTTGACCCTCTCGCCTTCCTCTATATAATCTACCGGAGGCGGAAGGTTATATTGAGCTCCTCCAAGAGACCCTGTCGAGGGGCGAGCACTGCGGATCTGGTGCAACCTGCAGGCCAAGGCCGTCGATCCAGCCGCTTGCATATGGTAAGTGCCCTCGAGCGCCCGGTTGTTGTCGAAGAAATAGTAGGCGAGCAAGACCTCGGTTTGGAGTACGTATATGACTGCTGACGGGTTGCCACTAGACATCGCGGGTGTGACGAGATCTATCGCGTGAGACAAGTATCTATCCTGCTGCGCCTGTAGCTGCACATCGTTGGAGAACTGGGCCCCGAGAAGGTAAATCGCATTCAATAGGGCGGATATATGATCGGGATACGGCCCAATCGCAATATTCTGTAAAAAGCGTTGAATGTGAAGGAAGAAGCCAACCTCGGAGGCATGACGAAAGAAGTATTTCATGCTGTCGAACCATCAGCCCGCTATCAGGATCTCGAGACATCGATACATACACATTATGTTGGTCCTGAGTGCGCTGAGCAGCGGTCGGACCTGCTTGTGCGGCGGTCTGGGAGCGGCGGTATGCTTCATATGGATCATGAAGCACAAGCGGCGCCGCTGCACTCTCGAGTTCCGCGATGCGACCCTCTAGCTGCGTGACCTGCTGTTCAAGGATCTGGCTCGCTGTCGCTCCTTGGCCGTCGGCGTACTCACAGTCAGCGGCTCTATCTGCACGCTGACACTGACCACAAGCCGGGCGTGCGCCATCGCATCTCTGGGGACACTATCAGCATGGCATACGGTGTGCAGACAACGTAGGAACGCGTACCATCTTCCTGCGTCTGTAAGTGAGGTGGTTCAGTATTGTGGCCTAGTTCCAAGAGCTGTCCACTGACCTGCATCTCAAGCATGCTTTTCCTCTCTCCAAGGGTGCCGAAGACGACGTGCCAGACATCTTGAGAAGCGAATGTGTGTAGAAGAACGCTGCGACTGCTGCAGACCACAATGACGACCTGGGGGCACTTATACAGCTCTGCATCCTGGCTGTGTGCTCCCCAGCATTCTCCTTGCCGTCGTAACACCGTTGTCTGTTCCTGGCGTTGTTTGATGGGTCTCAGGACTGCGGCCTCCCAACTGCGGGGAAAGAATACCGGTGGAATTTTGTGACGCACCCTCCATACCACGCCTGTCTTCATCACCTCAGCAATATAGTGTAGAATGTACACAAATGCGTGCACGCGACAAGCGACGTCCGAAGCGCGAAAGCAGGCGCGAATACTCCGGCCTAGTTCAAGGATGGCGCCGGCATGCTGCGATATCTGCGCTCATGAGCGCAGACGATCAACATTGACGGGAGAAAACAAGGTATTGTACTTGACCACACGCGCATTTCAATACATGTGAGGGGCTCATGCCCTGGAGGATATGCGTTCATGGCGCAGCGGTTTGGAAGCTGACACGGAAGGCGGACTCTCGTGGCCGAAAAATGTGTCCAAAGTAGGGCACCCGGTCGCCGTTGATGACCTCACACACGGTGATGCACATCGGCATGATGAGTACGTGGTACCTGCAAGTCGGAGTGTGAGAAGGCGACAGCGACGAGACAGTAAGCAATCGCTGACCATGTCTCCTACCGGAGATGAATACTCACAGAATGAGCATCATAAGGTGACGTGGATGCTGAAACAACTTTAGAGTCATCTGTCTTAGCGATTCGTCCCCGGAAATCCACATACGCGCCGTCTGTGCATGTATAGTAATGTCCAGGTCAACAAAGCAGTTAATGAAAATCCACAGTTGATCCTCGAGGGAGAAAATCATGAGAAGCTTAGTGCCAATATCTAGGACCGAACACTTATACGACATTGTATTCCCCGGTTGAAGTGCACAAGCATTTTTTTGCGTAAAGGTATAGCAGGTGGGCGGCCGGTGTCTTGTCACCTAGGGTTTCCACCGCGCCTTGCTTCCGTCGTTGCAGTTTCATGTCCACGTGTTCATACACTCTAGAAGAATCAACCATGATTATACATGTTCTGCGACATTCATCGGGAACGTGTAAAACCCTCGCGGTCTCACGCGGGGACAGGCGTATGACGTGTCGGTTTGCTCCGTAGGATGATCATACGACTTCCTGAGTATCTACAGCTTGTCTGTAGTACTGAGCCTTGGCGTCCACTGTCGTGCAACATAACCATACCCGTGTGCTCATACCCACCAGCGGAGAATGATGTTTTCTCGCCTTGAGGCCCGAAGTCCTGGTCGAATGCGTTGCAATAGTTCAACAACGTCAGCAAGAAAAAGGTAAGTATTTAAATGTCAAGAAGTAATGCCACTTTTAAGAGAAAAGACAGCGACGAGTGGACTGAAGACTAGCATGTAGCGCCAGTGAACGCAGCAGTGCCACTTGCAAGAAGAGTTCTCGAGGCTCGAGAAACAGCAGATAAGCGCCTGGCCGATCACGGCCGATCAAACACGTGTCTCTTGCGTCGGCCCTCGCTCATTTGGCGCTCGACAGTACCTCCAGCTTCGCGCAACTGCAGAAACACAGATCTTGATAGTGTGTTCGATATTCAAAACGGCACAAAACTCTTATTTGCTATATGCGAGCATGTCATACTTCCTGACGCACAAACCTGTCAAGCAGTCACTCAATTGGCCATGTTAGCAGATATTGTGTAACGTAGTAGCGACGCCAGGAACTACCAGACTGGAAGCTTGGACATAATGTAGGTCTCGCATAGAAGGTAACTCATTTTTTATGCTGAGATTCTGTGCCGTGGCCATTAGACGTCTAGGGCCGATGTCTCTTGACACGCATATTGATCGTCGCCACCTCTGCCTGATCATTTGAACATGCCCAACCGGGATTAGCGACTTCCTGGACTGCTCGTGCCCTTTCCGCTAGACGCTAGACGCTAGCTTCAGACCACTTCTTATGATAAGAAGGAGTAAAGAGCAGAATGTCTGATTGTCACAGATCAGAGCCCTGACCCTGTTGATGTGCATTGCGCACGCTCTGCGGCCCAGAGCTGCGGTGCGAACTCAGGGATCCTTTGCGTTCTTTGTGACCACCAAATCAAGCTGTGCATTTATTCACACCAGATTGCTTCCGCTATTTTGACTTCACCGTCATGATGTGACCAATCTAGGATGTGGTCGCTGCAAATTCAAGTGTGGGTGCTGCAGCGTGGCTGTTTCTGATGGCAAGCCTCTTTTTCCGCCTTTTGTTCAACCACTCAGAACCTCTAGACAGACACGCCGCGTTTTGATGACGCAGTGCGTAGCCAGGGATCTTAAGCATAGCTGAGTCCAGCACGCCAGAGTCCACTTGCTACCAGACCAATCTGTACAACACCCTACGATTCAGCGCGTGCGCCAATCTAAGCCCCAGAGAATGAACCGTAGGGTCTGGCGTCCTTGGCATGCCAGCGGTCCCAGATCCCATATTCTCACAACGACACTCTCCCTGTCTAGAAAAGGATGCTTCTGGTAAACGGATCTGAATTCTGGACGGAACTGTCAAGATAGGCTTTGCTGCATTCAAAACAGCACGCCAGGTAATGACCCTAGGCGCAGTTTCGCTGATGCCAAACGTACGGCATGTCGCGGCAATGAAACCGCCGTGCTATAGGCGATGTGACATATGAATTGAATGGTATATTGAGCGCGCTCGACAATGCGTTTACGCCTGGCATCTGGACGCTCAGCTTAAACGTATATCAATGACCCGGGGTCGTATAGCATCGCATCTTCCCACAACAACATATTATGGTGAGCTCTTGATGAATTGTCAGGCGAGCAAGCTGACGTGCTTACAATGATACTTGAATTTGCGGCAAAATGTCTCCAATTTAGGACATTGTGCTTGACTGATGAGGCGTTGTTGTCTCCGCTCGTATTGCACAGATCTCTTGGCACTGCGGCAGTAAGCAGCTGCCAGGCTTCAAGGCGCTCTGTGGTCATGTCGGCACCTTCGAACCTCTCTTGTCCCGGGCGGGTCGCTATTCCGATCAGCGCTGGCGTATCTTGATAACAACCATCGTGTTCAGCCTGCAGATATGCTGGAGTCATGAATATGATGCGGTGTATTGAAGACTGACAAGCAGATTCGCCTACTGATCGCTCGGCAAGGCTTTTCGGGTTCACTCACTGAGATTGGGCCACTTTAGGGGTCACAGCGGTCGAGCACACCCCTTATTGCCCGCATAATCGGACGATCTGTACGCCGCCGTGTGTGCGCAGGTACACCAGGCACGCGCGCAATTAACAGACGTGTCTCACCTCCACAATCGCATGTCTATCCTCTGTGCGGCCGCTTTTTCGCCCTATTGGCCGTACGCCCATAGTGCATTTGCTGTAACTTTGGTGAGCACATTTTCTGACTGAGAGGCGGCGTACATTTTCACCGAACGGACTAATGGAGCTAGCTCAGCGCCATGTTGAAGTTGACGCCGCCTACGCAAGGCGCGCTCACAAAAGGCAAATCTAGCCCACCGTGCGCGCCATTACAGGTTCTGCACCCGTGCGTTTCTCCATGTTCACCGCAGTCTGTGCGGTCAGTGCCCAGAACTTTGATACCGACGCTCACAGGGAAATCACAGGTGCGCTTCCCTCAGTTCCTTCATGTGGTCTTCGGTAGCATCACGTTTCCACGCAAACATGAGTCGCCCCGATCACTGAGTGGGCATCTTGTCTACTCTATCGAGCAGCGAAGATCCGATTTCGAGTCTCGGGCACACGTGGACTTCGACTCCCAGTGATCGAAACGGTCATTACGGGGCCTATATTCCTCTGCCGTGCGATCCTTCTCGCCACCGGAACGCAGTCGACACAACTGTCCGCAATTGGCCAGTCTTTAATGTCAGCAAGTGCAAGCGTGGCTATGCAGACCAACTTCTAGGAAGTCTGCAGCCTCGGACGTATGGGGAAGCTGCCGAAGCTGCCGCCGCCACGGCAGCCCCTTAGACCACCTATACCGTCCGTTGCGATCGCGGCAGGCCATTACAATATCCAGGGTTATTGCTGTACACGGGTTCCGCGCAGGCTGATCTGTCTCTCAAACACTCCCACGCCAGGGTCCCAAGTACCATACAGGACAAATTCCAATTCCTCATATCGGGCGTTGTTCGCAATCCAGGGAAAGCAGACCCTGATTTCCATGGTGACACCGTCCTAGGATCAGCATATCTCCCTATTGAGACGTCGCAGTCAAAAGTGTGTTTCGATTGCATGTTTCGTCGTATGTGCGGGTTGAACTGTCACGCGCCACGGTCGCACATGCACATGTGTCCGCTGAACAAGGTCACGTCGGAGCTTGTATTCTGTTGGACGTCTCTGTTCAGGGGCACCCGGTGTATGTTCTATTCGAGCTTGCCAGTCGGCCGTGGCAAGATTCCCTCGAGGCAGGCATTACAGATCGGACTGTATTAAAATACTTCTCTGTACAGCCCCGCCCGATTTGCGCTTTTTGTGCGATTTTTCTAATCAGGCATTTGACTCCCCTCCATGGAGCTCGAGCACGTCCACAAGGGTACGTCATGCGTCTTGATGTACCAACGCGGGCGCTCCTACTTGGTCCTTCCATGTGAACTGTCGGTCTGTGCTTTTTTTGTGCTCTCATCAAGTACGTCACACCGAGTGGCGTCGGGGTTGGACATCCAGGGAAGCGGTTCCAAGGATCACGCCAGGATGTGGCGGCGGGACCGATCTAGCTCAAAACCTGAGCTTCGCAGCCTCGTGTCAGCCTGTGTTGAGAGAAGCCGAAGGCCATTCCTCCAATCATCAACTTATTTTGGAATGAGCAGACACTGCGCACATGAACGGGTAACGTGTATGTCGGTCCGCACACTACGTTTCAGACACGATCAAACGGTGCGGCTGACCGCTATTATACAAATTCTTCGGTGACCACATCCTCTTGCTCTGTAAGTTCGCGGATTTCGGCCTCGGACAGGTGGTGCGCTCACCGGGGAAGTCGCCGCCTGCACGGGTGCCTCGGACGCTCGCCTCGGCTGAGTCTTCGTAATTATTTACAGCACTCGAGCCTGTTTCGGGGATAATTTCACAGCGATGTCATCCGGTCATACATCTAGATCGTATCACGCTGACGAGTCTTGCACCATAATCTGAACATAGCCGAGGTCTTTATGGTTTAGTTTTACTTTGCAGCCGAATAGCACTGACTATTGGCAGACGGGACCTGGCTCGAGCCGCGGGGCCCCGAGACATCCTGCCGCACACCGCGGCCGGGACAGACGGTTTGGGGTGTTCGTGTTCGACGCGGGCGCCGGTAAGCGGGGTGGCGCGCCGCGCGATGGTCACCGATTTGCTCCCGCTCCGCCGTGCTCGCGATCGGCCGAGGTTGCCGGCGCGACCTCGATCACGGCGATCGCGCGGGTGATGCGCCTCTGGGGTTCGTGAAGTTCTGATCTGAAACCCGATGTGAGACTCGACTCGGGCGCGTTCTTCTCCGAGCGTGGCTTTGGCTTTGGTTGCCGGGTCCGTCTCCTCTAGCCGTAGTGGCAGTGGCTAGCGATAACCGAGGTGTCCGAGCAGCTCCATCCAGTCTGAGCAACGCGCTTCACGATGTGCGCCATATGCGTCATAGACGTGGAATCTGCCCTTTTGGGTGCGCTGGCATATGGCCGAGGATTCGAAGAGGACCGTGTCGTAAAGGCTTGGAAGAGAAGGTCTGTGTCTTCTTTCCGTCGAACATAATTAGATTAAGATGGATGACATAACCAGCCGTGAATCGCCACTACTTTTCCTGCAGGCTTCTTCCGGCGCGGCCAGAGCCTCGTCTGCGGGCCCAAACCTGCTCATTCGGCGCAATTGCTGGATTTGGGCCTTCTCGAAGGCGTGACGTGCGGTATCCCGAATACGATGGTGCGCTCGCCATGGATGCTGAAAATACTTGTGCATTTCGGGCTCCCACGCTGACCCTGAACTTCTGCGAATCGCACAGCGTCGAAATCGGACATCGGGTAATGTTGCAACCTCCTATGGAGGCTGCTATGCGGGTTTGTCCACGACGATCCTTCTGTCCATGGCGCAGCAATCGCCCGATGCATAAAGATAGGTCGCAGATGAAGTGACGTGCGGAAAAGGCAAAAGTGCGCGCAAACACAAGTGAGCCCACGAATCATGTGCTTACCGGCATATGTCGCGTTGCAGATACAGCCTCGTGCATGCCATGGGCCCATGTCGCGAGCGAGATCTTTCTGCGACATACGACGTCATCGGCTGCCCAGTGTCTCAAGACTGAGAACCTCACGATGACAAGCCGGTCGCGTACGACACACGCAAGCAGACGCGGCGGTATGCCGACCATCTCACGGGACCGTGTCACGAGGCATGCCACCTTCGTGCGGGGGGGAGGGATGACGTGGCAGATAGGCGGGGACAGATGCTGGCTCTGGATCCCTTCCACACTCACGCCACAGAAGCCGGCGAGACAATAGCAGCAGAGGTGTCGAGAGCGAAGACGGCAGGCGCTGGAGCAGCCACGAGTCTGGCGCCGCTTCGCCTTCCTGGAGGCTTCCCTCCGAGCCACGAGGCGTGCGGCCAGCGTCGCTGCCAATCGCACCAAAGTCGAAGCGTCCTTGATCTGCGGGCGTGCGAGCGGCCAGATCAGATATGGGCTCATTGACACGCGTCTTCTGACCTTCGCAGCCGCGCGCACAGGCTCTGCGACAGTCGCGCCGAAGAGACGTCAGTGCTGGCGGGCGCCTGTGGGATACACCGATAGAGCCGTCGCACCGAAGCCAAGGGACAGACGGGGGCGATCACGATCAGTGCGCGCCTCGCGGCTGCCATGTGTCCATTTCATCCTGCACCTCCTGCCATCGCACTCTCCCACCCCCCGCCTTCTCGAAGCCGCCAGCCCTTCCAGAAGCCGTCCTGCAGGCAGCCGTCGCACGTCCTGTCCCACAGATGCCCCCCGTGCGCGCCCAGTGACATGTGCGTCCAGCACTGCGCCCGAACACCCCCACCACCGTGCTTCCCCCTTCCAGCGCGTCCACTCCACTGGGTCGCGGGAGAAGCCCCCCCGCGCCCAATCGCGCGTGCACAGCGACACAGGCGTTGTCCTCTACACTGATGGGTGCGTCCGATCATTCGTGTTGCTACACCTTGTTTTAGTTCGAATTTCCATGATGCGAACAAACCCGCGCCCAGCCTTCCCGCGTCGGAGAACCATACATGTGTGCCCCCGACCATATGCGTATGTGTGGGTCGTCGCTCTGCAACGCACGTACTGCGCACATATGTTATCACGGCTGACCATGTCCGCACTCCTCAGTGTTTCGATAAAGGTCGTGACATAATCTCCCGCTGCCATCGTGGCTGTGCGAAGCTCCGTACCAGACACAACGCCTTATCGCACCGTCCGGCGAGCATCCAACGCTGCGGCCGCAGCGCGATAAGTGAATGGCCCCTCCAAAAATACCGAGCCCGGCGCGATATGTAACACAATATGTAAGTCACCGACGACGGACGCCGACGCCGGCGGCCGCCCGACACCTGCCTGATACGCTTCGCGGTGGGCCGCTATGTGCCCGATTTCGCGGTGCCGGTGCATGTATACTTCCTCCGAGGCTAGCCTCCTGCTGCTCCGGGCGGGCACCTCGGCTTGGCGTATACTGAACGCCCGGGCGCGCTGCCACACTGCGATACTGCGATGCTGCCATCTGCCATCGATTTGCGCATTCCTCGCGGGCGCCAACGCGAGTCGCGCCTGTTCCCCTGCCCCCAGGACTGGCGCGGTGCGCACGGGCGGCATCGGTGCTCCGCGCAGGGGAGACCGCAAGTGCTGGCGCACGCGGGCCGGTCGAGCATGCACGCACGCAATCTTAATCAAGTGCCGACGTACGTCGACACACACAAACCATCGCGTCTGTCAGACTCGAAGGAGGTGGGAGCCGAACAGGACGGGCCTGCGCGTTGATTTTCACTGATCGTGATAGAGTTGCATTTCTTACCATGACGATACGATGCCCCTCCCCGCCTGGGAGTCACCGCGGGCTATCATCACCCCGTAAAGCACGTGAGTGATGTGACTCCAGTGTTCGTGTCGAACGGCGAACACAAGCGATAATGATAATGATAATGATATTGATAATGCCTGTGACCAGCGCGAGTGCCTGGGCTCGCGCCGCCAATTCAGGAGCTCGCGGGGCAGATCGATTGGTTGGTGATTGCGAGGTGCACAGGAGGACAGGACGGGACGGGAGGGACTACGATTGATGCCGCGCGAAATGCGTGCACCAGGCCCTCCTGCACGTCGCGGCGGGCACTTGCTGGCTCGCCGACGCGGCGCGTGCCCTGCCCGCGTGTCCCTGGGTGGTCACGGCAGACAGGCACGGATGCGCGGGCACTGGGTGGGCGTCCGCGCACATATACGGCGAGCGGTGCAGACCAGACACACACGCACACCACGGCGCGGGAGGCTGCAGAGGGGCGATCGCCCGCAGGAGGCGAAAGTGGAACGGGGATCAGGGACCAACGCGCGCGAAAGGGGCCGGGGGCGCGCGCATGCGATGGGTGCCTGAGATGCAGATGCTGGTGACGGACGGGCGAGCAGGGCAGGGCAGGGCAGGGCAGGGCAGGGCGCCCTGGCTCTTGCAGAGACTCTTCCTTTGCAATCTGCGTATCTGGGTGCAGAGCAACCTTGATCCCGGGGCCTGTCGGCCGCAAACCGTCGAATTCGTCCATCGAAGCATGTTGAATTATGTAGTGGTCTGGGCCAGGTCTCTGTCTCTGTCGTTTCCTGCAGACCCCGCGTGCTGCGTGCTGTGCGGACGGGCGTGGGGGGCGGGAAGGGAATGTGGATGGCGATGGTGTCCTGGCATCGATATGATCATTGATGCCCCCGGAACATGTCCTGACATTGGGCAGCGATGGGGCGAGTGAGTGCCCGCCCTTGGCACGCCACCATATGTACCGCACCGGAGCCAGTGATGCGGGCGACGCTGTCAGCAGATCGTTGGGTTGATGCCGTAAATACAGTCGATCTGTTGGTTCCGCTGCGCTGGATGGAGACGATGGCGACGCACAGAGATATGGTTTCATAAATCAGAACCCAAATCTCCGATGCAGCACGGAGCGCGCCTGGCCCGCGTCGCAGTCGCGCCTCGTCGCGACAGCGGGTAGGGACGGCAAAGTTGCTGGGGCGCGGCTCGACCTCAGCTGGCATGATAAGAGTCGCGACGCAGGGCGGAGACAGCGACAGGACAGGACAGGAGGGCGCGTCAGAGCAGGGTCGCTGAAACGCGACACACGACAAATCGAGGGAAGCCTCTCGACGCGGGCGGGGCAAAACGACAATGTGTGTTGACGGGGCGGCACGCGCTGGATTGATCGGCGTCGCACCTGGTTCGGCTTCTCTGGCGGAGCGATGTGGCCCCGAAATGGCAACGGGCGCGCACACGCGTCATCTGCATCCGGGGCAGGCGCCCGCGCGCACATCCCGTGCGATGGCCACGCAGGGCCTGGCAACGGCCCCACGAGAAGGACATCGCAGCCACGACGCCCCGCATGCCGTAACGCGCAGCGCACCATCCCCAGGCCCGGGAAGACGGGCGATCCATCCACGAAGGCGCGCGTGAGAGACGGACCTGTGGGACTCGCGCCGGCAGACGGCCGGCGCTCGGCGTCGGTAGCGCGCTGCCACGATGCGGCGCATGCATCGTTATCTAGCTGGCAGTCTGGCCGGGCGGACGGGAGCGGCTGCGTCAACGTGCGTGCGTGCGTACGCGCGCCTGCGGTTGGGGTGACATCCTGGACAAGTACTCACTGACAGGATCAATCGGATCGCGGCGGTTCCATGGAAGAGAAGTCGATGCGACCGCCAGCGTGACGGGGAAAGGGACGCTGCTGTCGGTGGCTGGCGCTCACATGACATACCACCAGATTCGTCTGTCCTGTTGCTGCTCGCGTGTGTGCTTGGCGGGGGCTGCCGCGATAGGGGGCGCGCAACGTCGGACGGCAAGACACAGACAAAAGGTGCTGACACACCGTGGGCTGGGGCGGTCAGGAGATATGCGGGCGGAGTAAGTGTTCTGTATATCTCGTCAAGGAATGTCATGATCGGCACGACAGGGGCGGGTCAGTAGACATTACCTGCTTGAAGCAGTATGCTCGATTCGATCACTGTGCTGTCGGTGTCTAGTGCAAGGCGGGCAATTTACGGAGGGATGCACGGATCCTCGGCAAGATGGTGGCGTACTGCTATTATATTAATTACATTCGCGGGGCCAATATTAGTCGTTGGAGCACGTATCGCGGAAGCGAACGCGAATGCGGGCGAAGATATACGGCGAAACGCCAGTCTTGATTTGGAATTCTGGATCGAGGAGGGCTGAACATGTCTGATGTGTGCAGAACAAATGGGCATAAAATGGGGTAGAAAAATGGGCGGCGAGGGGTCAAGGGGCGTCTGCGACGGATGCGATGCACCTGGCTGCGCAGGGCCAGGCAGGCTCCGTCCTGGATGAGGGGGTCCGGGATGGGGGACGTGACGCGGGTGCGCGTCAATCACGAGGAGTGGAGGCTGTTGGACGCGTGACAGGGAGACCATACGCCTCGCTGATGAGTATGACGACGGACAGAGGGGTGACGCAGAGGAGATGGCGGCGCAAATGGGGTGTTGTTGTCGAAAGCAACGACGAGGACGGGGAGGAGGCAATCGTAATATTTTGGTGTTATCGTCCGAAGCACACGGATAATCCGGATGCCGAAAGCGGCAGGTTGGTCACGTCGCAGAGAAGGCGGCTGGATAAGGCAATATTGCGCTGTTTAAATCGGGGGGGCCGAGCCGGTAGCTCGGTGCGCGGGCGACTGCAGCCGGGAGAAGAGGGGCGGGGGGCCAATGGGTGGAAGGGGAGCGGAGGGCGTGGGAAGGGCAGGGAAGTTCTGCGGAATTGTTCTGGAAGCAGATCTGGAGTGAATCTGGGCGGAGATTGAAGGGTGATGGCGATCGGCAGATGAGGAAGGCTGCAAGTGTATGTGACATAACATAACAGGGTGACGTGTCACAGCTCGAGTGAAATCCCCGCGACGCAGCGTCCGCCAAGGCTTGCGGAGGAGCTGAGCATGGGCCGTGTATAAGTCCTCCGTGGGCCTTCCCTTCCCCCGTCGCCGTCCATGCTTCACCACGTCGTCCCCGCCGCCCCCCTCCCCTCCTTCGCCTCCCGCGACGTCCCCGCCCACGCCCTCGTCCGCCCCCGCCACCTCCTCCATCACATAAACGGGCTCGTCCACTCCGGCGTCGTCGACCACAACGTGCACACGGCGGACAGGCTTCCCCAGCCGTCCCGCCCCCCGTTCGCCACCCAGCACGAGCACCACCTCCGCTCCCCCTCCCAGCCCCCGCCCTCCGACGACAGCGGCGACTCTCCGTCCCCCGTCAATTTTCACTATGACCCCAGTGGTCCCCTTGACTCAGCCAGCCCTGCTCAGATGTACGCTTCCAACCCTGCCTATGCTCACCCGCCCAGCAGTTCTGCGACGCATCCCCCCTCAGAGCACGACGGCTATGCCCTCGCGCAGCACCACGCGCAAACACGGCGCTCCCCGCCGAACATCCTCACTGATAACCTCATGCCGCGCCCCGGCGACGCAGAGTCCGCGCCGTACTCCGCATCCCCGCTCTCCTCACCTCAACAAACGCGCACCGTGAGCAGTGCAGGCCCTGGGGGATATTTTCCTCCACCAATGAGCGAGCCCTTCGCGCCTTACCCCTCCGATGCCCAACAACGCTACATGGTCAACCCGCCGCTCGATCGGCGCATGTCCGAGCCGATGCTCTCCGCGCGCTATGCCCAGGCGCAAGCGCAGTCCCAAACAACTCCATTCGCGTACGGCCTACAGCAGTCGCCTGGTGTACCTCCCCCGCTCTCCCCACGTCCCGCGTCCGCGACGTACTCTTCATACTCGCACTCGTCCTACACACCTGGACACGCGCGTATGGACAGCGGGTCGTCCGGCGCCGAGGGGACGGGGTATGCGCCCAGCAGTTGGCCGCTGTCGAGCAAACACGACTCCGGAGAACCACCCGTCTCCCCGATATACGCGGGTAGTGTGAGTGGGTCCGACGCGTCTGTCACGGGCGGACTGAGCCCGCCTATCCGGAGCAACCAGGTTTCTGGGCGGCCGGGAGCCGCGAGCGAGGGTGTGAGACCGGGCGCGCCGGGGCAAGTTCGCTCAGCGAACGGGAAGACATACTCGTTCGTCAGCCTGCCAGGAAATGCCGTGAAGAAGCGGCCGAGGCGGCGGTACGATGAGATCGAAAGACTGTATCAGTGCAGGTGAGCCGCTTCGCGATCTGCATCAGAAGCAGCGGACGCTGATTGTGCGGGGGAACGCAAAACACTCAATTTGACATTGTTGCCGTTGGTATCGTGGGTGTTGGGCTGTGCTTTCGTGATCCAGTTGGCCAAATTGTACCAAAGCATACGGGACGTTGAACCACCTCAACGCGCACGTTACAATGCAGAAGCACGGTCCCAAAAGGACTCCCGCAGGCATGTGCACTTTCTCCATGGACATATGCCTATCAATGCTGACCATATGCGCGTAGAATTCAAAGAACTGCGCAAACAGTGGCGTCAGGCAAAAAAGGAAGCCGAGGAGCAGGAGCGTGAGCGTGAGGTCGCCGCTCAAGCGCATGCTCACGCATTTTCCGGCAACCCTCTCGCCTCCGCGGGCTTCCAGATGCGCGTCGCGACGGGTCACCAACACGGGCACCCAATGCACCAGGGCATGCTTCCGTATGCACACCACGAGCTCGACCATCATCGGATTCGCCGCCGCATGAGTGCTATCGAGGCGTACGGCGACGCGCACCAAGTTGCGTACGTCAACGCACAGGCGGGCTTCCCGAGCCCGACAAGCTACGGCATGGAGGGTGCGCGGTATACGATGCCTTCGCCGAGCGAGGAGTCGCAGCAGCAGCAAATGCGTTACCAGCACGAGGAGGACATTCAGGAGATGGCGCGTTTCTACCGGCACTCGCAGCCCCAGGTGCACGAGATAGGCTGGGCGCAGGCTCAAGGCCAGCAGCAGCAGCAGCACCATGGCCACGAGCTCCGCCACCACGCGTCGCACCCGCAACTCGGCAACCAGGGCATGAGCCTCGCGGGGGCGACGCGCCCGCTGCACCCGCACTACCAACTCCATCCGTCGGCGCAGGCACAGGCACAACAGCCGCCGCCGCACTATCCACAATCCGCGCCGATGTCTGCCCCATCATCGTTCTCTTCGCTCAATCAGTCGGTCGTCCCTCAGTCGCACAACTCCCAGGGCGGCGGCGACATGCCGCAGCTCGCCGCGCACGTCTCGCTCGGGCGCAACCAGCTCCCGCCAGACAGCACGCTGCTGACGCCGCTGCCCGGGTACGAGCCGGACCCGGAGCTGCAGCACGCGATGGATGCGAGCCGCTACGAGACCCACGAAGACGATGGGTACGCGAGGGGGAGCCCCGGTGAGCGGTACTTGTAGAGCGCACATGCAGCTCGCCCCCGTACCCCGCCATCACCCTGCTGCAACCGATGGGCGGTCGCGGTCATCCAGGTCGACCATGAATCCGATGTGTTTATACTCCTCTGCTAATGCGACCTGTGGATCGCCCCGCTCATCGATGAAACTGACATCCGGACGACAACGTCCCCCCACGACTGGCGAAACCGCGGCTCCCGCCCGCGAGGTTCTGGACCACATCCTATCCGCGGCCGGCCGCTCGCCGCCGTCTCGAACTATTGTACATATTTCCTCTGCTGTCGCTGCTTCTACTCTGCTACTCCTACTACTCGCGCTGCATCAAGGCCTATTTTACTTATTGCGCATCATATTATGGAACCGTTCCTTCTCCCTCTTCCCTCCATTTTCGCAACTTCCACCGCCGTGCGCGCCGAACGGTGCGTCGTCACGCTCCGCGCACGCCGCCACCGCGCCTACATTCGCCCGCCCGCTTTTTACTACTACCGCCATTGCTATCCCTCGTGTTTGTGCGCATCGGCAACCTGGCTTACAGGTTCTGCTCTCGGGTACTGTATGATGTACTCTATATTGTACGTTTGGTGGCCCCGCTAGGGGCGTGCTCGTGCGTTGTTATCCCTGTCCTGTCGACCACCATCCCTATCCGCTTCGTTCCGCGCTGCGCCGTCTGCGCGGGCTTACCCTTATGTTTGCCTATTACTTGCCTCCGCAGCGGGTGGAATGTGCCCGCGCGCGGCGTACTGTACATAGTCGGTCTATTCGCATTCGCTGTACATGCGCTGTATTGGATACTTTAGTAGATACATCCTATAGGTTATTGTTATGACAATTCGCAAGTGGGCATCCCCAGGGACCTCGGCGCGCCCGCGCGCGTGCAAAAGAATTCAGACGCATGGCTGTTCGTGCGAGCACGGCCGTCCGTGGTCGGAGGAAGGGGGGACTTCTTCTGGCAGATGGCATCGCGTAAGGGCGATCGTCATCTGTCATGCAATGCAATGCAATCTGACACAACGGGCGACAGACAAGGGGATGACGAGAACGGAAGGCAAAATGAAGAACACGAAATCAGCGGGATCAGGGGAGGGCGCGCATATCAACGTATAATCGTATATCAGCGCGGACGCCAGACATGAAGCCACCCCGGGACCGCACGCGCCGGATCCGAGGCCGTGGGGGCGACGCCCATTGGCCGGCCCGCGTGCAGGTGCGCGCGCAGAGGGCTGTGGGAACACGCACGGGGGCAGGAATCAGTACATCGGAGTGCTACGTATGGAAAATACAGTGCGAGAGGAGAGCGTCCAGCGTGGTGCCGGTCGGCCGACGCACGCCAGGCCCTTCACACGCGGTGTGGATGCTTCGGGGGCAGAAGGGTCCTCCCCCTCAGGCCTGCGCCGCCCGCTCGCTGGCAGTGCCAGAAAGGGGGAGGGATTCAGAGAGGCGTCACGCGTGCGGAGGGGGGTGCGGGGCCGCGCCTGCCATCCCGGTCGTGCAGTCGCGCAGAAGGGAGCCGGGTGCTTCGCGCGCATGATCACACCGTGCTAGGATCTCGTGCAGCGGAGACGCAGATGCAGATGCGGGCGGACTGAATATGACTACTGAATCGACGCGCTTCGCGAAGGCGAACATCGAAGCGCACGGAGGACGGGGTTGGGCTTGGGAGAGGAGAAGGGGGGGAGGGGGGGGCGAGATTGGATAGGGAGATGGGTTTATCCTGGATATGGGCAAGTGTCAGCAGACGGGGAGGTATGACGCGCGCGGGCTCGATGCTGGGATGCTGGGCGAGGGCCGTGGGGCGGGTTCGCGGGTTCGCGGGGCTGGCCATTGGGCCTGCGTCAGGGAGAACACGAAGGACGCACGGACAGACGGGCCGCGTGGCCGTCGGACGGGTGCCACTGCGCAAGATCCAACAATATTGCGCGTCGGGGGCTTGGGATAACGGCGAGGCCGCCGCGCGGCGCTATGCCTGCCACAGCGATGTGTGGGACTGCAGAGCGCAGTCAGCAATAGATTCGATATGGAAGGGGAAGTCGAAAGGGAAATGGTGGGCACGCAGCGAGCTGGGCGTTGTGGCGGGGCCTGGGCAGAGGCTGAGGCTGAGGCTGAGGACGGGCGATGAGACGGAGGGGTGCATGGGAGGCGCCGGGTGCTATCAGAGTTGGCAGGAAGAACGCTCCTGTGATCATCGCACGTCCGAATCTATTGAAATTCCGTGCACGAACCCGCCCATCACGTTTCAGCGAAGACGCGGATTCCCCGCTTCCTGCGTCTGTCACTCCCTTCCCTCTTCGCAGACGTCTCGCCTATTCGGGTATCCTCAAATGGATGCCCACAACTGATGCTGCCATGTTCACTTCTTCCACCGCGCAGAACAATAACAACAGCCACCCCGCAAACATGCTCGAAAACATGTCCAAGGCGCGTGTCCGGCATCGGGCCCAGACGAGCCGGCTCCTCGAGATCCAAGAAACAGGATCACTGGTGGAATATGAGGAGCATTTTCTCGCTGACCATGAAGACACGACGTATTGTTTTAGAGCGTATCCTCGGTCTCGAAACTGTGCACGACTTCAGTGCGTTTGATCGCACACTTCAGCCCCACTTACCACAAAGTTATGCTGGCCTCATCCGCACTCGACCATCATGGGCGTAACGTGACGGGTGACCTCTGTGTGACATCCTGCTTCCTAAGCGCCCGCGATTGCCAATCCCAAACTTGCAAGACCGTCTACATGGCAAATATCAAAAATGAACAAAGTATAATGCGTTGTTGCTCCCAAGAGCTCGCTGTTTCCCGATTCTTATAGTAGTGGATGTACAAGCTGCCTTACGGTTCGCGAACAGTTTATCACGGTCTATCATGCTCGGCTAGTCAAGTATGGATAGGCAACTTTACAGAGCAGATGTCCGCAAGGCAGTTTCCAGGGTCTCCTGCCCCAGGAATCTTGTGCGCAACCGAAACTCGGAATCGACGATCATGACCATGGTCCCGACCTGGCTGGACCCGGCAGAGCGTCGTCACAGCCAGAGTAAGTTATTTATTCCAGGACCCGCCCATCCCCGCCCGAGGTCCGCTTACGCACACCTTGAGTTTAACAAGTCTATCGATATGGAATCAGCTGTGAATAACAGGAACATCACAACACGGTGCGATAGGTCTCCGAGGTCTCGCTCTTGCACCTTTGGGCCACTTTGCCTCGGACTTCACTCGAGCTTCAGCTCCATGGAGCTCACTTCATTTAAACTACCATAGACCGAGGCCCCCGCAAATGCACACTGTTTGAATGACTGTATGTGGCGGTTCCCACCATAGAGCCGGCTGCTTAGTGAGAACGGCACTGCTGACAAGATATAAACCTTACCAGGTTGACATGCGCACGCATGCCGTGGAGCAATTCAATGCCCCGGCATTGGCATTGTCTGTTGACTGATCGTGTTCACGCCGCATTCATGGGGAAAACGCTTTACAGCACGTCTGTCGCCATCGCGCCCCGCATCGACGAGGCACCTCTGTGGCGCACTGTCAACGGATCTCATTGTATTATCAGATATGATGCGGGGGTGCGGGCGACATCACAGTCACGTCAAGGACCGACATTCACGTCAAGGACCGGCATCCGCGTTGATTGAACCTTGGACCCACAGGTACGCACGCGCTGGCCGGGATCATTCCTCAGTCTCTGCTACCGCACGCCGCACGACGCTTGGAACCAACTGGTGTCCAGACTCCCGATGCCCGCGCTGTATGTACTTATCCGATGATGGCTCGGAAGTGCCTCGCTGCCGATGCCATTCCACTTGTACATGTACAGATCTCCCGCCAGCACACCGCAGATCTAGATCATTGAACGTCGAACCCGGACGACGTTTTCCCCTGTCGAAGGCCGCGCAGCGTCTGCCCTCGGGGAAGGAATCACGGGCCTACATCCACGTTACTCGACCGTCCACTCGCAATGCTTGCGGCTGGCCGGCCCGGACATCGTTGACAGGACGCACGACGCACGACGCTCGTCAGCATCTGGGCCGGGCTCTGCATCAGGCGCGTCGGCCGCATTTGAAAGCGATTTACATACACAGCACACCGAGGCCGTCCGTCCTTCACCATACAGTATCCGTGTTCGCCCGTTCTCGACTGCTGCGTGTTCGTTGCTGACAAGCTTACGCCAGCTCCTTGACGCCAGGCTGACACGACCCGCCTGGACTCCGTGCGCTCCGGGGACGCGCTCCCAGTGACCACCGCAGACGCTGGTGTTTGCTTCCCCCATTTGCACCGTGCGCCGCACTGGCGCGACGCGGCATGGTCCTGGGCCTTTGGAGATACGTTGTGCCGGCGCGGAGGCGCCGACATGGTATGCTTTTCATGGTTTGTGTGGTCTCTGGATCCTGGATCCTGGATCCGCTGACGCGGCGGCAATTGCGTTGTCAAAAAAACGCGGTCATTTGGTTTTGGTTTGGGAAGATGAGAGAGACACTCGCGGGCGAACCCTGTGTCACGGCCCAGGACACGCGCCGCTCCTCGTGTGGGTGTGCGACCGCAGGGCGGGTTCTCCGGCAGCAACGCGAGCTCTCTACGACCGCACGACGTGTTCGCCGGGCGTGATGGACGGACCTTCGACTGCAGAAACCATCCCCCCGGCGACGCACCCTGTCCCCTGTCCTTGCCACCGCTGCGGCGGCCTGAAGCCGACGCTTGACGCGTGACGCCTTGGTGCCGTGGGTCACGCTGGACGGCTCGAGGGCCTCGACGCCGCGGACGCGGGCGTTGAAGCGGTGGTCCCAAACGTCTGTCGCTCTGCGCATCAGACGGCAGGAAAACATCTGGGAGCTTAGATTGCGGTGAGATCTGTAGAGGAGGACTGATGGTGGGGTGCTAAATCAGTTGAGCACAGAATAATACCCGGGTGGTACGCCAGCGGTGCAATAGGCGCGAAGCACGGTGGACATGAATGCGTCCGCGAGACGCTATGCGCGTGGACCGGCGCCTGCGTGCTAAATCGTCCGCCGCGCGTGGCGCGTCAGACGATAGCTGGTGTGCGCAGACTTCGGGTGAAGTGGGAAGTGAGTGCCCGTTCGTGGCAGAAAGTCGCCCGTTTCAATGTTGCAGCGCTGCAAGCCACACGCGGGTGGCTGGGGAGACGTTCATGGACACGGCGAGAAGCGGCCGCGGACTGTACATATGCCTGCAGACCACGCTGGCTCACGCAATCTACCCGCGCATGCCCGACACTTGTGGTCTCTTCTTCCTCGCTGGCGCCCGCCAGGTGCGAGTCGATCGCCGTCGCTATGGGGGCGGCCCGCTCGCGACGGCTAGCGTGTGGCGACGGGCAGCAAGCCGCGTGCCTTGCGATGATGGCAAGGCTGTCGCGTCATGATGTGGAAATTTCTATGTGAGTCCGAGGCGAGGGCGGGATCTGAATCGAGCCAGCCGTACGCGAGATGCGTTCTCGGTGTTCGCTTCGGGGACGGCCGGCGTGAGCCCGTCGTCGCCGTGGGTACGATGACAACTATGTACGTCCCAAGGGGCGGAGGTTCTGCCGCCTGATGCGCGGTCACTGTTAGGATGTGTTGATCACGAACACTGGTCCAGCGAGTGGGCAGAAAAATGTCAGTCTTTACGTTATACATGCATCTTCTCTTACCTCCCTTGGTCATCTTGCATCCACACAGCGGACGCAAGCTGTAGGTCCTTGATTATCTTCGTTCTCTTCTCTCGGCGGCCTCACATTACAATCTGCGACTGTTGTCTGCGCATACAATATGCTTCACCTGGATAATAGAATCCGGCGTTATTGCACACATCCCTGTATATACACCCTTGTGATGAACCAAAATTTCAAGTCTTTATCTCAAGTAGACGTCTTGACTTCACTTATGACTGAGCGCTGAGCGATTCAGAGAGTACATTTAGACTCATGTTCAAGCGCGCACTATATCACGTGCACAATCGCGTCTCCTCGCGACGCGCGCTAATCGTCGAGTCGCTCGCGTCTAACCTGAGTGTGGCACCTCCTTCCGCCTTGACGAGCCCGACGCATAACATGGCCACCCGCTCCGGTAGAACACCACGCCCAACAGCCAAGGCGACTGCACAACAGGCACAATTGACAACTCCAATACGACGTACGCGTTCGACTGTACCAGGTGATTATGTGGTGTGATAGCGGCGGGATCATCTGGAACGGCCGTGTACTGACTTTCGTATCAGAATCGAAGGATTCCATGAAAATGGCTTATGTTGAGCTCGACGAGGGTCCCGAGACAAAGAAGCGCAGGCTATCGCTTTCTAAGGACAGCTCGCATGAGGAGCTGCCTGTCGCCACCACTTCGCGATCGTCCAGGCGGCGCGCCATCTCGAAAGCTCCTGCTGCTCCCCCCCTCCGAACGAGGGCGAGCAAGAGAAATGTTACTTCTTCTCCGCGTTGCGCCATGAAGGAAGAGACAGATGAAGAGATGGAGGTCGAGGCGCAAGTAGCAGCAGAGTCCGAAGGAGAGGACAAACCGTCCGCTCCGACGCCCGATGAGAACGATGCGTGCGAGGATATTTTGAAAGCCCAAGAGAAAAAGCATCGCGACAACTACAAAACGCTGAAGCGCAAGTTCCGGGAGCTTGAGGCGTCGACTGCGAAGACGCTCTTGGAGCTGGACAAGCGCGAGATTGAGCTCACAAAGATGGAGAAAGATGCCACCCGCAAGCAGAAGCAGGCCGACAAGAAGGCACATTCTCTCTCAAAGAGAGAACATACAGTCAAGAAACTTGAACAGCAGTCGAACGAGCTCCTACTCACTGTCACCGCGAGTAAGGCAGAGACGGTCATGGAGCAGTTCGACGCGCACTTCTCGTGTGCTTTGTGAGCGATTTAGAGTTGTGTCACGCACAACGACTGAACTATCTTTCTGCAGATGTTTTGAAGTTATGTGCGTTTTACGTCGCTCTTCTTAATGAGTCAAATTTAAACTGACGGCTCTGTCTAGGGCATGTCCATACAGTCTCTCGCCCGCCAACTGTGGGCATACATTTTGTTCCCTGTGTATCCTGAAGTGGTTCTTCTCACACTGCAAGGCGGACTGTGGCCACTGGCACCATAACATAGAATGCCCGCTTTGCCGTACACCGCTCCCCCACATTGACCAAGAACCCCCACGCAGCCTGAACACCTTTCCGTTCACCTCGAACAGACTGGCGGACGAGGTTATCAATGATCTCGTGAATAGCATCGCCGGTCCGCAACAGACAAACAGTGCGAGCAGGAACAAGGACAAGAAGCGCGGTGTGGACGAGCCCGGGTGGCTCGGGTGGCTCCACGGAGGTACTTCACGACGGGATTGGCAACAACGGGACAGGTCAGTGACTAAGCGTGGCTGTATCGATCTCTAAATGCTAATAGGCGACTCTTCTTCGCGCTAATTTCTTTGTGCTCGCATACGAGCAGAAAGGGCAGGGCGGAGATGACCGCATTGGCATCAACATGGGGAAGAATGCGAGGAGACGATTTCCTGGCGTTCAGGCGCCGTCTCACGTAGCCACACACGTCTCCACCATTTCAGCCCGCCAATCGTCGCTGCCATGCTCTCGATTCACGTGTTAACAGCATCAACCGGCTATAAGCTGGCCTCGGTACCTTTCCTGAGCTTCCTTGATGCCTCAAAGTTGGCGATGTCTTCTGTGCCGCCTCGCACAGTGCCGTAAGCAGTGCTTCTTTGTATTCCTTCCGTGAATGTATCCTTGTTTGAGTACCATAGATGTTTGTAATGCTTCTGTATAACAATCCCACGAGGTCAATCGAATTTTTGAGTCACTAAGGCATATACATTCTCCACGACTTCGATGGATTGCTCCAGAGACCAGATACAGTCATACGCGTCGAACGACATGGTCTCATAGATAGAAGCATCGCTCCTTCAATCCGCGCATTCCAAGAATGTCCTGGGAAAGCACTATGAGTAACTAGGAGACGATCGACCGGTCCAATAGACATACCCAGTCCGCAGCCGTTATCCAGAGGTCACTGACGCTGTCCATCTTCCCCAATACAGCGGCTCCTTTCCACCCGAGCGCACGCGGATCGACATCTTTCGGGGGAGGGATTATCTGGACCTTCTCCATGTTAGGCACCAGTGGAGTGGCAATTGCTTGTAATCTGGGCCACATTATTGAGTTACGGCCGCCCTCGACACGTATCGCCTACTATCTACGTACCTGCTCTCGAGAGCATGTGCCATGCCCGGCACCAGGGCACTCCCACCGATGACCAAGACGGCTTGCAGATATTTACGGATCTTCTCATCCCCTCCCGCGGCCCTGGCGCTGTTGAATATGGCGACATCTAGCGGGAGTTTGCTTGCCTCGAAGCACACGTCAATGGGGTAGCCACCCGGATAGATGTGTGCAGGCTGCAGCAGCGGCTGGACGGACACCGGCAGCGACATCCCGGGCAGCGAAGGTTTGCTGTCCAGCTCGTCGACATCGATGATCTCCATGGGGAGGTCTGCCGTGCCGTCACCAACTGTACTCGCTGAAACGGGTGCCGGTGCGGGCACGGATGGAGGTACGGACGCGGGTGAAGCGACTGTGGCCGTTGGAGTCTCTTCCTTGACTTCACCCTCCTGTGCAGGTGTCTCCTCTGCGGTGACAGATCCCGCTGCGCTGTCTGGGGGACAGGAAGACATACCAATTCGAAGAAATGGTGTTAGCATTATGGCCTGGGGAACAGTAGCTTGTAAAACGGACCTCCTGGTACTGGTTGTGTGGATACCACGAAGGCCGGCTGTGAACTCGCACCCGGAGTCTGCGTCCCCGACGCCGGCATCGACGGGATTTCTGGTGGCATGATTGTAGGCGGCATTGCAGGCGGCAGTAGATGCTGCGTTGAGATTACCATCGCTTGCGTCTACACACGACGTCAACCACGGATTCGTCTATGTCACGTATCACCGAGCTGGGCACGTACAAAGTAGTCAGAAATCTGCTCCACGATGTCCTCTGAGACGTCGGGGTGGGAGATCGGCTGCATCCCGTCACGCTTCTGGTCGAATTCAATAACGCGAGGTTCAAAGAGACACTACTCTAGCGCAATTAGTGAGGTGCTTAGGTAGGGGTCTCTGCTGATGAAGCGTACCATAGGTGCAAGGATGATTTCGTCATAGGCACGAAGACCGTATTTTTCGGTCGCCCTTCCAGGTTTACGCACTACAAAATCGTATAGATTCAAAGCTACGTCGCCCTGGAAAGCATATGACGCGACATGGTAAGTGAGGATATTGACCTGGACACGCATAAACCCACCTCTGCGAGTGTGCAGAGACGTGCTTTGAGGTCCTCGATGACACTCCAGTCATACGAACGGGCGAGGTTGACGTCACGGTAAGGGAACTTGATACGCTCCAATAGCACGTACAGGAATTCCGTGATGTCGTCCCCGCCCATGTTGAGGGACATTCTGGTGTATCAAGAATAATTGAGCGATACGTTGCAGAAAAGTACGAACTGGCAGCTGTACCGTGTGTCAGCGAGGACCAGGCCATCATCAACGCAAGCGATACTAGTCTTGACTGCACCCATATCCACGACACACGCGTTGGAGATACCAGCGCCGTATGTAGCAGCCAATGATTCCTACCACTTCCTATGAGGCGCACGCAGGCGGATCAAAAACGGGACACTTACTTGCTGGGCACAGAGTTGTTTGAAACCCATGGTGATCAAGAGCATTCTCACCATGTGCTCCACATAGAATCGATCATAGAAGTCAGGGATCACAAGTACAACCGAGTATTCCTACGAACACAGAACATACATTAGCGATACTCCACATGGGTAGTGATGATACCTACATTATAAGTGCGGGGTTCAATTCCGAGCTTCTCATACAGTATGTCACGCAAAATGGTTTCAATGTCGCTCAAAATCATCTGATTTGAAGGATAATCTCTTGTATTGAACTTGCCGCCGTAGAATGGCCATCGAACTACGTAGCCAGATGCCGCTGGGTCCGCCAAGTGGATAGCCTGCTCTCAACTCGCCTCGTCAGACTGAGCTGAGCATGAGATGCAGGACTTGCTCGCCTTGTCACCCACAAGATGCTCTTCCTCGACGCTGCCTTGAATCCAGTCTATGCGGAACGGGTCATTCATTTCCGGTATTGTCTCTGGGACAAACTGTTCATTAAATGTCGAAGCAATGTTGGCCGCGTTTGGCGTCACGCGCAGTTTATAGAAGCGCATTCTGTCGCGCAGAGAAATCGTGATTGCAGCGACTTTCATGTCAAACTGAGCACATCCGTGAGCCGAGAAGAAAGGCAAACCATGTGGCGTAACTCACTGGATCATCTGAGTTTAGCGGAACGGCGTATTCATCATGGCTCTGTGAGGAGGAAGACTCGGTTGGTGCCTTGTCCCTCCTTGGTCGTGAAATGCCTTCGATATACCTTGGCTCCGGCACTGGTGGTTCATGCTTCCTTGCGATTACATTGGGCACGATGATCGGCATTACATCTGAAGCCCTTCCCACTCGGAGGAAGCGCGACCCAGGATGTATGACCAGCACCTTCGACCCCCGCCTTCCCTGCGATTACTCCAATTGTGAGTGCATCAGTACATGCGGCACGTTCTGCCTACCTCGGGCGTAACTACGTCCTCGGAGGGGGGCGCCCTGGTTCTGTGCGCTCGTGCGGCGTTCCTCGCCCACAGCGTCTGCGATTCCGACTTCAGGTAGTGCGTCCCGGCATGCTTCGGATTTAGCCTGCGACATAATCCATCGTGATTTTGGCTCCATAAACCGGGAATGGATGAACTAACGGCAGAGGTACATGGAACAGGGTGTACCGCATAGCAGACTCATCCCGCTTGGCATTGGGAATACCCCGAGGCATATCGGCACTATAGATATGGACCTATGTCCGCCTTGAGCCTTCAGAGAGAGTATTTTTGCCACACTGGGGTCGTCAGGAATTCAGGACTCTCAGACGGATAGACCTTGTGTGGATTGGATACAAGATAATGCAGGATTAGAATGAGACCAAAAAGCAACGATACATTCTTAAAAGCAGATGCACAAGCAGAACTAGCGAGGGGAAACCTTGTTCGAGTCCGCCTGTCAACTCATACTACCGCCGCCTTGCTCAAAAATCACATCAAAATCCCAAATGCGTGAAGGTGGTCCCCGCTTGAAACGTCCGACATTATATTGACATATAAGGATATTCCTGACAGTGGCTTGGTGGTCTAGAGGTATGATTCCTTCTTAGGGTTTCCCTTGCGGTTTCTATATTGGAGGAGGTCCCGGGTTCGATTCCCGGCCAAGCCCTTTTTTGTCTGCTCTCTCTTTTCCGGAGTGTGTAGAACCATTTTTACATAGTATTTCCATAGATTGAAATTGAAAGGTATATATCCACATACGTTATCATAAAGTAGTCATAAGGTGTCTAGGATCGACTCGGAAGCATCTTGCTGGACAGCACACGTCCCACTACGCCGCCACTGGATTTCTAGCTGCAAGTCTGGCAGAACGGCGACGGTGCGCGATAGATTCCTCCACTTCCACGGCTGATGGCTCGGCATACGGAATTTCAGGAGATGGAGTTGCAGGAGATGGGGTTGCAGGAGATGAGCACCGAGTCGTGTCTACTTCTGTCAGTGGAGACTCAGGCTCAGGAGAACCATTCGTCTCCGCACTTGGCTGAGAATACTGGGGCGCATCTGCGCCTAGGTCTGGTGACTGTTGTGATGCGAATACTTGAGAAGCGCATATTTCCAGTGTCTGGGGTGCGCCTTTGATCTCGATGGGCTGTATGGGGATTGTGCTCACCGTTGACAACTGGGGCGTAACATCTGTTGCTATACCGGTTGCTCCATCATCATATAGCGAACCTGATGCTGGAGACATCACACTCGGGGTCGTATTCCAGTCCCAGGTAAATTCCTGTAGTATGGTTCGCCATTCTGAATCGGTGTCCTTATCTTCATCGCAATCCTGTGGGGGGAGATCCATGCTGGATTGGAGGTTCAAGCTGGCGCAGTAATCCTGGACGCGTTGCTCCCATGGCGGGAGATACCGTTGACCGAGAATCGATAGATCAGTTATCCTAGTCGTGAGCAAGACTGTGACTGGATCCAACTGGCATGCAAGCACTAGTGGCGTGTTGCCACTCGGATAGAAAGAAGGATGCCACACGAAGTAGTCCAAGAGCCAATAGTAGAAGCGTAGACGGGTGATTTCATCTCCTATTCCGCGTGCATATTTGTAACTGTACAATATCTATCAGGAACTTGATCGACACCGAGAGATACGGGACATACACTTGAGTTGCTATTTCTCCCTCGTCTTCAGGAGTGATGGTCCCTAACTGTACTATCTGCGCGTTAATAGAACTGGTTATTGGCAGTGAGCTCCATATTCTCCGGATATGTAAAACGCAGATAACTCACGAGGACGCGTCCCCGTCCCAATGAGTCGCTATCTGTTCGTGGGTAGACATTGATGATACCTCGAGGAAGTTGAGTTGTCCGGGTTGAGACTTGAGGCTGGGGCTTGGGTTGCTGCATCTCGGCGGACGCGGAAGGCTTAAGTACATGAGCGGGAGTCGCCACAAAACTTGACGTCGAGCGGCTACGTGCCAGGTGGCTCGTGTGCGGAAGGTCAATTTGTGATTATGGCTCTGATAGAACGCCAGGTGCTTTGGTCATTAACTGAACCACTTTCCTTCGCTTAAAAAGCTGCCTATTGTGGACTGAGATCAGAGACGTGAACAGGCGTGCGGGGCCAACGCCGCGTCATCATCAATTGGTCGTTGTTCCCAAACAAGCACGCTGAGAAGAGACGGGCGTGCCACAGCCCTTCGGCAACGAAAGAAAACGCCAGGATACGGATATGATTCGATGCTGTTCGCAGAAGGTGACGCCGCTTGCTTGTGTTTGCAAGCCTTGGCGGTTGCGCATTTCTCTGCAGCGGCTGAGCACTGGAGCTTTGACCGCGCATTGCCATTTCGGAGATGAATCGGGAGCTGCGCAGAGCTGCTATGACATGAAGCTCAAAGACAATGGTGCGTGAAGGTTCGCCTGGGTCAGATGACAGCCGGGACGATCTAGATGTTCGAAGAATGGCTGTGCATAGTAGTCGGTGGCGTTGACGAATAAGAGTACAAGCGGAGAGCCGTAATCGGGTGTTTCCCGGGACTATTATCATGGAATCGACCGCCGACGACTGAGGTTCAATTCTCTCCGATGATTTGTCAGGCAAACATCCGAAACTCACAACGCCACACGACGGATGTTTAACGCGCTGGATACTGACCGCAGGAAGACGCAGACTTAAGCGTGAAGTATTACATACCTAGGGGCTGTGACCACAGCTTATCAGTGTCGACAATGCTGCACACACGTTCCAGATGATCATGGTAAGCGGCAGGCATGTGGCCCATGTAGCGCCCGGCGCCACTATACAGATATCCAGAGCCTGCAAAGGTTGAGGGACACATATTACGTTCCGCTCATTAGACTCAACTCAGTAACTAAAACAGGTTTGTTTCGAGAGCATACTCAAGCCTAATAGTTATAGCCTGGGTGCCTATGTACTACAACGAGGAATTATGTTTAGATCCTAGCCGTCTCTGAGACCATCCTACACCCACCCACAATCGCAACCTGAATATCGTCATGCACGCAGCTTGGTCAAGATACTGCGAAAAGGAACAGGCATCCGACTTCTACTGCTCGACTCCCGTCGCGATGCGTTATTCTCGTCCTGTAGATGCCCTTGGGCGGACGCTGTCTTCAGCAACCTCTTGGGACGGCCAATGTCGCTCGTGGCCACGGTGCTACGTTTGCGCTGGTCCACGAAGACCGCATTTGAGTTGCGTTTTGCTGGGAGGCTTTGGTGGGTGTTGAGCGAGCGCAGTGGCGCGCGCTGTTGGTCCGCGAGAATCATTGAGGTGACGGCAGGCGTCTGGGGGCTAGGTGACCTCGCTGAGTTACGCGTTATGGAACGTAGGGCTGGGTGCTTCGGTACGCTGACGGGCTCTTGCACAATCGTCGGAGAGTCTTGGAATACATCAGATCCAGTTGCAGCGAAGCTTTGCCTCAAAGGTGACTTCGGCCTTGATAACGCCGAACGTCTAATGAGTTTCCCTGAAGAAGACTGAGCAGCGCCATCGGCGTCCTTGTTGTCATGATGGAGCACCCCGGACGGGCACTCGACGCTCGTGGGTGCCATTGAGAAACGAACGCGCTTTTTCTCCTTAAGGATACCTTTGACAGGACGCATGCTCGCGCTGCTTGAAGGGCGCGACGACGCTGGGGTCGATTGGCAAGCACAGGAGAAGCTAATCCTCGAGGGACTCTCGAAAGGTAGTGGGTCATGGTCATCCTGGGACGATGGCGCTTGGGCCCGGATCGGTTGCATTCTGCTTTGTAAAGGCGTCTCAATAATGACTGTTTTGCGGCGCATTTGTCGCATGTCGGGTGTGACTGGGCTCTGTTCCACAGAATCGATCAGCGTCGGGGAGGTCGCCCAGGAGAAGTTAAGGTCCGCAGTTCCTGTTAGAGTGTCTCCGCAGGGGACCGGCGGGGGGCTCTCGAGAGGTGGAGGGTGCCTGTCGCCGTACTTGACCAAGAGATCCTGTGCAAATTTCCACTCGTCTTCCGGACTGGCCACACCCGGGGACGCACCGGCCACATCGTGCCACGCGTGCTCTTGTTCTTTCGGCGTCTCGGGTGGCGTGGGTGAAGGAGCCCGGAAGTCGGGGCAGCGCTGCCGCAAGTCTGCGCACATCGCCTCCAATCCCATAGAGAATGCGGACGTGCTAGACGCGAAGTCGAAGCTGGGACTAGATGAGGACGGAGAGCCAAGGAAGGGTGTAGGTACATCGGGATACGGGTCGTCTTGAAGTCGCGGACCATTTAAGGTGAGCGGGGTCGGGACTTTCTGACCCCTTCGGACTGCTAAGGGAGCGCGGGTAAGGCTCTGAGACGACTCCAAGGAAAAAGGAATGATTGCTGTCGAATTTGATATCATAATAGTAGGGATGGAAACCTCTTGCGAGTTATCTAGGGCCTTGACTAAGTGCTCGCTGGCATTGACGCGCTCATTAGGGCAACTGTGGGGATCGCCCTTGTACTGCCCTGCTGGGTCCGTTGGCGTAAGGGGAGAACGGTAGTCATAAACCTCTTTCCCCCGTGGAGGCCGCTCGGGGTGATAGGATGCCAGTCTTTTATGGAAGTCGGTTGGATTGTACAGCGAGCCTTCAGCTTTCCACGGCAATAAAGGAAAATCGTAGACCTCGTTATCCTCGTAGTTGTCCTCTCGCCATGGTACATGACCGGGTGCTGGGGTGGGCTGTATTGTATGCTAGTAGAGGCAACCATCGAGAATCATTATGCAGAGGTAGGACAATGAAACATACCACCCATTGCTCAGCTCGTATCGGTTCCATGAGCATTACCCTCACCCTAGAGCCGATGGGGGCCGCAAGGGTCGCCTTGATACGCTCGTGAGTGGAAAATCTGTTGAACTGAGGCTGCGGCTCCGTAGGCAACTCATCGAAGACATTGATGTACAGTGGGGGCTTCGCGTCGGAAGGGAAAGGAGGGACTTCGTCAAAGGACAGTGTTTCATCCGAAATGGAGGGCAAAATCAGAGACAGGTCAGGCAAGTATTCGCAGTCATAGCCGGCGAGAATATCCTTGATGTCGAGACTTTCAGAAGAACTAGAGTCGGCCAGGATGCGCTGGGGATATCGCGCGTCCTTGGCGCCGTCCGGTGTCAGAGCACGAACCATGGCGACCGTAGTCGGCAAAGCACTGAGAAAAGACTGCTAGCATGCCAGCCCCCCACCGAACTAAAATGAGGCTGTCAGAGGAGGCTGACAGCATGGAGTCGATGAACCATTTCATGACCATCTCGAGAGCACTGGTCCAGATCGCAATCACTGGATTTGTGCTGAGGCCGTGTTCCAGTCTATCTCAGATGTCTTCTAGTGGCCAGCCGAATGAGTATACCATGTAACTTGTGTATGTGGATACCGACCAGGTGCACGAATTAACGGACAGGTTGCTTCTGTGATTCGCAATGTCGAGGCTCTACTGTCCTTGTAGTCTAATGGCTCGTTGTGCCTACATGAAGCCGCAGCCGGAAAATGTATGTCCAATTTGCGTGTAGCATCCTGCTACTGTTGGGTTACGACATAAACGAAAACACGAGGCTCACCATAAGTCTGTGCTCATTAGCCGAAGTCCTCAAAGTGTCCAAACCCGTTCAATCTCCCCATCGCTGGGCATCGCACCGGATTGCCGTCAATGATACTGAAGCAAACAACTATCTGCGGAAAGAGAGTAAGATGATGATGGGCGCGTTGAGGACTGTTGAGGACCCGTCGCTGCCGCTCGAAGCGCTCAGCTGTCTCCCAGACCACCACGACCAACTCACCCAGCTTCTGTCGCAGATCTTTCATGCTCCTCCGGACTGTGTCATAGGGTCTGGAAGATTGCGTGCATCTCCTGGCGATACTCGTCTATCTTTTCTGCATCATTTGATACCATATGACCCAGTACCGCCGCCAACGAGGCTATCCACTCACTGCCCGCTCTGCTTGCTGCTATCATTATTTGAACGCTTCGCTTTCCAATTGCTGATCTACCATACATTTACAATCTCCCAAGACCAGTGTCGACACTCGCCACTTGATTTTGGTACGTCTCCGCTCTGCCGTAGCCTACAGGATGAACCTTCGATTATTTGCACGTCAGTCTGAGTGCCTTTTAGGCGCATTGGATGTCATTTCGCATTCTGATAACAGTTGTTACAATTTTCACTTGATTTTAGTGACTTATGGATAAGAGTACTGACAAAGGCCAATCTCGCAGTTCTCAACATACATCCCGGATTTCTAGCCCCGCAACGCCTTGGTGAGTACCACTTATCTTTTTTGAGCCGCCTTTGGAGCATTTGCAAGTCCTTGAGTTCCTCACTTCCCATCATGTCGTTGCTTCTAATCATTACCAGCCGCCGCGAAGCGGTGGGAGGACTACTCCGAGGCGGGGATGGAGGAATTTCTGAATGCTAGGATAGCACGCGGCCGCTGGAATATGTTTCTTGAGCGTCGTTGGCCCCCGTCATACCCGGCAGTGGATAGGAGGACTCGACTTAAAGTCTATCTACTTAAAAAAATATGTTTCTAGGTAGTCTGGTTGGATTAGACTTTTCCTTTCATCATGCCCAACTGAGTCCACTTTTAACTGGTCTCATTCTTCATTGCATAGGACATTCCGCTCCTGACCCGACATGTCCGCCAACGGCGAAGGATCGTCAAAACCTGCAGCCCTCACGCCGACACCACCCACCAATGGAAATGGTACAACAGCCCAAGCGCGGGCGGGCTTAGTCCCAAGTAACAATGTCACTACCAAGGATGGTGTCACTGTTCGCACGCGTATCGAGCCTACCCTGCCGGTCGACGACGTCATCCGTGCACTATGTCTAAATCTCAAGCTAAGGGATCCTCCTGCTATGTATGCACTGAGGGACGACAACGATGAGCTTGTTACGAACGACAATCTCAGGAAAAAGGTCAAGGGGAAGGTCAATTTGAAGTACGTACAGCCTTGTACCACTAGATGTCAATGAATAAACCACCAATATGTTAAAATCGTGCTCAGATTAGTCAATGCTCCGGCCATTGAAGCTGCAGATATTGTCGAGAAGCTAGTTACAAGAGATGCCAGATTGGCTTTTGCCCTCACCGCACTTCGGAAATACATTCGAGTAAGTTTACGGATTGATCATTGAACGCCATCTAACAAGTGACCAGGAAGAGCAATTCGCAGACGAGTTTCTCAAACGCGATGGGCTGAATGAGCTAATCAGCGTCATCAATACAGCTCACGGAAACACACTCGCAGTACGTTCTATCAAACTGTGTCGAACAGTAGAGTATGGCTGACTGTCAAAGCCTTATAGTACGCCCTGACCGCGATGCAGAACTTAATGGAGCTCGATCACGGTTGGAACAATCTGGGGGACGACTTCATCCTGAGGGTCGTGCAGATCTTGTCTTCAAAACAATCGCTCATCAATGTCTGCCGACCTGCCACTGCCATTCTGAAGAAGCTAGTGGAAGCATCTGCTGCTAGCGCACCGATCGCGCACCTTGCTAGCTCAAGCAAGGGCCCGCCTGCACCTCCACCCGAGTCCGTGTATAGGTATGGCTTCGAAGCTGTGTTTGAGCAAATACGCAAGGAGGCACGGATGTTGGAGACGGTCGTGGACCGGCTGGGAAGTGCTGATACCACGATGGCGCTATACAGGTATGCATCGTATCTACATTGCAACGCATTGCCTATACCAAACGGTATCTGCACAGCATGATGTTGATAAACTCGCTCTTGGCCAATGCAACGGACACACGGTGGGATGAGTTCATCAACTCAATCGAGCGGCTGAACGTTCGCAAGGCTGTTATCGTAGGTGATATACACTGGCTTGATGTGCTGATTTTGACGAGGCGTGGCACAGCGGCTAATGCCGTCGCACACGATCGAAGACCTCACGTCGTGCATCCTCGACTTCCAGGCGAACATGATGCGCGTCACATATAGGCAGAAGATGACTCTTGTCGAGCCGGACTTTGACGAGGTGCACAACGCGGCGCTGAAATATATTTGGTCGAACAGCAAGATCAACGAGGAAAGCTATGGGCCTGACATCTTGAAGTGGCGCAAGCTGGGCTTTGACAGCGAAGACATCACGCAGGAGTTCCGGGAAGTCGGCCTGCTCGGCCTGCAGTGCCTTGTGAGTACTGTGGTCAATCTGCCCGGGCTCACGTCTGAGTGTCTTCAGAAACACTTCGTCGCCAAGGACCCTGACTATTGGGCTAAGGTAAGCTATCTGGTCACGACGTCGTTATTTTCTGGCATCGGAGATCTGACAGTGAACACTGCTTAGGTTGTACAAGAGCAACTCAGCCGACCCGAGGAGCGAAGGTGTCCTATCGCGAAGGCTTCCAACGAGGTGGCAGACCTTCTATCAGAACATTGGGCCATATATGCCCCAGGCTGTGTGTATATGCTTGTTATTCATTCGCCTTGACTGTATTTATGAGAACGACCACAGACTCGTCCACAACATTCAAGCCGTTCTTTCTGAACTTTTACAAGGTTCACGCACTTGCAACGCAGTTCTTCCTGCGAATGTGGAACGAGAGTGGTGCTTCGAGGGGAGATTTCCCTCGACTTGTTGCACTCACTCGTAGCCAGTGCGTTGACACGATCAATCTAGTACGACTCGGACCTGAATTGGATTTCCAGGGTCAAGGTAGCGCTCAGAAGGGAGAATGAACGACCTTGGCACGAGGTTGAGCAAGAATTCCTTGAGTGTGAGTACCGTGCTGTCAGGGATCGACAAATGAAAGAGCTCGAGATGGAGGACGACGTCATGAGCAAGGTGCCAATGCGGTGGGTGACAGCCTTATGCCTCCGATATCCCGCCATTCATATTTTGATGCCAGGAATTTACGAGCGAAGCTCTACAAGGAGTCATTCGAATTCGTCCGACAACAGCGGATACATTGCTTGCTGGAAGGAGCTTGGTTTATGAATGGCATTCCCGTCATACCTGCAGTGCCTCGCGACACCATCAGGCGACCTAGCCGACCATGGCGATTCATTCGATTGGTGAGCATGGCGGTCTGAAATACTGCTACTACTGCTACAGAAGTACTGATTGAGCATCGACAGGATAACGGGCTGAAATACCTCCATTACGTCGACAGCACCATCAAATTCCCTGTGCGCAAAGGTCTTGAGGACCTCCCAGAACGGATCGATATGACGATGGTCAGCGAGATCGCTACCGGGACTTGTGTACCATATCCCAATGTGTTGCAAGGCATCGACGTAGCTGGTGCAAGCTCGCCGCTAGCAGCGTCTTCCTTGTCCTTCTCCCTATTGACCCCAAGTGGGTCCTCCTTGGCCGACCAGATTGCGCCAGACCAGTCTAGATGGGCTGACTGGACAGATGGGTTGAACATGCTGAGGAAAGACGGCGGACACGTTGCGTCAAAGGAGACGGAGACGTTCGTGCAGGCGTTGACGGAAATTGGACTGAAGATTAAGCTCCTTGGTAAGTCGGTGTCCCCTGTGTGGCTGACGCGAGCACTTACGGTCGGCGTGCCTTACAGATTTGTCCGGGGAGAAAGTAGATATACCCAGCGGTCTAGTGGCGGGGCCCCCGCCTACGAACTGCGACTTCTTTTATTCTAATCTACCGTATGAAACTCAAGGCTAATGTACTCCAAGTGTGATATAGCATGTTATCATAGCTCTATGTTGTGTGATCTTCGTTGGGATTCGCTTCTCCTTGTAGCTATCAGGATGCATGCTCCATTAGCTCTGAATACTGTACACCCATTTCGTGCCTGTCCACTGTACAGGCTAATTCGAATCAAGTTGGATCTAAAGGCGTGGCAGAAGTCCAACAAGCTCAAGGGTGAGAAAGAGACTTCAACAGGTACTGTGGTTGTCACGCTAAGAGTCAAGTGAAGCTATAACTCATGCATTGCACGTGTACGGAAAACACAATAAGATACATGCAGTTGGATGCAATGTCCCCAACACAGGACGAATGGTGGATGCAGTTGATGCAAGAAAGCACAATACAATACAGATGTACTAGATGCGAGGATATGGGTCAGTGCAATGCAATGCGACAGCAGGGCGGCTATATTAGAGATTAACGAGCGGGGGTTGAACCCGGTGGGGGACGCTGGAAACAAATGGGCGATCCGTCCAAGGGTGTTGGTGTTGAGACAGGGATTGGAAGGCTGAATGGTCAGCGGGGGGATATGTGTGATTGTCAGTGTCCGTTGAGGACAGGCTGTGAGCCCTGCGATGCGGCTAGCTCAGCGCCAGCCTTGAAGAAGGGTTCGAAAATGGCCTCGGGCTTCTTATAATCGTTATGCACGACGTTGACGAGGTAGTAAGTGTCCATGATGTTGTCGATCAGCTTGCGTGACGGGGACTCAGGCTCGTAGTACTTGGCCCACTGGCGACCCAGTTCGTACGCCTCGTCCTATATGTTCCTTATCAGAAGAGCGGTGCCAGAGACACCAGACGAGCACTGACCTTCCACGCCATAAAGCTGATAGCCTCCACGATGGTTGGCTGGATGATCTCCTTGTTCGGAAACACGCCCCATGTTACGGCGTTGGGCCCGTCCGAGTGTGTGTTCGTCCGCAGGTCACCCCGCTTATTGATCACGTAGTAGGTGATGTTTACGTCACGCTCGATGTGTGGGAGTAGAGCGTCCAGAAGCTGAGGCGATACGAAGAACTCGAGGTAGGCCTGTGAGCACATCACCTGTCAGCCGAGGGCGCCAGACAGCTGATGCATCGCAATACCTTCTGGTAGACGTAACCGTTGGACGGACCCCAGCCATGGATCCTATCATCGCTCCGCGCACCATCGACAGCCGGCTGTGAGTTGATGGTCAGGAAACCTATCTCGTTGAGCTTGAATAGCTGCGTTGCGATGACGGTTGTCTCCGACGACGGCGCGGAATCCGACCAGGGAAGCGCAGGCAACTGGCCCTGACAGAACTTCGCGAACAGCTTCCCGATCTCGTCCGCAGAGGTTGGATGATCCCATAGTTGAAGTGCTTCCTCTTTCTACAGAAGACGTCAACACACTATTGGACGTATTGATATGATAACCTACGGTTTGCTTAATCCAGATACCGTAGCCGTCCAGCTCACCATATGCTGGACTGCGAGAGTCACCAAATCGGCCGTTCGGGTACTCATCCCAGTTCTCTGTACGTGAGAGATACGACTTAGTGCGGTTAGCCCAGAAGATAGGACGGATAGTCTCGGTACGCCTGTTCGGCGTGAGAGACTGAAGGAGGAGTTAGTTCTTAGTTCAGCTCAGTCGGTATAGAAGAACACGTACCTGTCTCCAGGGCAAAGGCTTGACAGTCTGGATACGGGGAACGAGGTTCAACTCTTCGAGCAACATGCGTGTGGCCTTCTCCAGGTTCATGGTGTAGAAATGAAGACCCTTTATGCCTATGGGCTCGTTGAGGATGCGCCGGCACATTTCCGCCACGAGTCTAGTGCCGATCTCACGGACCTTCTCGTCATTGTTCTTGTGCGGCTCCAGCTCGTCGAGGAAGGACTGTGGGATTTTCGTCTTCGCCAAGCTCGTAGCTTTGTGGAATCCGTTCCACGTCTGGATGGGCGCAATGCCAGGGACAATGGGCACCGTGATACCAGCCTCGCGGACGGAGTGCACCCACTGGATGAAAATGTCGACGTCGTAGAACATCTGCGTGAAGATGAAGTTCGCGCCACCATCGATTTTCTCTTTTAGGTACTTGAGCTCGAGAGCTAACTCGTCAGGGGTCAGAAGCTGGTGCTGAGGAAAGCCGGCGACGGCGATGTCGAAGTAGTCTCCGTACTTCGTACGAATGTGCTGGACGAGGTCGATGCCGTGCACAAATCCGCCCTCGACTGCCTCCCACTCGTCTTTGCCCATAGGTGGATCCCCACGCAGGGCCAACACGTTTCGGCAGCCATGCTCCTTGGCTTCCTGCAAGGGATGGTCTGCATTGAAGATAGTTTGAACAATATGCGTTGCTGTGGACGCACCTTCAGAGCGATATCCACCTTTTCCTTTGGCATGTTCGTGCAAGTGAGGTGCATGCATGTCTCAATGCCGATCAATTTTTGGCATGTCTTGACCATTTCAGAGGTCAAGTCAGAGGTACGACCGCCAGCGTTCCTGCCTCCATTCAGTATGCCTGCAAGACGCGATGACACATGAACTCACCATGTAATGTCTATGAACTCCGGTCCCAGGGCGCGCATACGCTCTATGCGATCAAGCAAGTTTTGCAAACCCTAGAACACACAGTCCAGTTTCCGGACAGCCAACGATGTATTAATAACGTACCTGGGCCGTGCGGGGTGGAAAATACTCAAATGACCACCATACTCGATCCTCTTTCTCTGCCTGGGCAATTTTTTGGCTGATTTTCATGATTAAAAGGCCTCGCGCTCGTGAGTAGGGTGATTGTTATGATATAAAGTATAGTCTAGTTGGTATCGTGGACATGCGTAGGACCTGAGAAACCGGGCAGGGTGGTGGGAGCGGGACAGGAAGAGACCACACTCGGTTCAGGAGCGGACCGGCTCATTCGCACGTATCGCTTGCTTCCATCCCCATGAAGTCGCCCCATTTGCTTTCACGTCTTCATTTTCGTAAAGACTACTGAGCCCCAAGGGAATGTATTGATCCTTTCACAGCCTTGTGGCCTTCTTTGACGAGCGTCGAGCGGCAATGGCGTCTCATGACATAGAGCTACAATTGACCCTCGTTGCTCTGCCCTTGTGGACTTGCGATATCCACTTGGGCAAGTTAGCTTCTTCCGGGTATCGTCTTAACATTTCGCTTTGTTGATCTCTTCAGTGAAGTAGTATCAATACGCAGTATTTTGATGTCTTCATACAACATGTAATGAATCTCGAGTGGACATTTCCGAAGGAAGGTGATCGAGAACTCAGTACTCAGGGACCGCCGTCCAGGCGCAGCACCCGCAGGCTGAACGAAATGCAAACGCCCGCTCTCCATCCCCCTTCGCTTACATCCAACGTTGTCCCCTTCGGGGTGACATACGAAAAAATTGGAACGATACAGAGAAGATTAGCATGGCCCCTGCACAAGGATGACACGCTTTCCCGGAGTGGTAGACCTACGGGTCTCAATATTTATTTTTGTCCCACCGCGTAGCATTACCTGATGCATCCGCCGAGACAAGACAATCACTGTATGATAACATAGATTTGTATTTTCTTGTTGTACATATTTGTGAATGCAAGCCGAGGAATCTACTCTATCCTCGGCGTGTACTCATACAGCGAAACCTGGCCAGTAAGAGTGCCAATGGCGATCCGGCCCTCCTCGTCATCTACCGCGAGTGTAATCCATTTATCCTCGTCGCCATGCATGACAAACTCTGTGATTCTAGACGAGAAGCGCATGTTCGCTCCGCCTGTCCGCCCGCCGCCCCACGTCTCCGCGATGATGCCGGGGCCGTACCAATCGTTCACTCTGGGCCGTCCCTCCGGAGAGGTTGTGCCCGGCATCCCCTTCTGCGAATTGTGCGCGACGCAGCTGCCCGCAATGCGCTGTCCGCGGATGCCTGCCTCCACCGGGCCGCTGTCGGCGGTCTGAGCGTCCAGCCACAGCGCGGTGCCGGTGCGCCCAAGGACGATGTCATGGGAAGTGAAGAGGCGCACAGGTGAGGGGATCGAGCGCAGCATGAAGGGGATGCCCCCGCACTTGCAAAGGTATGGCACGCAGAGGCCGTCGTGGGATGGTGTGCGATCCTTGGTGGGATAGTCGCGCGCCGGGTAGAGCGCATAGTGGTGGATGATGTTGGAGGGCCAGTGGAATGGGGTATCGAAGCGGATGACGATGTCGATGAGCGGGAGAGCGGGAGCACGGGATTCGACGTAAGGCGGGGCATGCGCACGGGGTTGTACGACGAGGGTGTCGATCTTATATTGCCACTTATGACTGGAAACTGGCTCCAGATGTTCGGGTTTGAGAGCATCTGGGGGTGCCTCGGATTGCAAGAAATACACGTAGATCCATTGTCTGCAGAAAGTGAGGATGTAGTTGCCGAACATCAAAGAGTCTATGCATCTTTGCTCCTATCCTTGGTATGAGCTTTGCTCTGCACCCAGTGAGATGCTGAAAATGTAGGAACGTACCCCAGGGTACAAAGTCGCATTATCGGGATCCGAGGGGACATGCAGATCATACTTGATACGCTGGGTATCAATATCCACGAGGCGGACAACATTGTCGCTGTCGGTGGCGACAAAAGTTGAGCCGTGCAGGGAGACCGGTTTTCGAGAGCTTGGGAACTCGTGAAGTAATATGAAAGCAGAATACTTGTCGTTTGCGGCGAAGTTGATTGAGTATATGGAAGTAGTCACCCTGCATTACGGACGCTCACATCAGCCACAGGGCCTGAGAAACCTGCAAATATGGGGAGGCTGGAGACAGCGGGGCTGCAAAACGTGATACGCCCTTGTGAGACAAATTAACGCACATATCTTCGCTCTCTCTGCAGGAAAGGGCTAGTATTGCGGGATGATCTGGATCCGTATTGACCCTCAAGCCGGCGATACTCATGGAACGCAATAGGGCGATGCATTTCGGTGGGTTTGCGGTGACGTCCCAGCAATGGATCAGGTAGTTCTTGAGGGCCACATGTTCATTGTACAGAGTAGTCACCAGCAGCCACTGATTACCTCTGCCTGGGAGGAATCTAACGCTAATGTTCCTGGCACGAGAGTCGGGCGGCAAGTCTTCTGGTGCCAAGTCAAATTGTTGTGTATGCCTCGGTTTCGCTGAGCGCCATGTTCGGCATAGACTGATTGCCTTCGTTGTGACGTGCTCGAGCTCTAGTGCTGCCAAGGACGCCAGCGGCCGTCCAAGCAGTCCGGGCACGGGAAGACCGCGACTTAGAAGCTCGGTATGCAGTACATCGTGCCAAATGCTGCGCTCTTGTGTGAGATTGTGAAGGGTACGGCATGTCTATCACAGCTTGTGAGCCGCCAGATGTCACCACATGTGTGTAGAGCGTGTCAATCATGTCCACACCTGTCGCAAAGCAAGAATGTCCGCCACGCTCAAGTCCTGACATATCTGAAACAGGACATCAGCAGGTAGAGCATGGAAGTTCACGATTTCATCGGCCAGGTTTGGCATGTTCTGAGTACAAGTCCCTGCACAAACAAAGTACTGCTGACCAGCGAGCAAGTGCCTATGTGGAGGTCGAAGTGGTGTGGAACACAACGCTACTCAAGTTACAATTAGATTGAGTGAGCAATGGGATCTTATCTTATCTCCTTCTGATTCGCAAGTTCGCCGGATCCGCACCCCACCACCGCGAAAAGTAGTCTAGGGCAGTTGGATGTCGAGAATAGCGTATAACGAACGATAATAAGCTTATAACCACTGGGAGACACACTAAGCCCATACTGTGCCTGCATGGTATTCACCCCCGACCCAACGCGAATGGATGCTTGCGTTCGCAGGTCAGCACAACCCGACGTCCGACAGCGGGGATGACAATAGCTACGCGAAGACAGGTCGACATTCCTTTTACCAGGCCCTGTGGGGCGATCAGCAGAGTCGAATGCAGCAAGATAAAAGTGAAGACGACGATGAGCGGTTTAAGTTCGAGATGTTTGCAGGGACGCGAGGCGCAAAACTCATGTGCATTTGGCTGACTGAACAGAATGCGTGTAACAATGATAGATCGATTGTAGTATATTGTACATATAAGACTTCTACTAGCTTCGGGAGACAGTAAAATGTACGGCAACATAAAACCATGAAGCACTTCAACAGTATGAAGTCATCACATTTCGTAAGTGCCTACTATCTGCTGATTAGACAGATAGTCCGTTGATTTTGGCGATTCACCAGAACCGGTGCAGAGTGGAAGCATAAGTTGCTGCCCGGGCAGAAAGACGCCGCAGTTAGATGCGATACTGGAAATAAAAGGACAGACTAGCACAACAGAAATAATAGAGAGCGCATACGAGCTTGATAGATTGGAGAGGACATAGACAAGATGAAAATTTTCATACGACCGCGGCGTTATATACGGGCGCTGGGACAAACAAGCATCATCAAACTCATTTGGAAGGAGCGCCACTTTCATGCACCGCGTCTGCAGCGCGCCCCCGTTATTCGTTTCATCCTTGTAGTCTAACGCCAATGCCCCCGCGACGCGACACTACGACTAGAACCAGCAGCAGAAACACCAGCAGTCTTACAGTCGTCCTTGACCAACTCAGGAGCGATAAAATCAAAGAACGCCAAGAAGGTCTATCCTCGCTGCGTACTATCTTCGCTCTCGATGGAACAGTCCTCAATCTCGACGAAGCTGGAGACGGGCGTGCCTGGCTCGTTGTATTTCAGGCTCTCTTTACTGCTGTGTTGAATGAGAAGTCCGCTTTTTCTAAGAAGAGCTCCTCTGTCGCGGCAGCTACCCGCAGGCTGGCCGACGCCGCCGCCGGTGTTCGCTGGTTGATCGAACGTAGTGTGGGGCGAATCAACACCAAGGTGGTTAAGACAGTCCTCGTTCATTTACTCCAGACAATGATTCACAAGGGTGAGCTCTTTGCTCCCGTGGCCTTGGACTACGCGAAGGCTGTCCGCTGCATTTTGGCTTGGAGGCCGCACCTAGAGCACTTGCAAGAGGAGACGTGGGTCAGGCTTTTAGAGCTTGGCTTGAACGTTGTTCTCAAAGACTCTGTGCGGAGGCAATTAGAGGAAGTCGAAGAGGTCCAAGATAATGACACAGACGAGGATGAGAGCATGGAGATAGATGCAGACGGCACCTCTCGATTTGGCGAGGATGAGGACTTCCATACGTCGGTCTCCGCGACACCGGTATCGCAGCGAAAACGCAAGCATCGTAGTCCAAGTCAGAAACCTGGACGGGCAACTGCTAGCCCGGCCCCACGATTTCGCCCTGTCTCAGCCGAGCAGGTAGAGTTCATGTCGATACTCTCGTTGCTGCTACGTTCATCTTCCATTCCCCTCCTTTCCCCCAAATATGAAAAAGTGCTTCCCGCTCTCTTTCACCGTCTAGCGCGTTTCATCCGCACAAACCCGGGCGATTCATCTTTACACCATGATTATTTAGTAGCGGTTTCCGCTGCACTCTCTCACGTTTCCTTGAACGCACGCAAGGTGGTTAGCAAATTCGCACACGAAGCATGGGATGGGTTAATCGGTATGTGGGGAACGAAGAATCAGAAGATGAAGCAGGACCTTGTCGTCGTTATAAGGTCACTTCTTCCTTTTCTGACCGCTCAGCCGACTACGGAAGGTGAGATGCCCGAGTTCGCCTACGGCGATGGCGTGGCGAAATTGTGGCATCTACTTAACGCCGAGGTGGAGAACCGGTGGGGTGTCCACGGCTTGTCCCTGGATTGCCTCCGTCTGCAGGTTGTTGAACCTAATGGAGAGGCCGGGACGTGTGGAGCCTTCATCGCGGATACATTCCGGTATGGTTGGCACTTCGACTCGAACCAGGCGCTCGCTTGGGCAGTATTGGAGCTGCAAGCTGATTGCACAGAGAAGGTAGCTGTTTAACATCTCATTTCATATATGTGGCTAACGTGCCTTCTCATTCAAGCTCTACCATCTCGCTGAGTCCAGCCACTTAGCTGGAATCAGTAGTAGTAGAAGTGCTACCAAGCGTGCTCGGCTGGAAAATCCTGTCGCGATGCTTTTAGACCATATCAAGGTGCAAACCTCGTCCAATAGCCGGGCATACTACTTGCAAATCCTCTTGTTCTTCATTGATCAATACTGGCCCATACTGCACAATGGTCTTCAGCAAGACGCACAAGCCGTTCTTCTCCAATTCATCTCATTCGAGGATAGCGCAGTTCAATCGTGGACATTTTTGTGTCTGGCGGCGATCGCTCATGCGGTTAATACCTCACATTCCCGAATGCCGCAGCATGATACCGGCCTATGGGATACAGTTTGGACGCACGCAATGCGGCGAATCAACAACTCGGGCGTATCTCGGGCGGCCTGTCATACAGCGTTCATCTTGTTGTCGCATGCTCGAGTGCTCCTCACCTCGCAGCGCGTTCTGTCCGAGATTGAGTCGCTGGCAAAGGATATCGACGTCCAGGGGCCCCCATTTCCATACGACTCCGTCTGTTCCTTCCTGGTTCTTGCATTGCAGGTGGCCAGCCAGGATGTCCGCCTGTACAGGATGCAACTCGAGGAAAAAACGCTCACTTGGCTCACCGACGCTTGGAGGGTGGAACCTGGGAAGAAACTGCGGATGCCCCTGAATTCCTCTGGGGATATTATGATGCTTTTAGAAAGTGTCTGCGCTTTATCGACGAGAAGTAGCCTCGTGCATAGTATGCTACTTCCCGACTGTGCAATCGTAGAGACTTTGGTTAATTATCACCGCACCGCCGTCATCCGCGAATTCTTGTTGTCCGCTCGTCTCTCGATGTCTCAAGATATCGGTCACAAGCCAGACAATCTATCGGCAAGCCCTAATACCCCCGCTGACAACACAAGTTCTGGAAGGCACGCTACGCTTACCGAGGTCCACGATCTCAGTCAGCCTGGACCTCGAGAGCGCAGAGTGTCCACTTTCTTCTTGAAGGCCCTCGAGGAATCCCAAACTGCGTGGGAGAACAGGGAAGCGGCAGGACATCTGACGGCAGAAGGAATCCGATGTTCGCTTGATCTATCTGTAGCCGCTCTGTGTTTCGAAGCAGGCCTGGTCATGAACGGCACACGGTCTACGAGGCGGGTCATCCAGGCGGCGTGTAGACACCTTGGCTCAATGGTCCCTTGCCTGAAAGACTCGCGATGGACGGTGGAGGAACGTGCACTGCTTATGGCAGGACTGCAGCCCTTGGTGCTTGTCACAACCAAGCAGGACAACTTTGTTGATTGGGAGACCCTGGTCCTGCCTGACGAAGGCACCGGTACTAAGCGACAGGTCTTGAAGACACTTCGACCAGAAGCGGATCAGCGGATCGAGCAGATCATGGCAGCGCGCCGTGAAATTCAACGTCTGGTCTTCCAAAATGCTGATGTGAGTGCACAAGCGAGATGATTCCTCTGGCGACCTGTGCTCAAATATTTCCCAGGTCCAGGACGTTTTCGGTCTTTTGATGGCGACTTCACGAGACATCCTCCGCCTTCTTGTCGGAGCATCTGGTGACAAGACAACGCTGTCCGGTGTGGGCAGTGTCGATGAAACCGATGGCTTCGGTCCAGTCCGGACTCATGCAACTGTCGAAATCCCAGTTGCGTCTCAGCAGGGTTCTATATATGCGGCCCTGAACAGCTATGTTGTCGCAATGTGCATGTCGCTGCTCTCGATAATTCCAATCCTCGAATCAACTTCAGGGGAACCAACCCGTGACAAAGATCTAACGACTCTTGTCTTGAACTGCCACGATGATCAGTTTCTTGCGATTGCTCAAGCTTTCTTCAGTAACATCCGTTCAGGAAAACTGACCCTGAGCGCCACCAGTCTCAACATGTTCCTCGACAAGTTCGGCGAGCTGCTGACGCGCTACGACTACTCCAAGAGCGAGCGTTTGCAGTTGTTGACGATCCACTTTCTCGATTCCACTATCTCTGTCTGGTCAGAGACCAACGTAGCATCAGGCCCCGTTGGCAGGCGAGTTCGCGAGTTATGGGGATTCTTCTGCAAAATGTTAAAAAGTGGCAAAGTACGATCATGGAAAATCCGGGATCAACTTATCCGCTTCCTCGATACCTATCTCACACAGGACCCGAAGCAGGAGATGTGGACTGTGTACGGCAACGGCGACGACGACGACGACGACAGTGACCAGGAGAATGTCGAAGAGGATGATGGTATTAGCGGTAAGGCCAACTCCTCTCCCAATCGAGCATCACCGACTGCTATACTCCCAAGTATGGGCATGGATGAGGACATCCGCGTCCGATGGCGAGCCGCTGTTGTAAACGCGCGCTTGTTTACTATCTCTCGCAATACCAACGGTAATCAACTCGAGCTATATACAAATGTGCACGATCACCTAGGCAAAACCGTTGAGAAGTGAGTGAATCCCAGCCTTATCCTGGCCAAGTTAATGTCAAATTGTCCAGGTATGAGCACATGCTCACTCGACTGCTTTGCCTGGGCAACATCATGATACTGAGTTCTCTCGTGAGACGTGGTCCTTATTGGCATCTCTTGGAAACAGCTCTTTGGAGGTCAGAGTATTCACGTCACATGGAAGCCGTCTTGGCTGGTGTCGCAGCACGAATGGGGCTCACCCAACTATCCGAACTGTTCGCATGTTATGCATCCCAGATCGCTTTCTCCATACGTCAAGCCGGGAAGGATTTCCTGGATTTTCCTCCACGCCTCTTAGGGTTTAAGGACAAGCGAGAGCTCGCCATTGCAGCGTTCCATGCATTTACCCCTACGAATCTCATTGCTGGTGGCGAATGGAAAGACGTACAACACGGTCATCAACTTTTCGCTGCTCACTGCAAAGTGGTACAAAAAACAGACGCTGAGGGTGTTCGTGAATGCTTCCCGGAGATTATCGGCTACCAGGTCGTCATCGGGATGGCTACACAACCAGACAACGCCGAGTTGACCGAGGCCTACTTGGAGACGATCCTCAAACGTAGAATGGAACGCATGGACGGGCCCGAACGGCTCCAATTCCATATGGCGCAGAGCGCAGATGCCATTGTCGTTGCTATCTTGCGCACATTGGGAGATCAAGATTACAGTGAACACGGCCCAATTGCAGTTGCTCTACTTGACGCTTGTCCTGGAGAAGCCACCGTTGCGACGTTCCGCCAGCTGTCTCGTTACAGAAGCATTGACGACTTCATCCCTCACGAACCAAACCTACCCTCCTTTGACACCAAGACTATCCTACGATCGCTGATCTGGCTAGCTTCATACATACCGGAGACACAGAGTATGGCGACCAGTTACCATGTTCTGCATCGCCTGTTCTCCGACATTCAATCAACGCCAATAGTCAACGAGCAATTGAGGCTTTTGAATGGATTGTGCGTCTGGGTTGCGCTACGCCACGACCAATTTCAAGATCGTACCCTTCTCTACACCCTCGTCAATATAGCGGCGATCATGATGACACAGTCGGACCTCGCTCGTGCGGCAGAGTCTATCTTGGAGTGGAGTTTCGATCTCTATCATATAGCGCCTGAAAGGGATACCAACCTCTCGGACATATTGATTCGGATCAGCTGCGTCTCTTATGGATACACAATGGACCTCCAGGACCCTTACCTCACGGGACTTGGAAGAGAAATTCTGGAGTGGGTTGAAGATCAAGCTCTTCGTCTGTGCAGTACTGACGTCCTGAAGATGGATGTTGTGAAGGCCTTTGTTGCTTGGCCCCGCACATTGCCTCATGATCTGCAACGCCTCCGTGACGATCTGAAAGGCGACGAATTGTCTGCTATCCTCAGAGACCATCGTCTTTCGTCGAACAGATTCCGCCTTGTGCGAAGGCTAAGAGAGCTGGCTTGTGCGCCTACTGACAAAGGCGAACAAGCGAACCCATCCGACTTCTGGTATCTCAAGGGCTGCATACTACCGGCATCACAGCTTGTAGATGAAGATGTGGACGCATTCACCTCCATTTTATCGTTAACGCATGGTCGTCTCAACACTTTCGGATATATCCATGAAGGGCGTGACGCTTTGCGCGATTATCACCGCGCCTATGCTAATAGGAAAGACTTGGCCGACACTCAGGATGCTGCTCGTCGCGCTATCATATATTCCCTTCTCACCATGCTTGACTCCGCGATCGCCACCCAAGTACACGCTGCGTACCTGACTTTACGTTGTCTCCTGTCTACGTACACTCCCGATGCAGAAACCCAACAGGCATGGTCTCGCAACCAACACAAGGTCCTTCAGTACTTTCAGGAGCGACCAGTTCCATTCGAGCAGAAAGCCACACGAGATCTGGCGCAGAGCTTGAATTCACAGCATGCAATCGATACTTCCGCAAATCTTGACACCTGGGTGCCGTTTTTCACTGTCCTTCTTTGCGATACACTCGGCGCATACGATCCGTTTTTCGGCTCGTTGATGACTATTCTGCATTCGCATCTCAGCTTTGCGGAAGAGACACTTCCAGTCCTGGTTCACACGCTGCTCCAAATCGAGCGCGCTAGTTCTTCCGGAGAACGACTCCCCATGCGTGACGAAATCTCGCGATACCTTGCCTCTATACTAGCTTATGAGCAAGCAAGTGTCTCCTGTCTACATGCTGTGGTGGACATAGTCCTTCACCTCCGGTACTTCAGGCCTCCGAACACATCAGAGCCTCTTGCCCACGATCAATGGCTGAATCTTGACTACTCATTGCTCAGTCAGAAGGCAATCAAATGTGGCGCTTATACTACGGCGGTACTATTCCTCGAATTGGCAACCGAGTATGGCGAGAATGCACCGCTGGACACCACCATCCTAGAGGAGACGCTCTTTGATATTTACAGTCACATCGACGAGCCTGATGGATTCTATGGTATTAGCACCACCGACCTACGCCGTTTCCTCATGTTGCGACTACATCACGAGAAACAATGGGACAAAGCCTTCCAGTTTCATGGTGCTGCGTTTGAAGCTCGGAGGACGCTAGGGAATGACGCACAAGGGCTCGTGAAGTCGTTGCACTCTTTCGGCTTCAATCGACTCGCCGTGTCCGCGTTGAGTGCCATTTCCAATGACGCCGGACAAGGCGATGATGCCAATTGTTTGACGTACCAGCTTGGTTGGCGCACTGAGACTTGGGACCTACCAGAGCATACAGAGAGCCGCAATGCAGGAGTTCCTCTGTACAAAGCCTTGCGAGCTGTATATCGAGAGCGCAGTCAGAGCACAGTCGATCGTATTGTCCGCCAGGAGTTAGTTGCTGAGATGCAGTATCTGCGGTGCCTCGGCGATGAGAACTTAGCCGAGATTCGTCAAGTCACCCAGAACATCATGTGCCTCAGCCAAGTGAGGCATTGGAGGGCTCGGTCCACGCAGGTGATGCTACAGAATAAGTCCATCAGCCTCGCTGACTGGAGCACAATTGACCCAGACTTTGCGTAAGCCGATGTCTTTATACAATACCACGTAGCTGAAAACTTGACTGATATAGCTTCGATGACGCAGAACCAATCATGGCCACACGACTCGCGCTCATACAGTCTGCACAGCAGAAAGAGCAGCGGGACCAGATTGGAACCCTCATGTCCCCGTTCACCCGAAGCCTCATAGACCTCGAGGCTAAGTGCCTTGTAACCCTTTCTAGGGTTGCAAGGCGGGCCGATCAAGCACAAATCGCATTGAATTCTATTACACGCGCTCAAGCATTGTTAGAGCCATCCCCTTGGGAAGTATCGCAAGAGTTCGCCAACGTCTTGTGGCTTATGAAGGAACCGAAGCTCGCAGTACAATCTCTGCAAACTAGTTTGAGTAGTCTCCCACTGGACCTATCTGCGGAAAGTGTACCCGGAAGAATCAAGAGAGCTTCGTTGCTAGCTTGTCTGGTACGTAAATATTATTGAATGGCAATTCTCGACAACAAAATCAACCTGCTATTAGGGAGCTTGGTCTTCGGAAGCGTCGCTCGAGAAACCTAGCGACATCGTCTCCCGTTACTTTGATCCCGCGGTCAGCATTCTCTGTCAAGTCGAGAATCAAGATGTCCGGTACGAACAGGCCAGTGTCTATCATCAGTACGCTATATTCGCGGAAGGACAGTATCATGCCATCGTGAACTCTCCGGATGCCTTGAGATTTAGAGTTTATGTGGATCGCAAAAACGAAGAGATCAAGGAGCGCCAGTGCCAAATACAGAAGACCCAGGCTGGCACAAAAGAATTCATAGATCTCCACAGGAAACTCAAGGCGGCGGAGCAAATCTTAGGACAGGATACGATTAAATTCAACGATCATATCCGCGCTCGCCGCAACTTCCTCTCCCTATCCGTCGACATGTACGCGCGTGGTTTGGCCACCTCCGACGCTTTCGACAATGATTCTGTCATCAGGCTGTGCTCTCTATGGCTGGCAAACTTCGAGAAGGCAGACTGCAAGGTGGAGTTCGGGGCTTCTTTGAATCGAGTGCCCTCTCGGAAATTTGTCTTCCTTGCACACCAGTTGGCTGCTAGACTGTCTAAGACACCACCTCCCAACGCCGCCAAGAACCAAGCCGATCTACAGGCACTTCTATTACGAATGTGCCGTGAACACCCTTTCCACAGCCTGTATCAAGTCTTTTGTCTGACGGCTGAGAATGCCCTCTCCCAATCAGCAGCTTCTTCTAGGAGACAATCAGGGAGATTGGAATCTCTTTCTACCCATGCAGAACGAGCGGCTGCCGCATGCGATCTATTCGACCGTCTCAGGCAGGATGACCGTCGACGAGATACAGTACGCGATGTCGAGCTTGTCTGTCGGGCTTGTCTCCAATGGGCGAAATACCCCATCAAAGACAAGTCCCGCCATGCACCGAAGGGTCCACTCCAGGTGCCAGACGAATTACTTATCCGGAAAATACAAAAGATCCGTGTCCCAGTTATCACCGCACATACGCCCGTCGACCCCAGTACACAATACAAGCATTGCGTGTGGATCAGCCGTTACGACTCGACGTACTCTACTGCGGGAGGGGTCAACCTCCCGAAGATTACTGTGTGTGCAGGAAGTGATGGACGGAAGTACAGACAATTGGTGAGGAATTTGGTCTTACTTCGAATAGTAAATGACCGTACTGACGGGTGTCCAGTTCAAAGGTGAAGGCGGGGACGATCTTAGACAGGATGCAGTGATGGAACAGGTCTTTGACCTCGTGAATATCCTTCTCCGCGATGATCGTGAGACACGCAAGCGAACACTAGGGGTCAGGGACTACAAGGTAATCCCCCTTGCCTCACAAGCTGGAGTGCTCGAGTTTGTGGACAATACTACACCTCTTGGTACCTGGCTCGCCCCAGCTCATTCACGGTTTGTACGGACAGGCGGCTTGCGTATAACGTAAAGCTGATCGATATTTGTGTTAGCTATCGACCCGGTGACATGTCCGCTTCCGATGTAAACAGGCATCTAGCAAAAAAGCACAAGGAGTGCAATCATGAGCGGGAGCCTCTCTTAGTGCTCTTCCTGCAGCTTCAGAAGAGGTTCAAACCTGTCATGAGGCACTACTTCACCGAGAAGCACAAGAACCCCACGTCATGGTTTGCAATGCGCTTGAAATATGCTCGCAGCGTCGCGACAACATCTATCGTTGGGGACGTCCTAGGCCTCGGAGACAGGCACACGTCCAATATTTTGATGGATAATGTCACCGGGGAGGTTATACACATTGATTTGGGCATAGCATTCGATCAGGTCAGTAGCCTGCAAACACCACAAACGCGTATCAGCTAATTGAATTTCAAGGGAAAACTCTTACCTGTGCCCGAAAGGGTGCCTTTCCGGTTGACTGCTGACATGGTGGATGGCCTGGGTATCTCAGGAACACAAGGCGTCTTCCAGCGATGTGCTGAAGAGACCTTGCGTGTCCTGCGAGATCGCTCCGACGTGATTCTGACTGTCCTGGAGGTGTTCAAGTATGACCCGTTACATTCATGGTACGTTTTTCTTCTTAACCCTAAAACCGGCTTTAACCTCCTGTGCCACTATTCAGGGCAGCCAGCGAGCTTAAGATGAAGCGGGCGCAAGGATCAAGCAACGAGGTCAACGAGTTGACAGGAGAAGCATTCCGCTATGCCATCGGCATCGACATGGCAAGCGGGACCGCCGACGAAGCAGCAGATCGTGCCCTATCGGCAGTCAAGAGGAAACTAGCGAAAACCCTCAGCGTCGAATACACAGTCAACGAGCTCATATCTGAAGCTACAGACCCAGGTAACCTCGCGCAAATGTATCAGGGTAAGCTCATAGACTACCTCCATACTGTCCGGTGCTGAATCGTCATGCCAGGATGGGGGCCTTACTACTGATAATCACAATCCATACCACACTTCACTCAAATCCATCCCTGATTTAGCATAACTTATGACACACCACTGCAATTGTATACTATGAGCATGCATGTATTTCGATTATCTCCTCCATAACTCTCACCCTGGGGGCATGATTTACGTGAAAATTTGTCACACCAACTAGACTGCCACTAGTCAACAAGTCTATATCATCCCGCACGCACAAGTACAAATGCAGGACACAGCTATTACTGGTCACGGGTATAAACCACGGACGGGGTGTATCATGTATGAATACAATTGTAAAAAACCTGGACACCGCCACCACAGTACCAGTAGCCGGCCATGTGGTGCAACTAACCTTGCCACACAGAGAAAATCAAATCAGACTTGGGGTTGGACAGGACAGCGACAGAGATGAAATCCACAGAAAGAACGTAGATAGACGCATCATGTGACATAGGAATCATGAGGGTCCACAGAAGCCGATATGCAACTGAACGGTTACTTAGACTTGGCTATATCCCTCGCAGCCTTGATGAGTGGTGCCAGTGTCCGCAGTGGCTCCGACAATTTGAAGAAGGGGTGCTGAATGAGTGATTCTTTAGTCGAATCGAAAAAAGGACGTGATGTAGGCGTTAGCATACCTGGAGTATCTCCGCAGCTGTCGGCCTCTTCTCGGCTTCGACTTCCAAGGTCTTCGACAAGTAGTCTCTGAATACCGGTGACAGGGCCTCGGGATTGGCAATCGTCGGTGTCCCATTTGTAGCAATGAGATACAGTGCCTTCAGCGGGTTTTGATTCAGATATGGTGGCTCTCCTTCAATCATCTCTGCAGCCTCTGTCAACAAATGGACAGGAAGAATGAAAGGACGAGGATATACCAATTGCCATGATACCTAGACTCCAGACATCAACCTTGGGTCCGTATTCCTTCCGGGTGACGACCTCTGGAGCCATCCAGTATGGGGTTCCAACCATCGTCGTACGCTTTGAGTTCGCATCCGAGATTTGCGCGCAGAAACCAAAATCCGCTGCACAAAAATTCGTCAGAACACTCTAGTGAACTGAACGAGGCAGGACTCACTCAGTTTGATGTCGCCATTCATACTCAACAGGACGTTATCACTCTTGATGTCGCGATGGATGACTCCATGTCGATGCAGATGCTCCAAACCCTGCGCCGTCTCCCTCGAGACCGCTGCAATCTGGCCCTCGGACATCAAATTCGCCGTTACAACGTCAGTGAGGGAACCGCCCTCCATGTACTCCATCACAACCCACAGCTCGTTCTTATATAAGAACGAGTCGATGTAGTTCACGATATTGGGGTGCCGCGAGGCACGCATAACAAGGATCTCGTTGATGATAAGGTCCTTCTTGGGCTGCTTCTCAAGGTCCATCTGCTTGATTGCAACAGAACTGTTCGAGCCAACCTGGTACGCAGTGTAGACACCGCCCGATGCGCTGCACCCTCCCGTCAAATTATGAGCGAGATTACACAAACTGAGGTCACTCACCCTGCACCGACTTTCACCAAGTTCTTATACAACCGCGTCGGGTCCGCATCCGTGCAGATCGCCTGTAGCCGCGAAACGATATCCGCCTCTTTCTCCTTGTCCTTTTCCTTCCGCTCCCGCCTCCGCGGTGTCGCCCCACCCGCCGCGGCGGCCTTCTGCAGGCTCGCAGTGGCCGCACTCGGCTGCTGTGGGGCAGACCGCGAGCTGGGCGATCGGTCACGGCGCCCTTGTGATGGCGATGACTTGAGCTGCAGGTCAGTCGTCGATGAGCCTGGCGAGGTCTTGGATGGCTTCGACGAGAACGAGGAGGGCGGCCCCAGTGCCTGAGGGTGCGGAGCGCCATTCGGCTCGCGCCGATCGCGAGTGGTGTGCGAACGAGAGAGCTGGTCGGTGGGCTTGTGCGGCTTGGAAGCAGGGAGTCGCTGCGAGGTAGAACGGTCGAGCGCCGGCGTGAGCGGCGTGGGCGGTTGGGGTGCAATCCGGTGGGCGGTGGGCATGCCCTGGCCCGAAGGTGCGGGAGAGGATTTCTTAGGCGTGGGAGGAGCAGTACGCTAGCATATATGCTGAGAAGGGCCATTTGGGGGGGCAAGAATGTGGCCACTTACAGGATTCTGATACCCATCGTCAGCGTACTGCTGCTTTGATTGAGATGCAGGCTGGGGAGCAGCAATCGTCCCCATCTTGTCCCACACCGAAGTGTCGCCCCGGCTCTCTTGGTAAAATTTGACGATCTCCATCACGGCCTGTGGGTTCTTCTCTTGCTCGCTCTTCGAGATTCCACTTTCCTGCAATAGCTGTTGCCATTCCTTCGGCAACCCTGTGAATTCGCCGGTGGAGGAATTGAAGCCGACATGCGTGAGGTGCACCGGGTCATACGGAGTGCTGATTTCTGGCCGCTTCGAACTATTAAGCAGATCAGACATGAAATTGAACATCCCCTTCTTGGACTTCGTCGCCGTCGTCCCGCTGCGCGATCGCATCGTCCCCGATAGGCTTGCCGCCGCCGGCGGTGGCGGTGGCGGCGGCGGCGGCGCGTTGGGTGCACCATAAGATAGCTGTTGCTGCATAGGATCCATATCGAAGGGGTCCGCGGGCGCCTGGGACTGTTGCTGCTGGAAACCGTGCGGCGACTGCTGCTGGTCGTCGACGTAGAAGACAGTGTCGGGGGGCAGACTAATCGGATCGGACAGGCGCTGGTTGGCGACGTTGCGTTGAGCGGGGAAGAGGTCGGTCAGGTTGGCCGTGTTGGCCCGCGATGGCCGTGGCGGGGGTGGTGTGCCGTTCATAAGGCCGCTGTCGCTGTTGCTACCGCTGTTGCTGGAGGTGAGTCGGCTGGCTGCGGCAAAAGGATCACGATCGACGGGTTTGGGTGCGGTGGGCGTCGTCAGGCTCTGTTTCCGGGGCGGGGCCTTCTGCAGCGAGTTGCGGATTCGGGAGTTGTGCTTCGCTGTTGAGGATGGCGGAGGACCTGGGGCCTGTCTCGACGGCAGAAATGGATCCTGGAAAGGCGCGGTGTTGGAATGAGCGGCGGGGTCGGCGATGAAATTGGCGTAGTTCTGGACAGAGGCGCGATTGGGAACGTGGTACTCGACGGTGATTTTGGAGTGGCGACGGGAGGACGGGGGCAGCCTCTGATTCACAGCACTCTGCGGAGTTGTCGACATGGACTGTGATGGCTATGGCGATGGCTTCAGTGATGGCCTCGGGATGCCGTAGTATGTCTTTTCGCGATGTTAGGCGACGCCGACGACGACAATCAGGACGAGGTGATTCAACTGTAGTGGCTGGGAACGGCCTGCGCTTATGACCCTGGGGGGAAATGAATCCGCAGTCGGACTAAATTAAAAGCAACTCCGTCGTCTTGCTCGACGACAAGCGGATGGCGAATGCTGCGTGGTAGGGTGCCGACGCCGACCTCGATGACCTCGACGGTGGCAGTGAGTGAAAGTTTAACACAACCCATCATCGATTCTGCTGCAGTTGCCTTATACGGGAGACTCACATCAAGCTCAGGCGAATGTTTCACCGCGTCTATAGGTCCCAATCATCCATTTGCAGGCATTACAATCAGCCGTTTACAGAATTATTAGACCCTCAACACGCTGCCAGATTTCAGGATATGGTCTTCACCGGACCTTTTTGCGCAGATATCCACGGTATCTAGCAGTGGTCGAGCGCAGTCTCCTGAGAGCAAGATAGACAATTCCTTCAACCTGCGCTCGCTCTGGATATCCATGTCTGACGTCGAGCGGCTTGCGGCAGATATATATGACCAAGCCATATCTCAAGGCGAGTTCCTCTACCGCTGTTCCCCCCAAAACGTGCCACTGCCGATTATATGAAGATATCTTCATTGTGTGATATGATATAGCAGGATATGTGCAACGTGCATATACAGGGGGAGGATATTGACACACAGACGATAAACCACGATGCAGCAATGTATAAGTGCGAGTCCGGTAGAATAGGGAGAGTAGGGACAGCTAAACATCCCCGATCGTCTGCAGTGTTCGCGTCCACTCGACGACTCTCTTATGCGCCAGGACCTGCGAGTCTCAACCTGGTGAGATTGGAACGCCACGTCTGAATATAACTGAAAAGGCTTACCTTACTGGGATCGAAGTTGAGCACTTGTAGCCCACCCAACGAAGTGGCGCGCGAAAGCGCAACGTATGCCTGGCCTGGAGAAGCAAAGCATCACTGCTCTATCCCGTCGCAACTAAAATCATCTTGCCGTACCCTTTTCAAAAACTCGACCAAGGTCGACCTTGACCCGTTCAAGTGTCTGGCCTTGTGACTTGTGTATCGACATCGCCCAGGCCAATATCAATGGAAGCTGTGAGTAGCAACCCGCTTTGCATGATCCGGTATTCACAAGCTACGCGTCAGACGCACCTGAGTCCTGCTCACTTGGACCTCTCCATTCGGCAACTCAACCTTGAAGACCTCGGGCTGCACGATAACACGCCGACGTCCGCCATTGGGCTGAAGAAACTCAACTATAGGGAGCTTTTGTCTTCCGCCGATGCTTTTTGCGTCTTTCGCGTTCTTAGAGACAGGCTTGGACGAAGGCTTTTCCCCATAATCGTCGAGTTCATGAAGTGCACTCAAGTCCGCAGGATCGACAAATTTCAGGACCTTTCCCATGGATCCATTCACGAGCGTCTCATCGAGGTTTTTTATCAACATGACCTGTTTAAATGGTGCTATAATCAGGAACGGCCTCTCATCAGCAGGTGTAAACAAACCTGGGAGTCGACCTTGAGCTGTAGAAAACCAGGCGCCATAAAATTGCTTAGCATTTTATCTCGTTGAGCTTGATCGGTGATAGCCCCGCCATCGCTAGCTTTGTACATATGCACTTCAGTGCTTAGTCCGTTCATGCGTCTTGCATTTGATCTTTCGACATCCTCACGACGAGGGAAGCTGATAGACCTTATGTTACTTATCATATGTGTCGCGCGAACAAGTTCACTTACAGTTCTGTCGCGCCCAGACCATCTTCATATACAATCTCTCTGGAGAGGCCCTTAAACTTCAGGATCGATTTCGGGGACAATCGCCCAAATCGCATCTCGTTCAGCATATCCACAAATTCTGTAAATCCGTTGAGTATAATGACCGCTACGGTAACAAGGCAGGCTTACCAGGATCGCGCTGTCGGAAGACCTTCGTGAGGTTGAATGTTTGCTTGATAGTTTGTCCCCACATCTCGGCATCGAACGCGAATTTGACGTCTCCGGTCTTCATCACAGGGGGTAGCTGGAAGAAATCCCCAGTGACGATGACCTACGTGGAGGGAGTATGAGTGTGTACGTGAGATACGGACTATATGCGCATGATTTGCACCTGTATGCCACCGAAAGGCTCCACATTTTTCCGCAGTATGCTTCCGACGCGGGCGAGTTTGTCGAAAAGGTCGCCTTCCACCATTGACACTGCGCATGGTAGAACGGTTGGATCAGCGTGAGGACTCGTGATTCACCATCAGACATACCTTCATCAATGATGAGCACCTTCGTCCGGAGCCATCGCGCGCTGGCTTTCTTGTTTTTCCTGATCTTGTTGGCAAGGTCCTCAGCCGACTCCCGTCCCAGACCAATGCCCGCGAATGAATGGATGGTCACGCCTCCTATGTTACATGCAGCAATGCCTAGGAACAGGCGAGGCTTGAACGAGACCCGCATGTAGAGAAAAAGTGTAGGACAGACCTGTAGAAGCTGTTATAGCGACTGCATCGCCTGAGATCCGGTGTTTCACCTTCAGCGACTTGATTATCTCCCGCAGGAGCACAGACTTTCCGGTACCTGAATCATTGAAGGTATGAGCCCAAAACTCGAGATATCGCGTATCCGTGCAAGATGTGTCGATTGACAAGGGCAGCAAACAATACAGCCCATGCAAGCACGGCCGATGCATGTAGTAAGTTACCCCACAGCCAGCTATGCGTATCCCGGTATTGCACGGTATTGCGATAGAGTGAGCAGGGCCATTTCAGCGCATATAGCCGCAAGAGCGTTGTCTGAAATTAGGAAAACAATGCAAAGCGCATATCACCCACCTGCACTCCCCGTATAGAACAAACTTTGCCCTTCCTGGACGAGCTTCAAGATGTGCAATTGCTCCTGGCTCAACTGGACAGACCCAGCTTTACCCGTAACATCGGCACTCGCCGTCGCAGGGACCACCAGGGCCCGACCTCCATTAGCCGAACGTGCGGATCCGAATGTCCGCCCTTGGCTAGTACTTGCATATGACGTGCGCTGACCGCCTTCAGGCTCTTCCCAGCTCGGTGGTAGCTGCCGGCGCTTGGCTGGGGGATCCTGGGAGGGGGATGGTCGCTTTTGCGACCCACCAGCTCGGAGGGTTTGAGAGCTGGTGAGCACTCTGGTCGATGCAGACGACTGCTCGCTCAGCGCATCCTGTATATCCTTGAGACGTTGCTCTAAACCGGACAGCTTTTGCCTAGGAGGCGTGGGCTCCCAAGGGATCGCTGCTGCGCCTGACTCGCTGATGATAGAATCTTGACTTGCAGACGGAAGAGAATTAGAGGAGAAGTCTCGCTTGATCGAGCGTAGTCCAGATATCGGCTGTTTAAGTCCAGGAGCCATGTCCAGTTGAGAATTGAACGTCTTGTCGTATATGGTCGTGCGTTGTGCAAGTGCAATCGCGCAGTGGCGAGGTCGAATGCAAAGGTTAAGCGAGCCGCGAACGCGATCACGTGCGCGACACTTGCGCGTCTGTGGCGCTCACATTGGCGTAGTAGCGCGCTCGCGGTGACTTTGACGAAAGACCTTTGAACAACTTCAACGGATCTTCTCGGCATGTGCTGAGAACCTTTCGTCATGAATACAAATGGTAAGTGTTAGGCACATGGTCATTCCGCGACGATACATTAAGACCATGCCACCACCATTGGGTGGTCCAAAGCCACAAGTTCTAAGTGGCACATATTCAAATAAGGTGTGTCCCTTGCCTCTTTATTTAAATTCCGGTAATCAGATGCACCTTCCACATTGTCTTTGAAGCCCTGACAATTCTGCAAATAACCACAGCTGAATGCGCGATGTTGACCTACTCGACAGCCTGCCGCCGACTGTGGCATGTCGCAGGCGCCTTTTCCTCTCGGTGCGGAGACTTGAACGAACACGGTGAGTGTATTGAGTGCTCACGAGTGACTTGGTGTATTCCGATCCCTTGAGGATCATGTTCGAAGAGGATCTTACATGCTGTTCGGTCGCTTTGCCTCACTTTCGACAGAGGCGCCGCCGAGATATGCAGCGCTATCGAATGGCGCAGATCTTGTAAGAGATCATGGGCTTCCCAAAGCATGATCACAATGCGTTTGCATTTCATCTTGTCAGGGTCACGTATCACTTTCACGATAAAGACGGAGATCACGTACGCACGCCGCGAGTCGTGACACGGTGAGGATTTGCACTCGTTATGCGTACATCAGTCGCATGCGCAGAGCTGTCGCTGCTCAGCGGGCTTAGCACCTCGCACATGAAAGCACGCCGGACGGAACCAAAGGAGGTTTCGAAGATATTTCACTGAGGGACGCTCCACATTTACGAGCAGCAAGATATTGCGTCACTAGGCAGAAGAAGCGTCAACTCTTTGCCAGTAAGTGCCCCTATTTTACAAAATCTTGGTGAGATGGCTGGGTCCCCGTAAGCTTGCTCTGCGGACTCCTGTGCTGCATTGTGCACTTACTACTGTTTGGCACTGACCGGCCAGTTCCTTGCCCATGGTGTTGTGCTACCAACATTCATGGCTCGTGCGGGTATTGCTTAGGCTGTGATGCCGCGCCTGACTCACTCCGTGAGCCCGAGTGGCTGCTCGACACGAGGCATCGCTCGAGCGTCGAGATCGATAGGCTGCGGTTCCTGGCGCCGACGTATGGAATGACGTTGCAGGGTGTTGTCGGGGGGTGTAAACCATTGAAGCCCTGCTCGCGGCAGTGGCACTAGCGAAACTACGTACACTCAGGGGCTGGGCTGGTCCATGGTTGGCGGAGGGGAACCGCGCGTGATTAGGGCGCGACGCTGTGCACGCGTCTAAAGTTCAAGTTGAAATCAAGTTGAACTTCGGCTCAGCCTGGTTTACTTCTACTCCCCCTCATCACGACCGTCGACGACCCCTCACGAACATCCGCTACGGCATGGGGTTCTTCAAGCGTTTCTTCTCGCTGGGGAGCCGCAAGTCCAAGAAGAGCAGGAAACAAGCAGAATCCGCTGCCACCGTTCCCGTCGACAGCGAAGGCCGAATCATCCGCACACAGAATCATGACTCGGACGCCGACGCGAATCGTCTCCTACGCTCAACATCAGCACGCTTTGCTGTCTTAGCCGACACGGATTACGCGCCACCGCCTCCACTCCGTATGTTGTCTTTGTCTTCTAGCGCTCCAATTCTCAACCCTTCTACAGCGCCGATCAACCATCTTGCCGTTCCTTTGTCTGCGTCTCCCGCCCGGTCCTCTATGAGTCTTCAACGAAGCAACACTTATGTCGTCAAAGTTCACAGTCGTACCCTTCATTCTTGCACAGAGTTTCCTAACGCCAACCCACGCATCTCCTCCGATGAGCCATCTCACGACCGTCACGAACCTCGCACTCCTTCCGTTCACGCCGATCGTTCACGCCTGAAAGACGTCCTCTTTACGCCCCGTGACGAGAGCCGTTTGTGTGCATTACGCCGCGACCCTTCTGTCGCCAGCTTGTTGAACATGTATGACGATAAAGGATGTCTTGACGAAAACGCGTTCTCCAACACACCACCAACTCCGGCACCCATCAAACAAGAGGGTCGCGAGCAGATCAAACGATCTGGCTCAACTCTGCGCCAGCTATTGGGCAATCCTGACGAAGATGGCGGACCAACTGAGGGTGACATATCCTGGGCAGAGCGCTTCCTCAGGTATGCTTCAGATCGTCTCTGAGTTTAGTGCGATTCCTCAACACTCACATCTGGTCTCTAGAGAAGCGGAGTCTCCTGCCTCATCGACAGATTCTCTCCCTCTTGAGACTCCCGATGATACTAGCTTGACGTTCCCTCGAGATGTTGCACGTGCCGTCGATTCGACGAATCAGTCAACCGACCAGTCCGCATCTCTGCAGTACCCTGCCATCTCATCCGTGGAGGTAGAGTATAGCGGTGCGTCTGCCTCTCCCGAGAAATCCGCGTCCATCTCAGTCGATGAGCCCGTCCCGATCGTCGTTGCTCCTGAGACGAGGACCCCCCAACGGGCGTCTGAAGTATTCGGTTTCCTCACCGAGCGTAGAAAATCCCTACGCGACCGCACGAGAAGCCAGCCCCTCCCGGCACTTGTGCTGTCAGATGCTGCTCCAGGACAGGACGATCATCTTCGCGAGGGCGTTGACAAGTCTGCTTTCGCCTCGGAGTCTGTAGATGACTCGCAAGATCAGTCGAACATCTCGCACTGGCAGGTACAGACGGCCACGCTCATGAAACTCTCGAGCGCCCCAGCTTCTGTGACGAGTAGGGCGAATGCCTTCTCGACTTCAGTGCCCTCTCTGATGGGTCCACCACGACCTAGGTCAACCCCTGCTGAAGGGGCTGGCCCGTCACAACTAACACAGCACGTTACGCGAAACCCCTCCCATGACTCACGACCTCCCGCGCTACTGAAGCAAGTCCTGACCGGGACGTCGACGGACGAGACCCAGATACCGGGTCAATCGAGCAGAATACCCCGCGGCCCTCGTCCTCGACAGTCCCGTCAGGAACCGCAGCCCGACTCAACGTCTGATTCCCGACTCAACCAGACCTCGCAAACAGAACATCGTCCTCCTCAACCAACACGTATCAGCAGCAAGACCACTGCCCCATTGTCGGGGCCTAGTGGACCACGCGTGCCTTCCACACGTCCGTCCAAGGGCGCCGTCGTCGTCGCAGATGCCCCGAATGATGCTTCGACGGCTGCCCCTCGTAAGCAGCGTAGAGTTACTTCACGCTCGACGCCGCCTATGTCTGTCCTCGTGGATGCCAAGCACGCGTATCCCAACGCGAGCACCTCTCGCAAAGCGTCTGCCCGTGCCCTACGTGCGCAGAATCTCAACATCAACTCCAGCCATGAGAACGATAAGGAGAATTCTGCGGACATGTCGATGTCCCCCCTACCTAGCCCGTCTCTCAAGGGCAAGGCGAAGATCTCGCCACAGATCAAGACCGCCCCAACGACACCGTTACGCGGTCGCTCCATTTTTGACATGCGCTACCCGAATGGGGCTGATGGTTTGGCGCCATCGCCTGCATCGTCTTCCGATCTGTCGCCCGTCGCGCGCGACATGATGGCAAGCGTGCGCAAACAGCGTATGCGCGCCAGGGAGCACGCCTCCCGCCGCAGGTCTGCCAGGACTGCGCGAGCCGCGTCCTAATTGTACAAAAGATGGACTTTGTTTTGTCGAGGTCGCTTTTGATGTTTTTGCATATCGCTCGCTCTGTCTGAACGCATTGAATTGTTATTTATCTGTCCCTCCCTGTGTAGAGTAGCACACGCACTCCGTACGCGCGAGTCTCGACAGTCCTTTGATTTGGGTGTAGAGTTTCCGCAGTTCATAGCGTTATGAGTACAGGTCAAGCTTAGGCCTGCCCTGGCGATCTGCCTTCGTTCGAGAATGTATCTTCTATAGTTTCTCCTTTTTTGCCGTCTGTACTTAGCCGTCGAACCGTCAGGCTCAGCTCTCAGTGTCTGTATTTATACTTGTTCTGTCTTTCTATGTGTGACCTGAGTGCTTGATGGCGTCCAACTTTCACAAGGTTGTCATGGGGAACGTTCCATTGATTGAATGAAGGGACTATGTAGCGACTGTGAGGGGATAACATAAAGGATAAGTTAAAAACGTAAAGTCGTCAGAACACCCAGTGTCCGCGTATATTCATCAAAATAAAGAGAATCAATAGTCGTCATGATAGTAGTACGTCGCCGAGAGGACATCCGCCTCGGGGTCGGCTTCCTGACCTGCCTTGGCCTCGAGGACCGAGTATGCTGCCCGTCTGCGTGTCTGCGACCGGATGTGATTACGGAGCGTCAGCGCGACGGTCACGATACAAAGCACAAGGGATATGACGAGCGAGCCACCAAGCAGGGCGAAGAGGACCGCGCCATACTGCTCGATGAGCGGGCCGAGGCAGTCGCTGACCGTGCGCGAAGGCTCCAGGATGACCGAGCGGTGCATGCCGGGCGCCGAGGGGTCGTAGACAACCGAGCGGCGGCGCATGGTAGTCATTGGGGAATCAGACGGGTCGGAGCTGTCAGAGTTGGTGAAAGACGAGTCGGCGGAAGGGTCGGTGGACGTATCGGAGGTGGAAATAGGGTTGGTGGAGTTGGCAGACGTGGTGTCGGTCGGGGCAGCGGTAGTGTCGTTCGATGCAGGAGATCCACCCGAGGGAACACCGGATGCGGAGGGGACCCCAGATGCGGAGGCAACACCCGCCCAGCTCGAGGAAGCCGGAGTGCTGGACCATGCGGACGTGAAGAGCGGAGTAGGACTCGGTGCTGCAGAGTCAGGCATGCCACCGCAGTCCATTGTGGGCACAGCGGATGAAACGTCCGTTGCGGACGAGACAGCGGTCGCAGTAACGGAAGCAGACGCCTCAGCAGCAGTGACCATGGACGATCGGACAGAGGCAAACTCCTCAAACGCAGATGTCAGGTTCGTCGTGGGCAGCAGCTGGATGAAAGGAATGGCGCCGGGGTTCTCTACTGAGAAGTTACCGTAGTCGAAACTGTACAGCCGCATTAAAATACTGTACTATCATGAAGCAACTGGCATGTACTGACGAGGCATAAACGTTCTTGAGGAAAGCGTCACCGAGGATGATATCGAACTGAGTGTTGTTCGCAGGGAACGTCGACGGACTGGGTAGAATAAACATTAGTCTCAATGCAGACCTGAGTGAGGCAACTATATTCACGAACCGGAACGTGTTTACGCAGACGGTCTGGTTGTTCAACTCCGTAACAGTAGTAATATCCAAGGGGTGGATAGGAACGTTCATGTCACTAGAAAAATCATGATCAGGATATGCATCTAAGTAAATTGACAGAGCCAGATACCCACCCGAACTGGAATTCAAGTGTCGTAGAGTTCTCGCACGGGACAATCCACAGGCCGCTAGAGTTGTCGAAGGTTGCACCCGGAATACTGCTGTAAATGGCGGTAACGGCTTCCGTGGGAAGAGGCGGGAACGTAAAGCCAGTGTCAAGGACCGCAACGATGGTACCCTCTGGGGCTCCAGGGACACTCGACGCATTGAAGGGGAATGCCTGGCCGTTAATGGACATTCCACTCACGAGCGTGGACCAACGCGGCGGGGTGTTGATGTCCTGAGAGTTGGGGAAGCGCGAGAGCTTGGCCTGGTTGGCGATGTCCTCCATTCCGCTGATGTACTCGCCGATGGTGAACGAACCCTCCGTAGTGTACTGAGGGTCGCCAGAGCGGCCGAGCTGGACAGTGAAGAAGTGGTTATTGTCGTCGTTTTGCAGGAACAGGTTGGTTATGAAGGAACGACCGGTGGACGCATTGAGGCCGTCGTGCGCGACGATCTCAAGGTCGACAATAGAGCCTGCATCAAAGGAGAGACCGAGGATACCGCGTACGCCATCACCGAAAATAGTGCCGAAATCCGTTGCCTGCACCGGTCTATGAGTATGCGCTCTGCCATAAATGTAACATTTACACATACGTTCGTGGCATTAATGAAGGCTTGGTTTGTGACATCGTGAGGACCCATGGACACGTCGGCGAAGGCGATCGGGCCTGTGACTTGACCGATGCCGTAGGATTGAGACGCCGTAATGTTCGAGACGTTGGCAAACTGGATGGAACCCTGGTCCAAGTTGACCCAAAGATCAGAGGATCCAGTATCCAGCTGGATAAGAACATCTTGAAAGTGGTAGGTCAGCTTAAAGTACGTCAGGCGACATGAGGGGCAATGTACTTTGACCGCCAATTGTCAAGTTCGTAGCATACTATATTGGCACATCAGGTGGAGACTTACGAGAGAATGGAGTGGTACTTACAACCGTGTCCTGGAAGTTCGTCACATCGTCATCCTCGTTGGACACGTACATTCCAACGATCTTCACAGTACGAACTCCAGGTTCGGCATTGGAACGGCTCAGCCGTGCGTCACGAGCAGCAATGGGAATAGCAAGGGCACGAGAAAGACCGCACAGCGATGCAATTAAAACGAGGAGTAGGGTGTTCATGACGAAGAAAGAAAGAAGGGAGTCGTAAAGAAAAGTAGAGATAAAACAAAGACCAAGGTGGAACGTTCACTGAAGGGAAGTTGTCGAGACATGATATAATTTATATCTGGTCGCGGCGGCATGATGGGGCAGTGTGCTCGATAAATGATGGAGGGCTGAAACATACTGGACACCGTCGCCGGCTTGATCCAACACAGCCGATCAGATCTACGATTGGTGCCTGTCACGCTCATTAGTGCAATTATAGAATCTAATGGAATGAGTTCTTACTAGAGTCACGGGCCTCTAACATTGACGTGACAGATGGCCGTCACGGTCTGATGGCCAAGGAGGACGAGAACGGCCAGTTTCACTTGGAGGCTTGATGTGCTTGACTTGCTCGCGCGCCGGCCTGCTGCAGCATTACCACCATCATTTCAAGCCGTCGGTCAAGGATGAAGGCAGTGCCCCCGCGCGTTCACTACTACAACATCGTTCCCCGTACTGTTTGGTCGATGTCTGGTGACCGCATCTATCAACATTTTCCGACGCTCTCGTGCCGCTCAGCACTCACAGCAGCCGTTCGCGACTTCGCGTGCACAGCCAGCGCTTGCTACGGGGTGCAAACTGTGGGATAGATCTTGCCGTGCAGCCTCTTCGGCTTCTGCGTTCGCCTCAGCTCGTATGTAGTCATGCATGTGTCTATGATTGTTCATACGCTGTGCAAAGACAGTCTGTTTCAGTGATTTTAACTCACGCCTCTGGAGAATACAGACAAACGTGATTGCTACAACACCGGCTGTGTGCCGCTCATCTCTGGCGTCTCTCGGCACGGCTATTTCTGGGTCTAACTGACGGTTACATGCATCAAGGGATGGCGCTTCATGCGAGCATAGTGGGTAGCCATCATGGACATGGGCATGGATCAACGCGAGGAATCTCATACGCTCAAAATAGGAGCGAGGAGTACAAGGCGAGACGTTCGGATTGATTCGATACGAGGTTGAAACTTCAATTTTGACTTACCATAAACAGTGAGGATCAGCAAACATAGAGATGAGCGGTGCTGAACGCGATGTGTCACAGGCACGTGCAGGTGACCAAACGCGCCACGGAGGCCCGGTCCGGGGCGCGGCTTTCGAGGAGCCGCCGATTATTAGCCGGGGTCAAGGTCCGCACTAGTACTTTAGTCCGCACAGGTCCGCACCCAGTGCGCTGACTTGCGCCGTCCTGGCCAGAACGGTCGATGCGATCTGCACAACACGGTCCGATGGTCTATGCGTTCCGAATTTTACCCCATCTGACGGCCAGACTCCCCGCGGGGTATGGTGCACGGTACTATAAGACCCGGGCATGGCCGTATTTCATTCTCCCCACTCTCTTGCACTTCCCCACCATCTTACCCCGCACAACCAGCATCAATGAACTCGGCGAGCGGTCACGCTCCGTCTCCCCTTTTCCTGGGCCTTGACCTGTCCACGCAAGGCCTCAAGGCTATTCTGATCACGGAGGACAGTAACGTCGTTCATGAGTCTGCCGTGCATTTCGATCGCGACCTTCCACACTACGGTACCACTAATGGCGCTATTCGTGGACCCGAACCGGGCGAGGTCACCTCGCCCGTACGTATGTGGCTGGAAGCATTCGATCTTCTCATGGACAGGATGAAGACTGCTGGTGTCGATTTTGGCCGCATCCTCGGTATTTCGGGAGACGGACAAGTGCGTCACGCAAGCAGAAGTCCCCTCCAGGGCGTATTCTAACGTCGTCATTATTTTGTAGCAACACGGGTCCGTCTATTGGTCCTCGGACGCCGAGAAAATGCTCGCCACTCTCGATGCATCCCAGCCCATCGACCAGCTCTCACCGGGTGCATTCTCGCTCCCAAACGCACCCATCTGGCAAGACTCGTCCACGACTAGAGAGTGCCGTGAACTCGAGGCCGCCGTCGGCGGTGCACAGGTGCTCGCTGACCTCACAGGCAGCCGCGCCTACGAGCGATTCACCGGGACGCAGATCGCGAAGGTGCGAACCACGCCAAGATGACATCCTACGCGCTTCTCCGAAGTTGACGCGAGCATCTTGTCCTCCACAGATCCGGCGCGTGAACCCAGAAGCGTATCGCGCGACGTCGCGCATCTCGCTCGTGTCGTCGTTCATGCCGTCACTTTTCCTGGGGGCGATCGCGCCGATAGAGGTGTCTGACGCGAGCGGGATGAACCTCATGGACGTCCTCACATGCAAGTGGGATGACACGCTTCTGGACGCCAGCGGAGGCCCGGAGCTGCGCGCCAAGCTTGGTCCAGAACCCGTGCCAGGGGGCACGTCACTGGGCAAGATCAGTTCGTGGTGGGTGCAGCGATGGGGTTTCAACCCAGGTGTGTCCCATGATCTATGTATAGGAGCACTGTTCGCTGATGCCTGCTTCTTTCAGACTGCTGCATCGCACCCTTCACGGGAGACAACCCAGCTACCGTGGTTGCTCTCTCAACACCCGGTGATGCAATTCTCTCGCTTGGGACCTCTACCACTCTCCTCCTTTCCATTCCGCCCGCGGAATCGTCCCCTAAGCGCTTCACGACCTCTCATCTACTTTCTCACCCTACTACGCTCGATGCGCACATAGCTATGCTTTGCTACAAGAACGGTGCGTTGGCACGCGAGCAGGTCCGTGACCGTTACGCTAGCGGTCACTGGACACACTTCAACGAGCTCGTCGAGGAGCAGCCTGTCGGTAACACTGGTTACATGGGCTTCTACTTCCCCCTTCCTGAGATCATCCCGCCGAACGTACAAGGCAACTTCTTCTTCCACGCTGCTTCCTCCGACGTATCTCCTCCGGTGATCAAATCGGTGTCTGATGATGAGATGCCGTCATCCGCCCACCCCCGCGCGATCCTCGAGTCGCAGTTCTTGTCCATCCGGTCACGCATCACCGCCATCCTGCCTGAGGACGCACCTCCTCTCCAGCGGCTTGTTCTCAGCGGGGGCTCGTCTGCGAATCCCGTCATCCGGCAACTTGCCGCAGACGTCTTTGGCATGCGCGTCTACGTCGCGGGCAAGGAGGGCGCCGCAGAAGGCGGCGCTCAGCTTGCGCGATATGCGTGGTGGAGGGCCCAGAACGGTGACATGGGCACATTCGAAGAGATGCGCGCGGCCGATGTGACAGGCGAGCGGATGAAGTGTGTCGCTGAGCCTAAGGACGCGAACGTCGCCATATATGCAAACTTGGTACCCGCGTACCGGGAATGCGAGGACCACGTCGTGAAGATATGTGCAGCAGCAGAGGCCTGAAGCACATGCCGCATGTTGGCTGTCCACCAACCATCGCAGTAATCCATCGCAAGAGTGATTCCATTGTACACGCTTCGTCTGACCTTACGGATAATGCCCAAATCTCGCCGTAGAACTATAGATGCCATCAATTTTGATATACTCTTACTTGATTGGGATGTTGTTGTCCGTAGTATATCTTTTCTCCGCCCCTGCGTCTGTGACATATTCCACTTCCACTTCGTGCGTTTGTTTCCAACGTAAGCTTGGAGATTCGGTTTCGACACGCCGAATAAGGTCGCTTTCCACCTGAGCAAATCGATCCGATAATTTTGGGCCATAAATGATGGCGATGCGTGCGAGTACTGTTGCGTAGTGCCACGCCCCGATGGCAGTCGATATGTCAAATGACAACAGATGCCTCTCAAAAATATGCACCGTCTGCCATTACAATGTCACAATCAGTGTAAAGCGATCATGCATGACAGAGAGAACATACCTCATCCTTTGCCCAAGCACTTGCTAGAACCACATGAGGTCCGTCCGATATAAAGCTGAAGATCGGGTGTTCGGTAATACCGACTGACTCTAAAAGTCTTGCTGCTGCGGTACAACAGAGACGGTGCTGGTTTTCACCTGTGATGCGATCGACATCCTTCTGTCTGTACTGGATCAGAAGAAGCGGCATTTCGAGGTATGCTTGTTTGGATTTCGAGTTGACATCGGGCCTTTCAGGGCCGCTAAAGACATAGTCGTCATAATCATTGCAGTCTTCATCGAGCTGCGGTTCCCCCGTCGACTCCGCCCAGCCTTCTACGAGTTCTCGCCGCGCATCAGACACCTTGCGCGAGTCGCAGTGCACGGCACTGAAGATGTCGTAATCTATCGGCGCCACCATTCTCGAGGCAGAAGGCGACGTGCTGGGAGGGCTCGTAGTCTTTGCAGCGGCGGGTAGTTTGGTGCTGGGTCGTTCTTTGGGTTCCTCTGATTTTGATTGCTCGACAATAGGGTCCAGCGAGGGAGCGGCAGCCGATGGGGTAGGCCGTGACTGCTCCTTTTTGGGGCCGGATGGGATCGCGAAATGATAAGAGTTCGATGCTTCCGCAGGCACAGCTAATGGAAAACGTAGAGTTCCCATAGCATCACAAATGACTGCTGTTGGGTCGCGAAGGATGCGTTTTGGTGTCTCATGTCTGTAAGTTAGGGACCACGGGATCCCGAGCAGGTTGTAATGATAGCGCATTGTTTCCTCGCACGCATTGAGCATGTTATCTGTCCAGCCCCATCTATCAAAAAGCGTTTCCTCGGGGTCGATCCTGCTTGCATCTCTGTACCACTTGAAGCCATCATGAGACGGGTAGTTCAACTTGCTTGTCCAGAAGCTACGAGGAAGGCTAATGGAACGCTCTAGGCTGAGCGTAAAGTCAACTACTGCCTTAGTGCATCTTTGGACTGAAGCCGTCTACTTTGGGAGTACAGGCACTGTATACACAGACTTCCCTTCCAGTTCTTTCCGACTCACTGCGTCGTTTGTTCCGGCCGGCTTTCCTTGACGGCTGAGATCCAGGAGAAGATCGAAGATGAGACGATCTCAGTCATGTCGCCAACCAGCCTCAATAGTGCTTGCCGCCGATCGGGCCTTGCTATGTGCCTGCCTGCACGCATGTAGGATTGAGGAGAAGCTACCAGCAAGAAGTCGCATGACCTCATCCCGGACATCTCCCCATCCGGAATCGTCGCCACCGTCGGTATGACTATACCGTGCACTGTCCATCTCGGTCTGCTTTCTGCGAGTCGCAACTTCTCCCATGAGCTCGCGCAGGAGTTCCGTCATATTCGCGTCAACCCTTGGCATGTTCGACTGATTGTATGAGTATGATGGACAATCAAATCCAGCCTAGATTGTGCTTACCAGCTCGGTCCACTCGCTAGGCCAAAAGAATGTCCCAACAAGCATATAAGCATCGCACATACCAGGGTCAGAGAGCAGTGAAACTAAGACGGATCTCCTGTCCAGTAGCCAATGCACCGCATCTTGGAACGCGCCCGGTCGACTTGCGTCGCAAAAACTAATTTGGCGGAGTAAGTCATGCCCAGCGCATGCGTAGTACAACACTTACTTGGAGCACGACGTGCGTTTGTCAGATTCAATTAATGGTGGCGCGTCCGTAGTGACGATACTAAATCATGCCCGTCAATGGTGCCGTCGATAGCTGAACGCTTATGTCAGATAATAATAATTACTCTTCGTCCGACAGTGGCTTATCGCGCGTCCTAGAAACTTATATCATGAGACGGTATGCGGCACGGGGACATGTGACGCACGTCGAGTCAGACGAGGAACGTGGTCTAAGGCCGCATATCAGTCGCAGACACGGTAATACTGACGCCCCCGGAAAGTACTCTGGGAGGTCACGAAGCCACAGAGAAACTCGTTCGTCGCATCCAGAAGTAGAACATGGAAGTTCGACGACTATGGATGAGTCGACCCTCCATCGCCTGACGCCTCCCCGCCGGAGTTCATCGGTGAGAGCTTCCCGGCCCGCAGATATGCTATCACGGACAGCTATGATTTGCTTGTCTATGCAGAGTGCCAAAAATCGTGCAAGCGCGAGGGCGTGGACTGGATCAGCCAGATCGATGTTGTGCCACGAATCCATGTGCAGCAGATGTACCCGGGGCTGTAATTCGTCAGGTAGAAATAGTCAGGCGCGCCTTCCTTCGTGACGAAGGGAACGATGGAGTTCTCACTAGTACTTCTCCGTCTTTCCGGCTCGATTCAGTCCATCCGATTTGGACAGTGATTGTGCTGTCATATCAGTGTAATGACAAACCGATGACGGGCTCGTCGATCCGCCACGCATGTCTTTGATACAGCGTGCTCGCCATCATGATGGCAGCATAGTCTCATCGCCCAAGCAGATGATAGGCAGCGCCACACTCGCAAGGAGCGGTCGGTCGCGCGGGTAGTCGAGGACGTGAAGGTCGAATTCATCTAACGACCGTTGGTCTTCGAGTAGGTCTTCATCATCTTCGTACGCTTCAGCTGCTTGTCTGACGATTGCCTCCCGTTCCTTCTGATCCAGCCAATCCGACGCCATTCGGTAGTTAGGTTGAGAATCAGAGTCCGCCAGGCTGGAGTCGTCCAATTGTGGTTGTAATTGCGATTCGCTGACACTTGTTGATTGTGTTCTTGTCTTGTTTCTGCTCAGGTTTGTGCACGAGGGGCTCAGGTCGCAGGGTTTCTGCTAGTCGGAGGTCTCGTCGATGTCCATGCCACTGAGAACATCGCCATCTTGCGGAAAAGAGTGAGGGAGTCTAGTGGTATGTCTGCTGAGGCCGATACAAGTAGCAGTGCCCTGATGCCCCGTTTCATATAGTGTAACAAACCGTTGAGCTCGCCTCGAGAGAATTTAGGGAGCTAATGCCGAATCTTCGCTGTAGAGGGGGGGGGGCATTCAAACATTCATTATTGGTACTAGTGGACCAGATTTAGTGCGACTCACTGTGTCTGCACGTCGGGCCGAGCTTCGCATAGCGCATTTCTCAGCATGACGCAAAGGAACGATTCCCTTGGGTTATGCGTGTCCAGTGCATCTCCGGCTGCCGTTAAGCGTCGTAAACCCATACAACCGTCGAGGATTGTGTTGAACATATGCCTCAGTGACTGTGGGTCCTCTCCATTGTAAACATTGTCGTCCACAAAATATGGTGTGCCTTCCAAGACTCGAAGTAATGGCTTTGCCCCGGGACAGACATAAGGATAGGGCCCCTTTCATACATCTTGAACATGTGCCAAGTATATGCAATTAGACTACCTACTTGTGCAATCCACGAGGGAAGGCAAGACGCGTTTCGGAGAAGCGTGTTGTACTCATTGACTGCCACAGGAAATGTGGCGCCAACATCCGCAGTGCTGCTGTGGTATTCGACGTCGCGAAGAAGAGCCCTTAGGTACACCTGATATGCGTTCATGAGCATGCGAAGGTATCGACGGGATTGGGAGGGACTAATTTATTGCGGCAGCACTGTCAAGGGAGGAAGCAAACAAGGTCCCGTGACCCATGCAAATCCACGCGCCACAGTCGGCGCATCATTAGTCCTTGCAAGACATCGCATGGCGTCTATTGGCACCTATAGAAGCGCTCACAGTCCCATCCTGCACGGCTGACGTCTGGTATGAATGGCGATTGACTAGGGAGCTGGACGCCGGGGGGACCACTCGCTCAGCGGTATGCAACGACCGCAGTGTCGCATAGTGAGATCCTGGTTATATGCAGAGACATACAGAGTGCTGCGGATCATAGAGCCTCTTCACCGAAGTGGTCAACGCTAGACTCGCCGGTGGTGAACGAATATCCAATATACTCATAGGTATACATATCCGCTAGATTCTACGAGGGGCTGCACCACCCTTATTGGTATTGTGAGTAGGATTCTCAGAAGGCCGACTTCTGTTAGCTGCCGGCAGAATGACAAGTGCCACCTGCGGTAGCATATGTCAGACTTCAGGTGGAGTTTGCAGTCAATTGGTAGCAATTTCTGGCCTGAACAACATACATACTTGCGCGGAAACGATGCTAGGGTTGGTCCAATCGCAATGGGGTAGCTTGACTGCATTGGCCTGAAAGACTGCCACTACAGCCCATTTGCTAGCCAGAGCATTCGTCAAGTAAACGAAGATCCTCAGCCACCGCGCCAGTCCGTAGACTATTCCAGGGGCCGCCGTACCCAGAGCAGGTAGTTACATCCCTCGCCCCACCGCGCGCCCGGCGAGCCGCGCGGTACGAGTGCCCATGCGCCCGTCCACGGCACGTACACTATCCCGCGCGTCTCCGCCTCCGTGCGCGCCGGCGCGCCGTTGTACAGACGTGAGATCCATGGCCGCCCTGCGCCCCCGTCGCCGAGCACGCCGGGGCTGGGACAACAGAATCCCTGGAAAAAACCGAGCAGCTCGTCCGGGCGCACATACTTGGCGTACGTGTGCGTGCCAGGCGTGACGAGCCGGAGGACGTGCTCGGCCGCGAGGATCGTCAGTGCGTACGCGAGCGGCGTGCGCGAGATCGTGGAGAGGAAGAGGTGTCCACCGGGCTGTGTGTAGGCAGGCGTTTCAGCGGCGCCGGTGTTGGCGTGCGGCAAGGACGCACCTTGACGAGCTGCGCACAGGTGCTGAGGAAGGTGCGCGGGTTGTCGACGTGCTCAAGCACCTCCATAGAGCACACGACGTCGAACTGCGCGGGTCCGCCGCGCGCGAGGAGCTCCTCCGCGGACGTGTGCTCGTATGTGAGGTTGCTCGTACGTGCTGGGGTAGTGGTAGGGACGAACGGACCGGGGATGAGGCGGAGCCCGGGGTCAGCGGCAGCGTGCAGGGACGCGATGGCAACGTTGGAGGCGGATGCGTCGATGCCGAGTGTAAGCCCGCCGAGGCGCGTGAGGCTCTGTGTATGTGGGGTAGATGCGCTGCGTTTGGGCATTTAGGACCGGCGCACCTCGCAGAGGAGACCTCCACCACAGCCAACATCCAGGATCTTGAGGCCAGCGAGGGCTTTTGGGTGGTCTAGTTGAGCGTCCGTGTCTGTGTCTTCCCGCTGCATCTCGAGCTGCCAGGACGCGCGGGCAAGCGGGGTTAGTCAACGCATTATGCAGGATAATGCAGGTGTAGGAGGTCACCATTTTCTCCCGGATAAATTGTACGCGGACGGGGTTCATGCGATGGAGCATCTTGCATTCGCCCTGTTCGTCCCACCACTGAGACGAAAGCTTGGAGAATAGGGCTATCTCGTCCGGATTTACGGTCGACTCAGCGCGTGTTTGCGTGCTGGAGGCGTTGATGAGCGTGGCATGGTAGCGGTGCGCATGAGGAAGACGGCGCTGGAACGACTGTGAGAGTTGTGGCCGTCGTGCTACGCTTCGGAAGGACGACGTGCTCATGAGGGGCCAAATAGCAAAATATTAGAGACGCGACCGCGCGTCAAGGCGCGTCACGCATCATGGGACGCGTCGTTTTAGGCACGTGCGTCAACACGCTCGCTCTCTCGCCTATGTCCGTAAATGCTCACACATATAAGGGAGACTCTGATTTAAAGCTCAAACGTACAGCACAGGCAGTGCATCTGGCATGCCTTCTATATTCTAACAGTAATCTAACAAACCGAGCAGCGTTTAGTAATGGCTTCGAGTCGCTGTACATCCAAAGCTTCTTGATACGCGAGTAGGGCATATGCCTGCCTCGTCTCAACACACCGGCTGGGTTTGGACGATTACATCGTCTTTCTCGACGGATTTCGTGCTTGCGCTATCCGAACCAATATTCTCGACGCCTTCCTTCTCATCATGATAGTCCAGGCCGACGCCGATACTAGGGGGCTTCGAGATCGTGCAGATCAACCAGAATGCGGAAAACGACACGGACAAACCTGGGATGTTTGGTCAGCAGCCGACATTATATGAGGTGTTAATGTTCTCACCAACGAAGAAGGCGATGTGGAACGTCCGCACCCATGAATTGTACGCATCGGGGTTGCGCACGGTCATGATCAAGCCTGGCATTGTTGGGAACACTCCTATCACCCAGGCTACAAGAGCTCGCCAGTGGAAGCCACGCCAGTACCTGTGATATAAAGTACGCAGCAGTAGGGGCGCGAATGAACGTAGGGCATTACCAGTAGGCTGAGCTACTATTGCCAATATAGCAGTCTTCGAGCTTGATGATGCATCGACGGACAACAAGATAGTCGGCGAGCATGACCCCAGTGAACGGAGCCACTATCCGTCTCGTAAGCCTGATGCCGACGTATCGACCAGTTTGCACTTACAGAATATACTGAAACCTGACAGTACTGTCAGGAAAGTGGCGGCTTTCGACAGGTATTGCCATGGGTTCGAGGCGAGTCCGAGGCAGGCCAATAAATATGCACCTCTTCTGATGTTGAGGTATCGGCTGACAAGGTGCGAGCAGCCATTAGTACATCCTGAAACCACCAAAACGCAGCTGAACATACGGCATGATCCCACTAAACAGGCCAATACAGTTAGCGGACTCCCACAACAGGAAGACGCGGTTGGAGATGACTCACGCCAAGTCCATACCGGCGCTGACAGAGTTGAGCACGATGCTGATGCCGAGTTGAGCGCATACACAACCGAGCCCGGCAAAGAAACTTCAAAACAATTTAGTGACGTTTATGGTGGTTTGCGGAAGAAGCTCACATTCCGCAACGAGCTGCACGTTGCGATTATATGATGAGACATGCGGTTAAGGTCATAGTGTGGTAAATGGACTGTACCGCGCGGGGAGTCGTTGCTGCGTGAGGGAGAAGGGATAAGTAAGAAGGGGACATTCACGCAGTTCTTGTGACGTACTAGAAATCTTGCAGAAGGCTCAGCAGCTGGAATGGCTCCCAGATGAGCTGCCCGGTGATCTGTTGCGCGCAGGAGGTCACGATGATCCCTATTGAAGCGCAGAGAATGATACAGAAAGGCCTGCGAGCATCGTATTGTCGTCACATCAATGAATTTGATGGACACGACAGAAAATACTTACGCGGCCACGAGTTGCGACAGAGTCGGTGCATCTAAGGAAAAGCCGTCAGTCTCCAGCATGAATTGTAGCATGGAAAGAAGGACATCATACAAGGGCGATTAGCATAGCGCGTCCAATCACTTTGTCCTAGGGTACCTCCGCCCCTGCAATCACGGTGAGAATGAATGCGCGCCTTGAAGTGCGTGAACTCACCATGACCCAAGAATTGCCGTAATCCCAAACATCATAGCCCTGTCGTAGTCATAAGTTGCGTGCTCGGGCCATAAATATAAATATCTACCATCCGATGCTTCCATTCTCAGGTTTGCCAGGCTCCTTGAAGAGCGGGCCGGCACTGTGGACGTTTGACACAGCCCATATGAGCAGACCTAGCAGACTGGGTAGGATCACGTGAGGATGGTGTGTGTTATCTGGCTTCAATGTTGTTTACGTTCCACCGAACATCACGGACGAGATTATGAATGGTTTTTGGAGCTTCTCGGGAGGAATCCGCATGATAGTGATGAAGAAGATGTAGTAGATGCTGAAAGTAATCGAGGTCAGCGTCAGGAGGCCCACTCGAGATACTCGCGTACATCATTCCAATGAGATCCTTGGTAAAAAGGATGCCTCCCGCCAATGTCTGCTTCCTGTAAACGGTGTGAATATCAGATATCCCGAATGGTCAATGAGCACGCATGTTCGTACTGACATATGAGCAAAACCTGGATGACGACGTGAATGGATATCTCGGTATGATCAAAGAATGACCGACCAGGAATGATGGCTCCAATTGTCACCTACAGCGAGTGAATCGTGATTGATCAGAACCATAAAGCCACTAAGAGAGGAACGTCCTACAGCCATGGCTATCATTACGCATAAGATGCTTTGCTCAGTGACCAATAATCAAATATGAAGCAGCGCTGTACCTTGACCTCCCCAGTATCCCTGGAGACCATCCCAGCTGATGTAACGAATGTATCAAGTTTTCCAAACGCTGACCATCATCTGCACTCACAAGATAGTCCTGCAAAACACGAGTTGATTTTTACTCTACAGAGGAATAGTAGAAATACTCACGTAAACGTCCGGATTATGATAGGGAAATACGCCCCTCTATATCAATGTTCCCGTCAGTCGACATCATTCCGCGTCTAAGTAATTAATGACTGACCTCATGCCCCATGTAAATCTCGAGGCGACGGTGAACCCAATGTGGTGCCTACCATTATCTCATTAAGCATGACATATGCTTCATGGGTAACACCTTTACCTTTCCCCCATCCAGCCGCACGAGATAGAGAGCAAACCCGTCGCGACCGCACCTATCACCAGAGCGCCAATAGCTTGCCCGGCGGTCAGACCATATGCGAGCAAAGTGCTGCCCGTGGTGTACGCAGAAATGCACAGGCCGCTAATGCACCAGTAGATGAAATATGACCATATGGCATAAGTGCGTCTGTCCGCAGGCATAGGAATGAGATCCCTGTTTGTCCAATGCTACGTGTGCAACAACGGCCCATCTGTTAGCTCGTCCGGTGTCCGGTCAAACTGCACTTACGTCATTCTTGTAAGTAGCATTGGGGTCAATGGGCACCTCAATGAACTTCAAGAAGCGTTGGGGCCTGGTTTTATCTGCCATCGTACGCAGGGAGCCCGTCGACGGTTTGCGCTTCAGTGGCTGTCCTTTTAGTACTGGACAGGCGAGGTCCAATGCTTGCGCCAACCAGAGCAAGACGTGATAAGGCCTGTACATGCTTGGGATACACTAACCTAATAAGGGTCCAAGCCGGCGGAGAAAGGTAAATCTTAGGAGCGTCAGTACCAAGTGAGAGCCACCGCTGAATGTTGTCTCGCCGGTGCCTAGAATTCTAAGATCGAGAATCATCTTGAGTCGCGATAAGTAGTAGCTGATACCTCATATATTGACAGCATATAGACTTATTATATTCGTGTGCGCCTGACTGAGTCCTCGAGCACAAGAGTATAAAAATAACAACTAACAGCATTTAGTAGAAATCAGTGGGCAAGAGCGTTTGTTGTCTCGACTGGCTCCGCAGACGCTATCGCGAGATAAGCTGTTATGATAGCTGCCGCCATACGCGCCATCGTCTGGCAGATAGATAGGGTGATCCAGTCGTCCGTCAATGTTGGCAATTAGACAGACTGAGCCAAGGAACTCTTGTACTTGTTGACAATGTTTGAACTTTGCGACAACCCGCACTCGGATCAATTCATTCGACGCGCTCTGTCACTACATCACACAGTCACGTGCGAGGGTCAACGCGTCTCGTCACAAGTCACGGCAACCTCCCGACTATGGTGAGTTAGTCTTAATAACAGTTAAGGGGCTCAATCCGACGAACTTGAGGCAAGCAAAATCAAGACCTCCTGCCACACTTGCGCAACAAGCCGGCCACATCCGAGCCAAGGTCAAACTCTGATTCCCCCCTTAGCTGCCCACAGGGGCCCGGATGTGAGCCTCCCCGATATCACCGGTGTTTTTCGTCGGCGCCCAGTGGCAGGTGCGAGAGTCTTTCGTTGGTCGCTGCATGCAGTGAAACACGGACAAAACGTGGAAACTCCTTGTATCACATAATGCATGGCATCATTGATCGCAAGCTACGTGTCGGCCAGACGTGTCTAAGGAGGGACAGAATTGATCAGGGTTGGACTCACACCCTCCTACCTTGGACGCCATTTAGACTAGCTAACGATGGGCAGCTCATTGTCGGTATTGCAATACATTCCAGCTGTCTATCGACAGAGTTTTCCACCAAAGCCTCAGTTCACTACTGAGCAGATGCCCGATCTCACTGGTCAGGTCATGATCGTGACGGGTGCGTTTCACAGAACATTAAAGCATGTGCGATACTATGACTGGGCGACATCGACAGGCGGCAATACGGGCATTGGTAGAGAGACAGTCAAGGCAAGCTCAGTCGTGAGAGTATATACATCGGCTGAGAGCAGCGTCAGAGTGTAGGCTCTTCTCCAACATAATGCCAAGGTATACATGGCGACGCGTAGCAAAGCCAGAGCGGATACAGCCATACGTGAACTCAAAGAGCAGACAGGGAAAGAAGCCATCTTTCTTGAGCTTGATCTCGCCAGCCTTCGGTCTGTGAGGAAAGCTGCCGAGGAGTTCAGGAGGTTGTGTATTTTATTACGCGTCCCCCACATTATGTTAACGTACTGCTGTGATAGCAAGGAGCAAGAACTGCATGTGTTGTTCAACAACGCGTGGGTCTTGCCTTGATCCATTGGTCAGTGAATGCGTCCGCTGAGGTTTCAGACGTTTCGTAGAGGCGTTTCTGGTGTTCCTATCGAATGGACGACAGAGGACGGCTATGACTTCCAGTTCGGTATCAATGTCCTTGGTATCTCACGGTCTCATAGTTATCCTCAAACTTTATGCTACTCACAATCTACCTCCCAGGTCATTTCCTATTTACGCAACTGCTCATTACCGCTCTTGCGGCGGGGTCGAGGGCATCGCCGGATCATCATGCCCGCATCGTCACTTGCTCTTCATTTGTAGCGTATTTTTCCGGCTTGGATTGGGAGACGCTCATAGATAGCCCTAAGAGGCGTAAGTTGAACATTTATGCACTGTACGGCCAGAGCAAACTGGTATGTCTAGCTTACTGTCCGTTCGTTCAATGACGTGCTTGACCGCTATATGTTCAGGCTGCTACAATCATGGCTCGTGAACTTGCGAAGCGCTACGCGGAACAAGGGATTATTTCTCTGTCTGTCAACCCTGGTGAGCTTACCTGCATATGGCGCGGTTCTCATGTCCAGCGTGTCTTTATGCGGACTCAATCTACAGGGAATATCAGAACGGAGATCCGGCGCTACGCCCCTGCTCTGGAACGCAAATTCTCGGTAAGAAATGACATCCGAATAGTTGCCCTTAGTGGTACTATACTGATGCCACATTTTAACATTTTAGGAGATATTTTTCAAGGTATACCCCGCCGACCTTGGTGCGCTCACACAGCTGTGGGCGGGTACAATGCCCGAGCCTCTGAATTACAATGGACATGTGAGTGGTTTTGAGTTTGTTACCTCGTATATAGACTGAGCACGGTCTTAATGGCAAGTATCTCGTGCCATGGGCTAGGTTTGGTGACAAATGTAGAAGCGAGGTATATGACGACGAGATAGGCGAAAGGCTCTGGAAGTGGCTCGAGGAGCAGGTCTATGCAAAGTAGCGTCTGGACTGAAGGCTGTATGTGTTCGTGCTTGCAGCTTGCGTAGCGTGTATAATTAGTAACGTTGATGTTGCACCGGCGCTTGTGGCCAAGCACACTCAGACTGATGAAGCCGGCATGACGTTGCAGTGGCTCGGCGCATGGCAGACGCGTCAAATTCGCGTATCGACGCGAACACGTGCACAAAGCGTGACTGCACCCGAACTCTTCGTGAGTGGTGGCACTTCACTTTCACCCCTCCGTCCACATACATGCTGTGTTGCGAAAACCATTGCCGTCTTCTCACTTGTACCCAACATTATGTCTGAAGCTCAGGCGGAGAGACAGCCCCTACTACATGCCAACGACGCAGAAGCGACGGAGGTGTACCCGGTCATTCAAATGATCAGAGCGGTACGCCAATCGCGGCCACCGTTCTCGAGGATTCTGTTTACGCATTTGTAGGATGTTACTGTGCGTAAAACCATGACAGCTACTAATCCCCCACTATGAATGATGTATCATGAAATATGACTGCAGCACTACATTGGTATGGGCTACACTCCATTTTGCGCATCGGTGCGCTTATGTACTAGTGTTCAGACACCCCACTAACCTACGAAGCTGTAAGTGCGCAGCAGCAGAATAACGCTCAGCCTGACATAAGACTACTTCAAGCTAACGGCTCCGGATCTCACATACACCCTCGTCCGTCCACTCGAAGAGAAATACAATGCACTCCAACGCCGCGGGAACATGTCCATTGTCTTCTGTTTACTCCTGAACCGGGTATACTTCAAACGTGACGACCACCTGACGACCGCTGCGCTCTCTCGGACGCGTGCGATGCTTTGCGAGATCCTCGCAATCCGTACGCTTCGCCAGCACGCGCATAACATGCTTGAGCTCGCGCTTGCCATTACTACGAGTTGGCCCGTTTACTCTGGCGCGCCTGAGGAACTCTTGCAGCGCGCAAGGGAGGAACGCGATGATGACCTAGAGGATAGGGTAGGCAATGCCATTGAGTTGGCTATCCTTGGACAAGCAAAGCGCTTCACCAACAGCTCAGCGTGTCAGAAGGTCATTGACGGTATTTGGTGGTAGGCAACACCATGCGTGCAAAGTGTACTCGATTCTAAAGGTGATGCTCTTGCAGTGGAAAGATTGTTTATCAAGCGGACAGTAGTCGTTCTATTCTCTCAGACGTCGGTCTTCGATACTCTTATACAATTCAACCTTTGCTGAGATCCTTCTGCAGACATACAAGCGGACTCCTATACACTTCTACGATCCGCACAAGGCACCTCTTCTTGACCACTACCGGTGAGTTTACTCTGACAAGTCCTCATCGCCGTATTTATACATCCGCGAAGCCTAAAAGTGCCTGCCATTCGCTCCGTGTTGGAACTTACCAAGTATGTCACGATTCTACATTCGTAACACACTGTGTATATGGATCCCCTTACAGCTTTTTGGCGTTATTCGTGCTGTTCGTTGTCGCCCTGGAATTAAACGAACGAGATAATATCAACGTTGCTGAGGCCATCTTCATGATATATGCATTGGGCTTCTCGCTTGAGAAAGTCGCAGCGATGCAAGAGCATGGAATCAAAGGTTTGTTTCTGTGGCTCATCAATGGTCTAGCTTCGAGCTCATAGTTTCTCAAGTGTACTTCAAAGGAACATGGGTAGGTACCGTTTCTTGTCGCGTTCACCCGTTCCCTGAAATGTTGACTAAGTAAATGTTAAATAGAATGGGTTCGACCTGGCTTTCGGTCCGTGAATATGGAACTTTACGCATGGGATGTGCTCATTCACGCATGGCGGTACCTGCAGTGACCTTTTATTGTACCTATGCGATTTTGAGCTTGGTTGGAGTGTACAACCATCGTACGTCTGTTCACCACTACTAGGCTTCGGCACTGATGATAGTATATACAGGGCCTTGGGCTCGTTTGGCAGGCATTGATTTTCTCGCTGTGATCGCGGTGCTCATGTTTCCTCGGTACGTTTGCATAAAGTTCCGGAATCTTGTGTCTTGTATCGCCGTTAACCTGGGTCTCACTCAAGGTTGGCTTTTGTTATCCTCAAGGACAATGTTATGGTGCTTTCTGTGCGGGCAATGATCGTACAATTTGTAGCTCTCATGCTCATCGCGGCTTTCTGCTTTGGTGGATTTCTATATGCTTTATGGACGTAAGTCAAGCACCAAAGTCCTCAAAGATGTTTCTAACTTTGAGTAGGCTCAGTCGGAATCAAGTCGGGTAGGCGTCTACCAAATGACCATGATCACTCCCTGACCGCCTGACGCTGCGCAGGTACTCAGCGGGGTATATACACATTTTATCATTTCAATCCCCCACAACCTGACAAGATTCATGGCAGGCAAATTGCGTGGTGGATGCTCGACTTGTGGTTTGGCCTTGACGCTAGCGGATTCGAGAACGCAAGTCAGTGGTTATGCTTCTGATCATCGTTAGAAGGTTAAATCTGAAAGCTCTGAACAGCCAAATTCCACCCTGTATTCGGGCCTATCATGATGGTCACGTACGCTTGCATGAGCAACACCCTCTTGCTCACAGGTGCGTGAAAATGTCTGCGCCTGATCTTATGATTCATTCGAGCCAATGAACCCACTCATAGTTCTTGTTTCGGTAAGAAATGCGATTACTACCTTCTATAACCCGTGAACACGTATTGTTAGATTCTCTCTAACACATTTGCGACCATTAACGATGATGCCACCGCTGAAGTCAGTATCTTACACCTGCTAATTATCTCCACGCTAATTCTTGTCCAGGCTATGTTCCGTCGCGCTGTTTTAACTATCGAAGGGTAAGTGGTAGCCACCATGCGAGGCGAGCTGGCGTCGATGATTGCCTAGCGTGAAGGCAGATCCACTGTTCTCCTACCAACCCCCGATCAATCTCGTCGCATTGTGTATCATGCTTCCCGCAAGCTATATACTTAGCCCCAGATGGTTTCACAAGGTGTGTGGCGCAGAGACCCTGCTTACAATGTCTGACAGTTGTGTACCATAGGTCAATGTATTTATGATACGGTAAGCCCTACTTAGCTAGTGTGTCAATCAGCCAGCTCATCTGTATTTTGCAGATTAACCAGCTTCCCCACCCTCTTGTTGATCGCATGGTACGAGAGACAAGCAAAACGATCCGGCGCATTCACATTCTCCGAGACCATCTCCGCAGCCGCCGACAAGATCTTCGACACATTGCCCCGGTCCTTGAAGCGCTTGAGTAAGCTGATATGTTTTGGGTTGTGACATGTAACCTCACTGTGCATAGCATTCTTCGAGGGCCTCAGTGGTCCAGATGCTGACATCGACGCAGTGAGTACTCCAGGTTCAAAGCGGTACGTCGAAGACCATCACACTGACGTTAGACTAGATATTTGAATTAGAAGACGCGTACGACGAGAGTGCACTAGATGAAGAGGATAGCGAGCAGACTGTCCCCATGGAGAATTCCCGTCAACGCCGACTCTCGCAGATGTCTCGGCGTCAAACATCTCAAGCGAGTGGCCCGACTACCCCTCCTCGTTCATCCGTCAAAGCCGAGCAGCTTTCTAGTTCCTCGTCCGTTCCACTTCCACGGACTCGCGTCAATTCGACCTTCATGCGGGGGCTTGAGTTGGCGCATAATGTCAGCAGTCCGTTGGCACAAGTTTTTCAGCCTCTCGTTGTGGGCGATGACCACCAAGACGAGCAATCCTCAGACCACAACAACGCACTTGTCAGCTATGGTCCCGCTACACGCCGCAGGCTCTCTTCGATGGTACGACGGCCCACGGCCCCGCCGGCAGACCCGTTCGGCGGACCGTCGCAGCCTCAACCAATAGGAGCAAGGCGAATCCCAACTGGCGTCAGCCCGAGCAAACGTTCTGGCGTTCTGAATGCATCATTGTTGTCAGAAAGCCCAGACGCGAAATCAGGCAGCGAGCATATGGCGACTATGGAAGAGACCGAAGAAAGCATTGGGATGTCGGCATTGGCAAGACGATTGGACGGTATTGAACAGCAGCAAAAAAGGATCGAGGACCTCCTCTTGCGTTTGGCAAATAGGGGTTAGGCAAGCATCAGTGTGAACCCTTTGCACAATTTTCAACTTCTTGGCACGCCAACACTTACGATACCTTACGTTGTCTCAATTTCTTTACGTGTATTACAATAACGCTTTTTCGCGCAACACGACTGTCACAATGACACCAAACAGGATATATTAGGGTGTATAGTGTCAAAAAACATTATTGCTGAATACTCGTTAATATATACCAGGAATGAACTTGTACTTGACAATGGAGCAATAGCGCTCCCAGTCTTTCCCGTATTTTAAGGCACATCTGTACCGAGCATTCAGTCGTGATATCGACTCGAATAATCAAAGTCACAAACCTCTCGAAGTCACGGCTGCAACGGTGGATTAACACAACGATAAAGAAGACCGAGTAAAAGTACGGGATTCCCGAGGCTGTCCCAATGCAGAGGCCCCAAGTGAGACTCATGATCCAGTCAGCGACATAGTTCTGCACCAGAGCGTGTGAGCAGTTTTCTATGAAAAGTTTACATGGACATTTACCGGCTTGCGAGAGTATCTCCACCAGCCATCGGTCAGGAGACGATTTCTAAGCGAAGAAAGGTCAGAAGCGGAGACTAGTAGAACGTGAGGCGATGCTTTACGTACCCATGCGCCGTCTGGATGTAGCTGGGATTTTCGATCGTGCCCCGTGGTAGCTGAGGGAACGTCTTGCGGTAAGTGGTAATACCTTGGGTCTGCATTTTGAAACGACTCTTCTGTGACATGGCAGTGTCCCAGCTAGAAGAAATGTCTCAGGCATCGTGCCGCTAAGAATGCATCGCACGGGACTTACATGTAGTATGCCGTCAGAAGAGTGGTGTAGAGCAGAACATAAGTCGGCGTAGAGAAGCGGTACTTCCCCGGATCGTGAGACGCCATGTAGACAACAGAGTAGATATACGACTGCAGAAAGATGAGCTGACAGCAAGGCCTAAGGTACAATACACTTACGAACGGGACGCCGGCGAAGTTCCAGAATATCACCAAGAAACCCCACCTGTGCAGCAGATGAACCAGCCGCTAGCAGCGGGAGTCACAAAATGCATACTTCTCGTGAAACATGTCCCACGTCTGAGGAATGCATTCCTCTCCTTTTCCACTATCAATATGCTCAGTTGAGGGTCAAAGCACATTATCCACAAGCTCACGTACCATGCATTGAGGTACAGCCAGGTCGCAAGGCACATGAAAGCCATATTCTTAGATGTAACGTCAAGAATGTGTTGCTCAACAGAGCCCAAAATCACGCACTGGAGTAACATAACCATACTGCTCATACTGCTTGCACGCGCCCGATACTGACATGAAGAAAACAATGACCCAAGGGATTCGTACTTCAAGCCACATCTTGAGGTCAATGGGGCCAATCCGAGGATTTAGACACGCGCCCATAAACATGTCGTAGATGAAGTCGCCAGACATGCGGATCTGGTTGCCAGTAGCCACGGTGATGAAGTACATGAAGAATGAGACTCCAAAGCCGTAAATCATGGCGACAGTCATGAGGTGCCCGAAGTGGTCGATAATTTCCGTCATGCGGAAGATACCAGTGTTATGCAAGACGGCAGCAGTGATCATCGTCGCATAGATGGACCAAATCGCATTGCACTTGTACATCAAGGTCTTGTATCCAAGAGATGGGACAGGGAGGCCTTCTTGCATGTAGCCGGGGAGGACCCAGGCAAGGAAGAGTTGATAAACAATTAGACCAGTGTAAACCTTCCAAGCATACAAGTTGGGGCTCGCGTCCTACGTACACCTGGTGAGTATACTATCGAGTGGCATAATTTATAATACCCACCGTACGGATATGTTCCCACATACGCCAAAGGAAGGGCTTGAGATCGCCCGCCGACGTCGGATGCACCAAATTACCGTCATAGAACACAAGACAGATCCAGAAGTAGTACATCAGGATTGGAAACCCTGTCATGATAGCAACGACGCCAAATGGTCCTCCGAACTCATACCTGCACATGTCTTAGGCGAGACACGAGTGTCTGAACGCGATGTACTTACTCGACGTGACTGTCCAGAAGTTGGTCCTTTTTCTTACCCTCGTCGGTTGGGGACACGACGCGGCCGTTTGTCGCGACATTCCTCTGGCGGAAGCCCTCTGGCCTGCCTGTATCAACGGCAGACATGGTGGTGACGAGCAGGGGGCAAGAAAAGAGGGCCGTACGACCTGCTAGAATTAGGAACCGAGCAGGAACGAATTCGATCTATTGCACGTGACATATTCAACTTCCGCTCGCGGGTTGCCGCCACTGGTCCTTGTGGCCCTCTCGAGTCGCTCCCTGCTACCACCGCCTCTTCCCTACCCCACCACCTCTCGACTTATTGCACTGCGACCTTCTCTGTAGTACTTAGCAGTGGTCTTTAATTCATTCTATCCCCACAATGACATCATCAGTGTTCTACAAGTTCAAGTCGCAAAGGGACGAGTCCCGAGTGACTTTCGACGGGACCGGAATTTCTGTCTTCGATCTCAAGAAAGAGGTTATTTTAGCAAACAACATGACGAAGGCGAATGATTTCGATCTCGTAATTTGCGATAGCTCTTCTGGTGAAGGTACGGCATTCGATGAATCAAGGATAGATGGTCGTTTACAAAGCTGGCCTCTGGTTGCAGAATTCAAGGATGATTCGCACGTCATTCCTCGTTCATCTTCTGTACTTGTGAAGAGGGTCTTCGTGAAGCCTGGAAAGGGTAAAGTTGCCTACTATACTGGCAACGCAGCTAGTCCTTCGGGAGCCCCTGATTCTGCGTCGAAAAATGTCGGAGGCGTCAACAATGCATCCTCGTGGCATCGAGGTGCAGGTAACATCTCGAAGCGTTTTGATGTTAAATCAGAAAGGGAGGCCCCAAGCCAAGTTTTCAAGGTTACACCTGCCCCTGTGCGTACACTTATGTAGATTAGTCGACATTTCCGTCTCATCTGTTTCCAGCCTACGTTGACATCTTCAGTGACCAAAGACGATGAGGCTGCTGCCATGGCAGCCATGTTCCAAGCTCAAACGGCAAACTGGGAGGAGACCCAGGAAAAGATGTCACAGTTGGTGTCGCGCCCATGCGGGTTCTCCTGTTTACGTAGTAGAGCGATATCTAATGAACTTGTTCTTATCTTCGGTTCTTTCCATCAATTCTGCTCTTAAAATCAGCGCGGTACGAGTCCATACGAATTCGCGCGGAGGAGCCGGAGGACGCGGACGATTTCATTCACATCAGCCTGAACGACCTTTGCCTACTAGCTATGTCTGCTATCGTTGTGGTCAGAAAGGTCTGCATTTCTCCATGAGATTGTTCTCTGCGTGGACTAATGCTTTCTCTAAGGACATTGGATACAGGATTGTCCCACGAACAACGATCGCGAGTACGACAATAGGCCACGCATCAAGCGGACGACTGGTATTCCCCGGAGTTTTCTGAAAGCTGTCGAGTCTCCGAACGGCCAAATTGGTCAAGGTGTAATGGTCACGCCTGAAGGTGGTTATGTTGTCGCACAACCTGATGTGTACGCGCTTCATCATCTGCACCGTTTGCGCCCAGTTTAACCCCCTCCTCCCGGATAGTGCTTCCTGGCAGAAGCAGGTGACAAAACACAAGGGTTTGACGGAGGCGGACATTCGGGAGCGGATGCCCAGCGATTCTTCCCTTGTATGTCCGGTAGACAACAAACTCTTCCGTGATGCCGTGAAGACCCCCTGTTGTGGAACTCTGTACTGCGAGGAGTGCATACAGACACATTTACTCGAGCGAGACTTCATCTGTCCCAACTGTGGAGCAAAGATAGCCTCGCTGGACAAACTGATCATTGACAAACCCACGCGGACCAAGGTCGGTGATTACATCGACAAAGAAATTGAAAGGAGCCACCGTGAGGGTGAAGAGGAAGCGTCGAAATCAAACGGCACGCCAGAACCGGGTGGCTCGAACAAGGTGCGTCGTTGCTTCGAGTATCAAGTAAGAAACTTGATTGACTTCTGCCACACAGCAAAAACAACTGCAGGGTTCGAATCCATCGGACGCTGCAGCATTCGACCAAGACTACTATTCTGAGCAACAACCAGGCGAGAACATCGACATGTCACAAATTTTTGCGCAGTCCATCCCGCAAATACAAGCACAAATATCTCAGATACAAATCATGCTTAACAATCGGTCCCTCCCGTCACAGGTCCGACAGCAAACACAAATGAAGCACCAGCAGCTACAGATGGAGCTACAGCAAGCGCAGATGGCCGCCGCGATGGCAGCGACATTCCAGCCAGGCCCCGCCGTGGGTATGCCGTTCAACAACATGCAGGGCTTCCAACAGCCATGGTCGAACCCTTTCCCCAATCAGCAGCCTGCGGGTCAGGATTCTGCATATCAACGGCTCCCGCTCAACAATCGCCGACGGAATTATCTGAAGCGTGAAAGACCTTCAGATTTCTTGGAAGTGGGAGGTAGCGAGCATGAGGCGAAGATGCCCAGGTATTGGGAATAAGCGAGGTAGTATGTCGGAGCTTGGGGAATGGGATTGCACGACTCGGATTGTACTCACAGTGTATCTTCTGCGACACCACTTACTCATCTCATCGCATGCATCGTCATCCATACATGTAGACTCCATTTGGCATTCAACGATAATATAAAAGCACGATTCTTCCGCAATGTGACAACTACGACGTGACAAAGTACTGTTGCGAAAGCTATGATACAGAGGATGCGGTAGAGTCGGCGCGTGGTCGCTGGCTGGCTGGCGTTGCCGTCTTGAGCAAGTTCTGCTGGTACATCTCCCAAGCAGCGATAAGCTGTAACTTGGCTTTAGATGTGATTTCGGCTGTGGATCGCGAGTCACATACCTGTTTCTGTCTCGAAATCATGCCTTCGAGGAACGCCTCGAGCGAATTCTTGAAGTCTTCTATGCGTTCCTGCTCGAATCGCGCAACCTCTACCTTCACCAGCCTCGACACCTGGTCAAACTCTGTCTTAGCCTCCAAGGCACGTCTCTCAGCCTACAGGAGGAATAACAGTAAGACATGAACGACTGTTTGTGATGTCTCATAGGTAGTAGTACTCACGTCCGCAACCACAGACAGGGAGCGACTAAGTTGATCAGACGGTAGTCGGCCTGTCGCGCGATTTGTCTCATGCGTTTGCTTCACTCGCCGAAGATGGCCGTCAGCCGACTGCCACGTGTGGTACATCCGGATTCGCGAGCTGAACGCAAGCTGCATCGTCCCCCGAGGTCAACGAAAAGTTTCCATGTACACCAGAACAAAGGTACGCACGCGGACGGAGTTGATCAGCCGGGCATACTCGTCCACTGGGGAAAGACTCAGGATGACATAGTCCATGGAATTGATACACGGCGGACGGATACACACCTGTTGCCATGAGCGTCGCGACATCCTCGTGAGATTGTGTGCTTTGCAGCTCTTGCGCTTTCTGTTCGACGTCGGCGAGCCCTGAAAAGGATCCTACCAGTTGGGATCCCATGTCGGAAGTGGACAGATCGGTGACAGTTTGGGCGAATTCGCCAGTCGCGGTCGACATTTCTATGACGCGTTTTACAAAATGTCAGGTACACCCCGTGGTAATGCACGATGCTCTGGACAAACCTGCTCGATGTTTCGCGACAAGGTCGATAGCCTTGACGAGACCACGTAGCTGCGCTTCTAGGCTGTCGAGATATGTTTTCTGTCTATCAAACCACTGGTGACACCGTGATGAGCAAGCGTAATAATATCATATCTGTAAATAGGCAGTCTCGCCTCGTCCGACTCGTAGAATCTGGGTCCGGCAAGCGACTGGCCGATAGTGGCCATCAGTCCACCCTTCTCCTGCGCAAGCTCGGCCTTGCGGTGCTTGATCTAGGCATTCCGATAATACGTCATCTGTATACTGCCCTAAGTCACAGCCGCAGCCGCACTTACGTCCAGCGCGAACGTGTCGCTCTCGAGGAACATCCTCAGGTCCGGGTCCTTCTGGAGGACCGGGTGATTCGCCATCTTCTGGATGCATTTCTCCAGCGCGAGTCGCCGCTGCTGCACAAAATTCTCGTCGAACCGGCGGTACGGGTTCTTCTCCGGTGCGGGCGGCACCACAACGCCCGGATTGTTCTGAGAGAGCGTCTCGTACAACCAGAGGAAGTCGGAATAGCGACGGAGCACGGAGAAGGATGACTTGCTGTAAAGCGGCGATGTAGTCTACGATGAGCAATGAGATGCGTGCGCGTTCGCCTGGTTGGGCATGACAAACCTTGGTGTGAACGGTGTACATGGTGTATGCACGAATGGGGTCGCCAACTTTCTGCGGGTCGTCAACCGTGATCACGAACACAGGCTGTAGCCCGGAGTCATTTCGTGCCGAACTGGCTGCTCGTGTCTTCACACAGGCGGTACAAGGTCGTCAGGCAAATTGGCAAAGAACTGCCGACGTGATACTCACCGCTTGCACCGAGGGCATGCGGCTCGCCGCAAGCCTAGCCGACTGCAAGATGGGCCGGTCATCGTCCGACGAGTCAGAATCATGGCGTGTACGCGGGAGAACAGCAGAGTGCGGCGCTCCGACGAATGCGCTCTGCGCCCCCTGCCACCCATTGAGCGACTCGCCGCCGATAGATAGACCGGCGATGGATCGCTCCAGTGCCACACTAAGTGGCTGGTCTAGAGGAGTTTGATATGTGGGCTCAGCGCGTATGATAGGCTGCGGGGCAGCTGCAGACGGCTGTGACACATGCCGAATGAACCGGCCTGTGGTCGGAGGCGCGGTTGCGGGGTATGTTGGCGAAGAGGGTGTCTCTGAAGGAGGCGGAGACGGTTCCCGCAATGGCTGCGTTTCTTCCCGCGCAGGCTGAGTTACCTCGTCGATTGTCGACGAGATACTTTCTCGGAAGCCTGGTGAAGCCGGCGATGTCGGAGTCTCTGCCTCTGGCTCCGTTTCGTGGGTGCTGTGGTGGTCGTCGCTGCCAAATCCAGATACAGCAGACTCAGGGACCGAATAGTGGAATGACGTCGAGTCGCCAAAACCTTGCGTATCTAGTGTAGGCGTTGCGCTGCGGAACGCATTTGTCGCATCGTTCTCCAGCGCCGACGGCTGGCCAAAGCTGGCCCATGGGTCCGGAGAGCTCGACCTGCCTTTCAAGAAGGGGTCTTCAAAGGGGTTATCCAGAGCATTGCGAGATTGCGAAAGTAGATCATCGAAGCCCTCCATGCTGAATATTCACGACGCACGGCAGAGATTGTATTCTGACTAGCTAAGCAGCAGTGTAAGAGGATACTTCGTACCGAAAGCCTGATGTCTGAGCAATGTACACGTCCTAGTCGCGTCGCAGCGTTGCGGGTATGTACTCGTCGATGCTGGTGGCTGTAAGTCCCGAGAACTGAGCGGCAATAGACGCCGACCCGTACATGCGCTCAAGCCAATAGCCTAGCTAGCCTTCAAAGTGTCTTTTTCACGTACTACCCGCTGTGACTGTTCAATTCTTTCTCGTACCTCTAAGTCCGAAAAATCCAATCTCACGACGCCAATAAAACCCTTTCTCGTAGAAGATTAGTATGCGTGACGTCGCATCAGAAAAAGAGTCTGTACTCTTCGATTTGTATTCCTCTGCATGCTCGGAGAAACAAGCAAGCTTGTGTGGTCGTTTGTATACTGCAATCCTGCCTAGCGCTGCTCATGGTAAATCGGACCCATGCAGCTTCACCCTCAAGTTCTTCGCGACGGTGGCGTTACCTCTGCATAGACTCATTCAACAGGTGATGTTCCGGTGACTCTAGATCACCACAATGCAACGCAATGATAAAAGATATTTCTCCAATGACCTGGGCTATTGCTCCGCAGGATGCACGGCAAGCGGGTCAATTGCTTCTGAAGCCCCGCACCGGTAGATTTCTCCTGTTCATCTCGGGATTGCAGTGAATGTTGTGGCAACATCCATGACAAGTTGAAGCGACATCCACGAGTTGTGGCATGTAAGGTGTTAACCATCTTTTCGTGGAACTCTCAACGCCACCGCTTATTAAGGGTGCAGTACAATTTGAATTGCTGTCTGTCACGGTACTGCGAAACTCTATATAACCACGATGTTCGGATACCTAGCTGAGAGAGTAATTCAGCCCATCCTTACTTCGTGTATTTGCTCATGGGGAGTATCAACGCGACATTCATTGTTACGATTGGTGTGTATATCATTGGAGCGATGTTCTCTTATGCGTCGGTATTTATACAACTGGGTCATGCATTTTTGCTCATGTTTGTTCACATAGATTGGGCGGCTGTGCCATCGGACAAGCGATATATTATTACACCTGGTATCGTTCGGACCAATGGCCATTGAAGCTTACAGTAAGTCAAAAACGGCAATCATACTTGCGTCATTTAATCTCTGTTTCTCTAGTTACTGCGGTTGTGTCATCTATGTATGGCAAAGAAGTTCTAATGGTTGGCTTTGGTCAGGATTCTTGATATTTCCAGGAATGTATGGAGTGCTCAGGTCTGCAACCTGCTTACCTGTTCACGGAGAAGACCTGACGCTTTGGGCATAGATTATTTGGTCGTACTACGTGCAAGATCACGCAAATCCATGGGCATTTCCTCATCTCACCCTGTGAGACTACTTTCTCGTCCCTACGTTATGCAGCTCATTACATGGCTTACGTAGTTCAGGATGTGTGAGTATTCATTCTCGAAGTAAGAGCTTGCTTACCAGCTATTCCAGCTGTATCAATTGACCGAGGTGAGGTCGCTGATCACTCAGAGCCTAATAAGATAATCAGCTAAAGACAAACGAAGATACTCGCGATGTTTTTGGTTCAATGGTATCTTCATTTCAAGCATAAAATATGACGCGTCTAGAATTGACTCGTTGCGCAAAGCTTCTTCATTCATGCCATATGGCAGTGTATGTTATCCTCATCATGCGGCCTCGTGATCGCCAGCTCAAACGACACCTCAGTGACGCAAAACAATACGTTCAGACTCCCACTGACAGTCACTGCGGTGAGATCTTATCATGTCCAGGTGTCGCAATTGATATCGAGCGTACGGTCTAGGAACTATTCGCGAGCATGTCGATCGGTGGGACTATTCCTTTATTCGGTATGCCCACCGCTGAATCTTCTGGCCTAAGTCTCTGGCCTAGGTCTGTACCATCTGGGTTGTGGCTATACTTCTGATGTCCAAACGTCGGACCGCGCCCCCTGGTGTTGACTTATAGAATGTGGGTTGCCGCTGAAGTGAATAAGAGACTGATACCAATGGTCCTCCGATATTGCTAGATCGATGAAGCAGTGAAAGACAACAGAATACGCGTAACAATTACGAATCATTTTTTGATGTCGAAACAGCCCACACAGGTCGTTCTATTAGCTGAGATCAGCTTCGCAACAGTCACAGAGCTGTACATTGCAGTATCCTTGTGTCTCGCACTACACGGTGCACGAACTGTTCACAAGAGGTTTGACACTTCATTGAAACTTAATAATCGGAGCTAACGCATCTACGCCAAGCACTGCAAACATCCTATCGGCATTGATAGCATACTCTGTCCGTCGTGGAATTTTGCTTTTGTAAGATCTCTACAATTATCTTCATTTTTCTCCAATTCATGTAACATTTGATGTGCATAATAGCCTCTTCCATCTTGCGATGCTTTCCACAGTCAGTCATTCCAATTCTCACAGCAGGCTCGCGCTTGGACGCTTGCGACGCTAGCTCGTATATTGCTCCTTCAACAATAGCGAGATTTCTATGATATTGTACTTGCCAGTCGGCTCGCGTGAGTTCTTCTCTGTGGTATAGTCCGAGCGGAATAATAAGCTGGCTTTCCTCATTAGTGTATGCCAATACGCTACTGGCTGCGTAAGCGAGGCTTCCTGATACTAAGGACTTCGCCAATGTGACCGCAGACTGAACGTGCGACGACACGTCAGGAATCTTGGAAATACAACTTTTGACTCTGAGATCCTCGGGGACCGTGGCCCAAGGAATGATACTGGTGCTAGCGTCTGGGAGAGGTGAGTGCATCTTTAACTTAATGGTATTCCAACGCTGACTATCCAAATTCTGGACAATCGCAGCCATGAACTGGAATTCCTGCCACCTTCGCGGGTCACCAACGGCATTGAGTCGACGTAGAGGCATTCTCAGAATGCGTCTACAGCTGAGATTCGGTCTTATTGATATCTTGTGTAGTTCCAGCAGCAAGTATTTTGTCTTAAATGAATCCTTACTTTTAAATGTCTGCACGTGCCAACAGGGTAGGATGAAGTCATTTTTCGGTAGGTCTTCCCGTGACTCATCGTCCACAACAGGTTATCTAAGTCCATCGTCAATTGCGAGAGATGATTAATTCATTGCCAGGGCGAGCAAGCCACACACGAAAGCGCACCTTTGGTGATTGGAAGGCGCTTATTCTATGGTAGCTTTGTAAATACATGGCTGAACCAGCTGGAAGACGGGCAGGCTTGGACGCCCTCAAGGGTACAACTGGTATGGCCGGGATCACCGAGCGTGACCAGCGAGAGAGATTCTCAGCGCCCATAGGGTTGATCACACAGATTCCGACGCGGATTCCGGGCAGATCTCAACTCGGATTCCGCGCTGGATCTCCCGTCTCGGTTGATGATCGAGCGTATGCGGTATTGTCCGCACACTGCCCAAAGGCTGCCATAATGGAAAACAATCTGCACAACCTGAGTTACCATGAGACAGTTGGAGCTCGCAATATCGCGCATTGTCGATGGCTGCGCTGCCCCCAACCGAAGTTCGAACTACCAAAAGATATGGGCGCCCCGCGAACAAACGGGCGACAAGAACATGAACACCTTTAAAAGCGGTAATTGAGATAACAACCGAGGCGCGAAATTCAGCGCGGAATTCGAGTTGAGATCTGCCCGGAATCCGCGTCGTGTGATCAACAACCCTACGCTGAGAATCTCTCTCGCTGGTCACGCTCGGTGATCCCGGCCATACCAGTTGCGCCAACCGTCCTATAACGTACTCCTCTTCTCTTAGTCGGCTATCCTGTCTCAAGATCAAGCACGTCATTGCTTTTCGGAGAAAAACACAAAATTGGCCTCTAGGATGTAGGAGCGAGAACGCGATAGTGAAGGCTGGTTCTAGGAGCCTGGCTCTGTAACATCTAACCACGAGTGAAACTTCTTGCAAGGCTTTTGATGGGTACCGGTGGCAGTGTCGTGGGCAATTGGCGTGTACTACTGAATAAGGGACCATCGCGACACCACGTAAATGTTTGTTCCTTGTGATTTGCACTGATCTGATACGCCTTTTGCTCTAGATCGCCATCGACATTGTGGTTTGATTGACGCTGATCTTCATACTGATGGGACAGGCGGATCCGACAACGGGCGTTCAAGTTGACGGTGACTCTGATTAGTCGGTGTCGTCAGGATACCCTGAACACCTCGAGGATCCGGTCGCAGGTCATATAATATGTATAAGATGAACGGACAAGTATTTTCCAATTACTTGCGCCCTTCCTCGAGCTACTCTCAACGCTATCGGTCTTGTGCTCTACAATGCCCACTTTGCCACGCATATTCAGAAGGCACAGTCACAAGAGCTTGAAAACGTCGAAGTCTACCCCTTCGCAATCTGTGGCATCACTCCCTCTCCAGCGAGCTAATAACTCGAGCGCGACGTTCGGGTCTGACTCTTCACCGTCTACTCGCGATGTGAAAGATCTGCATCGGCCTGACGCCTCTGGCCCGCAGGATACGCTTCCAATTTCACACATAGTCGTAAAGCCTACTATATCAAGCCCTGAAGATGAAGATGACAGGGAAACCTCGGCGGCCATAGGGGTAGCTTATGTTGAGCTGCAGCAGCGAGTGTCGGATCACAAGTTATCGAAACGATTGAGCAAGTTAGGCGAGTGCCATTGCCCATGAAATTTGAGATTCCAAGCCCTGATTGAGCATGTACCAGAGGATATGGGTTCCACCGTGGTAAATCAGGAGAGCCTGATTACAACCCTCGCTGCTCCTGCAAAGGCCATCATGGCTGAGAGTGGCGCGACTACAGCGATCAAGAACGCTGTTGGCGGGTTTGCCGAGACTCTTCCTGTGCTCATGAAGGCCTTGGACGAAATTGGCAAAATTCATCCTGTCATTCAAGGTTCGATTCTCGCGCATGAACTATCGGGTGGGTGCGCTGACTGTGCGGTCAGTTGCCGTACTTGCCTTTAAGGCTATCTACACTCTCGAAATGAAACGACGGAACAATGACGCGAAGGTCATCGCTCTGTTCGTGTCGATGCGGGACATGATCGGAGTGCTACTTCAGTATGGCGTCATTGCTTCTTCTGTCGAGTATCGCTAATCGCTAGTTGCACCAGGCTCAAAAACGTCAAAGATGAAGCGGTGACTGCACCTGACGGCGTTACCATTGAGGCCAGGCTGCAAGGACTCATGAAGCAGACAGCAGGCGATATCCAGTCCTGCGGGAACGTGTGTGATGCGTACTCAAAGATGTCGCTGCTTGCGAAAGTGCTCAAAGGTCCTCTCTGGGAGGGCACATTTGCAAGCTTCGTCTCCAAGTTCTCGCAGCGGCGGGATGACATTGAATTTGCGCTGTCCATCCATATCGCTGGCAAAGTTGACGGGCTGCATGAAAAGGTGGACGACCTAGCACAGATCGTCGAGCGAAAGTACGCTCTGGAGTCTCGAATGCGCGACGTGGAATATGCTGACTTCGAGACTTGTTCAGGACAGATATGATCATAGAGTTCTTGAAGAACTATATCCCCCCAGAACACAAGGAGGTGTACGAGCAAATTGATCGCAGAGGGGGTCGCGAAGCTGTCCTCAAGAACGACGACGCGTTGCAGTCACTCGTATCCGCTGAATTAGAAACCAACTCAAGCAGACCCAGCAATCAAGCCACAGCGCTTGCACGAAATATGAAGCATGAACTGGAGAGCCAGCTGATCGACCCCACGTTCCAGATTCAGAAGAACAACCAGTCCTTCGACAGGAAATTCGAGATGCAGCAGAGACAGATCCTCGAAGGCGTGGGCGAGATTGTACACCGCGAGAGCGACCGCGTCATCGAATCAGTCACTTCCGGGCCACATGACAGAATTTTGGACAAAGTACAGTGGTCATTTCTACATGTGGTGAAATGTCCACTAACATCTGGCACACATCCCAGGACTTGCATCAGATATGGAAAGATATGGTACGCCGCTAGTCTTCGCTTGGCTACGATGCATCTCACGGAGCATCTGCAGGGATGGCGCGGAAGTGTTAAAGCGCGGCACTTTGTGTTGGCGTTAAGGGATTATGAGCAGGAGAGAAGAGAAGAGAAGCTGAGGAAAGAAGCTACATTTCAAGTTGCACCTACTTTCGATCCCGACGCTTGGGCTTTCGACTGGATCACGGTGAAACGGCTGCAGGCGATTACGGAGGCTCTAGACGACGACGCCTCAGGCTTCATTACCGTGACAGAGGCCAACAACTTCACCAGCTCGAGACCTGCGGATTGGAGGTAAGATCGGGCACAATCCTCGTGACGTTTGCTAACATCATGCTGAAGCCTGCCTCATTGGCTGGCATACTGGGCAATAGGTACGGACCCGCCGTAGACGGCATCCTCCGTGTTCTCATGATAGTTTACAGGCTGGCAGATTTCAGCAACAATCTACCGGGACAAGATCCACGAAATCTTTGAGAAGATGTTTGCGATTCGGCCACACCTCCACGAAGCTAACGTGTTGATGATCGACAGTTATCTCAGCGAAATCTGGGCGAAAGTGTGCTTCCTAACCACCTCTCTTGACCCTTTTTCTGCAACCCCGCAGCTGCTGGAACGATTCCAGAGCTACATTGACGCAGAAGAAGAACGTCTCAAGAAGAACCTCGAAGCCATCAAATATCATGTCGACGATTCGACTAGCCTTGCGCTTGTCACGGGTCCTGGGCGGATCGAAAAGGTGCGTCAGCTTATATACCCTCGCCCTTGCCGATGACTGAGACCCTATGTAGTACTTGTTCCCGCTCATTTATCTCCTACTGAAGCACGACTACGCGGTCTTTTGTATAGGGCGCAAGGAAATTGTCAATGAACGTCACAATATAGATGCCTCCGATAGTCAGTGGACCATCAACCAGGCTGTCTGTGATCGTATCGACGACATGAAAGGTAAGGGGGGGAAACTGATCCAATGCGACAAGTCGCTGATGAGTTCTTCAGCGTCTCTCAAGCACCAGAGGCTGAACCTCGCACATCACTTCGAGCATGCCTACAGTAAAGTGGTACGTCGCAGGCCTCCCACAGCCCTTGATATAAAACCCCTTACTGCCCAACAGTATCATTTGATGTACTTGGCGATAGAAGACCCCGAATCTCCTCTGCCCCTCAAGACGATTCAAACATTTCCTTACAAAGCTGTTACCTATGACGATACTAAAGAGGACAAGGACGCTCCCACAGCGGAGACCGTGCTCTTCTACGCATATGACCAATCTCAGTTGAGCGCAGGGGCAGAGGCAATGGAAGATATTGCGACTGACGAGGATCGGAAAGCTACCGGACACCTCAAGAACATGTTTGTGCATCCTCCCGATACCGCTTGATAGGTACTCATAACGTCAGCAGTCTTGGCCACTGGACCGGCTATCACTACACGGACACCAAATATCCGTTCTCGGTCCCGTTCACCGTATTCTTTCATACGCTGAACGCGGAGAGCACTCAATACGAAGCCCTCGTCCATGCCCCAGACTCGCAAGTGGAGTTCAAGGTGGCTGGGGACATCGTCACAGAGGCAGACGGCAAAGTGACATATCAATTCCGCTTCATCATACCCGTCCATGGGATGACGGTAGACTATGATGGAACACTCAACGAAGACGGTAGCATGCTGTCTGGAAGATGGGGCCCCGACGGTACCCGTCCAGCGTCATTCTTTTTCTCAAAAATGCCTGAGCAAGTGCTAATTTGCCGGCCCTCGCCAATGGAACTGCAAACCAACAGGATTCGAGCGCTTTGGCGTTTTGCGCTGACGGCAGTACAAGAGCAGGTTGCACGGCGTCGATTTACGTGGAAGTTCCTGGCGAAACGCCGAGATGTCCGTCGTCGCTACGTGGACTTGGCGTTACGGACACATCTTGGGCGCCCGCTCAACGAGGCAGAAGACGAGGAACGACGGAAATGCTTGGGCCTGCTGAGCCCGCTAGACGCACTCATCGCTCATCACCTTATGGGCCTGCGCAAGCGCACGATCTGCATCCACAAGTGAAGTGGCCCGGCTCGTGCATCGTCGTCGTCGTCGTTCTGACTGCCGATCCAGGAATATAGCCTGCGATTCGTGCGAGGACGACGATCGTGATATAATAGACGGGCGCATCGTTTGCCTCACCTGCGGCAAGGACGGTGGTGAGTCGGTCGACCTGTGCGAGGACTGCATCGACACAGAGGTGGACTGTACGAAGCGGCCCGATCTGGCCGCGCCGCATCTCCCGACGCACGACTTGTACAAGCTGCGCTCGCTGGTGCATCACCGCGAGTTTCGCCAGATTGCGTCCATGGCGCGCGACGCGCTGGAGAGGGCGCGGACGGCCTTCAAGGACGCGCAGGACGTCGCGCATGAGCAAACGGAGGAGGGTGGGACGGGAGAGACGGAGGACCACTTGACCAAGATTGTTCAGGAGGACTTGACGTGCGTCAAGTGCAAGGAACGCGTCACTCAGCCATGCTGGTACTGCATCGTCTGCGAAGGTGCGGCGTGTCTCGTGATGTGTTTCTGCGCGTGAGCAGTAGGCTGATCAGAGTGGTACAGATGCGGTCTTCGTGTGCATGAAGTGCGATACCGGAGGGGGCGTGTCGGAGGGCAAGCATGCGAAAACACATGGGCTTGTGCGGTGTCAAGAGGAGATCGTCGAGACGGAGGTTCCCGCGGAGGAGAAGTTGGAGTCGATGGTCACGAACAAATTTGCAAAGGTCGACGGCCGGCTCGACGAGATGGACACGAGGCTTCGGCAGGTCGATGAGCGGCTTTCGCGAATGGAGCTATTGCTTCAAGCAATCGCGTTGAAGATGGGGGCGGGACAAGACGGATCGTCGTGATAATAGGGCCGATGGTCGTATCGTGGTTTCCCTTCGCCACAGGAATGGAGTTCTGACGGACAGAGACACTGATTGCGTCGTTCACAATACCTTCGGACGGAATGTTTATATTTCAAGGCATTAACTACTTTGTTCATTCCTCATATAAGTATATAGTATGTGCTAGGCTCGAGATAATCGGTCGGGGTCTAGTCGAGGTGAAATTAGTCTCCTGTGAGCAGAACGAAATACACTTCCTTCAACCTACGTAGGCTCCGGATATCCATGATGCGCCTAAGGCTGAAGCTAGTTTTGTGCTCCGGCGGAGATGTGCACCAATAAGTTGAGGTCCGGCCCTACCTAATCCGCCCAGGCTCAAATATTATTGAGCGAGGGTGAAGTGTGTGCGGGTCCGACCGTGTTGAATGCGGTGAGCTCCTTGTGTGCTGCTCTGCCCGCCTCGCTTTCGGCATGTATGTATTCTCTAGTATATAAACCTCATGTAGAATCAATTTCTCCGACTGTCGATCAGCATGATCAGCCGCAATATGACTGATGGAGAGAGCACCTTCTCCTCGTCTAGACACTGTTATGGAGAATCTCGTCCATATGTGCGAATCGAGTCGGATCAAGCAAGACAGATCGAACAGGCTTTTCCCCAATGATAATAGCAGAGACGGGTAATTGAGTCATATCAAGCACTCCTCTGGGGCAGTACAACGACAGCACCGATGCTCGAGAAAGAGGCGTACGCCGGGCGGTGCCACCGGCGCGATCATTAATCTGCTACTCCGCTGATGGGTCCCCTGCGGGTTTGAGCGGCGATCGAAAAAACTGACCTCTCGACAAGACCCCTGCGTCAGATAGAAATCGAGATGGGTACGGTTGGCGGGTGGGCGCAGGTCAAGATATGGTAACTAAATATGGGGTCCTGCCTCGTGTGGTACCCCGTGATAGATCTCAGCGTGACAGAGCCTCAGACAGACCATTACGTAATCTAAACAAGGGCTGAATTCTGCTCGACGGCATCGGCGGCATGGGAGATGGGGCGCTTATGTAACCATAACTGAGTGATAGATGCTTGGAGACCTATGCTATATTCTCAAGGTATGAGCAGTATTCGCGCCATATGATACAAATAAATGAGTTACTCGCTCTCAGGAATAATATGCAAGCACTGAGATCTGAAGGCTTGAGGTGCGACAGCGCAAAGTGTACTATGCCAATGTCCGATTACGTAAGGTCCTGCTTCGAGTCTGTAAATATACACATCTTTCAACTCCATATATATCTCCCTCTAGCCTTGTACGTTCTCCTTTTAAAGTACAATTTGAGTAAATATAGCCGGTCAAATACCATAGTAATTGTGCATCATGATGTGCTTGAGAATATTAATGAAGTTGCACATATACAGGCTGGCACATTAAGTTGTGTACGACACGCCAAGTAAACGCAACCCAATTATTTCTTGATACCATATGCTCAGCCATCTTATCATGATAACGGTCTTAGGTACATACTCCATTTTGGTATTCCAATGGATGATTTGCTTGCCAAAGGTATCTTGTGTAAGCATGATATAAGCGCGGATATCACACACAGTATCGATAATGGGAAAATATAGACCATTACCATCACTAGACGTTACAACTTAATCACTCTGAGGACCCCGGCAAGACCCGATCAGTGGCTGAGGCACGAAGTTAGACCTGCGCCCACCCGCCAACCGTAGTCCCCACCTCGCACTCCCATGTCAGCGCCCTAAAGAATGCAGGCTTGTATGGTAGGTGTCCTTCAAAGTGGCATCCAGCTTTTCGTCGCGCGGCTTGTCGCTTGCAGAAGCTCATGCGTTTAGCGGCTCTCCTTGGTGGTGGTCGGATAGAAGGTGTCAATGCGCGAGCAGAGGACATATGGTGGAAGCGCTGTCGTGGGGGAGAGTATGTAAAACCTAACCATAATAGAGTACTGTACGGAGAATGTCTCGAAAATATTGGATATTATCGCTACCCTACCTTACCCTACGTTACAGACTAAGTCACACTAAGGACCCCGGCAAGACCCGATCAGTGGCTGAGGCACGAAGTTTGACCTGCGCCCACCCGCCAACCGTAGATGGGAGACTTGCAATGCCGGCTGTCGGTGCCTTTCTGCGGTAATCTAAGAGCCATTCGGTTGTTGCGTCGCGCCGAAATACCGACGTACATGCGTCACGGAAGGTACGTCGGAACAAAACGACGAGATAGCGAGGTGGAGATCCGGGGGGCGCGGGCAGCAGGAACACGTTGATCAGAACTGATGGCGCATGCTGCAGACCGCGCTTCGTGGACGTGGAGATAATGAAGGGTTTGTGAACAGAGCAAGGCCAATGGCGGGCTGGAGATGATGCCGACGACAGTGGCGCCTCCTAAGTCGGTCGATCTCGCCCGGTGGCATCGACTGTTCGCGAGCTCATGACAGGCGTCACATTACAAGGAAACCTGGACCTGGAATGATGCACCGGACAGCGCATTGGCCGTCAAGCTGGATCTATTCTGGCCAGCAGATTCCGAGAGTGGCCGTCGTTGAGGTCATTCCCGTCTGCCCCCCCATGAGGTCAAAGCGCTCGAGTCCACGATATAAAGGTGTGGCCGAACCCTTCCGCTCCCCCAGGAAACATGAAGCACACGACCACCCATGCATTTCCGTCCTCTTCCTCTTCCTCCTCCAAGTCGGTATCCGCCTCCGACTCGGAGTCCACCATGCAGGTCAAAGGCGTCCGCAAACTCGTCAGGAAGCTCAAGCGGGGCATCCGCCACATTTCCCAAATCGGACACCATTCAAAGTCCGCGACGCTCGTTCCCGAAATTGACGGCGCGCCCAACGCGTCTCTCGTTGGCCTCCTCCGCGACGTCCCCGTCGTCCCCATTTCCCTCCCGCTCACTCATAACTCGAAGGCTAGCTGCGCTTCTATGACCTCCACTACGCCCTCTGGCAGCTCATCACATCGCCCGTTGGCGTCCGAGTCATCTGAATTCCCAACAGCAGCGTCGCAAAGCGCGTTAGGTTACACTGGCGACGCTGCTTCCTCTACATATATTTCTATCACCGACGAGGACAACCACCCACAGCAAGAACTCGTAGAGGTGTCGCCACCTGCCGTCCCGGAGCTCGTCGCCTCCTCAGACAACACACCCGTGGAGCCTTTCGCATCTCGCCAGGATGCACCCGCCGAAGCTGCAGAGCCCCCGTCTCACCAGGACGACTCCATGTCGCAGAGCGCGTTAGACGCATCTGATGACGCGGCTGTACGGGATAACCGCGACTCTACTCTGGACGACTCTCGCTTTGACTCGGCCGATGCAGTAGAGACCACTCAGCCGGCGGAGGATGCCGACCCGTTCCTTGTTGACGATGACGCGGACGGTGCCTCCCAGGAGGAGGCTGAGGAGTCGCTGGCTGAGGCACCTGTGGGCCTGTCTATCGACACAGCGCAGCAGTCGCTCGCGCAGGCGGATGAGGTGCCACTAGCACAAGCATCTTCGCCCTCAGACTCAACACCTCACGTCGACGAGCCCCCGCCTCCACCGCCACCGAAGATAGAGAGTGATGACGAAGAAGAAGCAACACCCGAGCTATATTTACCGGGGCTGACACTGCCTACCATGTTTCACCCAATTTCGAATGTACGCTCTCATTTGTTTCATACTCTGACCTGGTGGCTATATCGGCAGAATATTTATTACCCCTGTATGATTAGACGGACCCTTTGAGTTTATTGTTGTCCAAATATATACCGCCAGAGAAGCGGCCTGCGCGAGATCTAAGCGGCAACTGGCACGGAGCTGACTTCAACGCGCTCGTCGTGAGTGGCTTTGCACAATGCGAGAAGACGTGAGGTTGATCGAGGCGTGCAGATGACGAACAGCTGGCGGGCGTTGGCCAAGATGGCCCGCGACCGCATTGTGGAAGCGGACCCGGAAGACCTGGATCTCGTACTGTCTGTGAGTGCGGTCGCAGTGAGACAAGCGCGGAATTGAGAGGAACCCTGGCGCAGCTCTGGTACATCCGGCTCTCCTGTCTCGCGCGTTTGCGGTTCTTCAACCAGACGTCCACGGAGTGTGTCAACCTGTACACCGTTCTGGAGGGCATCGAGCCCGCAAGCGCGCGGCAGTGGCTGTTCGACAAGAAACTGCCGTTCGAGCTCGAGGTGTTGCACGTGCGGCTGAAGTACTGGGCAGGTGACCACATGGGGTATCTCGACGCGCTCGCGGGGCTGCTGAAGCAGTGCAAGGCGAAGGCACGACATGCGAGCGGGCGCAAGGACGCGAGCACGGCAGCGATGTGGCAGGAGCGCGGCGCGCGGATGTGCCTCATCATTGCGTCGCAGCTCATCGAGATGAAGGTACGCCGGCAAGTCGCGTGCTGCGTGCTGAGCGAGTGCTGACGGCGTGTGTGCAGGACTTCGCGGCCGCGGCGCGGCTGCTGGAGCCGCTATGCAGGCAGGGCGACGTGCGCTCGCCGCACGTGCAGTCTGCGGTGGCGCGGATCTACTTGCAAGGCGGGTATGTCAGCGCCGCGGCGCGGCACTTTGGCGCCGTCGCGCGCGACCCGAGCGCGGACGCGTCGCTGAAGGCTCTCAACAGTGCGTTGCTCGCGTCTGCAAACGGCGACTGGCCTGCCGCGGTGGAGGCGCTGCAGCAGATGCTCGCCGCGGACCCTGAGAACTTTGTGGTCAGTCTGGGATGCTGTGGATAGTTGCTGTGGGTGCTCACTATGAGGACAGGCCATCAACAACCTCGCGGTAGCATACCTTAGCCAGGGACGGATACAGGAGGTGCGCGCGCGCTGTTGGCTGTGTAAAATGCCCAGATGTTAAGCTGTTGTGTACACTAACAGGGTATCCGGATGCTCGAGGAGGCGATCAAGTTATCACCTTCTACGACGCTGCAAGCGGAGCCGCTTCTGTTCAACTTATGTGAGCGGCACATCCCATCGTGGCATAGACACCGACTGACCCTGACATCCCAAGCGACGATGTATGAGCTGCGCTCCACGGCGGGGATCGACAAGAAGATGAACATGCTCGTCGACGTGGCCAAGTGGGCAGGCGACGGCTTGCGCACGACTTGTTTGAAGATGCCTGCCAGTTAGACTCAATCTCGTATTCCTACTCGTGAGTTTCGTGGTACCGTGCCGGGCTGTATACTAGTGCGCCTTGGGGAAACTAATATGTGAAAGTTGGCAACGGATAATGCGTGTTTGTAGACGGGGACGTACCTGGATAGAACGGCACTGACTGCACATTGAACTGCTGTGGTCATATGGAACCGGCATGCAGGTAATCATGTGAGCCGAAATCAGACAAGCTGCATAGTTCAAATTGGTAATTGGATGAAGATGCCTCAATGACAGCTTTTCTGCACATTTAAAATCACGAAATGGAGCGACGTCTTGATAATCACGAGAAGCTCTGAACCATGATTGGGAATGTCCATCGCTTGGAGCGCCACTCATTTTGTCATAGCAGCTCTCGCCAGAAATGGTTCATGACTTAAGCAGGCCGTGACTCGGACAGATATCAATGATTCATCTTGATCTATACAGCACACTTCAAATACAGCATCCTTCCAGTAAGAAACAGACTCCCTAGGCTTCACATTTACAGAGCTGACTTTTCGGCCCACACCGCCTTGATAGCATCCTGCGAGATCAGCTTCTGGTGCCAACTATGACAAGTCGGCGTCCATCAGTGGAGCGAAAACCACACAGCGCAGAGATGACTTACGCCCAAAATGCCGGGTAGTCCTTCTCGACATTGACGCCTTGCGCGTCCGGCAAGACCGCGGCCAAGGCAGCGTTGGTCCACCTTGTGTGCAAACGTCGCATCACGCAAGCCTAGTGGGATGACAGAGCATGGACACTCACGATACAAATGAAATGTCGGCGACACTGTACTTGCCGCCAACGAGCCACTCCTGTTTGGAGAGTACGCCGTCCAGGACACTGATGACACGCGCGGTCTCCTTCTGGTACCGCTCGATCGCGCTGGGGACCTTTTCGGCGTGGTAGACCTTGAACCAGATGGCCTGACCGAAGTACGGGCTAAAGCATGCCTTTGTCAGCATGCGTTCTCGGTATAAGGTTGCAATGAAGGGGTACTCGCCCCTGGCCAGAGGCCTGGAAGAACAGCCACTGGAGCTGGAGAATCTTGTCTTCCGGTGTCGCCGCGGAGATGCGATGCGCTGTGTCGTACTTCTCGACAAGGTAGACGATGATCGCGTTGGACTCCCTACAATGCCGCTGTCAGCGATCGCTCTAGCGCAGCGCGTATATCGACCATACCAAACAGTGAAGTCCTTGTTCTTGTGGTCAATCAAAGCCGGAATACGGCCATTGGGGTTGTACTTGGTGAACTCCGGAGCCTTCTGCTCGTTCTTGTTGAAGTCGAGGTAGACGCTCTCGTAGGTCAGACCGAGCTCAGCCAGAACAAACGCGACCTTCCTGTTATCATTGATTCATCGTGGCTGGTTCGGACATTCTACAGGGGATGTGACTTACCAGCCGTTGGGGCCGCCCTTATGGGTGTACAGAGTGAACTGCTTGCCGTGAGACATGGTCTACTGGGTGATATGAAAGTGAGTTGAGGGGTACAGGTGAGGAGGATAGTCGTGTGTCAGAGTTGACCCGAGAAGTGGGCCTTATATATCAGACGATCCGCATCGTCTCACCCTCATCAAGATAGAGCTTCCATGCAGGAAGGTTTGACAGGCCTAGCGGAATCAGTAAGCAGAGGTACCGCTTACAATTTAGGCCGCCGTGTCAGTGAGACGTCATCGCACAGTTGTGCAGACGCCACGTACGCGTTAGACTCCCTATTAGTCTGCCTAGTAACTGTTGTCGCTTTCGAGACGTCAGGTTAGTCAGTATGACAAGGTATGTAAGCCAAGTGAGCGAGGCTGACGAAGCTCTACATATAGGGTGCGGGTGGGATTCTATGCAGCGAAGCAGGCGATTCGCTAATATCATCACCATCTTGTCAGCCAATGCGATGTAGAGCATCGCAAATGTTGTCAGAAGGTCAAGTTGCTAGTGCAACAGAGACATCTTCGAGATGCCGCATGGTGTTCTGTCGACACTATGGTGTGCGGCGGCCGAGACCGCTACACACATGTATAAATGTGATGTGGATTTCTGGCGCACGCGATGAAATCGATGATGGTGCAAGAAGGTGTACCACGTTCAAGATTTGTGCCAGCGCAGAGCTATTGTGGATTGCGACAACGACCCGGAGGCTACATGCGTCGCAATTGCCGGAGAATTATTGGCATCACGTGGGGCGTGTGCCTGCCTAAATTGGCATGCCTATTTGACTTCCCACAGCCGCTTCAGGGTGCGCGTCCCGACGATCACCAAAGACCACTCGGGCTGTCCTGCTTATTTTATTGTTACTATCTACCACGGTTGTACGAGGCCGGTCGAAGGGGCTATAGTGGTCTGACATGTCGGCCCGCAGGCTTGGAGCCAACCATGTCCTCCCAGAAAACCCGTCTTGGATTGAGTTTCCTCGGACAGACGGGGACATCTCCATGTTGCCCAGAAACACACAGAGAATAGTCGACAACGAGGGCAACGTGAACTTTATGCGTCCCGTCGATGACAACGAGAGTACAGCGATCAGCTGGCGAGTCGGAGTTGCAGCACAGATAGCTAAGAAATTGGCCTATCCTGGTAAGAGCCGCATGACTTGCAGTCCGCTAAAATCACCAACATCGATTTAGAGGGACAGAAATACGTCTTGAGATCGTTCCCGGACGGATACCAGCTGTTTGACCACAACAAAGGTCCTGCAACAGCCCCGAGGCACGACCCGTACCTCTGTGGTTCGTCTGCTACTTGATCCGCCTCTGTCTAATCTTGACCGGCTGGTAGGCTCAAAACTCGTGAATCGCTTCCGTTCAGTCAATGAGTTCATCCCGCACGCAATATGGCTCATGCAGGACGCCACTTCAGATCGTGCGAATTGCGAATGCAAGTACTGTGCCAAAAAGCCCCAGCGGCAGGTGACAGACGCACTTGACCTCCCAAGGCAGCGCGCATCTGGCATTCCTTCCGCAACGCCATCCAAGGGCCTCCGCCGGCTACGCGAACCACGTGTAGTCAAAAACAAGCCTTACGCAGCGGTGAGGCGGGTTCCGAAGCCTGTGAAGCAGTTGACGGGACCAGAGCAAGCCTTGGCACCGGAAAGAGATGCCGACATTCGTGCGGGGCTCGTAGGAGACGCCCCTCGCTGGTACAGAAGAGGCGAGCTCTTGTGGTGCGCACTAGATCCACCGATTCGGGGGCGTACTGAAGCGGATACAATATACTTCTGGCCGGGCATCGTGCATGATGTGGCGGTGAAGACGGAAGCTATTCCTCGAGTCGTGGAGGCTGGAGGTCAGTCCGCGAGTGGCAACATTGACATGACGGCCTTGTACGTGCAGGATACGGAAGAGAACTCTGCGGCAAAACCAGACGAATCGCATGAGCCATATCTACCGCAAGATAGCGATCAGAAGGTTCCTTGGACAGTCCGTCAGTGGAATGTCTATACTATGAAGCTTCTCGCGGTTACCCATGAGTATTTCGTTTCTGACTCCCAACTCCTCCCGTACCTGGCCCACGCGCCGTCAGAAGAACTCACTCGAACGGCCTTTGGTGAGCTAATGAATCTGCTGGACGAGACCCCCATACCGGAGATGGATAAAGATCTATCTAGAGTGTTCCCCTTTAATCCTGTCCATCAGGATGCGGATGGGACCTCCAGCACTCGACCCGGGCAGGATCGCTTCAGGCAGGCCGTGGCACCCTTTACACTCGCTGTGCAGATCGCGTCTAACCTCGCGCGCTTCTGGTGCCAGACGGACGAGTGGGAATGCAAATACACCATTTCGCCGGCCATCCCCCCCTCAAATTCCCAGGCTCCTGAACCTGCGCCTTCCTCCACTGACCAGCACTCACTGCACGCGCTGATCACTCAGTCCATGGCCAATAATGCCACTACTGACCTAAGTGCGCGTGCGAGTGCGCAAAATCTCTCACAAACGGTGACGCAGACACGTTTCCAGGGCCTCTGGTGGGGCGCAGAACGTATCTGGACCGACGAGCTCGTGCGGCTCAAGCTAGCTCGGTGCCAGTTTGCTCCAGAGGGGACCGACGTTATCTTGCCTCCGTCTGGCCCTTCAAAGTCTACGCTTGCCTTCGCTGAGGCCGCTGGGGCCAAGGGCGAAATAGATCCGCGGATGATGGGCGCGGGGGAGAAGGGGTTGTTCTTGCGGCTGGAGGGCGTCTTCGCTGTGGAAGTGACGAAGGAGGACGGGACCATCAGCAAAGAGTGCCGGGCGAGCGGGACGCTGTACGAACTCGCTGATGAAGCGCTGGAGGACGAGAACATGAGTGGTGTCCACGCGACGGGCCCCGAGTCAGTAAGCCAAGTGGGAAACGGTAAGGGAAAGGAGCGAGCGCACAATATCGGACAGCCAGAATCCGCGTCCCAACCGACGTCTCCGTACCGTCCAACTCAGGGCAGTGCGAGCGGGTTGGACTTCCCAAGCCCATCCCAAGGCTCGACAGGTCCGTCGTTCATGCCAGGACCCTCACCCCTCAAACCTCCGCCGCTGCCGAACCCAGACCCGACAGTGCCCCTAGAGGAGACTGCTGCTGCCGCAATTTCGCAGACAGTCCCTCTAAGCGGGCGGCCCAAGAAACGTACGGTGGGAGGGCAACTGTCACACCCAGTCCTCTCGACGTTCTACCCGCTGCCGGAGCCGCCGAGGGGCTACAAGTTCCGCGCCATACACCCATCAGGTCACGAAGTTGTTTTGTCTCTCTCGTTGATCAGCGGAAGATACTACCCGCAATTGCTTGCTCACCCTCTTATGGTCCCGACGGTGCAGAAAGCTTTCCATCTGCCACCAGAGCAGGGAGGGCTGTTCGAGCATCGACATCTGTGGGCGATGGAAGGGCTGCTGCCGGGTGTACACCAATCTATGGAGCCTGCGGCATGGAAGGGCAGTCGCTTTATCATGTTCAAGGACGCTGATGCACAAGCGAGGGCGCAATTTCACCAATTGTGGGCGAATTGCAAGCGGGAGCGAGAGCAGGGTGTCGTTGTACCCGTCCAGCCACACGAAATTATTGACGTCGATATGCTGCCGTCTTGACCTACACTAGTCGTGAGTTCGGTAATTTATGCTGTTGAGTTACCGCGAAATGCATTAATTGCCATGCATGCGGTCATATGTGAATATAATGCGGCGTGGATTATGAAAGTGCGTACAATGGAATATATGCATGTAGTGAGGACGGCATGAAGGAGCGTAGCCGATGGACATATAAAGACGATTATACTAAACGAGAATGCGATAGAATGCGTCCTCCTATTGTCACCCTGACTCCTAGAGCTTCACAACGCTGAGATTGTACTATGTCTGCCGACTCATCACGTACAAGTGCAAGTCTTGCCATCCTGTGAGTGTCAGCGTTAGCACTTACCTTGAACGCAGACGATAAAAATGACGCACCTCCACCTACGCGACACATCACCTTCTTTGTCACACCCTTCGCTGCAGGCCGCGCGAGCGTTGTCAACTTACACGCCACCACTTTCCTTGCCAACGGGCCCGCGAATGCGTACTGTGCGCGAATCTCTTCTCCCTCCTTAGGCGCGCCTCGAAGAGGCGGGTCGATACGTTCGATGAGTAAACAATGTGGGAGAGAATTTGCAATTCGCGCGATCTCGACATCGAGAGGATCGCGTGGATTAGGCGGGCCATACTCATGCAAAGGTTTCCCGCCTTCGTTTGGGGTCGCTGCTCCTGCGCGGCTCGGGGGGCGCGAACCGGTCCCCGGTGTGCGGGGGCTCGCCCCGTTATCTCGGAAGCTGGAAGGCGGAAGACCATTTCGAATAACCGACGGTCGCGGTGTCGAGCGCATAGCCGCGAGTATATCAGGCGTGCGTGCGCCATTTGCATATCCTCGAAACGACATTGAGCTATCGGGACGGTAGTCCGACATTGCTGACGACGGCCGTGACGCCGCTGATACCTGAACGCTTGGGATAGGAATCATGGAGCGACTCGGGGGACGTGCCGGACTGAGGTCACCGCCTGGCGTGTGCGAACGCATGTTAGGAGAAAGCGCACGGTGTTCGAGCCCATCGGGACCAAAACTGGTATCTGAAGGTGACGTAGACATGGAGCGAAAATGCGACCTCGACGGCATGGGGATATGGCTGGGTGTCTTTGGGCGCGTGCGCGGGAAGCCTGACAGACCTGGCGTTTGCGACCGTGAGGGAGGGCGGTAGGATACAGGCAGGCTGGGGGTTTGTGCCTGCGATCGCGAGGGTGGGCGAAACATTGAGAAGGGGGTACTCGAGGACTGCGCGGTGGACACAGAGGACGTGACGGGCGACCACGGGCGCGACGACGCCATGGAGCTACGCGAGGCGCTGCGATAGTATAGTGGGTATAGAGGGGGCATCGGGGGCACGTCCTCCGAGCTCCGAAACGTGCTGGAGACGGACGGACGACGCGGCGATGATTTGAGCGTCGCCATCCGCTCGTCTTCCTCGACTTTCGTGGAGCTATTCCATGCTGGCCTATTGCTCCTCAGTGTCGAGTTCGCCTGCGCAGACGCCTCCAGCCGCTCGAGTTTCTTAGAGGAAGGGGATGACTCCGGTGTGAGACTATGCGTGTGTTTGTGCGATGGTGTAAAAGGGGTCGGCGGCTGGCTTCCCATGAAGTTGAGCATCGACGATCGATGCCGCAGTGTCCGCGCGGGTTCCGAGGACGGCATGCGTGATGAGGTCTTGAGCGCCACAACCGGCGTTGTCGGGGCTGGCGACTTCGTGGAGCGCGTCAGTTTCCGCGCGAGCTTGCGAAACGGTGAGATGGACCGCGACAATGTGTTCGTGCTCGGGGAGCGTTCTTTCATGGGTGACGGTCCGATGGACGGCGACGTGAGTAAGCCATTCTTCGTTCTCGACTTTGACTTCGACGTCGTGCCGGATGTGCTAGATCCTGCTTCGCTCAACGCATCTCCGCCCATGTATATCCGATGCACAGCCTCCATTTCGCTGTCTGTCCGCGCAATCCGCTCTTTGAGGTTCCGCCAGCGTTGCGTCGACTCCGCATGCCTCCGCAGACACTCGCCATTCTTCGTGACACGGTCCTGGACACCCTTGTCAATGATTGATAGAACCTTGGTTGTTGCTGGCATATAATGTCTGTGCATGCATTAGCCCAGAATATCGGGATGTATGCGGGATGCGCACTTCTTCTTCGCTTCATACGACTCCTGGAGAGAGTTGAACATGTCTTGGTTCATAGGTGATTTGTCGGAACGGATGGATGACGAGGACGAACGTGATATCGCGTCCTCCAGACCTTGCCTCTGAACTTGCCATATGAAGTCCTACGAGCAACTTAATGCCTTGGGGCACTCACAGGACGGCATCGACTCACCTGACATCGGTTGACTGCCTTCTCCAAACTCGACATCATTCCGTCCGCCTGGTCTGTCACCGTCCTGAAAACCGTCAACCACTTGTCCTCCTTCAACTCCTCCCGTAGCACTTGTATCTCCTTCTGCAACGCGTCCCATTCCCCTACCATCGCCGCATGCTTGCGCAAGATCACCGCCTCCTCGGTTGGCGCAGCCTCCCGAATTGTAGGCGTCTTTTCAGAACGCTCAAAAAGCGGCTCAAGTGACTTGTTGATTGACTTGATACCAGTCGTCACGGTCTCGAGGCGTTCGTCAAGGCTGGAGAGGGACTGGTCGATGACACCAGTCGTATTGGAGGGCTCGGTAGCCGACTGTGACTTATGCCGCAACTCTTGGATCTCTGATGAAGCAGCATGGTCAGAGCATGCTTGCCAGGGCCACGAAGGTTACGTACCGAATATGCGCGTCTGGATGTCCGAGATATTATAGGATAGTTCGGTCATTCGCGACGAGATAGCTAGAAGTTGTAGATCCCTGCTCATATTGTCAGCATATATGATCTTCATGATGCGCGACGGCGTACTCATGGCTCCTTCCTTTCCCTTTCCACTTGAACATCGGTCGATTGGCAGTAATAGTGACATTTTCTGCACGCATTGGTCAATTCCACACAGAACACAACTGCAGGAGAAGCATACCATCATCTTCATAATTAGACGAGCTGCTGGAACTGGAAGACGAGGCAGGACTGTGGTGAGAGGAGGAGGGCGAAGGCGAGGGCAAGGGCGAAATGTCGTTGAGACTAGTCGGGGAGCGCACTGAGTGTACACTAGAAGTGCTTGAGGAGATGCTGAGAGAAATCATGAGAACGAACGAGACTTCGACAGCAGAAACGAATGCTGGGTATCAGGACGAGAGGGAGGAAATTCACGGGTGTTGGCTCAGAGGATCCGCCGAGTCCGGGTCGCTGCTGAGGAGGAAGGGTATATGCAACGCAGGTGAGACACACGACGGATCCCCCGCCGCGACGGTCAGGCTCAACGATGAGACTGCGGCGGAGCGAATTATGGCCGAATGAAACAATGGTGGCGGAACAAGTTGAGTCGAAAAGGGGATCACAATTGTCGAAAGCAACTTGTAGCAAGTTCTCGCGCTCAATCCGGTCACGCTGATATTCCTTCCGGCCACACGGTCGCTCTCAGTTGCATACACGCTGCTGTGCATACGTCAGGGTAACCATCCATATCTATCAACAAACACACTGCAAGGGTCTAGGGCCATCGGATACAACTATGCTCGCTACGCGTACGACTTCACCTTCGAGAACCAGAACGAACGCTCGTGCTTCAACGGCACAGGCGTCGCCTCGCCGCTTTCGATCTCAACGCTATCATAGGCACGAAAGTCTAGCTTGTTCCATCGCCCCAAGGGGCGCGAACGCAGGTCTAGTGTCATCTTGAATGCGTACTTCATCTGCGACCCTGCCGTGGGGTCGAGTAAGGACGTAATATGCACCGTGTTGTCCACCAGCTCCCAGTTGCCAATGAAGAAGCCCTAGCAAAACGAAATATCTGCGGCTGAAGAGGCCGATGATCCGTAAATACTCACCTTCATGCGCAGTGTCGGTTTGAGGACAGGAATGACTTGTTGGGGAGACATTCCTTCGTTTGCGAGAAGAGACAACACTCGCCCATTTGGATAGAACCGCCTATCTCGGCGGTTCAGCCCAACTTATGCACATTGCAACGGAATCTCACTCACAGGTAACGGTGATACGTGATCAAGTGGCTGATCTGTGTAACACAGATGATCAGTTGCAGTCGTTCCTAAGTTGTAGCTTGCGCACTCACATTTACCCATGCATTCTCGCTCAACCCTGCCCGTCTGCCCCCAGTATCAGTACGATAATAGCATGCGAGATAAGCAGTTGTGCATACATGTAGTGACAAACTGCGATGTACACGCCATCTAACCTGATCCGAGGGTGCTCGATGTATAGCCGCCTGAAGTCTGCTGTATAGTAGTGCAGCAGAGAGTTCAGGTCTTGGTCGATAGGTATTTGTGGTGGTTTGTATATGGCCCGGACAAAGCCTCTGTAATTGAGCCACTATCATTAGCTAGACAAGCACGGAGCAGTGTCTCTATATCGTACCTCCAGATCTCTTTGTCTAAAGTGACTACGCGCGCTTTGCGATTTACCATTGCAAATCGCTCCAGCGTAGTGGTATCGAGGCAACGCAATACGAGCACGAGCAGCTCGTCTGGCAGCTTCTGCAGCGGTACGGATGCTCGCTCATCCTCTGGTTCAAATACAAGGGGCCGAGGCCAACTCGCAAGTTGACTGGCCAACGTCCATATTGTGCCACTGTTGCCCTTTTGTGTATCAGGGATGACCACCGAGTGCATGTCCAACGCCTTCACGGCTTGAGTGATCTCGTCGACTTCACTTGCGCTTGTTGTGGAAGCTCGACCTTGCGCCTGTGTGGGCACACCGCTGGGGCCCGCGGTGTGTTGCAGCTGCACCTCGAGCTTGTTGTACGCGCGGTCGACATTTGAGTCTAGTCGAAATGCAGTACGGTAGAGCTCGAGCGCTTCGTCCAATCTGCTCTGCTGCTCGCATTGTATGGCACGTCGGTACACCTCGACCGCCCTGCTAAGCGTCTTGCCGTATGGCGCAAGAGACAGATCTGTCGCAGGCCTCGCAGACGATGTCGAGGACAAGACAAGATCAGGCGAAACTGGGGTAACGAGAGAGCGACTGAATGCAGGAGATGCAGGGTGCTGAATGTCTTCTGCGGCGGCTGGGCTTGACTCGAGTCGAGAAGTACCCGACACATGACTATCCGCAGAGGACTTGGAAAGACCCCTTTTCTTGCGCACTTCTTCCCTCCATTCCTCTCTGAATCTGGCGAGCTCGTCTGAGTCGAGCGCCGCCACCTGCGAAGACGATAGCATGAACCCGGACGGTGGCAAGGGAGATAATGAAGTCCATTCCGCTGCGTCAGCAATGTCTGAGAGCACGCATTACGTAATGCACGATCGGCTGATCGAGGGATCGCAGATCGGACAGGCTCTGTGGGGTTAAGACAAGACATAGGATATCTCCAAATATGGACTTGCTGTTCCAGAAAAGGACCCAATAATTAATTGCCTGTGTGTCCTCAGCAGCCTGTGCCTGATCCCCAGGTCATCTCCACGTACGTCCTCACAATCGCAGGCGCACTTACCGCTTCGTCCCGTGTCTTCATCGCCGCGAGCCTAGGTTGTTTGACTTGCTTAAGTCTCTGTGACTTGCTTATGGAGAGCAACAAAGACGAGGCCCTCAAATGCCTCACCATCGCGCAAAACCGGCGAAACACAGGTGACCTCGCTGCGGCGCGCCGCTTCTGCCAGAAGTCTCTTGCGCTGTTCTCAACTTCAGAAGCGGAGCGGCTGCTCGAGCTCATTGAGTCAGAGGCGGCGTCCGACTCTGCACAGGCATCATCTTCCGGCTCCTCGAGCGCCGGCGCAAGCGCGTCCGCATCTGCGGCAGAGACCCACCCGTCCTCGTCGGGTGCGCGACAGCGCCATACCGCCTCGACGTCAGGGGGAGGCGAGAAGGCCAATGGCAATGCCACGGGCGCCCAGAAGAAGCGGGACTATACCCCCGAGCAGGCAGCGGTAGTGAAGCGGGTGCGGTCGTGCAAGGTAACGGAGTACTATGAGATCTTGTCGGTGAAGAAGGACTGCGAGGAGGCTGAGATCAAAAAGGCGTATCGTAAGGTGCGTTGAGCAACTGCGTTCCCTTGTTCTTGTACTGATAGGCCGTGCTGTCCGTTCGCGACAGCTCGCACTGTCATTACATCCTGATAAGAATGGCGCGCCGGGAGCGGACGAAGCGTTCAAATGTGCGTTGATATTGCATGGGCACCAGAGGCCTCACTAACGCATGCTCCATACAGTGGTTTCGAAAGCATTCCAAGTCCTTTCAGGTAAGCTCTCATCTCGTTTAATGTGCGCAATGAGCTGGATCAGCCCGCATTAGATTCGCAAAAACGGGCTGCCTACGATCGCCATGGTTCAGATCCAGAGTCACGTTTCAGCGGTATGTCGTCGTCAGCAGGGCGCGGTCCGCCAGGGTTCTCACCCGCCACTTTCGGCGGGGGTGGTGGGTTCGAGGGAGAGCTCAGCCCTGAAGATCTCTTCAACATGTTCTTTGGCGGTGGCATGGGCGGGACCGGGTTTGGTGGTGGTGGTCCTAGTAAGTGTCATTCCATCCTATTGCAGCCAAGTGGACTCAGCATCTCCAGTGTTCTCTGCATCTTTTGGTCCTGGCGGCTTCCGCACGACCCGTGTACGCACAAATATGCAGCAAGAACGGCCACAGAACGCAGAGCCGCGCTCAATGTTCCTCCAACTCTTGCCCCTCTTCCTCCTCTTTGCATTCTCCTTCATCAACGTCCTACCCAGCCTCTTCGCTTCCACGCCAACCCCCGACCCACGATTCTCATTCTCACCATCAGTGCGTTACAATGTCGAACGCCAGACAGGCAGCCTCGGCGTCAAATACCATGTCAACAGCGCTGAATTCTCCGGACATCCCATCGCTGCAGAGCTCGCACGTAACGGGAACAACCCGGGGCCTGAGCTTAGCCGGTTTGAGAAGACAGTTGAGAAGCTCTTCACGCAGGACCTCTACACTCAATGCCAGCGCGGCATGGAGCAGAAGGAGCGGTTGCGGGACCAAGAGGTGGGTCTCTTTGGCATTGGGACCGACTGGGAGAAGGTGAAGCGGATTGAGGCGCAGCCGGTGGAGAGCTGTGTGCAGTTGAGGAAGATGGGGCTCATAAAGTAGGCTATCCCTTGTATCTTCTGCTTGGACTGCGTAGACTGTGGACTTGTAGGATAGTTCAGTTTCGCGCAGATCCACCATCTAATGCGACCCTGCATGTTACTTATTATTCACACTATGTCATCGCCGTGTACGGACGGAAGCACGCCGTTGAATAGAGTCGGATGAGGTCACCACTGATTACAACAGTTTGCGAAGGGAAAAGGGACAACTGCGATATTTCTAGACAGGTCACGACATGACGCGCTCTGCATCTATTGCTGCTTGGCCCTCTCGAGCTTGAGGTAGAACTCCTCCTGCTTCTGGACTATTTGCAAGAAGGCGGTCAGATTAGATCACGGAGTGCGCCATGGGCCGCTGCTGTGTGCTCACCGTGCTTGAGGTGCACGCCATACCTGCAGGAGCGGGTGAGGCGCGAACGTGACGCGGAAAGGGCGTGACCACATACCAGAACGCGTAGCCCGCGCTGATGCCCATGCCGAGAGAGACACTGAGGTCGAGCCAAAAGCGCTTCCTGAGCTTGCCAGTAATAGGAGCGATGGGCATGGTTTGGGGTGAGAGCGGGGGCGATGAGGTGGATGGGGTGCAAGATGCAGCAGGGAGAAGTCGGAGGAGGAGGCAGAGTCTGGAGGGCGATGAGCCACTGGCCAAACAGGGGACAACACTGCCTCGAGTGCCCCAGGTCGTCGATCGACTGACGGTGCGGTTCCCCGGCCTCAACTCCCTCTGCCAGTCCGCACAAAACGCGCCACACCCTGTCTGCACCACCACCACGACCTCTCCACACCGCCGCCGCCGTCCTCACTGCCCCTGCCAGCACCCCCCCGCAGCACGCACACGCAGCACCTTAGAATCGCACCATGGAACAAGACGCGTCGAGCTCAGGCGGATGGCGCTTTGCCCAGTGTTTCGGTGACAAGGGCGACGTCGAGGACATCACAGAAGGTCGGTCCATCCCCCCGCATCCAGCATCAGATGCCTTATCGTCCCCGCCACCACACTCCACAGCGGACATCATCTCGACCGTCGAGTTTGATTCTACAGGCAACTATCTTGCAACAGGAGACAAAGGCGGGCGCGTCGTCTTGTTCGAGCGCAATGAGATGGTGCGTGCAACGTCCTTCGGACGCCCGGCGTCCGCGATCTCACGACGTGTCACACCATAATAGAAAAAGGGATGCGAATACAAGTTCTACACCGAGTTCCAGTCACACGAACCCGAGTTCGACTACCTCAAGTCGCTCGAGATTGAGGAGAAGATCAACAAGATCAAGTGGTGCAGACGGCAGAACGCTGCGCACTTCCTGCTGTCCACTAATGGTACGCGCGTCCACGAGTACAGCCCCGTCCGTATATTCAACGGAACATGCGTGGTGCAGATAAAACGATCAAGCTATGGAAAGTATTCGAGAAATCGCTGCGTGTCGTCTCCGAGTCCAACCTGCACGATGGACAACGACCACTCGCACCACCGATGCATGCACAAGACCTTAAGCTGCCTCGCATGACTCAGCAGGACAACATCATCGCGGCAGTGCCGCGGAAGGTGTACTCGAATGCGCACGCATACCACATACACTCCATTTCTGTGAACTCGGACCAAGAGACGTACATATCTGCCGATGACTTGCGGGTCAACCTCTGGAACCTCAATATCAGCGACAGGAGCTTTAGTACGTATCATCACTTACGTGGCCTCCGAGATCGGGTATTGATAAGCCCATAGACATTGTCGACATCAAGCCCGTCAATATGGAGGAGCTCACAGAGGTTATCACAGCCGCAGAATTTCATCCGACACAATGTAACCTCTTCATGTACTCGAGCTCGAAGAGCAACATCAAGCTTGCAGACATGCGCGACTCAGCATTGTGCGATCGACATGCAAAGAGTAAGTATCTCAACCTCGTCTAAGGGATGCACAGCCTCATCTCTGTGTATTCTACTCAGTGTTCGAGGAGGAGGAAGACCCATCAAATCGGTCGTTCTTTTCTGAGATCATCTCTTCCATTTCGGACGTGAAGTTCAGCCGTGACGGTCGATATATTCTGTCGCGCGACTACCTCTCCCTCAAGATCTGGGACGTCAACATGGAATCACGACCCGTCAAGACCATTTCGATCCACGACCACCTCCGGGGGAAACTCTGTGACCTCTACGAGAACGACTGCATCTTTGACAAGTTCGAGTGCACGTGGGGCGGTGACGACAAGTACGTCTTCTGAGAACTCCCGTCTCGTCATCCTTCCCCAAATCAAGTGACTGACTTCACTTTGGTTCCGTGCTTATATAGGCACGTCCTTACTGGCTCGTACCACAACTTCTTCCGGATATACGACGTTGACACCCTCAATGACGTCGTACTGCAAGCCGACAAATCGGCATTTAAGGCGAAGAAGATTGGGGCACCCCTGCCAGGGAACAACAAGGCGAGCGTTAAGAACGGCGCTCGGCCCGGCGGGTTGAGGGAGGCCATGGCGCAGGACACGCTCGACTTTAACAAGAAGATTCTCCACGCGAGCTGGCATCCTAGAGAGAATACCATTGCTGTAAGCTCTCGACGTCAATTGTTTTCTTTTGTTTGCTGACTCTTTGTCCACAGATTGCTGCGACGAACAATCTTTTCTTGTACAGCGCCGCATAAATGCGGTGCTGTACGCATACCCATGATTACGTCCACGATGCGCCATGCTCACCATGTCCCCCATCCGAATCTCCCGCCATTAACTCATGTCCTTACGTCACCGCATATCGTACAGCTGTCGAGCGCCGGCAGAGCCGTGAATGACGCACGAGATACCGAGACCTTTCCCCAGTTCACCAGACGGACAATTTCCATTCCAATCCTCCTTCTGTCCCTCCCTCCCTCTCACGCCGCCAGAACGTCTACGAAGTACGAACTACACAACACGCCGCATACTGCTGTCGTTTCTGTTTTCCCCGCCCGCGCACGCTAATTGTCTGGCTTGGACCAGCTTCGCACCGTATATATATCCCGCGCGCCCTCCTCGGTCTCTCGCCGGCTCGACATGGCTCCGTTTTGCGTCTGTATCTTACGTTACCGCTCATCATGTCTCGTTGCACGTTGGGGAAGTAGAAGCAAAGAATGTACATTGAATTGAAGTAAATACAGATTATAAATACCAAACCCCCGAGGGATGAGATGCATCAGCTGCGAAGCACGCAAGCTTGCGCTTGCAAATATCTGGGTTGGCTGCGTGCGCGGTTATGGTTGAGATAATATACCAACATGAAGTGCTGAAGACGAGATCTGGTTGTGAGGACACCAGCTCTTCATTGGGCACAATCCACCAAACTAATATATGTATTCCAAGTAATATCATACACGATGCTACGCGACGAAAAGTTGTCCCATCCTTTCAAAACGTCGCCCTCGTAAAAGGAAGAGGCAGACGATCTGCAAAGGAAGGGCGAACTAAAGTTCTGGTAATTTTGCCGCGTCGTTTAACTACCCAGCACTGGAGAGTAAGGTGCAGGGAAGTAGATATACACGGCCAGCAGTCATCGACAGTATAAGGTGGGCCATATATATATGACAGAAAGTGAGAAGGGATTGCATTGTACGACAAGGAGTCAGGCGCGATTCAAGATTTTCGAAAATAGTCAGTTTATATAGATGAGCGCTCATCGATGACGTAAGCTGATCAATCGAGGATCTGAACTCGCTGAGGCTGAGTGCAAGCACGACGGTGGTGACACACGACTCGAACTTGTATCTCAATCCTCAGAAAATGCGTAGTCATTATATGTCCGCTATTCGAGTGGTAATTCTGGTTCACATGAATAATACCAGCTCGTAAACATCAATTTCCCCGACGGTAGTACGTGGGTCTTTCAGTCTCTTCCTCGCAGGATAGCCACGGTTGTTCCTTGATGTCTAAGTGGGGAGCTTGAGCAGCTAGAATAACCACGTTTTGACCGACAGTGCTTACCCCATAAACTGCGGCTTGGGATCGAGGAAAGTACTTCCGCTCTGCGTCAGTTTTCAATTGCGGTAATGGGTCTCGCGTGAGCTCACATATATCCCCTGTCTCCGGGGACGCCTAATTGCTCAGCAAAGAATTCAAAGAAAGCCTTGCTGAACTCTGCATCCGACGTGGGGTTCAAATTCCACAAGCTCGTCTGTAGAGACGTTATCAATAAGTCGCTTCAGGCAGCTATGTGACTGCTTGCTATAGTAAGAAGGAAGGCAGGGTCCACAGTTCCGTTGAACGCCATGTGCTCGACATGCGTGTAGCTCACGCATATAGCAGGCACGGGCTTGTTAAGTGTGCGTGCTGTGAACTTAAGTGAATGCGACGTCATCATCATACTGGTATTCTAAGAAGACAAAGTACAGACGTTCGTGAACTCAAGTAGAAACTTCGAGGGGTCGGCTAGGGCGACGTTGGTCTTGAGCTCAAGAGCTGGCATGTTGGCGGTGGTGTCCTACGATTCGACAAGTTCGGGCGCGGGTGGCGATAACGAACTCAACTTGAAGTCAGCAACGGTGAGAAAGACTTCGGGCTCATGTCGATGACAAAGCTCCTCAGGTAATTACATGAGCCACCACAGAAGTCCCGGTGCTCACTAATTTCTCCGATAACTCGAGCATCTGATACCAAACTCAAATATGGACTGCTCTATCGTTCAAGGCACAATGGAATAGGCAGTAGAGACATACGATGAATAGGACTAGAAAATGTCGGGAAGTTAACCCCCTTCAGACTACATGAGACAAAGATATAAGATACGTATGACTGATAAGCACGGGATTGTACGCATGGAAGTCCTGAAAATGACGCACGTAATTAGAAGGTGAGTGGGAATTCGCGATGCCTTGAAACAGAGCGTACCACCAGCCCTCGACCGATGTGCCGTGTACTGCCTTTTTGGTTACGACACATCCCTGCCTGCTGCACCTTTAACCTCAAGGTCCTCAGTGAACTGCTCCGCGCCGCAGTGTAGGAACTTCCGCATGTGTTCCAAGTGAAGGTGAGGCCCCTTTCCGGAGTGATGTTCGAGCCCGGTTACCGGCCTGTGGGCGTGTACCGGTAGCAGGTGATCGAACCAATGTTTGCGACCAACGAGCTTAAAGAGTGGATACGCTAGGGTTTCTGGCGCATCGTCGTTGCTGCTCCAATTCCAGAAGTCCCCGCTCGTCGTATTCGTGGACCATTGGCATTTGGCGTGGCCCTGGGCGCCCGGCGCAGTGGTGCATTCGAGGGTGATGTCTACCTCGTACTTCTTGTGCTGGACGAGGACGCGCGCGAACGAATGACAGGCATACACCTCGGACACCAGCACGCGGTGCTTCCAAGCATCTTCGGAGTATAGTAGTGCTTGTATCTGACCCACATGATCGAGATTGTACTTCTGCGGCTTCCATATTCCAAGGATAGCACCGTGGCCACTTTTCAGAGTGGCCGACTTTTTCACTTGTCCACTGGCCGGCCCTTCGCTGGAATTGGGCACAACGTGAGCGTTTTATAGCGAAGCCGATGTCGATTAAGCATGGGGGACTTACGGGAGTTTCACGCCCACATGAACCCCTACCGCTTCGTGTTTCTCAGCTTCAATCCAGCGTATGTCGTCTTCGCAGCTTCGGATGGGCTTGAAATCGAAGTTGCTGGCGAGATCGTCAATATCGAAGATATTGCCTTCGATCGAGAAAGAATAGTCATGTTGGAGACGTCCATAATCACCAACCTACGAACGAGAGGTGATTGAAGTAGTCAGCCTACTATGCGCATCAACGATAAGTATCGACACTCACCTTCACGGGTCTGAGAGGATCCCAACTAGCATAGTAGTTGCTGGCTCCATGAATGAGAGAGACATATTCGTGCTCTGGATTAGGGTGGAGGATGGTCATCGTGAGGCGAACTGAGGGAACAGTACCAATGGCAGTATCTGGTTTATATCTCTAGGCCATCGGACCTGTGGTACTGCAGGCGGTCAGATTTGAGACACATTGTCGTCGACAGCACCCTCGGCCTTGGCGATAGGACGCGACGCAGAAATTCTCATCTCAGGCGCCTGCTGGGGCTGGGACCACCTTCCCGGAGATTGACAAGGACATTTGGCAGCACATTCTCGTACTAGTGGCCTGCTTCCCAGAAATCGCGCGCAGGTAGACCGGCAACGGTAAAGGGTTAACTGAGTAGTGTCAACTTTTAGTGCCCGCGATGACTTCGAATTGTACCACCGGAGACATCATGTGGGCAGTACGCAGGTAGAGATTACGTCGCAGCAGTGCAAGGAGCGACTCACCTTCATGTATCTGACCACACATCAGTTCTTATCACTGACATCATATTCCTCGAGGTGGACAAGCGCCACTTTTTGAGCGCCTGCCTGAAGGCGCCTGTATAGATCAAGAAGATGGACATGATGCAGCACGTCGAAGTGTTGAGGTCTGTATTGATATTTTGATGAAGCGCCTTGCCAAAAGAGATCTATATCACCGACGTCCATCTTAGACGCAGCTGAATGGATTACACAGCGATTCAAGGTGCACTAAGTGTAATAAGTTCATGGACATGATGAACGCTACCTGTAACAAAACGCCTATGGCGACACCGTCCCGCGGAACGTTATCCAATAACCTTGGCTAGTCGGACACATCCTGACGAAGAAGGTGAATGATCGCTCGAACACACCAGTACCAATGACGCACCAGCTACAAATCATGGCTTTCTACTTGCAAAGTCCGAGCCCTCCGCAAACCGTTTGTCATCTTCCCCATCGCCAGCAAGTGTGCTCGCACTGTCACTATCTTCATCATCGCCTTCGAGATCTGAAAGTTCCATCGTAGGGCCCATATGCCGCCTGAGCACGCGAATCCACTTTCTCCGCGGGATTTCTGTGACGGGTCGACGTGTAAAACTCGCTAAGGGACCACGCATACGTCGACCGACAAGTCGGAACAAAGGCTGAATGCATGCGCCGTCCTCGCGCTCAGCGTGATATGCGTACTTGAAGTCTCCGCCTTCAGCGCTAGTCTTCCATTCAAGATCGACGTTGCCTCGAGCAAGACCTCCGTGAGTAGCGGCGTCCAAGCTGACCTCCACAGCATGTTTTTGTTGAGGCACGAGGAGGCGGGCATACGACTGACAAGTGTATAGCTCGGAGACCAGCACATTTTTGTCTGAGAATGCAGTGGAGTAAATCAGGTCCTCAACGTGGCCCCCCTTGTAGAGGCACTGGTGGCGAGCATTGAGCATAATCAAGATGGCTCCCCATCCACTGGAAATCGTGAATGTTTTCTTGAGACCAGCAGTGGCGATAACTGGATGTCCACTGACCACAGCAGCGTCATCAGTATCTCCGTCAGTCAGACTGTGTTGAGACGAATTGCTCACACTCTTTCGCTGACAGAAGCTTTGACTTCTGTTGTTCGCAAGCTGGCAATGCACCGATTTTCACTGACATCATTACTAGCAACGGTTATGCCGAACTCCTGGTCATAGCCTTCATCAAAAATATTGCCTTCGACCACAAAGGAATGATCCTTCTGCAGATGCCCGTAATCTCCGAGCTAGACACCAACAATGGATAGCGGTTAGACGGTCAGCGGCGCTTTTCTCGAGGGAATATAACGCATAACTGGGTGCTCACTCGGACGGGTCTTTGCGGATCCCAACTGGCGTAGCAGTTGCTAGCTCTAAACATCAACGAAACATATTCTCGTTCTGGGTTGACGGGAGACATAGTGGCTGGCACAGGTATCCAACGCACACTCTGACGAGTCAAGCCGCATTTATTGCTTTGCGTTTGCAATATTCATACGCGCGAAAGCTGCATGATTACTCGAGTCTGGTCGTTTCAATTGTGACGATCTCCTTGTCAATTGCGGGGCCTGGAGGATGCAACGGATAGGACATGGTTCTGAACATTGTAGTGAAAGGTTGCTTCTAGTAATGTGCTGACATGCCGCACTGCCTGGGCTGCCTGCATCCGGTAGATCCGCAGATTTCGAAGGAGCCGGAGTGAATGGGAGAACCCCAGAGCAACGCTTGATCAACGAGGACGCAGTTCGACGATTAAAAACATGCTGCAAAAACAACACCCGGCCTGCATCGTGCACGGAAGCTGATACTTCGGAAAGAGAACTCAACACAAGCAGGGAACATGGCCAAATATGGGCGGAACGCTGAAGCCGTGAGGTTGTATCTTGTCATCCATGCTCGCTGTTACCACATACACCCGGTTGGCATGTGTACAAAGCAAGGCTGCCAATGGTAATTTCTGAGACGATGCTCGCTGTCATGACAGTGATGGGTCTGAGAAATCTACGTGAGCTATAACTTGTTTCAGGGATGCTCACAAAATCATTCCGTCCATGTGACGGGAGACTGGTCTTTTGAATCAGGATGGTCATTTCACACCATTGTTATACGCACAGACAAATCGCTGGCCGTAAGTGGCAGAAAACGCAGGGCCCGCTCGCGGCACGACATGGGCAACTTCAGGTTGGAGGTTCGACCGATGTTTGTACTTATTTGCCATTTGTGGCGCTTTTGCGCCTGTCGCCACACTCACCTGAGTAGGTCCTGACTTCTATGGCGACACTTGAATGTACACAAGCCCTTTGCAAAGCGGGGGTTCTTTTCTCTCAATTTAGATTCAAATATTGTGATTGACTAAGTTTTTGCGAGTGCACTATGCTGCAGGAAAAGAATTCTGGCACAGTTATCGAAATCTCTTCCATTGATCCCTCTGCAGGCTGCGTCAAGACAAACAGTAATTCAAATTACTCATTTCATTGGATAAATGTGTTCCTGATGAAGAGGGTTCTTCACCATCATACGACTCGAAACAAGTCATAAATTAAACGCGCGCTGGTCAGCCACAGGCAGGCGCTTATATATAGGCGCGCTAGTAAGCTCGCTGTTGATGCTCAAAATCATACCTGAGTGCGAGCTGCCATTCCTGTAGATGATAATCGGTTTCAGCAGAGGTTTGTTCATGCTTAGCCACCACTCTGCAGTAGAAGTTTGGACATGCTTAGCCACCACTCACGGACTTGAACTTGCAGCCAGAGTTGCCACTCGCTTTTCCGGATTGAGGTTTTACCATCCCCGATGAAAAAAATTCCTGTAGCCCACCGCGAGGGTCGAACTCGCAGCCTTCAGATGGACTCGTATGTTATAAGAGTCTGACGCTCTATCCGATTGAGCTAGGCGGGCGCCTGGCCAAGTGCAACCGGTAAGTGACAGGAGGAACGCGCACCTCAGACCAGGACATCATGTATATGAGCACCTTTTTGTCACAATGGTCTACACTTCTCCAGTTGGTGTTATCCCTTTGGGAGAAACGTGCTCCAATAAGTACAACGGCCAACACCCACTGTAGCGTGATAGAAGCAAGGAAGCGCGACAGATGACCAAGATACGAGACCCGCCGTTATCAGCATGAGAAGCACTGGCGAACCTTCTTCCCCAGAGCTTCACAAGGAAGGTACATAGGACCTGACTTTATGGATGAGATAGCAGAGAACAAACTTGTTGCTCTGCGACAACATCCTCGCATTTTGTCGAGTTTTGAACAAAGACCTATCAGCAATGGCGGACCACGGACCGCCACCATTCCCAGATGATGTCCCTACCCACCCGTTGCTTGTTATAGACTACGCCCGCATCAGGGCTGGCGATAGTGGCGAGAAGGATAATCTCTGGAAGGCTGCAACAGAGCTGGGATTCTGGTAGTGCGTATGGGGTGCAGTTTGATCAGTTGTGTGCTGACTGCGATGCGGAACAATACCAGCCTGAAGAACCACGGCGTCGAGCACGAGGTGAACGAAATGTTCAAGCTCGGAAAAGCATTCATGGAGCTACCTCTGGACCAGAAGATGCAATACGAGGAAGGCGACGACGGCATGCAGTTCGGGTTCGTCGTGATATTTGCGCAATGGCATCACGAGTGTAAAAACATGACCCATTAGATACAAGGCGGCAGGTCTGCACACCGCTGACGAGCAGGGGACGCTCGATGCGACGGAGTTCCTAGACGTGGCCAAAGACGACGCACTCGCATTTCCCAAGGCGATCCACCGCAGTTATCCACCGCTTGTTGCAGACGCATTCCCCACAACACTGACACCGTTTGTCAAGAGGTCCATCGAGATCAACGAGACACTGTTGCGTGTGCTCGGCAAGAAACTGGGATTGGAGGACGGGGTCATGGAGAGCATGCATATCAAGGAGGAGAGAAGCGGATGTGTTACCAGAGTGATCAGGACACCGCCTCAACAGGGAGAGCCGCAAGTGCTCGAGGAGCAAGCACTTTTAGGAGCGCACACCGATTTCGGGTCCTTGGTGCGTGCTAATCAGCGATGAGAACTGCAGTGGAATGCCATGTTAACATACCTGCAGTCGTTCCTCCATAACCGTCAAGGTGGTCTGCAGGTTCTGGCACCTGGTACAGAACGATGGCTATATGTCAAGGTAAAGTAACTATGCGACAACCGTGTCGCCTAATTCTGAGATCGTCTTGCAGCCACTGCCTGACCATGCGATTTGCAATGTCGGCGATGCGCTGAATATCTTCAGCGGAGGGCTGATCCGTTCCAACATGCATCGCGTCGTGTGAGTATCTTCAGACCAAATGCATTTGCTGAGGATACAACGATGATTCGTCTCGAAGTGCGCCGCCAAAAGCTCAGGCAGCCTATGAACGCTACTCCATGGCGTTCTTCACGCGGCCGCACGACTCTGTTGTTCTTCGTCCGTTGACGAAGGAGAGTGTCGTTGTGGCGAACAAGGTGAAAGAAAACAGCAACTACGCAGAGGAAGAGCGGGGGACGGCAGGGGAATGGCTTGTAAGGAGACTGAAGAACCTGAGGACAAAAAACTACCATGTGCGTTCTGATATAGACTTTAATGCTCTGGCCACTCATCACCTCGCTAGGGGGTGGATAGCTACCGACAGCATCTAGGCACCGAGGATTATGGACGGATAACCGGCGTGGCAGTCGCGGCTGTGTGAGCGAATCGACATGGAGGTCATCTCATCGACACTAGCGCACTGTGTTCCGCTCGAATATCTGCCCTTCTTCCTAGAAACTCACATACTCCTCCGCGTCACCTGCTTTTGATCGTGGACGTGGTTAAGATTTTTGTATTTCCCATCATAAGAGATACAGAAGTTGTACAGAAGGACTCACGGGAGGCTGCAACATACCTGACAGGGTCTGAAGATGGAATGCTAGCGTTTCTGTTCAAGGTATTGAGGCACTCGAGCAGGGCTGGCGACATCAACTGATGTGTTGCGCGGTATACATGTTTGGGCATGAAATAATGAGGCCATGAGGATCAAGGCGTCGGTACGACGGCGCAAACCCGGATGCGTTAGTGCTAGTTTAGGGTTATGGTCTGGCAATCGTCATTTCTTCAGGATATTAGTCGCCAATGTACTGAGCCATTCGCGCTCATCGCGGCCGCCATGTTCTCTAACGCTGCGTCGAAGTCCAGGCTCTACACTTCTCGAAGCAGTTTGCCCTTTATGTCGGCTCGCTATGCGCATCGAGCCGTTGTCTTCACACGTAATGGCGAGCCAGCGTCGGTGTTGAGCACTCTCACATACCCCGCACTTCCACCGCCGCCCCCGCATTCCCTCAACCTCAAGTTCCGTCTGTCACCAATCAACCCGTCTGATATAAATGTAGTTGAGGGTGTCTATCCGTCAAAACCCGAGCCCACAAAGTCTCTCAGTGCTGGGCAACAACTCACAGAGTCCGTATGCGTGCCTGGGAACGAGGGTCTCGCAGAAGTAACAGACGTAGGGGAGGGTGTTACAGATATTCAGAAAGGGGATTGGGTGGTAATGGCGAAACCACAAGCGGGCACATGGAGCTCAGCGAGGACATTAGGCTCGCATGAAGTCATCAAACTGGACAAGGGAAATATCAGCGAGGTGAACGCCGCTACCATCGCGGTATGTCAGTGTGACAGTACATTTCTGCCATCATCGACTAATACCCATCGAAGGTCAACCCGCCCACTGCTTATCTCATGCTGCGCGACTATGTCAATCTCAACTCGGGAGACTGGGTAATTCAAAATGGTACGTTCCAGGTTTGCACACATGACCTTGTCCGCTGGGTTGTGAAACGCTTGTTTCACAGGTGCGAATAGCGCGGTTGGTCCTCGAGCTCGAGAGAAGGCATAAAAAGGCCTGCACTAATGACCTTCGACCAGGTCGGCCAAGCCATCATTCAAATTGCCGCCCAACAGGGCGTGAAGACCATTAATTTTGTGCGGGACCGGTGTGTTACTCTTGAAGCGATTTATTCTGTGCCGATGCACGTCGCCTTACATGTTTCTCAATCACTAGCCCCGACATAGACGCGCTCAAACAGCAACTCACGCAACTCGGAGCAACGCACGTCTTTACATACAATGAACTGAGCGACAAATCGTTCTACAAGTCGGTCAAGGAGCTTACTGGCAACAACGTACGCGATCTTCTAGCCTGCTAGCATCCCCTCTCTAACACCTGCTTACTACAGCCGCCCCGTTTGCTCCTCAACTGCGTCTCCGGTCCGACTACTGCACAACTAACCCGCCTGCTTGGCACTGACGCGCGGCTGGTATCGTACGGCGCAATGTCGAAGCAGCCACTTGCTATCCCTACGGGTCCTCTCATCTTCCGTGGGCTCAAAGCCGAAGGCTTCTGGATCACCGGACGATGGTCCAAAGATAGCGAGAAGGAGGAGAAGCAGAAGGTCTTGAACGCCATTGTGCAGATGGAGGTGTGTCTCATCGCTATGCAGGAGCATGCATTTCGTGGCTAATATCCCTCTCGTAACAGCTCAAAGAGCCGGAGCACGAGATCGTGACACTAGAGGGCTCACTCACTGACGAACAAGCGGGGGCGAGAGTCCGCGAGGTCGCGCGTAAGATTGGTGAGGGGAAGTACGGGAAGAAGGTTCTGCTGCGGATTGAAGACCCTGTCACTAACGGCTAAGTTCCGCTACCTCCGTTAACGCGTTGTGATGCTACATATACCGCTCCAAATTGGAGTCCGTGTACGTCTAGCCCCCGCGAGCGCGGACACCACGTTCGCAGATTCTAAGACTCCGTGAGGTGCGGATCTCACTATGCAAGGCCCCTAACCGCATCAAATGAATCACTGCGAGCTAGACTGTTGAAGGTGAAGAGCTATTTGTCTGATCACAGATTCTGCAGAGCACTTTGGTCGTCTGACACACCCAGCTTCGGAATCGATTGGTTATGATAATCAAATTCATAGGAAATCATTGCTACATCGGCGTCGGGACATCTACAGCAGGGTCGTAGTGATCGTACAGCTACTAGCACAGGACACAGGCGATGAAAGCGACATAATGGCGGGGGAGGAGGGTCATACAGCAATTGTGCAGTGTAATCTTGAGCTTGAAGCCCTAGTACAAATGATTTCGTACAAGTACACCAATCAGTATACAGTTGGCTGTTCGGATCGTGGAATTAGAGATAGCGGAGTTTATAATTCATGCTTGCAGCTCGTTCGTGTTCAGAATCAACGATTCTGCCTTGGCCGACCTGGGCTTGATGGAGCACTGAAACGGCAGCGGATGGCTGTTCATGGCGTCATGTTAGCGTGCATTCTACTAAAGACAGATTGGACGTTACCTGATGATGCCGCTCGACATCTCTACGGCAGGCTCGATGATCACGCCATCGACTACGGGCTTGGTAATGTCGAACACCGCGAGGGACATCGCACAGGTCATGAAGACAGCTGCGTCGGCAAAATGCATGCCTGCGAGAAAGCGATCAGGACGTCACGGGATGGCCCAGTGCTAGAGCGACTCTCACGTACCCGGGCAGTTCCTGTAGACAGGGAGGTGAGCGATGCAGCGTGACACGGATGTGCGTGTGCTGATGGACTTACCGCCTCCCGAAGCCGAAGACCATGTCATGGGGATCTTGCTCCGCGGGCTTCTTGTCCGTAGCGATGAAGCGGTCAGGGTTGAACTCCCATGGGTTGCTGTACAATCTCGGGTCGTGAGCGAATTTCCTGAGGCCGTCAATCATCAGTGGCTGAGTTTTGAGACCATTCGGGGCGAGGATGTTTACCATATGTTGGCGATCACCATAGTCCCTTTGGGCAACGCATAGCCTGCGTGAATATCGTCCTCGCTTAGGACGTGAGGGAATGCTGGTGACGCATTAGTTTGTGGCGCCACAACCATTCGTATCTAGTGAGTTACCTATCGGAGCGGACGGGCACATCCGCATGACCTCTGAACAGAGCGCGTTGACGTATGGCAGATCATTACGGTCGGCTAGAGTGGGCAGTCTATCGTTTCCGATGATCGCGTCGATTTCCGCCTGTGCTCTCTTCTGCACCTCGGGGTTGCGCATCATAGCCAAGAAAAACGAAGCGATCGTGGAAACGGTCTGACCAGGAAAGAAGCGGTAAGAGAAAAGGCCTATGTGCGAACATGTGGAACGTACAGTGTCTGAGCCGCCTAATTATATAACGCGATAAGGCGGGCGACATAAATCGCACTAGCTCGGTCTACTCACCTACGTACAACGCGGAGGCTGTATCTTTGATTAGCTGCTCCCTTTCTGGGCTCAAGCGTCCTTCAAGATGCTTCGAAGTGAAGCTGTGGGCGGCTGTGCCATTGGCCTGGGAAGCTCGGTCAGCTCATCATTTGGCCGAGGCCTGATTTCTCCTACCAGTTGTTTCTTGACAAATTCGAACGGCATCTCGCGCATTTCGGTGAGCGTATCTGCCATCTTTGCGACCCCCTTCTTCCAACCAAACCCAGGGACCCACTGTGGCACATGTCTGACTAGCATAATCAAACGTATCTGAGGGCGAGGAACAGAAGCAGAGGATTGTAATGAACTCACGTTTCGGAAACATGTCGACAAAGAAATTAGCGGGGGTGAGTGCTTGCGATGCATCCGAAATAGCCCTTTCGGCCACCTGAATGAGGGGATCCTCGACTTCCTGCACAGTGTACCCGTACGCCATCATCAGGATGGTAGACGCTGCAGTCCTTAAGGAGCGGATAGTCAGATTTAATGAGAAGTAAAAGCGTAGTGAGTTTACAAACTTGCGAATTTGTGCGACCAATGTCTCGGGGTTGTACAGGACGCGTGACAGGAACCGGTGAGTCTCAGCCTCGATATGGGACGCAAACTTCAAGGCCTTCTCACGGCTCCCCATAAACTGAGAGAGGAGACGACGGGTCTCACGCAAACGTGGGCCGTACTGAATCTGCGAACCAATGTGGTCCCAGCCGACCATTTCGCCGGCCACGACGAATGTGGGCCGGTCGGAATAGATGGAGCTCTTTTTCTCAAGCATCTCGGAAGCGAGGCGGAACGAGTTGAGAACGACCACCGCTCGTCCGAGGAGACTGACGGACATTATGTCCCCTGTTAATCGGCGGCCATCAATCGTCAGCCGTCGGAATCATAGCGGGAGAATGGTCGGGCAGCCTACCCCATCTGTCACCCCACTGCGCGAACGTCTTCCATTGGTGAGATGTAGGAAAGTCCAGAGCGTTCCCGATGATGGGCCACCCTTGAGGGCCGGGGGGAAGAGCGACGGAACGTCTCTTGGCCAGGCGGGCCAGCAGAAGAATACAAAAAGCAGTGAACGCGACCGCCAAAATCATGGGAGGCATGATTGCTCCCTGTTAAGGTGGGAAGGGGGGGAGATGGGGAAATTCCGGCGGTGGTGCGAGGAGGATTGCGGGGCGGCAGTTTATAACTATTCTGACGCTGACATCAATCGAACCAAGTCACGCACGGAAACATTTCTGCAAGACATCTAATGATGAACATGGTTCACAGTCCGCCATTTCGCGCCCTAGTCTCGACGAGATGCAGAAAAGAAGCTCATCCTAGAGCGGACCGCCCAAAATTTGGAATTTCTTGTGCAATAGAGCGACTGTGATATGGCCGCGTGGTGTGCTTGCCAGCTACAACGGTTTTCTGGTTCATCGGAGTGTTCACCTCGTATTCTTTTTAGCACAGATCCAGCCACTAGTAGCGGCGTTGCGTGCGATCAGACCGTTACGACATATGCTGGAGGACATACCAGAAATGCTGTAGCTCTGAATAGGCTTAGATGGTAAAGGAAGCGCTTGGTCTTCATGCTTCCAGATGTTCCAGGCACGAAACGCTGTGGAAGTTAGAGAGCACGTTGCATGCTAGGGGGATCATGCTGACCGTCGGGCCCAGGTAAATGCCGGATACCATGTTTTATGTGAGCTCGATAGCATCAGACATCCTCTTAATCATGCGATGCGGCAGGAGCTTGTCATTTGGCGTTATGCAAGGCATCGGCGCTCTGTATAGAGACAAATGAGTTTTTTGGAAGTTACGGCGTCGCCCTCCTTGATTTCGGCGCGGTGCTAATAGCCATCGTGGAGATGGGATGGAAGGAGGGGTTAGACGGTCACCGATCGCCCAAGATCGAGGTACGCATCTGGTGCATATAGAGAAATGAATTTGACTATCCAGGCGCCGAGCACGACGTGTACGGACCGACCGCCTGTTCTCCATGGATCTTGTCAATATCATTATGGGGCTGAAGTTCTAGCGGGACATCATGAGATCCCTGTATAGCGATAGCCGATAAAAGCCATCAATGATGCAACTGCTCACTAGCAGACGCTACTGAGCCTTCATTAGTATTGCTACTTATCTGGACACAGGACGGGCGGGCATCGTACACCAGGATTCACTATTACACCGACCAATCATGTCTCATGTGGCTGTCCGATACGCATGCGATTTCCAATTGCCACTGTCGAGACCGAGAGCAAATGGCTCTCCTTTGGCAGATGTGTGATATATCATCCTGACATGCCAGGGAAGTTCAGCGAAAACGGAGGGCCCAGTGTATAACACCAAATAGAATAACAGGTTAATGCATTTTCCTATCCTCAAAGAAACGCTAGAATGCGGCTGGTCAGCTTAATCGATAACGGGACCTGCGCCCGAAGATGATGACGCACCTTCAGATGCCTCAATTGCCACGCGCACGTAAGCACCAGTACTATCATCTGTGCCAAACTGTACCAAACGGCGCGGGAGTTCGTGGACTCGCTGAGGTCGCGGAAGTTTGCCTCTCGCTCACGCTGATATTGCTGCTCGCGCCGTACATCTTCCAGCTTCTGGTTCAGGTCGCGCAATTTGGCAGACAATTCGGATACGTGTGTGCGGTCGTGTTCGAGGTCGGGTTTGGTCGCACCGACGACAATGTCCAGGTATAATCGGATATGTGTCGAGCCGAACCACGAGCCTGAGGAAGGGTAGGACGCAGAAAGACAGATAGCGTGATCGCCAGCCTCGTGTGAGGTAAAGGTAAAGCGGCCATCCGGTGGTCCACGTGTCCGCACGACGTTATGACTTGTCTCGAGTTCCTGGAGGGGTCAAGGAGGAGATGCCTCTGAGCCGCGTGGGCCGCAGGAGACGAAGTAGTATTACTTACATCGACCTCCACCAATACCCCCAGCTCGGGATTCTCTACGTATGTTTGCGTTTGCTCTGACCATTCAAGCGCCCTGTAGTGCCCTGTCAGGTGGCGTAGTCGCTCAGCATGTGTACCAAGTCTGTACATTCGCGTCCGCCAGACCTTCTACGATGGTGTCGGTTGGTAGCTCCTCAATGAAGCACCGCTTTTCGTTGGTATCAAGGTAGAAATGAAGCGCATTGGCTGTGAGAGCAAAACATAACAGCAAACAAAGCGAGAGCAATCGTGAGCTGGGGGAAGCCATAGAGAAACGTGTCGTCGTCCGTCGTGACAAGGAGTAGTGGTCGTGGGAATCTCAGATCGCGCGAACTTCCAGTGAATTTACTTCCGGCGCTTGCGCTCACACTGCAACAAGCCCGTCATTGTGCAATTCCCCTACCTCTTTGGACCATATTCAGGCCCTGATACTAGCCTTCACTATGTCGACAAGTCGGTTTGAACCCTCGTCTATAAAAAACAAAGTGAAGCGCGAGGAAGTCGCGCGGAAACAAAAGAAGCAGAAGCGACAGGACAAGCTTCAGCGCAGACTTGCTCAAGCAAAGGTGGAGGCAGATGATCCTGTTGCGAAGAAGGTACTTCCAAAGATAAATTTTGCGCTGTGCTACGTGAAAATAACGCACTATTCTCCTCAGAAACGACGGGAGCAGAACGTACCTCGAACTTTGGATAACACCCGAGAATTCGATCCATCTTTCCTCACTGCCAACTCTGCTTCCTCGTCGAGTACTACCGCACAGCCCGAAGCGTCCTCATCATCCAATGTCCCAGATCATGGACAGGCGCACCCTTCGGAACACCAGCCGCAAGACGAGTCTGCCGCAGACCTTGCCAATGACTCCTTCGCATCATATTTCTCCGGTGTTGCCGATCCGACCCTACCGCCCAAGGTGCTCATTACGACGTCGCCAAAGGCAACGCGTGTAACATACGACTTCTGCGACGAGCTAGTCAACATTTTTCCTGGCGGCGAGTTTATTCGCCGGAAGAAGGGGAAAGGGTTCGAAATGGGTAGAATTGCGGGTTGGGCGGCGGGCAGAGGTTACAGCCATTTGGCGGTGGTCAATGAGGACATGAAAAAGCCCAGTGAGTACATATTAGTTTTTTATCGGGAACTTGTAGATTTACGGATCTCCGCAGATGCTGTGACCATTGTGTACCTGCCCGATGGGCCCACCGCGTACTTCAAATTGACGTCCATCGAGCTGAGCAAAAAGATCCGCGTCAGTGCTCATTCTCATTTCGAGATAGTTTGACCATTCTGCTCACACATCACACAGGGTCATGCGCGGCCAACCGAGCATTTTCCAGAACTTGTCCTCAACGGGTTTGTAACGCGGCTAGGACACAGTGTCGGTCGCCTGTTCCAAACCCTCTTTCCGCCCATGCCGGAGTTTCAAGGTCGCCAGGTAGTGACTCTGCACAATCAGAGAGACTTCCTATTCTTTAGACGGCATCGGTGCGTAACGGGACCGAACTGTGAGTCATTAACGACATGTAATCCTTCTTTGCAGATATGCTTTCCGTTCGACAGAGAAGGTTGCTCTTCAGGAGATCGGCCCGAGATTCACTCTCAAGCTTCGATCACTAAAGAAAGGCTTGCCCGCCGTCAAAAATCTCGGTGAACCGAGCAAAACCCTTGAATTTGATACATTCGAGGAAGGTACGGAAGACGTTGAGATGGCCACCAATGATCCGAAGGAAGACGGCAAAGGGGAAGAAGAAGTGGACAAGCAGGTAGAAGTAGAACCCAAGTCAAAGAAAGCTGTACCTCCAACGGAAGACGAGTACCAGTGGATATGGAAGGTATGTATTTTTTTCCGTGCAATTGACGCCCCCGTGCTTACACTTCCTTTAGCCCGAGTTGGAGACTACGAGGCGTACATTCTTCCTTTGATGCGGCTTCAACGTATTGGGTGCAGATCTATTCGTGCGGCTTACACGTGTCCTCAGTCTTCAGTTTATTGCACTTGTATCTGACAGAGTTGAACGTCTCCATGTTCGCCGCAAATGAACCATCCGATACAACTGATTGCGGTGCTGATGCAACCGCCTCATATACCCACTGTCTGAACTAGATCTGTGGCAATGTCTGGAGATGAGGGGACTTTAATCACTACGAGAGATGATAGCGCTTCGCCTCGCTGTAGAGCGTCAGGAGCACCGTCCAGCTTATGGCCTTAACTGGTGCGTATCTGTTTCTGGAGGATAGCCTTCCATCGCGCAGTCATGAGACAGAACTGGTAACGTATGTCCTCTAGAAGCTGTTGCATAGTCCAGTCTGAATGCTCCCTCCTCCATGAGTCCATGTAGCTGATATGTATGTCACGCCTGATGCTTCACTTGGAGGTGGTTACGTCTCCAACCGCGGGAGTAGTTGCAATGCGCCCCAATACTTCGTAGTGAGGTGTCAATCCCATTTAAAAAGCCAGAGCTCTCATATTCTCGTCGGCCGCTTACTTCATGCACTCTGCCCTCAAGATCGACTCATTTGTTTACGACATTACAAGTACAACAAGCCGAGCTCTGGGTCACACGTTGTTTGTGGCAAGCTGCTGCATTTCAACGAGTACTGTGGTAATACGCTCGAGGCGGTCATGCAGCTTGAGCAATCGGCTGCTGGGTTGCGGATGCACTGGATGTATACCCGCTCGCTCTCTCAATAGCAGAGCGATCTTCTGTCCCGAGCCAAGATTTAACGCTGTCCGGGCCCTGCCCAGGGAGACCACTGTCAAATACGGCTGCGACAACTCACAGCGGTGAGTGCTTACCTTGAAGTTCTTGAATCTTTGGTTTTTAACTCTCCGCGTCAACCATTCCTGAGCCGTTGCCCCCGGGTAGAACCTGGTCTTCGCGTTTGGTGTCTTTTCCACAGCGTCTGCAATAACTGCGCTCTCCTTGGCAAGCGCACGCAGTTCGACGTCGTCGCTGGCACGCGTGAAAAATACGAGAGAGTACCGCTCGTATCTTGCCTGCTCCTTGGGCGGAGGACTGATGCCTAACGTGAGTACAGCCTATTCAGAGAAGACAATTCAGATTACTCACACGACGCGATGCATGTTTGACCTCAGAACACCGCCGCTGAAGATATGCAAGGAATCACCGATGTTGCAGATCGCATGCCCTGGCAGTGGCTATAGTTCTTACAATTAGATCGTCCCTCGAACTGCGTACCATGAATCAGTCACCTTGATGTATTGCCACCTCTCACTTCCAGGTGCCAATACTTGCAAGCCGCCGAGCCGGTTGTGCAAGAATGACTGAAGGATCTCGATAAGCATGTCTTTGGATCTTCAAGATAGTCTTACTTACGAGCGATCCGAAGTCGGTATGCGAAGACAGCACGGCCTTCGCTTCGTCAAACTCGCCCTCCTTCGGAGGGGTCCTGATGACCCGGGCGACACACCCACTTCTTTCCTCTTCTCTGTGCAATTTGGCCAGGGTGTCTTGCGGTAAGCCGAGCTTCTCGTTCAAGATTGCCAGCAAACTGTTATTGACTTCGAGGGATTTCTTGACGAACGGTATGACAGCGGTATCCATCCGGTCTGTTACGGTCGATGGGTATGCGCGGTGGACGGGAGTTGGAAAAGCGAGCGCGTCGTCCTTGGAGACGTTGATGAATTCTGTGCAATCGAGGTTGCCCTTCTCATCTATAGCATTTACACCGGCGGCCTTGTATCTGCCAGCATACGGTTGTCATAAATGGCCTCTTAGTTGAATGAGACAAGTGCGTACCCGAAGGACACCCCATCATCCCCTTGTTCATACTTCATCTTCTCGTCGAGAGGTAGCGCCATTGTGATTTCACCCATGTCGAACATCGCATTGACTTCTTCGTCGGCGCCATGATTCTTCAGGCTATGTACCCGCGCCTGAGCGAGCTTACATTCCAAGGCGTACATCATACTTACTACCAGAAGCCGAGTTCTCTGGCAGCCTTCCATAGCTTGTTGATCTCCGCTTCATCTCGAGCTCTGATAAGCCCGTAGTCCACGACAAGCAGAGGATGCGTAGGCACATCCTCCGGGAAAGGGGGGATGCTGATCAAGCCTGGCATGGTGATGCGGATGTCTGTGTGGAGAAGGAAGACAAACGGAGCGAGGACTCCGCATTCCGAGCGTAAGTACTTATCCTCCTCCGTTATCTCGCTGTCGTCATCTAGGCCTCTCCCCTATCGTCATATGACTGAGAAGCTGGGAAGTATGCCACCTCGTATTCACTTATAAGGACGCGTGTGGCTGTACTGCACGGAGCCGCTACCCACGGCCGGCGAGTATCGGCTTACCGTGCCCGTCCTGCATACGAGCACCAGCTTTACGATCATTCCGATGAAGTAGTCCCGAACCCCTCTCATCGCATATGATTTGTAAGGAGGGGGAGACCTCGTGCCAATGGACCGTAGTCAGGCGCAACGGGATCGGTAAATAAGGAAAATCAGCCGAGGGTATGTACTCCTTCCACCGCTTCTTGATATTCAACACTGTTCCATATGCGTCTGCTTATCCTGATGAAGCGGCAAAGACGAAGCTACTGATGAAAGTCTCCCAATGAAAACCATTGTTTCCTCCTCAGACTGCGAACCATGTCATATGTCGGAATGCGACGGTGTGCTGCACATAAACTTAGCCTAGATAGTACCACCCGTATTGTAAGATGGCGCTCAAACTATCATCATGATAATAAAACACTAGCAGAAGTTAGCATATTGCCGTGGATTCTCCGACGCCCTATGCGCTGTCAGGAAGGCTATTGGATCTGGATCTTACCGCACTTGTGTTGTAGGCGCTTGTGGGTGCCGTGGATCACTGAGCGCCAATACATTCTGTCATGTCACGCCTGGCCCAGCATCACGCATCGTCTGCTTTACTGCTCCTCTCCTGCTCCCACATTCGCCTTCAAGAGCTGCAGTGCTACCCAAAGCTATACGGACACACTATTCATTCACTGGTCTAGCGACTACAGAATGGATGGGAACATCGAGGAGCTCGTGCTTTCTGGCAAGCTATTCAACCCCCCATCTCGATCAAGCTCGCCTGTCCGCTCCCGCTCGCCGTCCCCCGTGCACTGGCCCAATGATGACGCTGACTACGACTATGACTCGGATGCGGAACGGCGTCGAGCAATCGAGGAGCGCATAGCAGCACAGGAGCAGCCAGAGTCTATAGGCATGGGACCTGGGCGGACAGGCGTGAAGGGCGTCCTACGTGATCATGCAGAGGCAGCAGCACTTGCACGATTGGACCGTACACAGGAGATCATGGAGTTGAACAAGGCGATGGAGAAAGCGAGCCTGGGCGGCAAGACTTGGGCGGAAGAGGAGCGGGAGCGGCTGGCAGAGAAGGCGGCGCTTGAAGGCAAGGCATCGTTGCTCATGGAGGGAAGGGGCACACGCAAGGGTCACTTTGGGCATCTCATGGAGGTTGGTGTACGGAGCTTCGTACAGGCGGTGGAGGAGGACAGAAGCGTCTTCGTGGTCGTACATATCTACGACCCGTCTCTCGAGCGGTGCGCATCTTTGGACGAGAATCTGTCGCGCCTTGCACGGACATACTTGTCGACTAAGTTCATTCGGGCTCGTGCGGGCGCACTTGGCTTTGCCTCCACTTCTTCGACGTCGCGAGGGGATCACTTGAGACCGTTCCCTATGACGCGATCACGCTCAAGACAGATACTCGTCCCTGGCCGGTACTCATCCGCCGCCGATGAAGATGACCCGTATGCAGGCCTTGATTCGGACGACTCAGAAGACGAGAATCGAGATGACGAGGGCTGGGAGGATGACACTGTGGACACGGATGTTCTCCCTACCATGCTCGTTTATCGTGGAGGCGTACTCGAACACACGTGGGTGCGGGTCGATTGGGAAGCAAAGTCTGGCATAGAGGAACTGCTAACAAGATACAATATATTGCGGGACTCGAACGCTGCGGGTGGCGTATCTGCCAGTAGGGGCTACTCGCCATCATTTGACGACGACGACCTTGATGACGGCGAGCTTGTATTCGGCGGTAGTGACGACGAGAATTAGTTTCATCTACGAGTACAACGTCAAGGTGTCATCGCCAGAGTGAATAGGTTAGTTCTTTTGTCTTGATGCATCCAATACTGCTCACAATCAAGTACGGTGTCATATAGAAATGTCTGGGGGCGGCAAACGCGGTATCTAGGTGTTAACAAAGTCCCCGAAGTGTGTCCGCACGTTCCTCCACTCGCTTCATTACTCATTTTACGCTTCAAAGATCGTAGTGATGTGCTTGGGCAACCAGTCTACGTTACGTTCTCCAAGTCCTCGCGCTAGCAAAATGACTATTGGATAATAATGAACACAATTGGCATTTGTACATCAGAGCATGGTGTTCTGTTCACTATTATTTGTACGCTAGATAGTCATCCTGGTCTACTATTCTGCGCATCGACGTGCAATCGATGAGCTCTCAGATTCGGCATGTGTAGTACTACTCACTTCATTTGTCTGAAAGCCGACGGAGAGTGGACCTAACAGCCTGTAGCCTGAACTTGATGCGGAGTGTAACCTTAGTTTCTTTCCAGTACCCACTTGAAGCGAATCCATGCTGCTGCGCCCGGAGTCAAGTATCGGAACACTTACATTTGCAGGCTTGCCTTGTCTTTTCACTCCTGACGGCGGCACTGGTGAAAACTCATCCGTCTACGCCTGTATTCGTAAGCGACCGAATAAGCCTAACTATCTAGGTGCGCTGGTCTTTGTCTCCGGTTTCTACCTATGATGCAATCGTCACCTTTCTGTCTGTACTGGAGTCTGGACCAGAAGAAGTGACAGTTCCAAATATGCATGGCTATACTTCGAGCTGAAGATGTCGTAATCTATCGGCACAATCATCTTCGAGATGGAAGGCAGTGTAGGAAGAGGGCGCGTGATCTTTGCGGCGGGCGAGAACGCTGTTTGAGCTCCTCGAGCTTCGATTGTTCGACGATGAAATCCAGCGAGGGAGCGCCATCCGATGGGGTGGGCTGTGACTTCTCCTTTTTGGGTGAACCGGATGGGATCGCGAAATGGTAAGAGCCTCATGCTTCCGCAGGCACGGTTAATGGAAAACGTAGAGTTTCCATAGCATCACAGATAGCTCTGTTGTGTCGCGAAGGATGCGTCTCTGTGTCTCATGTATGTAAGTGATTTACCACTGGATCACAAGTTTGTTGACATCCTGTCGCACTGTACTCTCACATGCGTTGAGCGTCTAGGATGGATCTCCGGTCCAGTAGCTAATACACCGCATCCTGGAACACACCTGGTCGATTCACAACACAAAAACTAGTTTGACAGAGTAAGTCGTGCCCGGCGCATACGTGGTACAGCACTTACTGGGAGCACGATTTGGGTTTGGCATGTGTTATGAAAGATGGTGCGTCCTTAGAGACGGCACTAAAACATGCCCGTCAGCGCTGCCGTGGATAGCTGAACGATAATGTCAGATAGTGATAATTACTCTTCGTCCGACCGTCGCTTATCGCGCGTCTTACAAACTTATCTCATGAGACGGTATGCGGCACGGGGACATGTGACGCACGTCGAGTCAGACGAGGAACGTGGTCTATAGCCGCATATCAGTCGCAGACACGGTAATACTGACGCCCCCGGAAAGTACTCTGGCAGGTCACGAAGCCACAGAGAAACTCGTTCGTCGCATCCAGAAGTAGAACATGGAAGTTCGACGACTATGGATGAGTCGACCCTCCATCGCCTGATGCCTCCTCGCCGAAGTTCATTGGTGAGAGCTTCCGGCCCGCAGATATGCTATCACGGACAGCTATAATCTGCTTGTCTATGCAGAGTACCAGAAATCGTGCAAGCGCGAGGGCGTGGACTGGATCAGCCAGATCGATGTTGTGCCACGATTCCATGTGCAGCAGAAGTACACGGGGCTGTAATTCGCTACGTAGAAACAGTCAGAAGTGCCTTCGTTCGTGACGAAGGGAAAGATGGGGTTCTCACAAGTACTTCGCTGTCTTTCCCACTTGAGCCAGTCCATCAAATTGATTGTGCTGTCATATTTACGGAATGACAGGCCGATGGCGGGCGAGTCGAGTCGCCACCAATGTCTTTGATATAGTGTGCACGCCATCACAGTTGGCGCTGTAGTCTCATCGCATAAGGAGATGATAGGCAGCGCCATATTTACAGGGAGCGGTCGGTCGTGCGAGTAGCCGAGAACGTGAAGGTCGAGTTAATCCAACGACCGTTGGTCATCGAGTAGGTCTTCATCATCTTCGTACGCTTCAGCTGCTTGTCTGACGATTGGCTCCCGTTCCTTCTGGTCCAGCCAATCCGACGCCATTCGGTAGTTGGGTTGAGAATCAGAGATCAGAGTCCGCCAGGCTGGAGTCGTCCAATTGTGGTTGTAATTGCGATTCGCTGACAATTGTTGATTGTGTTCTTGTCTTGTTTCTGCTCAGGTTTGTGCACGAGGGGCTCAGGTCGCAGGGTTTCTGCTAGTCGGAGGTGTCGTCGATGTCCATGCCACTGAGAACATCGCCATCTTGCGGAAAAGAGTGAGGGAGTCTAGTGGTATGTCTGCTGAGGCCGATACCAGTAGCAGTGCCCTGATGCCCCGTTTCATATAGTGTAACAAACCGTTGAGCTCGCCTCGAGAGAATTTAGGGAGCTAATGCCGAATCTTCGCTGTAGAGGGGGGGCATTCAAAGATTCATTATTGGTAATAGTGGACCAGATCTAGTGTGACTCACTGTGTCTGCACGTCGGGCCGAGCTTCGCATAGCGCATTTCTCAGCATGGCGCAAAGGAACGATTCCGTTGGGTTATGCGTGTCCAGTGCATCTCCGGCTGCCGTTAAGCGTCGTAAACCCATACAGCCGTCGAGGATTGCGTTGAACATACGTGTCCCTCTCCATTATGAACATTGTCGTCCACGAGATATAGTGTGCTTCGAGGTAATGGCATTGCCAGGGGACAAACGTAAGGATATGACCCCTTTTAAATTTTGAGCATGTTCAGAGTATATGCAATCAGACTTCCTACTTTCGCAATTCACTAGGGAAGGCAAGACGGGTTTCTGAGAAGCGCGCTGTGCTTATTCACTGCCACAGGGAATGCGACGCCAACGTCCGCAGTGCTGTGGTATTCAGTGTCGTGAAGGAGCTCATAGGTACTGTTCGAGCGTTTAGATCTCTGTGGGAGCGGTCGGTCATGTGATCGCGTAATAGCAGGCGCGACGCGTTGAACGTTTAGCGCCCCACCCTCTTGTCATACCACGAATTACCAAGTCTGCGTTGACAGTGTTGACATCTCTCCTTACTTGTACTCGGTCAATGAGTCCGTACGACACTTATCTGGGAGAGGTCTATCGTGATGTGGTGCACCACAATGCTTTGGACGCTAATGACACCAATCCAATTCCACGGAAGGTGAAGGAGTACGCCCACCTTCTGGAAGATGCATTTGAACTTCCTCAATGGGTGAAGGAGGTTTGATACTACATATATACTCTCGCTCGCCAACCAATAATGGGAAACAGGGACCATATCCGTGGCTCTATCCTCGAGTAATACCATTAGTGCGGGAATTACAGAGCTCGTCTCGCACGACGTATCGATCTCAGGCCAGCGGGGATGGCCAGAATGACGAGAAGTTGACAGAAACACACCTCAGGCGAATCTTCAACACTGTTCTCGACGACTGCGCTAGCTTGCGTCATGTCGTCTCGGTCGATCAGGAGGACGGCACCTGTAGTCCAAAGGAATCATTTGTTTGCATATTGGTTCGGAATGCGCTAAGTATTACCAGACCAGATCTGCTTGTGGAGTACGTGCTGACGACTTTACAACGTGTATACATGAACACTGACTGTACAGCGTCTGCAGCGAAGAAGCTCTGGTTGCGTTGCCTCGACACTGGAGTGGCGAGCTGAGTCCTCTATTCCGCTACATGCGCACCAGCGTCTACGCTCCTCTACTTGTGTCTATCGCCGCAGAGGTCCCCTTAGATTCACCGACCCTTATTTCGCAAGACGAGGATCAAGACGGCGAGTCTGTCTTGACTAGAAGCATGGATAACAGTCACGAGAATGTTCAAAAGAGCACCGCGTGTTCATCTCACCATGGTTGCTCTCCTGCAAATCCGGGGATAATCCGGACACAACAACATTCTGATTCTCTGCCGGTCTATATCGTGCCGGACCGCTCCCTCTCGGCGTCAGAATGGCTCAAGCGACCTTCGGTGGAGATGGTGGTCTATGAACAGGAGTCTGAAGACGACGCAATATACGAGGACCAGCGGGGTCTCGCTGAACTAGATCTGCACGTGCTTGACCTCCCACGAGACAAGTCCCTTCCTGTCAATGCTGCAATGCCAATTTTGTGCATGGCTGATGATGCCACGCTTCCCATCATCATGGCCAGTGCGCTGTATCAGCGACAGCTCTGGCATGTTCGGGAGCCGTTGATAGGCATCTCATCCGAGCGGTATAGTAGCTGCATCTCATTTTGTTTGGGGTGGATTGAAGCAGAGCTCGTCGATGGCCGACAATTGGTGAGGATGTGATTGTGTACGCGATTATGGGATGTGTCTAACCCCGCCGATGGCAGCCTCATGTGCATATAGCGCACATGGCTCATCTACCAGAGATTGACCTTGCGAATCCTGAGAGCATGCTGACTGTAGCACAGTTTCTCCTCAGCCTAGATGACCACATTGCCAACATCCAAAACGAGGTTGCCTTGTCGCAAACAATAGTAGCGGATGGACTTCGACAGCAAACTCTCATACGGTGGAGAGTCGATTCCGCAAATGCTGCCGAGGATGCGGACTCAATTGGGGACCCTGAAGATTTTCTCTCTGCTTGGCTTCGCGGCCTGGAAGACTCCGGACTATTTGGGTGAGCTCTTTAAATGGCCTGCGCTTCACAAATTGTCTCACTGTTTGACAAACCTGTCTCTTTCGGCGATGGCTATGCCCCGGCGGTCTAGCAGGAAACCTACTTCGGCGAAATCGGCGCCGCTCCCGTCGCATCCAACTGGCCTGTAAGTTTTCCATGTGTTCTATACTCCAGCATGCACTGACTTCATTGGCATTACAGGGGTGCACCTAGCAGCACCGCAAGAGATGAAGCAGCTGAAAACCAGACTGTCACGAGTTGGTACGGCGCCTAGCCGTTTTTTAATTTTTCCTTTTCGCGGGCTCGAACCCGCGACCTCTGTACTACCTGCCTGATATGGACGCATCACTATCTACTGTACGATTAGATTAGATGGGACGGCAACGCACGGCACAGCTCGGGCCCCGCTGACGCAGCCGCTCTGACTCACCGGCCCCCGGGGCCGCGTCGGCATGCTGCGCACAGACCAGCTGCGCACGGACCAACGTGCACAGCCTGCCCTAATCCCCCCATGTATATAAGCCGGCCTCTGCTGCCCTAGGGACCTCAGTTTCGACCTCTTGTCCCTAGGTCAGTAAGCCCCAGTTGTATCCTTTACTTACCTTCACTAACTAATACATTTCTTGTCCCTAGCCTTAGGTTTGAGCCTCGCTCACCATCGCTTC